TATTTCGGTGCTTCAAAGTCTAGGTCAGAGACTCATGCACGTTCGGCAAGAGATGTTATACCGCGAGCACTTGAGCTGGGTTTGTGTGACTTTGCTATGAAGACGCAACCAATCAATTGCTTGTCCGCAACCCAGTCCTCTGGGTTCTGTCCCCGTGGATCGAAGACAAGAGGCACAGAAGACTTGTTTTGAACCGTTTTTGCCTGTTCGCTGGAACAATTCTGGGGGAGTCGGGTTGATACTTGCACCGCTGCCCGTGCATGAGGCGCTTATTGCCGAAGCTTTCCGCAGATGTTAAGAACAGGACTGCGCCATTCCCAATCTGTGAAGGCTGGTGGTGAGTTTCTTGGAATACCCGATTCTGTACGTTCCCGCTCTCTGAGTGTGCCTCTCAACTCGAACAGCACTACTGGCTTATGTCCCTAGCAAGAGAGCGCATGTATCTGCCCCTTGTCGTTTCGGTTCTGGGGTTCACGCTAGAGGGCGAACAAGATAGGCGTATTACAGCACCGTAAATCGCCAATGCAGAGATCAGGACCCATGGAGCATACAAAACTGGGCTCATATCAGTCCGCAAAATGTCAAGTTTGCCAGTCGTAGTAATGTGATACCCTTGATATTTCGGTCTATACGCAAGCACTCCTCCTCTTCAAGACGGTGAGCGTCTCGTGTTGTACGATTCCGACAGGATTATAGAGAGCGCCATGTCCTTGGGAAGACAGTCTGGTGTGGAAATGGCACCCATCGCACATGACGGCTCTGTAGCAGTCCTGCGGGCAGCCGTCGGTATACCTCATCTTGGTTTCTACCACGATCCTGCAGCAAGGCGTGTGCGATCAATCAGCGGCAAGAAGAAAGCACACAGAAAGAGGCAACCAGAGATTACCCAAGCTCCAGTGTACCATTACACTGTACCTCGTCCTCGGTCATACCAAAGGGCAAATAGGTGACACGGATAACCTTTCTTTACCCGGCATGACCATGCCCGGGGCTCTGGGTTCGCCCCTGTATGGGTGGGCAAGCTGACAAGAGAAAGCTTCCAAATACTTACTACTGAGGAAAGTATGGAGTTGTTGGGATGAGAAAAAGAAAGCAGGGCGTTTCGTGGCGCCAAATGGTGCTTGGTCTGATCGGCCTGCAAGAGGCTGATCCGAGGTGGAGAGGCCCTGGTCTGTTGTGTCAGGAGTTTCGAAATTTGGGGGTGAGCTACGAGGTCACAACCTCTTGCCAGAACCATATCGTGCGCAAAAACAGCCTTCTCAATGAAACTTGGACCGACATGAAATCCAAGGATCTCTTCTACTACTAAGCGATTAAGTCGCACCACCAAAGCGCCAATTGACATGAGCAGGGGTGCCCTCCCACGGCTTCTCGCATCATGAAAATGGTATAGCATAGAGCCTTGGACGCAGTGAGCCACTGTGCGACGGATTTGCGATATCTTGAGCAACCGAGGCTCGGCCTGCCGTGACCCCAGATCTTTCAGGATCCCGGCCACTTCTGGTCGCATATCCGGTCCGGTCAAGAACCCAGCGACTTGGCTGGCCCGTACGAGATGCTAGTCAAATTTCGACCGGCGGTCTTTTTCCTCTTTCAAGCAGCCGCGTCAGTTGTTGGGCTCAATCACATTGCTAAAGCCTGCCGTTCTACTGTCTGATTTGCAAACCACAAGAAAAGAGAGAAATTATGAGAGCCCCGGATGAGCAGACGCCCTGTCCAAGGATTTAGTAACACGTTCTGTTTCGTCCAGTCAATACCCATGCACCATCTGTATGTATGCCCTGCGGATTTACCCGCGGCGGCTCGCGACGCTCTGCATGTTTGTTTATTGCACGCTCTCCTTCACGGTCTTTCGGACGAACGACGGCATGACGCCGACCCCGTCGGTGGGTGGTTCGGTTGCTTCTTGTCGGGACTGGTCAGCGATCAGTGATCGACTGCAAGCATTACCTTGCTGCCCACCACATCCGATCGGCCTTGGGCAGCGAGAACCAGGGTGCTGGGGAGAAAATCTCCCGTCTACCACCTCACCGTCGCACTCGAGGTGGATGGCTATCAGTCTCTGAGGCGAGAGCCCACCGAGAGTGACCCCCTCTCTTACGGCATGCATGCATGCTCCCGTACACCGACAAGGACGATGGCAGAGACCGGTGGGAAGCTGCATGATCTTAAGCGTGAATACTCATCAGATGATGCAAGTCCTTTGAACATGCGGTCCTTGCTTGTCGCGCTCTTCCTCTTCGCTGCCCAGGGACGTCCTCGCCTACCCATGGTCGGAAACCTAACCCTCCGATCCATGCGCTCCAGTGAGGAGGTATGGGCCAGCCCGCTTCCTCAACAATACAGATGGATCTGCGACATATGCTTTGGGGCGATCATAACTCCTCCAGTAACTACAAGGCTTCGGTCTGGATAGCTAGGGACCAACCCCCCAAGTGCTTCCCCGCGCTTCAGAGCCCCAAAGTGAGAATGAGGCGCAGACGGGGTTCAGTAGCAACCTGCTTACGGGGATGGATGGTTATGACACCGAACGGCCATGTCAAGGTTGGTCTACATGACGCTTCTTCCTTCGACGCGTCTGACAAAACAAAACCCAAAAGCAGCCTTGTAATCTGATGCAGGATTTTGGCGGTTTCCTCCCAGATGATACACAGGCTTGGGCGCGCGGGGGGGGGGGGGGGCGCGGCGCTCTGCACAACAATCCCAAATGAGCGGCTGCAGTGGTGCATTTTCTGCCCCCCAGAAGTATACGAGACTGACATCACTGTGCGGTCTGCCACTTAATCCCAAACCACACGAACTTTCGAAGCTAACCAACATGATGCCTCGCGTCTGTTACTGAGCATACGAGGTGCCACTGGCCCCTTCCCCCAAAGGGTCCCACAGCGGTGACTTTCATGGTTCGAAGAATAGCGAGGGTTGCTGTGGCTCAGTGGAGAGAGAGAGAGCAGCAGCACGGCGTTATGCTACCCAATTTCTCGGCCAGACATGCCATCCCATGCAGGTCTCGATCAGAGTCAGTCTCGCTCTCCAGAATCCTCTATTGGTCCAGCCCCTTCTCGTGGCCAAGCCCCGAGGGATTGAGGCGTCTGCCGTGCACTTGCATCGATCTAACCCTGTTTCTTCTCTCTCTTTCCCTCTCTCTCTCTCTTTCTCACTCACACACACACACAGACACACACCTTTCTATCTATGTTGTTTTTTCATAGATCCACTCGCAGATGACCCTGGTCTAGGCTCAAATCTCAGACATACCTCGAGGTGTGGGAATTAGAAAGACCGGGGGAGGGGGGGCGTATTATGAGTGTATGGCCACGAACGCTCGGTCAATCTTACTTGATACCTCTAGGAGATGTGTTGAACGCACGAAAGAAAAATCTGGTTGATGAAGCAATTCCGGGGATATCAGCGTACAGACAACAAAATTTGATCATTTCGTAGAGCAAAACAAGAGCTGCATGAAAGGGCGCCCGTCGTGGTGACATGTAATCAAGTTTTTTTGGCGAGAGTCTACGTCCATCGGCGTCACAGGATTCGACGACGATGCGGTCTCGGTACGTTGTCACTTTCTGTCGTGACACGAAGGCGAACCCCCTTTTTTTTTTTATTTTTTTCGAAGCCACCGAACCATTCTAGTCGCGAAAGAAAGAAAGAATAAAAAACATGCTACAACGGGGCAAAACGTTTCTTCATTTTGGGGGGGGGGGGGGGGAGGAGAAGGGACATCTGACTTAGGGATACGCTCGCGCCTCGACGCCGATCGGATAACCCCGTCTCTACCTGACGTTGAGTCGGTCGACGTCTGTGGCTCAGACATTCGGCCACCGACGGGCGTCGTCTTCCGGTCGGAACATGGGGTCCTCCTCCGGCCTTATTCAGTTTGGAGATGAGTGTTTTTTTTTTTTATCAAACCCAGAAGTGTGACGAGCCACGGATGGGGGCGGGCTTCCAGGGGCGCTTTGCGGATCGAGACATGGCATGCTTGAAATAGGCGAGCTCGGATGCCCGGCACACACCCAAAAAGGGGGCCCAATTTGTACCACGACGAGATGCTGAAGTTGGGTTTCTGTATCGCAAATTGTTCTGGGGGGGGTGGGGTTGTTGGTGAAGGTAGGTCCCCCTTGTAGATCATGATATCTTTCCAACAGTCGTAATCGGCCCTCTTTCGACTTTCAAAACTGACGGCTGGGATCGAGGAGGGCCACTGGTACGCCCCCCGGGCGTGATGATCGAGATCATGCTACGAGGGCGGGCGTGTTCCGGTTCATGAGACGACGGGGGGGTTATCGCGTCTTCCGCGGTCAAGTAATTTCGTAGCGAATAAAGCCCGTGAGGCTTTGAGGCTTGGGGTGGGCAACTTTGTGTGGGTGTTTGCGTGTTGTGGTTCACGATACTCATGATTCGCTGCCGCCGTGTCATGGCATCTGACTGAGTCTGTTTCCCGGGTGCCTGGGCTTAGCTCCCCGTGTTTTTGCCACCTATCGAAGTGTTGGCGTGTGGTCATGTTCAACAAATGGTTTTGCTCTACGTAATTGGGATGTTGATTAGATGATTTTTGGCCGGACTTAGGATTGTAGAGGTTTGGAAGAGGTAATGGCTGTGGAAAGGTCGATTATTGACGAGTTGAAGGGTCTAATTCTATGCTATATTATTACATTAGAATGTTGATATAGGTATTGAGTATCAACGACGAATGGAAATAGAAGAAAACATTTACCATCTTCTATTCAGTACCAGTATGACTTGGCCTACGTTTCCTGTTCATCACTTCTCATATGATAGAGACTTCTTAACTCTATTTCACACGCATTCTAGATAAACCTGCCAGGTTGTGAAAATCCCAGCAGCCGAATACACCGTCCTCGTCTAAACCATCAAGCTCATGACCATCGTGACAATCTATGTTTTCCCAGAAGGCTCACTAAACCAGCCTGTCCCGACGTATCGTAGTATAGCAAATTCCAAAACAGTCTATCTTTTAACACAAAGTCATGGATTGATCAGAGCTCGTCCTTGATCGCCCTGTTCGTGCGGTCGTGGCTCTTGGCCTTGAAACCATCACCAGGCTGTGCGATTCTTCTAAGGCGGAACACCTTGGCCGCGTGACTGGGCACAGTAGCGGTCAACATGCCCTTAGGCTCGATGACACCAATCTTCTTTCCAAACAGCCTAGGGTCCTCCTTCTCGAGGCCGACGGCGTAGGGGATCTCGGTCGAGTTGTACCAATTCGCGTCCCTGAAGATTTGGATTCTGGCCTCGTGGCTCTCGGCCTTGAACAGAGCCTCGGCCGTCTCCGTGGGCATACGGTCCGCCCACAGATCGTGAACAGCCCACTTGCACTTCACCTGCGGCGCCGAACCACCGGGGCCGTCGGCAACAAAGATCTCGGAAAGCGAAGACTTCATCTCCAACTCCGCGCCAGCAGCGTTGAGGAAGATGACGACCTGGTCGCCGTTCTCCAGGCGTCCACTCCAAACCTGCGCCTCGGCGACGCCGAACTCGTCAGGGACGAGGTCACCGCCGACGTCCCGACGGACTCTCAGAGCACTTCTTCCGTGAGGGTCCTGGCTGATGGCGATGATGGCAGGGTTGTTCACGATGCTGAGCGCTTCGGCAGGCATGTCGCGCAAATCGTTGCCCAGCATCAGCGGCGACTTGAGGGCGGCCCAGAGGGCGAAGTGAGCCTTGTACTCCTCGTCGGTCATGCCGCCCTGGCCGACCTCAAGCATATCGAGGTCGTTCCAGCCGCCGGGGATGCTCTTGTCTGCAAAGGCGGCAACGCGGTTGAGGATGAAGAGCACAGAGCAGTGCGTTCCGGGAGCGATGCAGAAAGGGTCCGCGGCCGTGTTGCAGCTGCAGAGGTCATCGGGACGGGTGAAGGAGTCGTAGATGTCGCCAGACATGCGCCAGGCGTTGGAGATGGACATTCCCCACTGAATTTCGTTAGTCAGAGATTTTCCAAGAGGAGGAAGCAGCTCACCGTGTGGACGTAGTCTTCACCCCAGTTGCAGAGGTTGAGGGCGATAGGCCGGCCCGTGGCGTTCAGCGCATCCGCCATGACCTTGAATCTGTTGAAGGAGATCTCGGGAGTGCCCATACGGCCCATGTGGTAGCAGTTGTCGTACTTGAGAAAGTCGACACCCCAGGACGCGAAGCTCTCGGCGTCGTCCTTCTCGTGATCGAGAGAACCAGCTTGCAAATAGTTAGCAAAGGAGTCTGATGTGAAAGTGAGCTTTCAGGTGCCAAACTCACCAAATCTCGCGCATGTCATTTCGCCGGCGGTAGAGTACATGCCGTACTTCATCCCCAGACCGTGGATATGGTCAGAGACGTGGTTCAAGCCGTTGGGGAACTTGTCAAGGTTCGGCTGGAGCTTTCCCTGGGCATCACGCCCATTCTCATCTTGCCAGCAGTCGTCCAAGACGACGTGGTTGTATCCCAAGTCACGCAGACCCAGGCTAACGATACGCTCCGATGTGCTGAGGAGAAGGTGCTCAGACACGTCGCACGCGAAAGCGTTCCAGTTGTTCTGCATACAGGGTCAGCTTGAGATGCTCATCTCCGAGGAATTCATCAGTAGCATACCCATCCCATGGGAGGCGTGTCAGCCAGCCCGTTGTTGAGAGCGGCAACACGTCCCGCGGAGGCCAATACGGCCGCAATACCCAGCGATTTGTACGGCATTTCAGCAATTCTTTTTTTGTTTGATCAGAGAAACGGCGATGAACTCTGCCCTTCCCTTTGCTTGAAGAACAGTCTCGGACTCAGTCGGGTTTCCGTTCTTATACCGACCAGACGGTCAGAAAAAAAGTGGCATCGCGGATCCGTTCAGCCCCGCCATCGTGTGTGCTTCAACAACGTGTTTTGCCCTTCTTCGACTTACATGATGCCTGCCGGGCCGCCAAGAGAGGGGCACGGAGGGGCCAACTGGTCGGCGAGGTCGTACAACCGGAGGGTCCCCGTGTGACAGGGGGCGGAGAACTCGAACAAGTTTCCCGCCCCCTTCTCCGCACAAACCAACTCGAGTCATGTGTCAGATCCGCAGGCCATCGGCCTGAGCATTGCATCTGTGGAGGGCAAATCATCAGATGGGAATAGCTGCAAGTGCTGCCAAGAGGCACCCCGCTGCTTGCTCTGCGGTCACTGGCTCATGTGAAAATTTGCTGTGCTCACCGGCGTATTTTTCGGAAAATGGAGTCACTTTTGCCAAAACCCATGTCACGAATATGAGCCGCTTCAATGCGGGAAACATGTGATGACCACAGGAAATTCTTTTCAAACCAACTACCCTGAGAGTTCTCGACTCTGTGACGTCTCCATCAACGGGCCAAGAGCCCAGAATCAGCTCCCCAGCTTCACCACACAATCCACCCCCTCCTTCACCTCCCCTCCATTGTCCACAACGACTCCATCTCAGCTTCGTCCCCGCGCCGGCCAGCTCCGACTTCTTTTTCCTCCATAGGCTCCGCAAATTCCACCAAAAAACGGAGCATCCATCGGTCCAGAACGAAGCTGGTGTCGATGCTAGTGCGTGCCGTTTCGTGGAATGCTCGAAGACGGCTGATGGCCCGGTCGACCGTCGGCCAGTAGCAACGCAGTTGTAAGAGCAATTCGTAGTTCCTTTCGAGCCGCCGGCGAGCCACGCTGATGTCTGCCTCGTCGCCGCTGAACAAGAGCGTGTGGATTTGCACCGTCGATGCAATGACAAGCACGTGGGCTGTCATTGTGTATCGGACGTCGGCACCGGCAGCAGTCTGCGCGCGGTAGACCATATCGCAAAGCCGGGCCGCATGATCCTTGCATTTTCTCGCGTACGAGTCGCGACGCGCGACAGATGCCGACGCCGTCGGGTTGATAGCCGTCGTGGCCGCTCCGCCATATAGGAACTGGTAGTAGAGCAGCTGTCCAAAATGATAATAACCCAAGTACACCGCAGCAAATGTCCTGCCCAGGCCCCTGGATGCGAACCAAGCAAAGTTTTCAGGCGTATCTCTCATGTTATCCGGCAGCGCCGCGAGCCAACCTTCCATTCGAGCACTCAACGTCTCGACGCCTTGCTCCAGGGAATCCCAGTCTGGGTTCTCCGCAACGCACTGTTGGTTGAAGTCGTTCACGTCTAGTAGGATTCTATTCAGCCTCACCATCTGCGACAGATGCTGGGAGCTCTGAGTGGATAAAGGTGCTGCAGGGACGCTGCGGCTCATGGACAGGAAGGGGAGGTCGTCCATCGGCAGGGGAATGTCGCATCTTGCTGGCAGTAACTTTGGCAGCTTGACTGCAGTGGATGACCAGACGTCGATCATGCAGAGTGACCACCAAACTGGAGACCTGTCAGTTTAACCTCTGCGTGCCTTGCAGATGAACTTGGCATCGAGCGGGTTTGTCTTACCCCGGATATTGATCTCGCGTTCCAGTAGACTGGTTGCTGGTCGGCCAGGGAGGTCTAGCAGCTGCGCCATGCGGCATGCTACGCCATAGTAGATGTTTTCCGTCTCTCCGTCCCCGTTGGCTGTTGCTGCGGCTCCTATCAACACACACAGTTGGATAGTGTCTAAAGACACATCGCGGAGGTTCAAGGATCTCTCGGCTGCTTCTAAGTAGCTATGTGCTCTATCCCGAGGATCAACGTCCGCGAAAACGGGATCAGTCGAGAACCTGAAAGGCTATCAGAATCACCTCATTCACCTCATCAACATCCAGGGCGACAGTCGACCCCATGGCCTTGCTAATGCATGCTTGAGAGACGCACCTTGCAGCCAAGGCACAGATGCCATACAGGATCCCGTGAGACACCTGGTCGGCGATTGCATCCTCGATAAAACTGGGCCGATGGAAGAGGGAGTGGAACTGGTCATGGATGTAGTCAAAGTAGAGTCTCACCAGCTCCAACCGGACGGGCAGACTAGGCAGTGTGGCATGCGGAGTGGTCTCACATCGGGAGCACCAACCACTGGCGTGAGATCTGGGCGACGCACTCGCGTGTCCCTGATTCTGAAGCGGTCGCTGATTCTGGTGCAGCCGCTCTTGTTCCTCTTGATGCTGTCTACGCTGGTTTTCTCTTTGCTCGTAGTACCCGCCTTGCGGAGGTTTCTGTACGCATTTGATTCCTCTTTCGGTGCAGGAGATGCAGTCGACGAGGCCCTCCCTGGTCTGGCACTTGCGCCGACGAGCTCTGCGAGAATGTGTCAGGTAACTCTAGTTTGACTCGTAACGTCATTAAAAAAAAAAAAAAAAAGACAAAAAGGGGAACCGAATATGTACCGACATGCAGCACAAGCCGAGGGTTTCCGCATGCCGCGGAGCTGGTCTCGGAGTGAAGGCCGCTTTGATTCGTTAAACAGCAGTAAGGAATGCTGAACAGATGGGGGGTGTTGGATAATGACAGCAGCAAAGAAGCAGGGCAAGAAGACCACTTTCTCTCCCACGTTGTATTTCACCACGCAGTGCTTACCAGGCCCAGCTGTCATGACCAGGGACCTCCCTGCCGGTTGTCTATGCTCGATCGGGAGTTAGCGGCGGGATATCGGTGGAAAACTCTGTTAACCCCGGCTCCGAACTATGGATCGTGTTGCCCACGATCGTCCGACGAATGATGGCATCTCGTTGTTCCCCCAAAAGTCTCGACCGGCCATCGACATCCTAGTTCGGAGAATTCCCCATGGGACCCTCACAGGAACAGTCATGATGGGCGGGCGTTAGTTCTCCAAACGCACGATTCTCAGTTCTCTCTGCCCATCATGGGGTTGCCTGGGTTCTCCGCACAGCCTCGGCAATACCAGGAGATTGGATTGGTCTCTCGGGCTTCTCAGATGATGGCGGCGTTGCATGGTAATGAACACACCCCGGCTTGATCATCTATAAATGCAACGTCGCGCCCTCTTCGTGGTTTACAAAATGTGGGAATAACCTCAGTCTTAGCCGCCTGATACCTCTGGCATTACTTTTCAAGAACCCTCAACATGTCGCAGGAAAAGGCTGTGGGCGCCGGTACGGTGCCAACCGTCAGCCATGGCAACGAGCAAGGCGAGGCCATCACGGCCATGCAGATCGAGCGTCAGATGACTGTGCGAGAATCGTTCCGGTTCTGGCCCAAGGCAATCTTGTTCTCGTTCATCATCTCTCTTGCTATCATTATGGAGGTACTGTTTTCTTCTACAAACTTATCAAGTCCATGTGCTGATGATCTTTAAAGGGTTACGATACCAACTTGATGAGCAACTTTTACGTCTTTCCCGCTTTCCAAAAGCGATACGGTGACCAGGTCAATGCTGATGGAGACCCGATTGTGTCGGCTCGGTGGCAAACTATCATCAACAACGGTGTGCAAGTTGGTTCGATTCTCGGTCTCATCCTGAACGGTTTCATCACTGAGTGGATCGGATACAAGAAGACCATGGTCGTCTCCATGATTGCCATGATTGGTGCCGTCTTCATCCCGTTCTTCTCCAACGGCCTGCCCATGTTCTTGGCTGGTGCTCTCATTCAGGGTATCCCATGGGGAATTTTCCAGACGCTGGCGGTCACGTACGCCGCCGATATCTGCCCGACTGCTCTCAGAGCTTACATGACTTCCTGGGTGTAAGTTTCTTTAAACCACTACGGCCCGATAGAAAAGCATGAACTAACAAAAACAGGAACATGTGTTGGGTCATTGGCCAGCTCATCAGCAGTGGCATGCTCCGTGGACTATTGAAGATCGAAAACCAATGGGGCTATCGTATTCGTGAGTGACCTTGCTGCTACATAAATACTCTGTCATACTGACGTGAAGTTAAAATGCAGCTTTCGCTCTTCAGTGGATATGGCCCATCCCCATCATCATCGGCACATTGTTTGCTCCCGAGAGTCCCTGGTGGCTCGTCCGCCAGGGCCGTCTCGACGAGGCAAAGGAGGCAGTTCGCAAGCTTACCTCTCCCCAGAGCGGCGTCCACTTTGACCTGGATGCCCACGTGGAGATGATGCGCGTCACGAACCAGTTCGAGATCGAGGTCAGCTCTGGTACACACTACTGGGATTGTTTCCGCGGAGTCGACCGGCGTCGTACTGAGATCTCGTGCATGGTCTGGCTGACCCAGTCATTCTGCGGAGTTCCATTCATGGGATATGGTGTGCAGTTCATGAGAAACGCCGGCTTGAGCGCCGAGAACGGCTTCACCATGGGCTTGGTGCAGAACTGCATCGGTCTCATCGGCTGCTTTATCGCCTGGTACATCATGACTCACATCGGTAGACGTACCCTCTACCTGGCTGGTCTGTCGTCCATGGTTATCATTCTGATCATCATCGGAGGCCTCGGCGTTCCTGCGATGAGCTCAGGAACTTCATGGGCTGTGGGAGCTCTCATCGTCGTGATGCTCTTCCTGTTCCAGCTCAGTGTTGGCCCATCCTGCTATACGCTCGTAGCTGAGATGCCCTCTACCCGACTTCGTGTCAAGACTGTCGCTCTCGCACGTGCTATCTACAACACTGGAGGTTTCGTTGTAAACGCACTTCAGCCCAACATCATCGGAGAGAACGAATGGAACTGGGGTGCCAAGGGCGGTTTCTTCTGGGCCGGCGTTGCGATGCTGTTCCTAATCTGGACCTTCTTCCGCTTGCCGGAGCCGTTTGGCCTTACCTACTCCGAGATTGACTTGTTGTTCGAGCACCGTGTTGGAGCCCGCCACTTCTCACAGGAGGCTGCTGATTCTCTGCGACCGCAGTTGGAGGAGGTCGCCAACCGCCGTGAGAAGCTTGCGACGGTGGTTAGCCACCAGGAGGCTTAAACTCAGTAGTCTATGCATTTAAACTCGACGTGCTTGTGTCCGACGGTGTCATTCACATGCATCAACATAAACAAAACAATACCCTACATACTGAATACATAATTCATAATACATCGTATCTGCTCACATAATTCGTAATGGTGACACGTTGACAGAAGAACGATGCTACAAGTGTCGCATATACCCCAAATCCTGGTACCGAGGTCAGCTAGCAGTAGGCTGTGCCGCCAAGCATCATGCCATCCCACACCCGCGGCTGAATAGAGGAACCGTAAAGAGCTGGTTGACAAGCCTGTCAATTCCCCAAAGAGGATATGAAATATCTGTTCCGAGAGGAAGCTGGAACCGTAACTCCGCTTTCGCGGGGGACTAGATCAACCAGCGTTGTGTTAATGGGAAGCTCGGATGAGCCAAAGCGGCATGATGCGCAAACATACAAAGTTGACGGATCGGCCACATTAGTTGTCATTGCATTGAACCACGGTGTCACTCAAAGTTGCTCGACTTGGGCCAGAAAGCACTGTTCAGAAGTCGGCGGGATCAGCAACGAATAAACAACAAATTGCCGGCCAATTCGGATGTGAATTTGAACCGGCTCGACATCACCATGATGAAAACCGACACCGCCTTCTTCTTTGCAGTGCTTAGCCTTTTGTTTCTTTCGGCTGGAGCTAGTCTCGTGACGGTGGAGAATGTCGATGTTGTCCCCGAAGGATGGAAACTTCATGGCAGAGCAAACACCTCAGAGCAAATATCCCTCTCGATTGCCCTCAAGCAACACAAAATTGAAGCGTTGAAAACCCGGCTTGACGCGATCAGCAGCCCTGGGAGTCCGAATTACGGGAACCATCTTTCTCGAGAGGACGTACAGTCTCAACGCGCCGCCGAGCCGCAAGACGTCAGCTTGGTTCGGTCATGGTTGGCAGCCCACGGAGTTGATGTTGTCCTGGCTCGCGATTGGATGACCTTCAATACCACAGTTGGAAATGCTGAAGGACTTCTCAATACAAAGTTATATTCCTACAGTTTTGAGGACAGAAAATCAGTTATCAGGGCTCATACATACTCAGTGCCTCTTGAGATCTCATCAGCGGTGGACTTTGTGCATCCTCTTTGCAACTTCATGCCGCCATCCCTTCCGCGCCTGAAACCAGCTCCGATGGCCCAGAGATTGAAATCAACATGCGGCCGGCCAGAGCTGCCCTGCAATGGCGGCACTGATCCTGCATGTATCAGGGCTCTATACAATATCAATTACACGGCGCCAATTGGGAACTCGCCCGTCAAGTTCGGCATCGCTGGTTTCTTGGAGCAGTACATCAACTACGAGGACACTTCAACCTTCATGAAGCGCTATGTCCCCGAGATTGAGCAGACTGGCTACAATTTCACCGTCGAACTGGTCAGCGGCGGCGAAAACCCCCAAGACAAGGATGCCGCGGGTATGGAGGCCTCTCTTGATGTCCAGTACGCCATGGCACTAGGATATCCGACCAACGTGATATACTATTCCGTCGGTGGCCGTGGGATTGAACTTGATGGCGAGGGAATCCCATACCACGCCACCGAGTCCGACAACGAGCCCTTTGTCGAGTTTCTCGACTATCTCCTGGACCGCACCGACGAAGCTTTGCCACACGTTATATCCATCTCGTACGCCGACGATGAGCTGAGCGTTCCTAAAGCCTACGCCTTACGGACGTGCGACATGTTTGCTGCCCTCGCGGCCCGTGGCGTCTCCGTTCTTGTGGCGTCGGGCGACGGCGGCTCCCGCGGCACAGGTCAACGACTATGTTACAGCAACGACGGCAGAGGCAGAGAGATGACATTGCCGACATTTCCGGCATCGTGTCCGTACGTGACTACCGTAGGCGCGACGACAAACTCCGGTCCTCCGGTCACGGGAGCCGGGTTCAGCACCGGTGGCTTCAGCAACTACTTTCGACGGCCGGAGTGGCAGTCCGATGCTGTGGCGGAGTATATTGCGGCCCTCAACGGGACCCTGAAAGGCCGTTACAATCCCTCCGGCCGCGCTTATCCCGACATAAGCGCCATCGGGTCCGGGTTTGCTATTGAATGGGGAGGTACGTCGAGCAGTGTTCTGGGCACGAGCGCCAGCTGTCCAGTGGTCGCAGCCATGGTGGCGCTGGTCAACGATGCGCGTTTACGGGCAGGGAAGAGACCGGTAGGCTGGCTGAACCCCATTTTATACTCGGAAAAAATGCGAGCTGTACTGCAGGACGTGGTCGAGGGGCAAAGCTACTCGTGTAGTTGGAACGGAGACGCGCCCGGCGGATGGCCTGCCAAGCCTGGGTTTGATACCATTACGGGGCTGGGGGTGCCGAATGACTTTGAAAAGTTTCTCAAGGTTTTCATGGATCTTGATTAAACGTACACTGGATGCCGGTGTGGTACGAGCATTTGCTACGGTTGACGAGATTACTTTCTATTTCGGCCTTTTCGCGGGCCGGTTGAGGACCTCCTCACGGCAAGGTCTCGTCTACGTATTGATACATTTCGTTCCTTACACCTCTCCATTATGGTGACAAGCTGACGCATCCGTCAGCGCTATCCTCCAGGAAGATGCCGCTGAAGATGACTCCCTCGTTGATGCCAGCAGGTTGGAACCCGTTCTTCGTGATGTCGCCCTCGCCTCCGACGGGTTTCTTCAAGAGACCGAAATGATATTGGCCCTGTCCGCCAACCTCATTCGGAAACACATCGCCTTGCTGCTTGAGCGGGGTTTTGTCGGTGGAATAAAACACCTTCGTCGTGCTATACTTGTGTTAGTTGTGTTATCATTCAAGGCATTTTGAAGACACTCACTTGGCGTTGAAATCCAGAGTCATGGCAAAGTTGTGAGTTACGCCTGCAGTGAAGGGTGTGGTGAACAACAACGGGGGCGAAGGCTTAGTGTTCACGTTGCCGAAGAGCTGGAGGGTATCGGGATCCGCAGTCTTTCCGCCGAGGATGGTCCCGGTCTTGAGAACCACCTGGTTCGTGCTGAAGTCATTACTTTCCAGGAACGCCATCTGGTACTCGTGAGAGGTGTTGAGAAGCCGCTGGGGGTCCTTTGCAATGCTGAAGTGGAGAGTCTTGACGCCGGTGGTGGAGGGATCGGTGCCCGAGTTGCTGGCGGGAACAAGCTCAGCGCGGCGGAAGCCAGTCTGGTTATTAAAGATTGACTTGTCGCTAGGAGATGTAAGCTAGGTGAACATAAATTTGATGAGGACGGCAGATGAGGCCTACTTAATGGTGACCTCGGTGGGAACGTTTTTGGCCCCGTCAAAAAGCGAGCCGGCCTGCTTGGGCATTTGCAGGACCTTGCTGAAGCTTAGGCCTTTGCCAAAGACATTTTTAGAATTGAAGAGTTTATTGTCGGCGTCGAAGGACTTGAGGGCGGTTCCGGAGGGGACTCGCCCATCAAATTGAATCTTGCATTTTTGCGCAGCCGCTATCGAAGCGAGCGAGAGAAGAGTGAACGACTGAAGACAAACCATGATGAAGTTGGACCTGCCGGAGGGATAAAGAGTGAAAATGGGTTGCTATTAGGAATGAAAGACGCGATGTATAGAGGCCGAGCTAAAAAATGATAGAACTAAAGAGGCGCGTCCGGTTGAAAGGGGACTGGAATGTCAAGATACTTATGTAGCCCATTTTAACCTGGCCTTTAAACTACTCCCTGCTAAGAAGATCTTATGATCATTGATAAAGACGACTCATGCGCCCTTGGCGGGCGCCTGGCACAGGTTCATCAGGTGTTAGACTCCAACTTCAGACGACTCTGGGCCTCCCAGGTAGTACCAGAGCCGGAGAAAGAAGGCACACGGCGACTAAAACGGGGTTACAACTGAGGAAAGTTCTCCCTCAGAACGAAGTTTTGCAATGTAAGGAAACCGGAGTTGCGGTTGACGTGAAATGCAGCTGGCCAACGGGCGGCGGAAAAGGAGACCGTCAGGGTTGTGACAGGGTGGGGAGACATGGCTGATCAAACAACATCGTCTCAGGGGCTGAACTCTGGTACCGCCCGAAGGCCCCGAGAAGCACGGAAAGATCAGATGCCCGATGCCGGTGTGAGAACGGATGTGTTGATACGTTCAGAAGGGCGAGGGAACCTTGCTCATATGGTTTGTTTGTCTGTCATGAGCGCAATGATTTGCTGCCGATGTCGTCTCATCTGTCATTTTGAGTCTTCTTTTTTTTTTTCCCAATCCGGGCGAGTCGACGTATCGGCATTGATAACTCATGGCTGACTCGGTTTGTTGTCGTTCAATAATCGGATTATTGGAGGACATAAATAGGACTATTAAGCAGTAGATCCACTGCGATAGATATCCTGGGGTTGTCCGAGGTGAAACGTCCACCAGTTGTAGATCATTACGGTAATGCTCAAAATCTCACCACCAATACGAGACCGAACTTGCGAAACAAGCTGGTGTTGTCCACAATGGAAACTTCCGAGTTGCCAGATAAGATTCACCAGCTTATTCGACAGACACTGTTTTTCGTCATTTGTTTTAGTAGCCAGTCTCTGGCCGCAAGAAAGACATCAAGTGTTTGCATTGACCAGCTAGAACGTGCTGATGATGAAACTAGCAAGCTTATTGAAGATCAAGCACTTTATCAGCATTCAAGAGATATAACGGAATTCGGATGAACGAATATTGTTGTCCATTCCACTTGTTGTTGGGACACAGCACTGCACATAATGGATCTTCTGAAGCTGCACGTTAATAGTAGGAAACATTCTAGCTCTTCTAGTGGTCAGTCACTCTTGGCTATGCAGCCGATATGAAAATCTTTCCAGGGTCAAGCAAGCACTGTATTTGACAGCAGAAGTCCCACCAGAATTTTAGCCGTTAGGGGGGTCTCACTTCTGCTGTGTAACTCCATCAATACGACAGAATGGGATGCAATGTCTCCCAGTTGTCTTATCCAAGTTTTATCGTTATCATTATCGCTCGCCTATCTTATCAGCACAAGTGGGTCTCAGTGATCTCATTAGCGATCTTCTCTGTATGGTTCAACGCTAAGCTGTTGGCGTCTGCTGCCCGTTTAGTGAAGTGGAGAGAGGTCCTGGTCCTGGTCGAAGTCCCTTCGGGAAGTCGCGGTTGCACAACAACATCCGATCTAGCAGGCTTTGTTGAAATAATCTTCCGTCAAACAAGCCAAATCAATTGCTTTTTTTCGCCCCCTTTCTCCACGACGGAAGACAACCGACTTCGGGGGCGACTTTGCCTCAACCCGAGTCCTAAATATCGACTCGTCACACTTTGGAGCTTGCTCTCTTAAGTTTTCGAGCTTTAGGACCCTAAATCCGGTCTGAGACGCGTCGGTCTGTTCGAGGTCAAGCTTGGGCCTAGACCTTCGCCTTACCTCAGCCTCAGAACCGCGATACCCAACTTCTCGACAACATATTCACTGCACTCGCACTGCACCTTGTCGATCGAAGTAACTGCAAGATTGTTTATTTTGATCCCTGAATAAGTCATTCGACCTAAATTCCTCGCGATCAGTCGTCAAATAAGCGAATCTCGGCGTCGCGAACCCCGGTCTACCACCTACTCTCCCCATCGCGTCGGTACCGATCCCAGCCACCATCCTTCCCTGCTGTCGCGTCGCAAAACGACAACAACCTGGAGGCAGCTACACGATAGCTCTTTTGAAGCTTTCGGAAGCTTGTCGAGCTTTTTACGGCAAACGCTGAATCATTTTCCCCACGCACTGGAGAAAGCTTCCGGGATCGCGTCTCATACTGCCAAGTCCCTCGACTCCGAACTACACCCACGTCTGTCAGCAGGATTTCCTTGACGAGCACCTGCCCATACAACCCCTTGCGAAGGAATTCGTCCTTTGCCAGTTGGGCCATCTCAACCAGAAAGGAATTGAACCTTCGTCAACGCGTTTGCAGATTATATCATTAGGTGACGCCACGGCCTAGACGAGTAGGCCAATTTCAGCACGCGCCTCTGGCATTGAAAGACTAGGAACGTTTAGCAGACGAATTCAACCCCAAACCAATCCAATGGGCCGATACTGAGAATCTACTCAACATGCCTACCACCCAGGTAACCCCGACAGCGGATGTCCTTTTGCAGGGGATTGCCGATGCTCTTTTCAAAGCTCGGAAGGTGGTTGTCATAACCGGCGCTGGCATCAGTACCAATTCCGGCATCCCCGTAGGTACCACTGCCGCTGCCTCGACAACCTGAAAGCTAATAACCTTCTAGGACTTCCGTAGTGAAAACGGGCTTTACTCCCTCATCCAGGCGCAATTCGATGCCGCGAGTCGAGACGATACAGCTGAACCGAGGCGTCTTTCGGCGAATGTTTGTACCAATGATCGCGAACCACCTATCAAGAGACGACGGCTTTCTTTTGAGGACTCTGGAATATGTCTTCACAGCGAGGACTCTCAGAGTCAGGAGACGTCAGGCTCCGGCGACGAGAGGACGGTTTCTGAGGCAGAGAGATATGGGTCAGTGGCAGTGCGCTCAAGCACAGCATCAAAAAGGCTACAAACAGACAACCAGCAGCCGGAGTCCTCAGCAGCAGGTTCGTCTCACCGAGGAAATACGCCAACCCGGTCAGAAAGGTCGCTCCGGCGGTCCAGGAGGGCACAATCATTACCACCAGAAGAGAGTCCCAAAGGTGATTCTCAGCCCCCGCAGCACTATCCTCGGGCAGAGACGCGCCGTCGCGCAGTAAGCCCGAGCCGTAGCTTCTTACGAACACGACTGCGTTCTGCAAGTCCTGATCCTCGACGGAAACCAAATGCGTATCAGGCGCATTCTGCGGAGCTGAGAAAGAGGTCCTTGTTGACATCGTCACTGGTCTCTAGGCAAGCTGCAGAACATGGCGACCCTCTCAGCTTTGCATCAAGCCCGTTAAAGCCGTGCCAAATATGGTCCAAAGATGGGCCCGAGGATGCCCCTCCGTTGGCAGACACGGCTTCGAAGACAGTCGCCCAGACTGCAGCTCAGATTAGCACACCCAAGGCGTCGCGATTCTTCTTTAGCTCATCGCCTCTCTCATCTCCGCCTAGCGTCCTACCACAAACACCAACTTCCTACAGAGAATTCGACTGTTTCGCGCAGTCGAATCTGTCTAGACCACCACTGACATTCAGCTCATCGCCCTTGTCTTCACCACCTCCAGTCCTGTTCGATCCTTTTGAAGAGCGATCCTCATCAACAAGCCGACAGTCGTCAAGCACAGCGAGCAGTGCCGCATCTTCAGAAACCGACGAAACACCCCCATCATCTAACCCGAACAAGTCGACATTACCCAACATCAAAGGCAGAGACCTATTTGATGCTTCCATCTGGGCCGATCCTTTGCGGACGTCTGTATTCTACACTTTTGCAACGACCCTGAGACAGAAGGTCAAGGACGTTCAGCCTACAGCATCCCATCATTTCATCGGCCATTTGCGAAATCGTGGCAAACTCGTTCGATGCTACACGCAAAACATTGACCAGATTGAGGAGAAGGTAGGCCTCTCGACTTCTCTGCAGGAGGGCCCCGGCCATCGCGGCAGATTCTCTAGGAGGTCGACCGCCGCAACGCTTGCGCCAACGAATCTGCCTTCCAGCGATGAAGCCCCAACTGGTTCGGGCGAATCTAGGGAAGAAAGCAAAGGATTGACCAAGCCGGAAGAAGCCGGTGGTGTAGAGGGGTGCGAAACCTCTGTTCTATCAGAGTCTCAAGCGCAGCGGCAGGACAAAAAGTCAAGCGGTGTTGAATGTGTTTTTCTCCATGGATCTCTCGAGTCTTTGAGGTGTTTCCTATGTGGCAAGATCTGCGCCTGGGACGAGGAGGGGCGAGCAAACGAGACAATGTCAGGTCGACAGCCCGAATGTCCTTACTGTGCAGGGGCTACAGCGGCTAGACAGGAGAGAGGCAAAAGAGCCTTGGGCGTCGGCAAGCTGAGACCAGACATCGTACTTTACGGCGAAGAACACCCCAGTGCTCATCTCATCTCGCCCATAGTCACCCACGATCTTGGACTCTGCCCTGACCTCCTTTTGATCCTCGGCACCTCACTCAAAGTTCACGGACTCAAGGTCCTGGTGAGGGAATTCGCCAAAACAATTCACAGCAGGGGTGGCAAGGTCGTTTTCGTCAATTATACCAAGCCCCCCGAGAGCTCATGGGGAGACATCATCGATTACTGGGTACAATGGGACTGTGATGCTTGGGTGTCCAACCTCAAAGAAAGAGTTCCACTGCTGTGGCTTCCCCCCGGCACCAAGCTCCCGAAAAAGAAGAAAGAAATCAGTGAAAAGTCCAAGAAGCGCCAGAGCACCGCAGACGAAAAATCAAAGCAAGATGCACCAAAGACGAGCGACAATGCCGCATCTACACTCCCGCCGGAAGTCATTGTGAAGGCCGAGAAATCAGACCCACCAACAGAGGTGCCAGAAAAGTCTGATGAGCCCAAGAAGGCCCTTGAATCTCAGCAACAGGAAGCAGAGTTGGCTACATCAGATATCGATCTTGCGAGCGCTACTGTCAAAGACGAGCCGGCGCGGAAGGAACGAGCTAAGCAGAAACCCAAGCCCACCGAAGAGGCCCTTCCAAAACCTCCGCCCCAACGACCGATGGCGGTTCGCGATGACAAGACAAGCGCGGCTTGGTTGACGTGGAAAGTGAGAGCCGAGCTCCGTCGCATCACTGGCAATCAGATCCCAGCCCCATCCTCCCCTACAGCTCCCCGGGTTACCAAACCCAGGCCGAAGCGGTCCCGGAAGTCTGCGCCAGCCGCCCTGCCTCGGCCGACACAACTTAATACATGTAATGATGCGCCGAACCTTCGGTCTGATATTCTTGATCAGCCGACCAGCGTGGCACAGGAGAAAACAGACGATAAGCAGGCACAAAGCGAATCGGCCGCGGCGGTTGATGTCGCAATGGCAGTGGCCGAGGAGAACTCTATCCTTGCTGCGGTCAAGCTCAACCCAAGGAAGCGGAAGCGAAAGACGATTGATGGCGTCGAGGTGTCTTTCACGGGGACGCCTCGGTCAGCTCCAGCCGCCAAGGCTCTTCCGCGGCCAACGGCTCAGCAGGTGAAGACACCGCATAGCAAGGCCAAACCGCTGGTCGTCTCGCCCAAGATTTTATCCGATATCCAGCGTGTCTCGTTGGATTCTCTCATCCTCCCGCCTCTGCAAATGAACCAGGCGCCGGAAGCGACACCATCGAAGCCGCCGCCTTTAGAGCCTATTCATTCTCCCACAGGACCACTGACGGAAATCTCGCCTAACACGCAGATCCGCGTCCAGCAAAGGCCAACAGAGCCCTTCTTCTACTGCGATGCTCTCATTAACAAGTTGGTCCGCGCACCAGAATGGACCCCGTTGCGAGGTCTCGGGCCGGTGAAGCCCAAGAACTCTCAATCGGCAAAAGAGGCGGAGGCTGCCATGGCGTTGGAGGGATTGAAGAAGGGCAGCGGCCAAGCAATGTTTGGAGGGTTCCTTTGATCTTGGAAGGCTTTATGGCATGGGCATGCCTTGCGTACATTGCATGAATAACAGCAGTGTTAAAATTATACCCCCCCCGAGAATTAAGTATTATCGCGCCCTCGGGTGCAGTTTATGATGAGTCATGATTTTATACATCAATAACTTTGATTGACAGCATTACGCTTTGTGATGTGTTTTTTTTCTTCTTCTTATCCAGACGAAAAAGCCATCCGTTTATCTCGCGAGGCTCGTGGACCGCCATAACTGGTGGTAAACATCAAGGCGACGACTTGTTCAACCCCGACCAATTGACTTGAATCGGATGGCTTTCCGAGGACAATTCGGGGCAGTTAATGTTTGCCGAGACTGGAGGTACGTGCATTGGGGGGGAAGGGAGTTGGAGTCATACAGACCTGGGATGGGAACGAAGCGCACGACCTTGTTTATGTCGGCTCGGGGGTGTGTGTGCCAGCGCAACACCCCTTTAGGAGGGGCTGAAAAAAAAAAAAAAAGGTCAAATCTCTCTGTCTTGATTGTCAATGTTTTGTGACTTGAAGGGACCACGTGGGTGGATACTTGTGTTGCGCGAACGCCAGGGCCATCATTCCGTTGTCACTGTCTCCTACCAGTTTTCCTGATCAACGTGGTAACCCTTTTGGAAGGGCCTTGAAGCTAGAATGGATTCCAGGCGAGCTGCAACCTTTTTTTTTTTTTTTTTTTTTTTTTTTTTTTTTAACCTTTGATAGCGTGTAAGGCGGCAGATACTGGCAAACTTTGCTACGTAGGGCTGTTACTCGGGGTTCCAGTCAGTTGGCGATGATCTGGCGAATGCAGAGGGCTCGAACGCATGTTGGAAAAAGCTTAGTGCTCTTCTGATGAGGCTTCAAAATATGTGCGTATTGGCGAGTTGCGAATTATACCCGTCATTTGGGTTCGAAGAGTGTTCAAGATACCCTTCCCTTGTTTTGGTTCTTCTGGATCGGGCTTTCGCATAGCAACCAGACGCCCGGACGGTAGGAGTGATCACACGTTCGCAAAGAGAGGCTCAAGGTACGAATAACAATACACGAATCGATTCCCGAGTTGGTTATTTTCCGAAGCAAAGACACAACCAACGTCCGTGAGATTTGAGAGTGCGGCTAAGGCTTGGCAGGGGATCCTTGAGTGGCCGGCGGACGGTGAGGCGAACTCGTGGACCGAGTGTGCAGTAGTTCCGGCCGGCATGAGAAAGTGACAGAATCCATCTCCGACGGAAAAGGGGGTCTGTGGGAGAGCTGTGTCCGGCGCCGTATATGTTCGTTTCGAAACGTAGACGAGACGAAAATCATTCAAGATAATTGCGGGGTACCTGGCAGAAGTCTTAGCCAACTAATGTTTATCGTCCGGGGGGAGGAGAGGCTTTCAGTCTGTGCCGGGTGCCCAAGCAGCAAGCTAGCAACGCTCTCTCTCTCTCTGTGTCTCTCTTTTCAGGGTGCCACAACATAATCTTGGGATAAAGGAGGGATGCCGTTAACCCCATCACGGTTAGGGCGTGCTGCTGGTTCTAGCTCAATCACTCGATTGGTCGTACTTGTTGCTTAATCTCGATTGATCTCGATGTCGGGCGCTCGTATGGGACCCGGATCAGAGAGTTGAGAGAGCCTTGCGACGAGCTCAAGATTAGAAATAACCAAAACCCTTCGTGGTGAGTATGGAGAAACACCGCCGCGCGATGGTGGCTCAATCCGTCGATCAAGGTAAGATGTAAATAGGACTAGCTGCCGTTACATGCACGTGTAAATTCAGTCGGGAGAAAGACCAACAACAGGCTAGAGATATATCCGCGGCAGGCGGCTAAAAGGGTTGGCCTGCATGGTGTGTCGTGGTGCAGCTGTCTGCCACTTATGCGACGCCGTCACATTATGGAACAGACTGCAAAATCAGCGCCTGATGGCTTCGATTCAGCCGCAGGCTCAGAAAGCATCTGGAAGACAGATGGAGGTAGCAGCGAACAAACGTTTTGGCGAAACACCTTTTTTGGTTAGGCTTGTTTAGGTTTAAGCACGCGGCCAAAATCGGAACTGTTTGTTTCCAGGTTTTAATAATATGGGGCGGTGGGCGGGCTCAGATAAGCATACTTGGAGTAGATGACCGCTGAGGCTTACATCTGAAGCACGCGATACAAGACTAAATGTGCTGAATAGGGGCGGAGATGGCGTCGGACGGCCCTGTTTTACCGTTTTTAAACGAGAGCCGGCTTAGGCAACATGTCGGAGATTTCGGGACATTCTTGGTGTCCCGCTGGTGGCTGGTGGTTGATGACGTGAGTCGAAGCAAGAATTCACCGTTTGGTGTTTGAATTATTTGCTGGGGTAAATTTAGAGATACTTGGCGGGTAAATTGCCGATGCCGTGGACTTTTTGGCTGGTGCTACTGCCATACTAGCTATTGCCACTATAGTAATCTTCGTCGCGTTTCTACGCTGCTTTTTCATGACTGATCCGTCTCCCTCCCAAAATCTCACCTACTACCTATTCAACTAGGTGTCACACTTTTTCTCTTAGGGGAAATAGCAGGTGGGCGCTGATAGGACTCATCGTCGCCCAAGCCCTCCTGGAGAAGCCGTTCGTATATAGCTCCCACGTAAAGAGCGTTGCAGTACATCCAACCAACATATTTGCGATCAATACCATCAATAATGGGGTAACCTACTGATCAAATTACTTCCTAACTTCTAGTCGGGAGGCGTTATCAAGGCTTATACGGTTCTAAATAATGACTTAATCGAGGTATTCCTCTAGTAGCTCGGCGCGTCGGTTCTTAACAAGATTCGCGGGACAGGAGCTCTTTAGCTGCATAAGATATCGGTTCCAGAGTCCGCCATCATCATATGTGCAGCGGTAGATGACGAATCCCCATTTATGAATGCCAGTGATGATCATGTTAAGACAGGTATGTTTATAAGCGTCTCGACGATAGAGGGCGAGGTGGGTAGGAATGTTGGCGGGCCGCCTGCCACCTGGGACAGCTGCCATGTGCTTTTTCCCTCCTCTCCGCCTTCTCCGCCTTCTCCGCCCCTCCTTCAATACAGGTTGCTCAGCTGGATTCCTTCACAATCCCTATTCCTGTTTTAGCATCTCATCTCTCCTCTTTTGGGGAACCTTCCAGGCCCAAACCGATGATCGGTTGGCCAGATTTATCCCAACTAATAATCGGAGCCTGGCGCCACCAAGTCCGAAGCGGTGTATTCGCTGTTCCAGTATCCAACCAAGCTTTTGGGTTTGTCAATTAAGGATCATGAAGCCTGTCGAGGTACAGCCAACCGCCTTTACGACCATTTCAGACCGGATGAGGCTGACGACGTGCTTGTTTCCCAGTTTCGGCCGGCATAATTACCAGAACCAGTCACGTCGGGTACGTATTCAAAGGACCCTGAAGTTGGAAAATGCATCCCGGCTAATAGTGTTAAACATGACAGGCTTATCGGCCTCAAGTGTCTCATCTGTTAGCACAGCCTTCAGAGCGCGCGTCTTGCATACAAGAAGATCCAAGCGCAGTAACTCTTTCTGCCTGTCCTCAATAAGGCAAGCAGACCGCAGGCAGAGAGGTACCACGCTGCTCAAATACACCAACCACTAAACCCTTTGCCCGAGGAAGGGATTCTCATCCTCGCGTTTCCTGTCAAAAAAGCTTCGGACGAAGGGCTCGTTGCCCGGCGCCTGTATATGTGCGTCGTAGACTTGACCTGCTGGTCAAGTCCAAGCAGCGTTGTCGACATCGCGGTTGAACATGGCTTTGTGCCCACATGCCCAGGACTTATTGACACACAGTAAGCCGCCCTTGACTGACTCCATTTGAGCCATGGGCTATACAAGGATACCGATGCCGTGATCTCCACTACAGCCGAGGGCAAGTCTTGGCACCTTGCCGAGTAAGGCAACCTGATGCTTCCTCTTCATCTCCCTTTTCAGCTCAGCAATTTTCACCATGTTGCTCTCGCTCGCCTGTGTCATACCCAAGGGATCTGCAGGCGGCTGTTAAATTTGGAGAGGGTTTCTCTTGACGTTTTGGCCGTTGCCATTATAATTTCCGACAAGTGAGACCGCCGCCGACACATTGAGCCGCTGCACCTTTTGATGCTCTCCTGAAGACGCTAACGCACCCTTGGACTTCGGACTGGGCAGTTGGCTCTTCAGTCCGAGCCCACGCGCAATAGCGCTTTGGCTTATGGGCGCCGGTGCAAGTAGTCTTCTACCACCTACTAAGCGAAACTCGCCGCCTGTGCACTTCGGGGAGAGACATCTGGACCTGACCGATCGACTTCTGGTGTCGTGCTTCAGGTACCAAGTCAAAGCCTGACCAGCCACACAGGGCTCCTGCCTTCTTCCCAGGTCGTCCAGCGAACATTCTGATCGTCAGTTGTGCTGTGCGCCATAAAGTGCTGGCAAAGTTGCTTTGGCATGGGACAGTAACTTGACGTAACCTGGCTCTGTCAACTTGTGGGAGGCTCAACACACCACCACGAAGGATTCGTCCTCGTAGGTAGGGTACCTCTCGAGTACTTGCAGACCGACTTGTGATGTACCGTTGGCCCATGCCATTGCCATAGCTTCTATCCGTGCAAATGCTTCATAAGCTTGTTTAGGTCCACCTGATTTTTTTTTTGTATTCGCCGTCTTCATACATCTCGTCATGTCTCCTTGCTGGCTGTTGTCGAGCCATAAGTTTTAACAGTTGGCTTCCCCCCACCAATATCCATTCTCCCATTTCGGCGCGTTGCTTACACGAATTTCTTCTTCTGATTCGTCGCCTCGGCACTCACACTGGGGTCCCCAATACGTCTGGCAAGCCCTCAAAGTTACTGGCGTGGCGTTGTGATTGCTGGCCCGGCACATCCTAACCAAGGAAAGATTACTCCTTTCGCTGAGCTGAGAGCTGACAAGTCTCTGGAGGGTGGGCGCTGATTCATGGAATTGGATCCCAGGATTGCGTGTGGAGGCCTGACACGTTTCTAGAGACGCAGCTAGAGGGTCCTGCGGCGAGACAGCTGGAAATATATTAACCATGGTCAACCCTAATCGCTGGTCATGGTCGGGAGGACCGCGAAAAGCGTACAACAAGGAGTATGCAGTGATTAGCAAGCAGCCTCTGATCTCGCCCTCTGTCAACCACGATTCAAATGAGACCGCCGACCCAGCCGACAGCAAACTGCAGACTAGTACTGCCGGCATCTCATCGCGTCGACTGTCCAAAAATCGTTGGAGTTGGCGGCCAGACGCAGCCATAGCCATAACCGTGGAAGCCGGGCAAGAAAACGACCACGAAGACAGGGAGCAGAGCCAGGGTCAACTAGACAGACCTGCAACCTCAAACGGTCTCCCTCGGAACCCCAAGCACGAGAAACAGCCCGATGCCACTGCTCCCTCCCGGCGCTTGAGACCGTTGTCAATGATAGCGCCCGCCAGCGCACCTTTTGGAAAAGCGCCATCCTTTTCAAACCTCAAAGAACAAAAGCGACAACAGGAGGACGCGGACCAATTGTCTTCAGACCCAAATCCGTTTACGGCTGCTCAGTCTTCCGCCGGGGTCAAGGACGCCTTTAACCGGTTCATCGGTCGCCAGCTTACCAGACGAAAGACGAAGTCAGGACGCCCCTTGCAACAATTTAATCAGCAGGGAGAAGCTGAACCGACACCACCGCCCTCCCGGCATCAACAGCAGGCACCGTCAAGACCCATGCAACCTCCGATGCGACGTGGTCCCCAGCTCCACAATCCCCAGAACACCCTTCGAGGAGGGCCCCCTGCCAACCCTGCCAGTTTCGCCCAGACCCAAGCCCAGGGTCGCATCGAAACAGGTCGCATGGCCGCACCGCTGCCAGAGTTGGACGAACAGAGCGAGTTGCAGCTGCCTCTAACTTACACCCGTCCCTCAACTGCCACAAGTGCAGTGACAGGTCTTGGTACGTCGTCATCTCCTCCTGCACCGTCGGCAGAGGAAACAGGGTTACTGGGTCGCTTCGTGCGCCGGCGATTGGTTCCCAAGGATAAGGACACCACGAACAATAAGAATCGGTGGATTTCCACTAGCGACGACAATACGAGCCAACCTGCCGGAACCAACCACGAGAGCAGCAACTTGTCCGGTCCGACTCCCAATTTTGATGAGTCCACCGAGCACGAAATGCAGTCACAATCTATCCTGCTACCAGCCTCTCAATCATCACACAGGAAGGTGAATGGGAAGGTGAAGGCAGATGAGAACAAGGGTGTCTCGGATCCTGGAAGCTTTCCGTCCTCGTCTGTTCCACGATTTCTTCGACATCTCGCGAAGCCCCAACAAGCGACCACAACGCCCGTTCCGAATCCTGAGGCCGTCGCACCACACAAGGCAAAGTCTCGATCACAGTCTCAACAGGCAGGAACACCACAACAACACCAACAAATGCCGTCCGCAACATCGCCTGCCCCATCCAAGCTGCGCACAAAACCCAGCTTTGGAAAACGGTTTTGGTCAAAGTCTAGTTCTAACCATTTCGAAAACGATGAGGAAGCCAAGACTGAGGTCGAGCCACCGGTACCAGCACCGGTGCTCCGACCTGTGTATGTGCCGAAGCATGCGGCGTCGGACTTTTCTCGCACGACTTCTACGACGCAGAGGTATCGCAAGAGCGTCTACGTCGGAAATGGGGAGGTTGTCGGAAACTACCTAGCCGCGAATTCTGCCGACATTGCTGAAGACGAACCGCAGTCGCAAAAGCAGAGACGTCGTATGTCATTTGCTGAGAGGGCCGACAAGCGCATGTCCCGAGAGGTGTCTTCATCAAAATATGAAGCGCCATCCCCTCAAGAGCTGCATCGGCGCCTTGAAATTGTCAAGAGCAGCGAGATTGAGGTCGTGTCCACCAGAGAGGAGTCTAGTGTCGACGACTCGTGGCAGCAGCACCAGCATAAGTTGCTCCAAATGAATTCCAACGTTTCAATAAACGGCAAAGGGTCCATTAGGAGTCAATCTCGCCCAAGATCGACACGACGATATAGCTTCAACCTAGTTGCGGACCCCTTTGCGAGAGATCTGACACCACCAAAATCAGTCTCACCTGTGGAAATGGAAGCACCTTATGACCCGCCAAGCCAAACACCACCAGATGTATCACAACATCAGGTATCGCAACAAGCACTCGCCCAGGTGCCAAAGCACGCCAAATCATCTCACGCTCGTTCCAATCCGCGTCCCAAAACCCAGCCGGAGGAACAACCTCGCAAGGACACGACGGAAATGACGGACTATGAGCGCTTCGTCGCCAACGCTCAAGCCCTAGAGCGCGAGCAAAATGCCGAGATGTGGCGCCAACTGGCCCGGCGTTCCGGCCATTATCGATACAACGACAATGTGCGCAATTCCTTCCTACCCGATCCAGTCACCACGAACCCGGGGGTCCTCCCATATACGTATAAGCCCAGCAAACGCGACAGCGCTCAGTTCTCCGTCGGCAAGAGAGCAAGCATGATGTCTTATGCAGCGGATGACGAACGAAACTTGTTCTACGTGCAGCCTGTGGAAAAAGGAGCTAGTGATACCCGTAGAGAACTGAGGCACCAGGGAAGCGTCTCGAGACGCATCTCTGAATACATTAAGCCACCAAAGCAGCACCGAGGGTCTGGCTATGACGAGTGGCTGGCACCCGGGGGTGGACGCGCCAACCGCAGAAGCATTATTACCGGTGTATCGGAGGAGTGACGATAGTGGAAGCATGAATAAATTTCGCGGAAAAAAGTCGGTTTTATGTTATATGAGACTTCGGAAACAGGCGTTTCCGGGGTTTGAGAGTTGATGATAACCATTGGTAGATGATGGTAGGAAGGATACCTAGACAGAGATACCTCAATACAACAATTTTCCTTTTTGTCAAATAGAGTTCCAGTTGTAATAGTAGAGTTGGGAAAACAAGAAGCATCTTATAACAAAAAAAAACTTGATTCAAAAAGTACCCAACGGCTTATGTGGTGGGGTGACTTGGTGATGGCTTCATTATCCAGCAGACTATCAGCAGACTGGCCGTAAACTAACAGGTAAAACAGGGGATACCTTGGAGGACCCTTACCTAAGGCGGAAATGTGCTTAGTCACACGGCCCAAATCCGAAATCCGCAGGCAGGCAACCTGTAGCGTCAGTGTCTCCAGCCAAGGTCACTACTGTAGTCAAGGTCCAACAGGGCCAGGAGGTGCACCTTAGCGGGCAGGGTCCACGTAAATACCCCACGGGTCACTGAAATCGGATGCTGACTGGTCACATCCAGACAGTAAGTACCCCTGGCGACAGCTGTGAGTGGCCTTCCAGGTCTTCCCAATTCGCCATCGCGAAAAAAGTACAGATAACCACATCGAAATCCTTCGGCCTACTTCTTTTTTTTCCCGCTTGTTTCCTGTTCCCTGCCAGCCAGCAAACACCAACCCCACCGTCACTCTCGTCTCCGTCGGGGGCACGTGTTATCTTTTTTTGTCTCATCTCCATCTTCCATCATCGATCCGTGTATTCGATGCCACAGGACAAGTAGGAGGACATCGACGACTACGCCACGAGCTGCCCCCATATTCATACCATCGACCGTCGCCCCTCCTCACGCCAGTCGCTTGGTTCCGCGCCGCTGCGCTTTCTCGCCCACGATGGCGCCCCTCGTGGATAACAACCAGATCAAGCTGGCCGAGCTGTGGAAGCCTCTGCCCACGCACTTCCATGCCTACGTCTGGCCCTTTGCCATCGTTTGGCCCATCTTCCTGCGTTACTACCTGACCCCCGAACTGTACGAGAAGCACATCGCATCCGAGGAATGGACCTTTGTGTGGATCGGCACCATCATCACTTTCCAGTCTCTCTTCTGGCTAAGCACTCACTGGAGCGTCAACCTCCAGGCTCTCTTCACTGCCACTCGCGCCAAGTCAATTGACGATGCCGAGCTGATCAAGATCGTTCCCGTCGCCAATGCCGGTTCCTCCGAGATTTGCAAGTTGGTTCGCGACAAGGTAAGATGAATCGCGACGCACATCTCTCGCCACCCTCTACTACATGTTCACTAAACGTCCTTTCTTCCAGGTCGGCGGCAAGGTCAACACCTCCTTCCTGTTCCAGAAGCGACGCTTCATCTACGTCCCTGAGGAAAAGACCTTCCGAACCCTCACCTACGACATCGATCTCGAGCCGAAGCCCAAGATTGGACGCTACCAGCAGTCCAAGGGTATCACAACCCAGGATGAGCTGACGAGAATCGAGGAGCACTATGGCCCCAACGCTTTTGATATCCCCGTCCCTACCTTCACCGAGCTCTTCAAGGAGCACGCCGTTGCTCCCTTCTTCGTTTTCCAGATCTTCTGTGTCGGTCTGTGGATGCTCGACGAGTACTGGTACTACTCCCTCTTCACCCTGTTCATGCTCGTCGCCTTCGAGAGCACCGTCGTCTGGCAGCGCCAGCGCACGCTCAACGAGTTCCGCGGAATGAGCATCAAACCGTATGACGTATACGTCTACCGCCTGGGCAAGTGGACCGAGATTCAGAGCGATAAGCTTTTGCCTGGTGACCTCGTCTCCGTTGGTCGCACCAAGGAGGACAGCGGTGTTGCTTGCGACATGCTGCTCGTTGAGGGAACCGCCATCGTCAACGAGGCCATGCTTTCCGGTGAGAGCACTCCTCTTCTCAAGGACTCCATTCAGCTTCGTCCCGCCGATGCTACCATTGAGCCCGAGGGCCTGGACAAGAACGCCTTCCTCTGGGGCGGAACCAAGGTTCTGCAGATCACTCACGGCAACCCCGATGAAGAGAAGCCCAAACTCGCCTCTGGTGTCCCCCCGCCTCCCGACAACGGTGCCATGGCCATTGTTCAGAAGACTGGTTTTGAGACTTCCCAAGGCAGCCTTGTCCGCACCATGATCTACTCCACTGAGCGTGTATCCGCCAACAACGTCGAGGCCCTGCTCTTCATCCTCTTCCTCCTTATTTTCGCGATCGCCGCTTCGTGGTACGTCTGGGACGAGGGTGTCAAGAAGGACCGAAAGCGTTCCAAGCTTCTGCTCGACTGTGTCTTGATCATCACCAGTGTCGTCCCCCCTGAGTTGCCTATGGAGCTCAGTCTCGCGGTCAACACCAGTTTGGCGGCTCTTGCTAAATACGCCATCTTCTGCACTGAGCCTTTCCGTATTCCCTTTGCCGGTCGCGTCGATGTGGCCTGCTTCGACAAGACCGGAACCCTCACCGGCGAGGATTTGGTCGTTGAGGGTATTGCTGGTCTTGGACTTGGCCACTCCGGCACCGACACTCCTCGCGAGTCTGACGGCGCCCACTCTCACATGACTCCTGTTAGCGAAATCGGCTTGGACACTACCTTGGTTCTCGCTACCGCCCATGCTCTCGTCAAGCTTGACGAGGGTGAAGTTGTTGGTGACCCCATGGAGAAGGCTACCGTGACCTCTCTTGGCTGGACTGTTGGTCGCAACGATACCCTTGCCAGCAAGCCCACCACTGCCGCCCTCACTGGTGTCAGTGGAACTGTTCAAATCAAGCGTCGCTTCCAGTTCTCTTCCGCCCTCAAGAGACAGAGCTCAGTTGCTACTGTTAACGGTGCGGACAAGCTTGGTAACCGCATCCGCGGTACTTTCGTTGCTGTCAAGGGTGCTCCCGAGACCATCCAGAAGAGACTCTCCACTGTTCCTGCCGACTATGAAGAGACGTTCAAGTACTTCACTCGCCGTGGCTCTCGTGTCCTTGCGCTCGCTTACAAGCAGCTCACCGTTGACAACGAACTCGGCGCCAGCAAGATCAACGACCTGAAGCGTGAGAACGTCGAGTCTGGTCTTACCTTTGCCGGATTCCTTGTTCTGTCTTGCCCCCTCAAGGACGACGCCAAGCAGGCTGTGCAGATGCTCAACGAGAGCAGCCACCGTGTTGTAATGATTACCGGAGACAACCCTCTCACCGCCGTCTACGTTGCGAGAGATGTCGAAATTGTTGATCGTGAGGTTTTGATTCTGGACGCTCCCGAGGACAACGAGGGCGGTGACAAGCTCATCTGGCACAGCGTTGATGAGAAGATCAGCATTCCCGTCGATCCTTCCAAGCCTATTGACAGCAAGATTCTCGAGTCTTATGATCTCTGTGTCACCGGTTACGCCCTCGCCAAGTTCAAGGACCAGGTCGGCTGGAACTCCCTGCTCCGCCATACCTGGGTCTACGCTCGTGTTTCTCCCAAGCAGAAGGAAGACATTCTCGTCGGTCTACGCGACATGGGATACTACACTCTCATGGCCGGTGACGGAACCAACGACGTCGGCGCTCTCAAGCAAGCTCACATTGGTATCGCTCTTCTCAACGGCACTCAGGAGGATCTCACCCGTATTGCCGAGCACTCTCGCAACACAAAGATGAAGGAGATTTACCAGAAGCAGGTTGACCTCATGAAGCGCTTTAACCAGCCCGCCCCTCCTGTCCCTGTCATGATTGCCCAACTGTACCCTCCCGGACCCAGCAACCCTCACTTTACCAAGGCCGTCGAGCGTGAAGCCCAGAGGAAGAACATTACTCCTGAGGAATGGTTGAAGGCCAACGGCGTTTCTGCTATCGAGACCGTCACGTCCCCCGGTGCCCAGCAACTTCTCAACAACCAGGACCCCAGAGCCGCTCGTCAGGCCCAGGCCCAGGCGAAGGCCGCCAGCTTTGCGGACAAGATGACCACTAGCATGATGGAGAACGAGATGGGCGGAGACGATGAGCCTCCCACCCTCAAGCTGGGTGATGCCTCCGTCGCCGCGCCCTTCACCAGCAAGCTCCGCAACGTCATTGCCGTCCCCAACATCATCCGCCAGGGTCGTTGCACACTTGTTGCGACCATCCAGACGTACAAGATTCTCGCTCTTAACTGCCTTATTAGCGCCTACAGTCTCAGTGTTCTGTACCTCGAGGGTATCAAGTTCGGCGACGGCCAGTACACCATTAGCGGTATTCTCATGAGTGTCTGCTTCCTGTCCATCTCTCGCGCCCGTGTTGTCGAGGGCTTGTCCAAGGAGCGCCCCCAGCCCAACATTTTCAACTTCTACATCATTGGTTCGATCCTGGGACAATTCGCTGTCCATGTTACCACTCTGATCTACATCGCCCGTTTCTGCGACAAGCTTGAGCCGTAAGTCTTTTTCGTTTCAGTTGTTCTTATATGGATATGTCAGCTAATCACGAACACAGTCGCTCTGGTGACGTTGACCTTGAGGCCGAGTTCTCTCCTAGTCTGCTGAACAGTGCCGTATACCTCCTCCAGCTCATCCAGCAGATCAGTACCTTTGCCATCAACTACCAGGGACGTCCGTTCCGTGAGTCTCTTCGCGAGAACAAGGGCATGTTCTACGGTATCGTTGGTGTCTCGGCCTTGGCGTTCTCCTGCTCGATGGAATTCATCCCCGAGATCAACGAGCAGATGAAGCTTGTGCCCTTCACTGAGGAGTTCAAGACTACCATGACGGCCGTCATGGTCATTGACTACGGCGCCTGCTGGATCATCGAGGTCGTCCTCAAGCACCTCTTTTCCGACTACCGCCCTCGTGATATTGCTGCTCGCCGACCGGAGCAGCTCGAGCGCGAGAGAATCCGTAAGGAGGCTGAGCAGAAGAAGAAGGACGAGGAGGAGGACCAGAAGCGCCTTGAGAAGGTTGCCGAGTTTGAGCGCAAGGTTGAGGAGCGCCGTCAGAAGCTCGAGGCGTGGAGAACGGGCCGGCAGCAGTAGATGCCTGCTTTCTGGTTGGTGATAGACTTAAATGTTTTGGCGTGTTGTTTATTTATTCTTTTTTCGCGTCCCGCATTAAAAAAAAAAGAAGCCCCGAGAAGAGGTTTAGATCCAGATGATGATGGATGGAAAGATGTATGTATGATACGTGGCTGAGCATGAATTGCATACCGCACATACATAGTGCCTCATTACACAATGACTTATTTTGTCAAGGCCTTTTTTTTTTTTTTTTTTGTCAAGGCTTAAATGACGGTACATGAATTCTGATTTTTGTCATGACATTGTTAGTCTTAACTGGGCATTAGCTATGGCCAACGAACGATAATCACTCAATGCAAAAAAACAAGCCGTCATCAGGATGGGAAAGCAGAAAAGAAAGGAACAGCAAAGTAATCATGAAGTCAAGCATGTTTTGAAATTCTTAGTATGGTACAGTAGTAGGCCAGACCTAAAGTCGAATGCCACGAGTTTGGGAAAAAGCACGACTTATGTGTGTGTGTGTGAGTATTTTGCGCGCTCATCTTTAACCCTTTTTGTCTCCCCCAGCCGTTGCCCAATCCAACGCAATTTTTTGGATGAATTATCGTCGGATTATTTTTAATAGGCTGAGAGAGTGCGTTTTGTTTTCAACCCTTGCTCAACCATGTATCCATCTACTACAACACAGATTCTCGCTTCTCCCCTTTGTTAAATAAATCATTTCAGTTCTTTAGAGTGAAAAAAAGAACATTTATTTGGGGGGGTTCTGGGCGACGAAAGAGACACCCTTGGCGATGTTCTTCTTGAGGTCGGCGAAGCAGGCCTCGAGGAGCTTCTCCTCGGCGGCGTCAACCTTGCCGATGGGGAGGATCTTCTCGACACCGTTGGGGCCGAGCTCGACCTTGGAGGAGAAGAAGTCGATGCCCTGGTCCTTGTAGAGGGGAGAGTCGACAAAGGTGGGCTCGATGACGCCCTTCTCGCCCTGAGCGGCGCGGAGGAGGGACTCGGCCATGCGGGCACCGGCGAAGGCCATGGAGAGGGTGGCGGAACCGGCACCGTCCTTGGCCTTGACGACCTCGTCACCGCCGAACTGGACGCGGTTGACGAGCTCGGCGTTGGAGCTCAGGTCGGGGTGGTTGCTCTGGGAGAAGAGGGGGACGATGGTGACACCGGAGTGGCCACCGACGACGGTGATGTTCTCGTCCTTGGGGTCAGTGCCCTTGATCTCGGAGACGAAGCGGGAAGCACGGACGACGTCGAGGGTGGTGACACCGAAGAGGCGCTTGGGGTTGTAGACGCCACGGGCCTTGAAGACCTCGGAGACGATGGGGACGGTGGAGTTGACGGGGTTGGAGATGACGAGGATGTTGGCCTCGGGGCAGGACTCGGCGCAGGCCTTGGCGAGGTCGCGGACGATGGAGGCGTTGGTGTTGAAGAGGTCGTCACGGGTCATGCCGGGCTTGCGGGGGACACCGGCGGGGATGAGGACGATCTCGGAGCCCTTGAGGGCGTTGGCGAGACCAGTGGGGGTAGGGTCAAAGCCCTTGACGGTGCTCTTGGTGTTGACGTGGGAGATGTCGGCGGCGACACCTTTACGAGGGAGGAGATGTCAGTCAATGGATCCATTGAGGTGATGATGAAGCTGGGAGAGGTGCTGGGGAAAAAAACGTACCAGGTCCTCCGCGGATGTCGTAGAGGGCAAGCTCGGTGACTCTGGGGCTGAGCTTCATGAGCAGAGAGAGAGGCTGGCCAATGCCGCCGGCGGCACCGAGGACGGTGACCTTGGAAAGCTGTTTGAAGACGTCATGTCAGCCATTGAGTGTCTTTTGAGTGTTGTTGACGGTGTTTTGGTGCCAGTTGGTGCTTCACGAAGCTTCGAGCTGCGGTAGCCCGAGGTCGGCTTTTCGGAGTTTGGGGGGGAAAGGCAAGCTGGCTCGAAAGCTTCTGTGTTTTTGGGGGGCATTGAGAGCTCTAGAAAGAACAATGGTGGGATGTACATACGTTTCTCGCCGAAGCGGAGAACATGCGACGCTGGACGAAAGACATGATTGCGGCGGAGGGGGAGGAGGTGTATTGTGTAGATGGTACAGATGGATAGATGGAAGAGGAAGAAGAAGGAGGTTTGGGAAAAAAAATTACAGAGGCGCGCGAAATAAGTTGGCACGGAGAACGAGCAGGAAGATGCGGCCTTTGGGGGGTGGTGAGGAAAAAGATGGGACGGGGCGGCCGGGCAGCCAGTTGCTGTGGAGGAATGGGACGCCAGAAAAGTGGAGACTGACCACCTCAGCACCTTACAACCTCACACAGTCGGAACCTCGCTGGCCAACACTGGAACGCGCACCACTGAGAGAGCTGGCCGAAAAGTGGGGTCTAGATCCCGATGCTGGTCTAGCGTCACGGGGTGCCGGAAGACCCCGGGGAAACGCCGGAGAAGGTACGTACTCTTCTCTCACTCACTCTCACCCTCATTTTCACTTTTTTTCTCTCCCCAATCGTCATCAGCATTTACACTATTTTGCCTATACTTAAGTACTTCCATGTATGATTTCCCCAATCTGGTTCCCGACTTGTCCCCGGCTACCACATCTTGAAATATGCAGATGCAAAGGCACTTTTCGGACGGGCGGATAAACGATCACGAGAGTACATTTGCTGCATCCCCATCTTGACAGCCTACTCCATTTACTGTGTCCCTACCATGACTGGGTCAGTTACAATGACACCTGTCCATGCTGCTACTCCAATTCTGTTGGGTGGGTTGATCCACACGGCTGACTGGCTGACTGACTGGCTTCATGTCTGATCTCAGTCCCCGGGATGTCCCAGCAAGCCCCGGAGAACATGTTACAGTCTTTGTCTACGGGAACCGGCATGTCTCTTGAGACGCTCTACTCCGGCGTGCCTCGGTTCCTGATTGCATGTAACTAACGCAAACAATAAGCGACCACTGGGCCGTCTTGAAGAGCCGCAGCCACCATGTCTCACTTTGCATTCGGTATGTAACCCAATACTCTAGCCAAACTCTTCACCTTGAGGGTCTGGATGCTCCGCCCCGGCACCGTCTTGATGACCTCATGGCCCGTCTCTCGGCCCGCCCCATGCACCCGGCTTCCGTCCGCCTCCGACTGGCACTTCCCGGCGCATAGGATTCCCTGGTATGGTGCCGTAACACACAAAACACTCTGTCGTTATGGCCACTGTGTCAAGTCTAACGACATGTAGTTGGGCGCTGAGTCGTGCCAAACAATGGCTTAGCAATTGCATGTGGAAGCCTTGGAAGCTCAGATCGTAGGCCCAACAACTGTCTTATTATGAGAGAGTTTGGTGCGTTGCTCAATCTGCATATGAACTTGTTCCCCATTTGCCCTTGAGCCTGAGATGCAAAGCATCGGACTGGCATGCAACTCGTCTCATTTACGAGTTCGGCAGAAACCTGTTGCCCCTGCAACCCCAAACCGAAAACAAGCTTAGGAATGTTGAGAAACCCTGTCATAATACACCGAGTTCAGATGGGGGCTTCACTTGCATCGTGGATATAACCAATGCCTGGAATTTACCATAAACAACTTTCTATTTTTTCGTCTTTTGTTTTTCATCTGGTCAAGATTTTGAAAGCAGACGCAATTGGCTGGGTGATATTGTACAACTCGAACATAGATTATCATGCCACCGAGACACTGAAAACTCGGGCTTCAACATGGAGTACGAAGTTTGTTTCGCCGGTGACTCTTCGGCGACAGCTGCGGCGGCAGCGGAGCACAGACATTGCTAGCCATTGGTAATCTCCACTATAATTTTGGCAGCCGCGGGGGAGCTGTGGCGCTAGCTCTAGCAACATCAACCAGACATAAGCCCCGCCACATTCTTCTGTACATTTCATCACCACTCGCCGTGACAGGTTCTCTCATCACCATTGTTCTACAACCACCCCCGTTGACATAGAAAGCGACCGACGACATGTCTATAGCACAGCTCTCACGGCTGTTACCTCTGCCAGAGGACGAGCTCAAGCAGATGCTCGACTATGCATCCACACTATCGAAAGCCGAAGCGGCAGCGCATTTCAACGACCTGTTGGGTGACTCACCGCAGGCAGTCGAGTTTATTTCCTCCTTCAATTCCCGAAGACAAGATACGAAGAAGCCCGCTCCTCCCGCGCCTTCATCAAGCGATACCGGCCCGCCGGAGCCAGTCCCGAAATCATCGCGCGGACAGAAGAAGAAGAAGCAGGCGAACATACACACACCCGTCGCAAGAAGGGTTGAGGCTTTCCCGCCCCTCTCTGGGACTAGCTACAGCAAGAAAGAGCTGGAGGATGAATATTACGGCGGCAAGAAGTCTGGTCAACCTGCGGAGAGCAGCTCGTCAGCAAGCTCCAAGGCGCAAGCGCCAAAGAGCGCAACTCCACCGCCACAACAGCAAAGGACTGCCGGCGGCTACCTGATATCCGATGTCAAGTCCAAGACAAAGTCAAATCCCGTTTCCCGGTCGTCCACGCCGAAGCCCTCAGCGAAACCGACGACAACAAAGGTCTCAATCGCTGGCGGCACCCCAATGGCGGGAGCGTCTACAGCCCTGACGGATCTCGACGCGGCAATTCGCACTCTGGAGCTGACGACGAATCCATCATTAGGCGATGACCCGAAGGCCAGGAGATGCAACTGCGTGGCCACTCGTCATCCTCTCCAGACAGCTGCACCGAACTGTCTGTCATGCGGCAAGGTCATTTGCGTCAAGGAAGGACTCGGTCCCTGCACTTTTTGCGGAGCGCCTCTGCTGTCTTCGGATGACGTACAGGGTATGATCAGAGAACTCAAGGCGGAGAGAGGACGAGAGCGCATGGCGGCGGACCGCGAGGCCCACAAGCGACCCGAAGTCAGCAAGAAGCCGGCGCCCTTCAGCCAGAACAAGATGACAGAGGCGGAGGCCAAGGCACGGGAGCATCGCGACAAGCTGTTGAACTTTCAGGCGCAAAACGCACGAAGAACGACGGTCAGGGACGAGGCGGCAGACTTTGATGTCAGTGGGGCCATGGCTGGCGCAGGAGGCAACATGTGGTCGACGCCAGAAGATAGAGCTCGAGAGCTCAAGAGGCAGCAAAAGATACTACGTGAAATCGAGTGGAACGCCCGGCCAGAGTATGAAAAGCGGCGGCAGGTGGTCAGCATCGATGTTGTTGGCGGGAAGGTAGTCAGGAAGATGGCGGCTGTGGAGCGGCCCACGACGCCGGACGAGGAGGATATCATCGTTCATGAGGATGTAGACGAGAACTACGTATCTGGGCAGCAGGGAGGCGGCGGCGGCGGCGGCGGCGGCGGTGGTGCGTTCAGCCACAACCCGTTACTGGGAGGCCTGATCAAACCTGTGTACGAACCCAAGGGTAAGGGTAGCCAGCTCGAGGGCCGCAAGGATAAGAAAACGCAGTGGAGAAGGGTACAGGATGACTTTAAAGATAATGAGGCGGTAATTTTGGACGGCGGTGCCCGTGGACATGCCACGACAGCCGATGAGCCGGCCTGTGGTTGAGGACTGGGAGCCGGGGGTCGTACGCGAGGATTGAGATGGCGTGGCAGGGTGTAAATGGAAGGGGAGTAAAGTGTGGGCTGGAATGCCCAATAGATGAGACAAGTTCCCCAAGCTTGTGAGGTGGCATGTCTGAGCATCATGAATCAGGGCCAGAACAAGGCATTGTTCAGACAGCGTGGCGGACGACTGCATGTGTACATGGCTCGAGGAATTAAAAGGCGACGGCAATAGATGAGACATGAGTCAACATGGAGGTGAAGAAACCTCATGCGGGTGTGATGGCAACGGCAGTTTCAAAGTCATAAGAGGCGTAGGTTTTGGGAGCCAGCCAACAAAAGGCAGTGTGCAAGGTCACTTATCATCCGACGTTTTTGTTCGGGCAAGAACAGTGTCTGTGGTTTATAGTTGTTGTCGATGGTAAGTATCGATATTGATGGTGCCGATGTGGTGTCTGATTCTACACTTGGACTGGAAGCAATACAGATATCTCATAATGCTGCTATTGAACCATGTAGTGCCGGTTACTGAAGTGAACCTCGTCAATGATACGATTCGAGATTAACGTCAGTAGATTTGGTTTGTCTCGGCCTTGCACATGGTAAATATGGCGAGACACAGGCTTGCAATCACTCGGGTCTCGACAAACGGAAGCTGGCGAGGTCATGAGAATGGATGCCGTACGGACGGAGCAATAATACCCGCCACTAGACATTCGAAGTGGCGTAATCAAGACTTGGCTCCGCCTTGGTACCCGTACATCCGTCTCGTAGAGACCTAGTCTATATACAGTGGTTGGGCAGCGATGACGGCCGACGACAACTTCGGTCCGGGGCGGTGAATGCAGGGCCCATTCGAACTCATCAGGGGTGGTGAAGAGGTTGTCCAATCATACGGGAAGACACCACCAGGAAGAGCAAGTTGAGAGGAGGAAAAGCAAACATGGCCGTTATGAAGTGGCCGGCAGCCGCAGTAGGAGTGTGCGGTGAGAGACAGTGGTGGTCGTGTGCTAAAAGGGAGCTGGCGGGATGGATGGCTGAGAGAGAGGGTACCGAGGTACAACGATACGTACTTTGAGAAGTATCACGTGACTTCGTGTCTTTGACCTGCTGAGTCAGGCCGAGCGGGAAACAGGGCGTGTCACAGGGCTGCCGAGCAAGAACACGGGCAGCCACGGCCTATCCTTTGTGTGTGTCTCTGTCTTTTATTTTTTTCTTTTTCCTTCGTCTCTCTTTCTTTTTGTCCCTTTCCTTTATGGGATTTCTTTTCTTTGGCTGCATTGATTCAGAAACCGGATTCTGTCATGTCGCCTTTTCTGCTCTGACATCAGCCCGCCCCGAGCCACGCCGCATCACATGGGATCCTTATTCATTGTGAATTCTAGATTTCTGCTCAGCAGTGAGTGTATATCGCTCGTTGTAGATAAATTGCCGCCCGAGGATGCTTCCCGGCGGAGACATCAACGTGGCTGGGGCGCCCCTCCTTCTCGTATCTTTCTCCTTTTCCTTTTGTTATTATCATTATTTTTTATTCTAGCTCTTTCAACTTCGCTCCTTTTTTGTTTTTTATTTTCTTTAGCGAACCCAAGAACGTTAGAATGCTGCGGGTTTTAGGGGTCACTACTTACCACAAGGGTGGGCGGATCAGTGGGCATTGTTACAGTGGAGACCCCGCTGCAAGACAGCACAAAGTGACAGGCCCCCCAGGTGAGACATATTAGACTTAGTGGAGGTACCTAGGTAGACTTTAGCACTACACGACCGACGGAAATCAATAAAAATAAAAAATAAAAATAAAAAGAACGCGACGCAGACCGCGTAAACCACCATATCCTTCCCCTGCCTCAACCGAGCAATGTACTGCCCGAAGCCACTAAGCTACACTACACCCCCCGCGCCATCCTCCCACCCCGTCCACTAACAGAATGACTGACTAGCTCGTCCTATCCGCGATAATCACGTAAAGCGACAGCGGGTAATAGGCAGTAGCAGTGCACCACTACCACTACTACCACCACCACCACAAGGCAGTGTGACCGACTTCCTCCCCATGGCCTTAGTTAGTGTCGTGTCCGCGTATGCAACCACAACCCACCGACTCTTCCACACATCGCACACCCGGAATCCCGCTGAATCTCCTCTTCCTTCTCCTCCTCCTCCTCTTCGTCACCTCCGCCCTTCTCTTCCGGCCTCGTTGCCGTTCCCATCTCCCATTATCGGCGTTCCCCTACGCCGCCAAACGCGCTCTCCCCCCTCCTAGTCGCGCCCGCCGACTGTTATTGCATCCTCAATCCGGCGCATGTCCAATCTGCCCGCCATGGACTCTGCCCCGATCCCTCCTCGCCTGGGCCACCCTCACGATCCCGACCGAGACCATTTCAAGATGCACCCGGCTGCGAGTCTACAGGACTCGAGGTTGTTGTCCGATAAAGTCGCTCGTCATATCCTGCCAGACCCGACCCGGCCGCCGCAGATCGCTACCCCCACGACCTCGGTCGACGCGACTGCGAACCACCACGACCACAACCGCAATCACAACCTCCAACACCAATATCACGACCGACATCAGCCTTCCCACGCCGTTTCGCAGCCTAGCCACATCTCCCGCTCATTAGACGCCCGACCGATGACAAGAACACCAATTGCAGAGCCCGCGCCCTCACAAGACCATCCATCCGCACCTCGGCCAATCCCCTCTGTGCACTCACAAGATTCCAACTTGTCCGCCGAGTCCGAAACCGTCTTTACGCCGCCGGCAAGCCAAGGCGATATGCTCGGAGCAAATACCAACGGTCACAGTTCCAGCCAAGAGTCGCAATTAATGCAGCTATCGCACATCGCCGCTGCCCAGGACAAGCTGGATGAGGGTGATGCCGCGGCAACATCGCGAAAGCGCATGGCGGACGGCATGGTCAAGGAGAACACCTCTCCGGTGCGTATAGGTCATTCCCGGAACACGAGCACCGTGAGCATGGCCTCGACGACAGCCAGTAGTATCGGCGATGTAAGTTGTTATATATATCCATGTCACATGCAACCCAATCCAGCGCGCGCCATTTTACTAACTCTGAACAGTGGTCGAGCGACCTCAAGACGCGTCTATCTTATGCAATGCTCAAGGTGAACCACGGCTGGCTGTCCCATTCTATAGATGAGGTCGAGTCCATGGCCTCTCAAGCCGCCTCTCCCACCTCCAGCCATTCCACATTACACGGCCACCAAGAGTCCTCGGCCAGTCCTCGGGCGAACATGGCCCGGTATGCGCCCGCCAGCGCCGCCACCACAGCCAGCTCAGGACCCAGTCCTGCAACATACGAGTCCTTCTGGAAAGAGGGACAAAGATCCAACCATACGTCGGCCTCACCACCCGCTCCTCCTCAGAATGTTCCTACTCTCGCGCCTCCAGCTCCTATTCAACCCTCTCGACCACTGGCTCCTCACAACCCTCGCCGCAATTCAAATCCACGCTACACGCCAACCCTTCTTTCACATTCGCACAGCGCATCACCACATACGCCGGGACAGCAGAACTTGAATTCAACGCCGAATCAGAGGTTAGGCAGGGCATCGCTCGTCGATCCTATCCTCTTCTCCCCTCACCAGAACATGAGAGAGCAGGACGCCATCGAGTCCCTCATCTTCATGAGCAGCCCTGGAAACTCGGCCAACATGAAGCACAATTACTCCCAGTCGGTCGCCTCCAGCCTGTCCAACCGCCACGCCTTGCCAGGCTCTCAGCCCCGCAAGAGTTTGCCTTCGCAACGGCCGACACAGCAGAAGCGAGTGGGATTTGAAAAGAGCCCCAGCGGCATGACAGCCGTCAGCGATATGGATATGGACTTGGACTCGCCGCAATCTCGGGGCCCGATGAGACGGCGGATCAACGGCAGTGCCAGCTTCTCGGCCGGCAGCACCCTGCGTCCGCAGTTTTCGCTTCCCGCGGCATTGGGCAGCTCCTCAAGGCCACGGCCACGTCTAGCGGACGCCGACATTGAACGCATGATTGACCAGGCTGCCCAGGCCGGCGACAGCTCGGATGATGACGACGGAGAAATCCAAATTCCAGCGAGGAACAGACCAGAAGGCACTGTGGGTGTTTAGTTTTTATCCTTGGTCCGGTTTTGTCGGCCTGCAAGCGACCATTGCCTTGTTATTTTACTCTACTTTATTTGCATGGAACCGCTCCCTGGTTGTCCCGAAAAGCGCGTCTCGCTCTGGCGCCAGTCTACGGATAGCGGATGATGATGACGACTTCTTTTTGTTTGTTTTGGATACATACAGTACATACCTGCATATGGGGCGCAGTTCATGGTTAGGGGAGGCTGGCTGTTATGTTGCCAAGGCAATTTTCTTACTACATCTTTTTTTTTTTTTTTTTTTTTTTTTTGCAAAGTCCTGGTTCAAGGACCGGAACTATGGGGAGCATGGCATGTTTGCGTGTTATGCCGTCTCAGGCGGCGACACCATGTGGGGGAGAGGGACTTGGTTTTATCTTAGGATTCAATCACATCGTATGGCCCGGATCACGAGAGCCATATCACAGGACGATGAGGAAGATCTTGAGCGAGCTGAATGTGAGATTCGAGATATCCACAAGCTGATATTTTTTATATCTTCTAAAAACAAACGTCTGCGAGACGCATCATAAGAGCTGCGGTCTAACTAAGCTCGTGAGAGCTAGAAATACATATTTAATCATGATGATACAGTCAATAATTTGAACTCCCCATAACGTGCAGGTATATATAAGTCGAAATCCCGAATTCCAAATCCCAAAATCCTTCATTACTTGTACAAATTCATAAAGAAGCCCCATAACCCCCTTAAACTCCAGTCGTTATACAAAAAAAAGCAAGTTGTGACGTGGCGTTTTACCAGCCTGGGCCGCCGTGGTGGCCGTGATGGCCGTGGTGCTCATGGTGTCCGTGGTGGCCGCCGTGGTGCTTGCCGCGTCCCATTAAAGAACCGACGAGTCCGCCGAAACCGCCGGAGCTGTGGTGGCTACCGTGATGCGGGGGACCACCGTGATGGTGGTGACCGTAAGGAGGAGGCGGGGGTCCGTGGTGGTGACCAAAGTGGTGGGGTGGCGGGGGCGGAGGGGGTGGGCCGTGGTGATGATGATGATGGCCGTGGTGGGAATGGTGGCTGCTGCTGCCGTGATGGCTTCCCGAGAGACGGTGCTCGAGCTTGTTAGCCACGACGGCACCGCCCAGTGCGCCGGCGACGGCGCCTAGTTTTCCGCCGAGGAACTTCTTTCCCGCGTAGCCGCCGGCGGCACCTCCGCCGACGGTGGAGAGAAAGCCTCGTTCGCCCTCCTGTCCGGTTCCTAGTTTGGCGTCGGAGCCGGGGGGTCCCGTGCTCCGGCTCCGGGTGTGGCTGTAGCCATTTCCGTAGGGGGAGCGGCTGGCGCGGTTGGACGAGGAAGAGCGAGGGCGGTCGAGTTCAGGGTAGTAGCCTGCCTGGTCGACCAGTGGCGTCGACAGATACTGGGAGGACCTCTTTGGGGTGTGGGTGTTTTGGCGGGAGCCGCCGTAGTAGTCTTGAGCTGACATGTGTATTGTCTGTTGCTGGGTTTGGAGTCGTATAGGTATGTGTTGGTTTGTATGTGTGTGTGTGTGTAGGGGGTAGTGTGTTGTTGGTGTAAGTTGTTTGCTCGTGTAAGTGTATCGAGCTGGGGGTATCTTGTTGGTTTGGGATATGTGAGGGGGGAAGAAGAAACAAGAACGGGTGCGGTCGATCATCTTTTTAAGTATTTCATTTCAAAGCCGAACCCAGGCTGACACGGGTGGCTCTCGAAAAGGTTCGAACAAGATGGATCCCGGACGGAGGCTCGGCGGGCTTGCGTACACAAACTACTAGCCCTTTGGGAAACAAGGTATGTGTACCTTGCGACCAACGTCCATCCCTTCACTGGGAGGGGCGGACACAACCCATCTCTCCCCCACAGTTTGTCATCGGACGCACACGCTTAAACTCACTAACGCGTACATGGTACTCGCAGCATCGATGTTTGTCGTTGCAGAAGACTTCCGTAGTTTTGTCAGCGCTAAACAGACCGAGACAAACAGTCATGATCCCAAGTCGTCGGGTCCGAGGAGTCACGAGGGCTTTCTCCTGCTGTTTCAGCTGTTTGTTGGCTTGTCCTCTTTTTTTTTACTCTGCACGTCATCGTTACAAGCTTTCTAAGTGTGCCCAGACGGCAAACATCTGGGTACGTGCAGATGACCCGAGTTTCCGTTTACGATAAGGTATACCGAATTCTATGCAAGGCAAAAAACAGATACCGAGTAGGAGAGAAAAGAAGAACATGGTGGGGGGCTGCGGACGAATAGTAAGCCTTCTTTGGTGGGGGAGATGCGAGATTCAACGGGGGGCTTCGGCATGTTGAGGCTTGGGACGGGCTCGGGGGAGGCGGTGCGCTAAGCCCCACCCACGTGACCCTGTCGGCTCTTCGGCATTAGTGGGTATCGGCGAGCCCGGTAAAGTCCACCGAAGGTACAACGCATTGCGTGTCACGTCGCTCCTGTCTTTTCGGTGAAGGATGGCCTTACATTATGTCATCATCGCAATTGCTCTTTCTCTCCCCCAACAAAACAACACCAGAACCAACATCAAAACATCACCACCATCAAACAAACATTATCAATGCGGCTTAGAAAATAATCTTTTCCCCCCTCTCGCAAATTCTAGGTTATTGCATTGCCCCAGGCTTTCTTTTGACGAGTTACCAAAGCGTTTTAATATTCATCTCAGCTTCGCGGGCCTCAAATCAGACACTCTGCTCCGCTCTTTAGCTTCCAAAGCCACAGCCAGTACAACAACATCCTGGTTGGAAACACCATCTCAACTCTTAATACCACAACGGTCCGTTCCTCGTTGGCCAACACACTTCTTTCTCCACCGCCACCGCCAAGACGGCACACCTTTTCCACGGCTACAATATGCAGACCGGCATCACAAGTCATGACAAGCATGAAGCTAGTCTGGCCTCAAATGAGCTCCCCGCTTTCTTCTAGAAAACATGCCATCATTGTTTTTAGGTTTTTGAATAAGGGAGATGAAAGCTGAAAGAAAGCCTTACTGGGAGCGTAGGTGACAAGGTACATGGTTGCTCCCGGCACTTCGGAACATCGCCCACATACCCGATGACGAGCTCCACCTCCGATATCACGGCCTCGCCCTGACTACTACTACGCCGCAAATACTGCTCGCTTCCAGCAACATTACCACCAGCCAAGCCACAACCTTGTCATTCACTCCGATGTGGGGGACGATGAATTGCTGATCACAGACAAAATCGTCAGGCGAGAAAATCCTCATCATGCCTCGTTTCATTCATTTAATACGGAATATTGCAACATCACAATCTCTTCTGCCCATATTTACTTCCACCACTATGTCCTCTCTCTACGACACTACCAAGTTCTGCTCCAGCCGAATGTCTCTGCTCGAAGCGCCGACCCTGACCTTGAACGTCCCAGCCGGCACGATCCAGTTCTGGCTGCGGACGTCCCAGTAGCTGAGATCCTTGCGCCGAAGGTTGAACGTCGCCGTGCCCGATTGACCCGCCGCGAGCTTAAGCTTCTGGAAGCCACGCAACTGCTTCGGCGGTGCCGCTGGCGCTCCGGGCGGGAGCGTGATATATAGCTGTGCGATCTCGGCACCCGCGACGCCTCCGCTGTTGGTCACTACTGCCGTCACTGTGGCTACTTCTTGGAAAAGGTCCTCCCGTCCGCCAGGAACCACCTGGCCCACCGCCGGCCCAGATGATGCCGTCGAGGTGACGCGGATGTTCGAGTAGGTATAGTTGGTGTACGCTGTTTCGTTAGTCACCTTCTTTCAAGTGGAGATGTCACAAGACTTACACAGCCCGAAACCGAACTCGTACCGCGGCTGGATGTTAGCCTGGTCAAAGTGTCGATAGTCGATAAACAGTCCCTCGGCAAAGTTGTCGTTTCCTCTTGTCACGGCAGTGCCGTAGTCTTCTGGTCTCTTTCCGATAGTGTATGGGAGCTTTCCGTTGGGGTTGGTGGCGCCCCAGACGACGTCGACGAGCGCGTTGCCATTCTCCTGCGACGGCAGACCGGCCCACACAACCGCCTTGACGCCAGGCTGCGCGAGGATGGTCTCGAGGATGATGGGTCCCGTGCTGTGGACGACGACGATGACGTTCTTGTTGACGGCCGCCACGGCGCGCACGAGCTCGTTGCCGTTATTCCAAGGATCCAGGTTGTTGCGGTCGCCCTGGTTGCCTTGGACGGTGATGTATCCCTCTCCCGAGTCGGCTGTGATGAAGACAAACGCCACGTCCGCCCCGTTGGCTGCCGATGCTCCCTGGCTAGTGTTATCCGTGCTGCTGGCGGTAACTTGTGTGCCGTCCTGTTGGGCCCGCGCCCGGATCGCGTCAAGCGGCGCCACCACGTACGGGTAGTTTACCGTTCCGGAACCCCATCCCATGCCCAGAGTGCCGACGTTGCAGCCACGATCGACACACGCGTTGATGCCTTGCGGGTTGTTGACCGACGACGACCCGATGACGGCAATCTTCTTCGGCTTCTTCAAGGGCAGGATCTTTCCGTCATTCTTGAGCAGTACCGTGCCGTCTCTGGCGACCGCACGTACATTCTCCTTGTGGTTCGCCTGCACGTTGGCACCAAAGTTGACGGCCGGGTATCCCTTGTCCTGGCCGAGTAGGTACCATCCAGCAAGAATGCGACGGACCATGTCGTTCACTCTCGATTGGGGGACCTGGCCGTTGTCTATGGCTCTTTGCAGCTGGGGGCCCCAGAGGATCGTGCCGCCGTTGAAGTCGCTGCCGGGCATCATCATGTCCAGGCCGCTGTTGGCGCCGCTCACTGTCCCCGTCGTGGCAGCCCAATCCGTCATGACGTATCCGGGGAATCCAAGCTCTTGCTTGAGAAGCTTGTTCATGACTGCATCATTCTCACATGCCCACGTTCCGTTGACCTTGTTATAGGAGCACATGACCGATGCCACGTTGGCCCGAACCGCATCGGCGAACGGCCAGAGATATAACTCGTGCATCGTCCTGTCGTCGACGTTGCTGCTCATCGTCTCACGATTGATCTCTTGTTCGTTGACAATGAAGTGCTTAGCTGTCGCCTGTACGCCCGCAGACTGCATTCCTTGGATGGTGACCTGCGTCGCGATTCCCATGAGGTACGGGTCGGGACCGAACCCCTCCCAGTTCCGTCCGGCTGCCGGAATCTTGCCCAGCGCACCGGACGCAGGTCCGAGCATGACGTGTACGCCGATGCCCCTCGCCTCGGAAGCTTTGTATGCCGCTCGCTGTCGGATCAGCTCGATGTCCCATGTTGACGCGGCGTGGATGCCAGGCGTGAAAGCCGTGACGCTGGTGGCGAAGCGTACGCCCAGAGGTCCGTCCTGCAGACAGAGCTGTGGGTAGCCGATGGAGGAAGCCGGACTGGTATTGCCAACGCAGGGGCCCTTGTCCCATCCCACGCCGGTGACGATACCGATCTTTTCGCTCTGTGAGAGGCGCGCAAGAGCGGCTTCAGCTTTTGCGTAGGCTGCTTCCCACTCTGGGGAGCGTCGAGGGCCGGTCACTTGCGCGTTGGCGAGAGCCGCCGCCGCAGCTAGTGCAGCCAGCTTTGGAATGTGCATCTTGGGGTGGTTCCGCGGTGTTTGGCTTGGGAGATCTCAGGGTCCTAGGAACCGGCCCAAGAACAACATACTTATACTTGCGCCCCTACCTTGAGGACCTTCGCCTTGAAGAGCTACCCCTCCTTTCTGGCGATCTGCCTCACTCAATTTGCTCTAACCCCGCTGACCATCCAGCCAAGCTGCCGAGGAGGGGGAGGTAAGCCGTCTATCCGACACTGACAGCGTGAGCTTGCCTCATGATCTCATGATCCATGGCGGGGAACTGCCTCTGGTGCAATATGCAGTATGTCAACCTGTCAAACCCTCTTGTTGCGTCGATCTTGGCGCCCTCTATCGCGAAGCGACACGTCGGTACATGGCAAATGACGGCCATCTCGGTAGTAGCATCCAGTGTCTTGGTACGTGGTCAACCTTCCAATCACCGGCTGTTGTTGGTTTAGTTTGAAAAGTCTATCCCCGCCTTGAGAGGCCATCTCCATATCATGCGGCAGCAGCTCCTTCCGGAGCGGAAATGGGTATGAGATCGGCTCGGTTCTGTCGGTGGCGTCTGGACCCTTGGGTTACATCCAAATCTCTTGGTAGATGGGGAACATGGGGACTCGAACGGCACGCTTGATTGAGGGGAAGCGTCGCCTTGGTCTTCCAGGCAATATTCCGCGAATGAGTGCTCGTTTGCCGGTCATTTGTTTTTGTCGTGGGTAAAACGTAGTTCGGCCCTTTAATAAAACACCCAATCCGCGTCGCATCGGTTGAATTGCGTGCCCCTGGATCTGTCGGATGACGTTGTCAACCTGGATTTTTTTTTTTTTTTTTTTTTTTTTTTTTTTAGTGTCGGGCCGCCGCACCCCCGCATGAGAATGCCGTCTGGTTTGCTCCGATCTGGACGGCGGCAATAACTACCTTCTATGGTACATGTCCTCGCAACGGACGCGCGGTTCCGTCAGAGGGTTGCTAAATGCCAGAATAGGAAATTTAATCATGACTATAAACTAAAGCCTATTTTGCTAAGTTTGAGAATCCATCTGGCATTCCTTGATAACAATTATTAAATCTACAGGCAAAACACTGTAAAAGCGGCCTCTAATAAACTTTGCGTGTCGACTTGGCTTACATTGGTGTGCGCGACTTTTTACTGTACCATTGCATTGCTAAATTTCCTGTTTGAAGTCTAACACGCCAATTTAGCTTTTCTTTTTCGACGGGTTTGTGCAACCTTACCCGTCTGCGTTTCCAAGTTTGAAATAACATAACCATAACTATCATAACACCGCCACACTCGTAACTACAATTTCGCAATGGTCCTACCGGTGTTCCAAACCCCCTGTTTTCCAGGCGATAACACGCCGTTCGGATCGATTGCATCCTTCAGCAACGAGGTGAACCGTCCAAACGCGCGGTGGTTGAAGTCCTGATGAACAGCAGTCTCTTCCATGAAACTTATATGAACGCGATACTCAAGATACCCAAGTCGTCTAGTATGCTCCATGAGCGCCATCTGCAGAGGATGCAATCGCTCCTTCACCGAGGGCGGGAACAGGACGAGGTTGATGCCGATGACGTAGCGATCAAAAAGGTGGAAATCGGCAATGAAGTTGAGATCATTATCGGCCGTCAGACTTCGCGCTCCGACGTACCATTCGTACAGCTCGCGACCGGACGGCGGGATGACGGGGGAGTAGGAATTGTGCCATAGGCCCCGGCCGCCGTTGTGGTTTTCGAGTACTTTGACGCCGTCGACGCTCGGGACGCCGTTCTGCGGGAGGAAATCTGGCGTGACGTCCTCGCCGCGGAGGTACTCGCCTTGCGGCGCCGTGAAAGTCTCCGTTGTTACTTCCGCGCCTTTTACGCGCGAGAAGCGACGTCTGATGGCAGCTATCAGCCCTTCGTGAGCCTCCCGCGGTGCGTAGAGCGCGAAGGCGGCGCGCCAGGCGGGGATGTTGAAGCGTTTGGCAATGTCTGCTGTGACGGTGTCCGGGATGTGGTGTTCTAGGGTTGCGTATGGCCCTAGTGCTTCTGCGATGTCTTTGATGGTGTACATCAGGCCGGTAACGATGGTCGTGGTGTTGGAGAGCTGCGGGGGGTTGGTGATTACACGCCTGCGCATTAGTTCTGTTAGAGCACCGGTGAGAGGTACCAGATCCCGGTCGTCTTGGCAGTCTACTACGATTCTGGTGTATGCCTCGGGAGCGTGAGATAGGTGAATGCCCATCTTGGTGACGATACCTGTGATATGGGGGTTAGATGTTGTTGACGAGGTGGAGGCTTTTGGACTTGCCGTAGTTGGATTGGTAGAAGAGGCCATCTAGACCTGGACCCAAACCACTGGAATCGGGTTAGCTGTTATTCAAAGGTGCCCTGGAGTGTCAACTGACCCAGAGTATAATGGCCAAGTCTTGTTGTTCGTCATGGCACCCATGCCGGTCCGTAGCAGCTCGCCGCTTGGGAGGACGACTTCCATGCCGCACTGGTGTTTATAATGCACTGCTTCTGGAGTATATCCCATCCCTCTTTCCAGAGTATTTCCAATAATGGAGCCCCAGCCCAGAGCCGGGACAGACATCCAGAGATTCAACTTGCGTCTCTTGATTTCGTTATAGAGGTCCATGAACGTGGTGCCGGGCTCGACTATCGCATATGCATACTCTTCGTTTATCTCGATTATGTTGTCCATTTTGTGCAGATCGAGCACAACTGTGCCGGAAACGACTGGCGCAGAGCCGCCGTACCTTACCAGACGGTGGTTAATGTACTGAACCTTTCGGACTAGAGGATACATACCCGAGATTCTTTCCTCGGGACACCGTCCAGAGTGGTGTTCGGGTTTTGTTCGCAGCGCGTACGAGTTCACGGATTTGATCGACTGTGACGGGCCGCACTGCGGCTGCGACATGGTGAGGTTGGCTAAGGGGAAAGGGGTCGCCGTAGTTGTCAGCTCCATGGAGGCCTTCGGGGGCACCGTGCGATGGATCCTTTGAAACATTGTCTTCTCCCACGATGGCGGTTGCAAGGCGGAGAAACTCTGAGATATCCATGGTTTTGGAGTTCGAGATTGTCAGGGAAGGAGATCTTCAAGGTTATAGGCCAAGTCCAGGGGTTTTGATTTGAAAAGGAGGTAAGAGTTTAATGACGAGAATGTTAGCTGACCAAACACATAATGTGCAGGCTTGAGAAGGACTACCTTTATAGGTCTATCTGTCTAACATGGCACTGAAGACTAAGACATCGTCTCGTCTTGAGTTCACGCTCTTCAATTGGACATTACGTAGGTGAGCGGGAGATACTATGATCCATAATGTTGGTCAAAAGAACTGCATTGACCAAAATAATATGACGACATAGAAACTGCCAGGAAATTAGATACTAGTACCTCTAGGTAGTACCTGAAGCCATCGAAGTATGTGATTGGGCGCTACATGCTCTTACTGTCCAAACCCATGCCTCGGGAATCAACAGTCTCGGGCTACCGCATTGCTGTAAAAGGTATCTACCGAATCACCGTATCCCGAACTCGTTTTCTTATTATCTAAGCGGCCGTCTCGCAATTCAACAGCGGTCCGACGTCCTTATAATCCGAGTAACGCTCTGAATTGTTCGTCTGAAGTTTTACAGCCAAGTACATGCTGTTCCAGCTTTAGACGATGTCGAATAACGATAGTCCTATTTCATGCCGTTTTAGGAAGTTTTTTTACCGATTCAGCAACTCAGCTGTTACCGAAATCTTCGAGAATTGGGTTGGGGCGGAAGATCGAAATAGGCTTTCTCCGGCGCTTCATCGACATCACAAAGCCATTTCGCCCATGATCACCGTTTCGAAGATGTGGAGGTGCGATCCAACCATTAAGTACTTTTGCCGAATGAGTGAGTGTATGCCGCTTACGACATCGGACATTGAGGCTACAATGCGTTGGTATCTTGATCCGCCAAAGATAAATGGTGGCTTTCATCCCAGTGTGTTTACCTGGTGTCTAAATCACAATATTCTCCATTGTAAACACATTACTTCCTCATAACTGCTGTGCTTACTACGAGCGAGTGGTTTAATTCTCATCCCTGTTTAGCTAAAAGCCAGCCTGACGAATATCACCAAGATGGATTTACTTCGACCACAGCCAGTTGGAGAATCATATGGTGCCAAGGTGTCGGCCAGTCTTGAAGAAAATCCATTGCCTACCTTTCCGTCAGTAGACCAAAAATCCAAGGGCCGCTTCGAGACAGAGGCCGCAGACCTTACCGTCGTCGGGGAGATCCCCAAGCAACTCCAAGGCACTTTTTACCGTATCCTTGTAGATCCTTTCTACGAACCACCAGCGGAGAACCCGCCGATTGAGGGTGACGGCAACGTTTGCGCCTTCCGAATTCAGGATGGCCGTGTTGACATGAAAATGCGGTATGTTGACACGGAGCGGTTACGTCTCGAGCGACAAGCCAAGAAACGCCTGTTCGGCCTTTACCGCAACCCCTTTTCTCACCACCCATGCGTTCGAGCAGCCATCGATTCTACCGCCAACACAAATTTGGTCTACTGGGCGGGCAAATTGATGGCCTTGAAGGAATCTGCCTTGCCCTACGAGATTGACGTAGACACTCTTGAAACAATCGGTTATGATCCTTTCAAATCACCAGGTTTAACCTTCTCTGCACATCCAAAAGTCGACCCATACAGCAACGAGTTGGTGGTGTTTGGATACGAAGCCAAAGGCCTGTGCACCGATGACATAGTCATCTATGCCCTGGACAAGGAAGGGCAAGTTCACGATGAGCAGTGGATCAAGTCTCCGTGGCTAGCCTTCATTCATGACTCCGCCATTACCCCCAACTTTATCATTTTGGTTCTATGGCCGTATGATGCTGAAGAAGCTCAGATGAAAGCTGGCGGTCATCACTGGAGATACAACAAAGATCGACCGGCGACTTTTATAGTTGTGCCACGACGAAATTCTAGTCGCTTGCCCAAAGGCTGGTCACCTGGTGAATACCGCGTGTACCACTGGGAGCACGCCATGCTCCTACACACTGCTGGCGCCTGGGAAGAGTGGGTAGAGAACGATAGTGGCGACGTTGAAATTTCCCTGGAATCATCGCGAATGATGTACCATCCCTTTCCCATGTTTGACCCAACGCCTAGTGAAATTCCCTTCGGCAACATGGAGGCTGACTATGTCCGTTGGACCTTGGATCTTACCAAACCCAGCGGGGCAAAGATTGATGAGCCTAAAATCATCGTCAACATGCCTGGCGAGATGGCACGCATTGACGAGCGGTTTCTAACACACCCTTACAACCACATATTTTTGCCTGTTGTGGTGCCAGGTAAATCTTCTCATGTACCGCCTCTAGTACCCCTCGGGCTGAACGGTTACATTCTTGTCGATAAAAAAGGAAACCGCAAGGGGAAAGATGTCCTTTATGACCCAGGGCCGAACTGCACAGTTGAGGAGCCCATCTTTATACCGCGGTCGCTGGGTGCGCCGGAAGGTGATGGTTGGGTTCTGGGAATGGTACAGCGCGTCGACATCGACCGAAGTGAGCTGGTCGTCCTGGACACCGCCAATTTCGATAACCCGGTTGCCGCAGTCCAGCTACCGTTCATGACTAAAGGGCAGGTTCACGGGAACTGGGTGGAAGGCGGGTTGGAGATGAAGAGCTTAGTTAGGAATTTTTGACGAAGTGTGCGTCAACGCCAGTAGGCTTGGCTTGTTTTCGTAGTGTTTGGTAGTTGAGGCGAACCAAAGCTGCTTCGGACGCTCAAAGTGCTACATTAGTTGCCTTGGATTCCATGGAAAGTATGAAAATAATTTGAACCAACGTTCTTCGGACTGTATTACTTGCTTAAAATGGTGAGAGTACACTGACTGGAAAAAGGCGCCTGGTACGTGTTAGACTGCTAAACAACACATATAGTTGAGTAATTAACACTAATTCCAGCATCTTCTCTGGGGTTCATTACCATATGCCAGATAGCCAGCAATCGCATTCGCTCACACTAACTTGTTCAAAACCAATCAGTCTTGCGACAGTTCCAATACTCCATAGAGTCACTATGATACAGAGACATTCTGATTTATAGACAATGAAGTGAATTTGCGGCCCACTACTCCTCTTGAGAAGTCCCTTGGTAATCTTCAGTTTCTGGAATTCGCCCTTCTAAGCAGAAGTTTCCTTTGAGTTAATGGTACTCAGGTTGGCAGATCAGTCTAATACGGGGTGAGATGTATCTCGAGAGACTATGTGGCGCGCGGCATATTCATCGTTGAGGAACTACCACATCCTTGCCAAGCTGCAAAAATCCGGCCTTGAGCCTCATAATACTAATCTTATCCAAAGACGTTCAACGCTAACGACCAACAATAACGATACTAACAATGGTAGCTCCAAGATTGTTCAATGAGGAAATGTGACTACTGCGTTGGACATCCTTTGTCATGATACTTGAAAGGGCATTTGCCTTCCGGATCAGGTGGTGCTTGGCTAACAACTTGCGTAGCTGATTCCGAAAAAAGCAGGCAGACTTCGATGCTGTACGTCTGTCGGTCTTCCATGCCGAACGCCCAGGCTGTGTTACATAGTTAGCAAGGGTAAATCCCTCGTTATTGAGTGCTGAACAGAAGTAAACATTCTCAAGGTAATATTGCGAAACTCACATTTACAGTCTGGGTCATTCTCGCAAGACTGGCGCGCGTAGTCAGCCCCTGAGCAGCCAACCTGTCCGCCCAGTTTCCCGGCAAAGTCGTTTGCAGCCTGCGCGCCACAGACGCCACACTTTTGCGGACCTGCAGAGACAGTCTCCGTTATCGAGGTAGTTGTCGTGGTGGGACCCTTAGATGCCGAGCCTGAGGGTTTTACTGGTGCAGATGGGACTGCTGAAGGGCCCGACGTAGGACGAGCCGTTGCTGGCGCAGATGACGGGGCAAACGAGCATGCAGGAAGGGCGCGCCTCTCGGCGGCACTTCTCCTTGACATCCTTCGTGTTGCTGCTGTATTGGCAGAGCAAGCCTGCTGTGAACCCCACAGGTTCCATGCTATGGGAGGGTAGCCAGGCTCCGTGATGCGCGGGAACGATGTTGCGCCGATCAGGTCGCGCATGTCTGCAGCAACCTTCTTCTGGCGTAAGCCAGTGTTAAAATCGGGGTGTGACAGGAAGTAAGCCGCAATACCGGCGACCTGTGGCCCAGCAAATGATGTACCAGTGTCGAACTTCAAGCCAGATGGGTTGTTGAAGTTTGCGCACCTAATGTTCTCACCAACCGCCCAGGTGGTTAGAAGATCTCCCTGCTGGCTGAACCATGACTTTTCGAGTCGTCTGCTGGCCGAGCCTACCACAATCACGGGAAATTCTTTGGCCAAGGTACCCGGTAGTGTGTTTACTTCAACAGGCTTCTCCGGAGTTCCGTTGTTGCCAGCTGGGCAGATCACAGGCACATCCATGCCAACGAGCACCCCAACAACCTCACGCACGTAGTCAACTATAATCTTTTCGTCGGCCTCTGCTGTGACCGATATTGACACAACAGCCTTTCCTTGCAGTTTCTTCTGGTAAATGTCGTTAGCGGCCGCCTGAAGCCCTGCGATAACGCCCCAACCATCCTCATCTATCCGTACGGCAACGAGATTGGAGCGCTTCGCCGTCCCGGTTGTCTTGCCCACGGCTTTCGAGGCTGCACACGTCCCGTGGTCAGGGTCGGCGACATCTTCTTCATTCACATCAATGGTTCGGCGAGTTGCACCGGAGTCAGACGAGAACTCGTCATGGTCCAGTGCAAATGGCCCGAGGTCGATGTGGTAGATGGTAATGCCCTCGCCTGCGGGATCTTCATACATAAAGTTAGGTAGAATACCATCTGTCTTTGGTGGGGTTGAAAGCGTGCGAAGATCGAACAATTTGTTTTTCGAGGTCGGTACCTGTGTGGCATCTGCCCTCTTCTGTACCGTAGCCGACCCGGACGCATGCGAGCCGTACGCCGGGTCAGCTTCCGGATCCGTATCGGCAGGGTCCGGAGTGGGGTCCTTAAACGTCTCCTTCTTGTTCGGCACCACACCAGCAACAACACGATCCGCCTTGACCTTATCGAGCTGGCTGGGAGTGAGATCCGTGCGCCACATGAAAGGGACCCCGTCTGTGTTCAGAATTAAACTAATCTTAGTTTCTCCCAAAAGACTCTTGAGAGTGTTACCAAAACCGTCTGCATCTGCCTTGTTGGTGCCCTTTTTGGCGAAGATGATGTACTCAGCAGCCGTGCCGCTTGGGGTCGCAACTGGATTGCTGGTTGTCTCCGTCCCTGAGACCTGTGCGCTCGAGCTTGGTGCTTGAGAAGGCTCTGGTTGCGTTGTTTTCTGGTCTGGATTGCGGGATGCCTTTTCATCCGGGTTTTCAGGATCACTTGGGTTCTGCTGCCCGGAACCTGCCACAATGCTAGCCCCAGCCGGGACGACGGTCGTGACGCCGTTGAGTGTGAAAGAACCTCCTAGTGCTCCACCAACGACAACGACCCCGGCGGCAACAACGATGTTCTCACCATTGCTTACTGTGACTGTAGTTGGGGGTGCGGACGATGTCCTCGAAGCGGTTGTTGTAGACACCGGCGCTGGGGTTACCGGAGCTGAAGACGCTGAAGGTGTTGCTAAGGCACGCGAATGAAACGATGAACGGGCCGAACTTGGTTTTACTAATGGAGGTCGAGAGAATGTGGAATTGCCCCAGCTAGAAACTGGAATGCTTGAGGCGCTTCTGCGTTGGGACTGTTGGGCGAAGCATACCGAAACAAGCGTGAACACAAGAGTGACAAAGTGAGTGAATTTCATTTTTGGCAATAACGAAGGATAGGAACACCAAAAAATGTGAACCTAGAAAATAAGTGCCGGTTCGAAAAGAATGAAAAAAATAAGGTACCGAAGCCATGTTGAAAAGGCGGGATGCATGTTGGTTTGATATCTAAAAACTAGCAACAAGCTGCTAGATGGTGATACCATGCTCCTGTCTATGTTCGAGTCATGGCCCACCACACCTTCACTATATCGTTCGCGAGCTATTTTGTGATTTGCCGTCCGGTCCGGTGGCACCTCAGCTGCTCCTAAAACCCCACATTCTGGAAGTCTAACTTTCAGACTGGCGTACTGGAGGTATTATGCGATGAACTTATGGATTATTACTGGATGACACATGTTACCCCATCTACCTCAGACATTAAGCCTCCCCGTTTTCTATTAACGTGCCAAGGCTGCGTCTCTATCTAACATGCTAATTTTAGACAGAGTAAATCATATTAAACTTGACAGGACGAAGTTCGTGTTAAGGCTTGGGGCAATATAATAAGGATGATCTTTTGTCTAACGCGAACAGTTGGCAATGCCTGCAATGAGTATCAATTGTCATGGTTTCAGAGAATAAACTAGCTTGCTACCACACATGACATAGGAAAATCAGGAGAAGAAGAACAGCTCGAAGCGATATGATAACATATGAAAAGGCATATAACAGGTTTGAGGTGAATTACCATCCGCTCTTACTATTTACGATGCAAAAAACTATGCGTTACGTCATGTAAAGACAATGTTGGAAGTGTACCAAACAGACCCCATACACTGGATTAAGCCATGACACATGAACTCCGTCACGCCAGGATGCTCTTTCGTTCAGACATTACTATCAAGACACTGATATTTAGAAGGTCCTCGTGTTTTTGTGTGACCAAAAAGAGTGTATCCTACCAAACCCGATGCTTTACCCCCAATTGCAACATTTACACCTATAACAATTTGAGGGAATTTTACAGAAAGAAAGGCTCACCAAGTTGAATGATATTCAAACAACATATGAAAATAATGAGTTGGGATTTATTTTATTTAGCCTAGCTCTCGAAATGTGCTCATTTGGCAAAGAGCATCGATAACGTAGGGGTTCTGGGCAAAGTCGCCACTATTCGCTGCGGAAATTGGAAAGATACGGCACCGAATCTTCGACCAACTCTCAAAGACTATTCGGCCAATAGTCGAGTCGCTATATTGTCTTGTTATTCAGCTCATATTCCTCATACCTCATACTAAGTGAAAGGGCTATAAGCGATCCACAACAGGCTGGTCAGCTCGGCTGGAGAGCTCACCAAGAACCTCACCAAGTCGATACATTAGCAGGAACAGGTGGCAGCTCGTGCTTTGTTTTCACTTAGAATTAAGGAAAAAAGAGTGCAGGCTATTACACAGCTTTTTTGTTATTTTTGGTCCTATTGACTCAGGCTAAGAGGACAAACATTCTCTAGCTCACGGCTCGGAAGGCTTGGTAGTCGAGTTGACGATTTTGTCCGCATTACCGCCATGATTCACCACCTTAACGAAGATAGGTGGTTTTCCATTAACCAGCAAACCCTATTCTCGCGTACTATTTATCCAGTAACATTATGAGAGCAAAGTGATTTTCGCCCTTATTTTATTTCCCCAGACTTTTCTTTATAGGATAAATACTCTATTGCGCAGCCATCTTTGCCCAAGCAATCGTTCCGCCGAGACGGCCGCCTTTCTCGTAAAATAGGTATGTCAAGCCATTACGCGTAACGACAACTGGCGATGCGACACGGTCTCCGCTACTATCGCCTCTTCCGCTAAACAATACAATGGGCTTTTCACCAACTCGTCGTAGCGTACGATCGATCGTACGAGCATATATCTTACCGCTAGAGGCATGGTAAATAATGTAGTTTTGCCCCCGCCAGTTCCATAGCTCGCCACCCGAGACATTTTTACCCTCCTCAGGGCCAGGTGCGACAACATAGCCAGGACTCACAGTCCAGGTCTTACCATCCACCGACTCTGCAAGTCGAATGCGGCGGATGTTATCACGCTCGTTACCCATATAGAACATTCCGTAGTTGTATCCTGAGTCCGGGTTTGGGTGCCTAAAAACGCGTGCATAGCTCGTCTCCGTAACAGCTGGACCACCCATCGCGTTAGTGACTGCGATGCCGCCATACCCGAACTTGATGCCATCGTCTGAGTATGCCCAGCGGGTAACTGAATTGCTACCGTGGAAATACATAATCATACGACCAGCTCCATTGTTCGCTTCCAGGTTCCAGATAGCGTCCGGACTGGATACATGTGGGACGTTATAGTTTGAACCCCATGATCGCGAAATAACCGGGTTATTAGGGTATTCGGTCCAGGGTCCCTCAAGGCTGTTGGAGTATCGGAGCGAGATACCGCCGGGGTCGTCATGGGGCGCATAGTAGATGTACCACTCAGCCCGGGCGTTTTTCAACCAGCGCCCGGCGTGAAAAACGCTAGGGAATATAAACTCATTCGTTGGGTTGTAGATGGAGGTGTCCTTGTTGGTGATAATGCCCTTATACCAGAAGACGGGCCACCCAGGTGGGGGGGCTTGCGTCTGGGCGCTGGCGAATATGGCGAGCAGCGCGCTGACGAAGAGACGGAGTGGTTTCATGATTTCGATATAAAGCAGATAATTGAAACCTTTCGTTTATTGAAGAATGGAATCTTGGGTGAGTTGTGGTACACATCACATCTGCTTCTAGCTGCTTGGGCGGCTGGGAGCTATTTATTAATATACTGTCTTCGCCAAGGCTTGAAATCAAATTTGCATAGCCCCTTACTCCAAGTTTTTAGCTGGTGCCTAGGTAGTACCGATTCCTCGTATGTTTCTCTTATTTCTATGTCGGAGCGCTCTGCATCAATAGCCTTGCTAGTACGACTGAAGTACCTATAAACTTTAGGGAAATATACATGCTATGAATTTTTGAACATGCTTCAATACGGAATAGTACCTGGGCATTTAAGCCTTGATTGGCTTTACCCCGCCCTTGGCTAAAATTGGGGCATGTCACAGTCGCGATGGGATATCTAAAGCCCAGAATGCGACGCCCGCTTTCTGTGTGAATGTCATGTCAACTTAGTAGCGGTTTAAGCTCATCCGCTCTCTATTAAGAAATTAGCCCCCAATTATTCCTAGTGCCCTTGATTAAAATAGTTTGCTAGGTTGATCTTGACAAGACAATCTTTCAGTTTTCGACGTTACTGGCTTACAGATTCCTCCCGGATGTGTCGACAGGGGCATTCATCCTTCCTCTTAGCCGTACCACGTAGAATGAAAAGGATTTACCTGCACTGCGTAAGCGCAATGACCAGGGTTTGGAACAATCACAAGCCTCCTTTTAACAGAAAGGTGGAGAAGAGAACACGCCGCTGTTGAGGGAGGGGTTGGTTAAGCAGGCCTTTGGGCTTGGCTGAGATGCCTACGCGTGCAAACCTACCTGATTTAGAAGCTTGTACACAGCTCGGGCAACTAAAGTGGGCTAACGTCTGTTGCCTAATCCTTGGTGAGTTGAGGTGACCATAAGTCTTTTCTATTTAACATCGCAACAGGCAGGGCAAGTAGCTCTAGCGCAAAAGAAAAGCTCCAGCGATAACAGCGGCAACACCCAGTTGATGGGGCATGCCCTTAGAATAAGTTGCCAAGGCAGAGGTGCAGAGCGTAAGTGTTCTGTAAATGGGTCTTCGATGCAACTTCTAATCGGTTTCTAATCGGTTAAAATTAACCGTTTTGAAGAGCGGGTTCAATGAAGTGTGAATAGTTACATTGATAAGATAGTGGTTGCTTCAACTTGCAGTGAACTATCAACTTGCGCATCTAAGTCTTAGTCAAAAGCGGGAGGAGGAGTTGATGTGGCACACTAATTTGGCAGCATGAAGCAGGCAAAAGAGGCACACAACTGGCAGCAGAATATAGTAAGCACCAGCATTAATATTGCATCTTGGCGATCGCTTTAGTAGGTTTCCAATTGAATGATTCATTCTTGAGCCTTTTCGTTCGTTTCTTTTGTTTAGGTCTGCGAATACTGGTAGTTGTCGAAAGGCATTATCCCCTTTGTTTCTGGACATCAGTATTTCGCTTCCTACTCAGACCACTCAAGTGTCAGGTGCTTTATGTTCCAGTTTTATTTGGTGTGTTTGTGTTCGTGAGCAGCCACGGACTCAGCCGGAGATGGGAGTGCCATAAACCATCACTAGGCTAGCCGTAACAACTACGTTTTTGTAGCTGGATATTCAGCCATCATTTACAGTAACATCTACGTGCGGTGCTATATTCCTTCGTTGATCTCTTTGAGTGCCAGTAGGATACATGTACATTACATTCAGTACACAAGCTAAACAGACTCGAGTAATGTGACTTCTCCCCGAATAAGGAGTATCACGCAAGCCAGTGTTTAGGAAAATATGGATCCAAGATGGACGGGTGCGTTTGTACCTGTTGCCGATTCGCACTTGATGAAATAGCCGTGAGACGCAACCCGCGCTACCACCGCATTGCCCTCCCTCACGTCTCGTGGCTGGGAAGGGTCCGCGCGGGTGGGGCGTGTAACGCTGCGGAGCCTGCAACCCGCCAGTGTTCAGGGAAGTCCTGAGTGAAGCAGATCTTGCTTTTGAGCTGTCAAACCCCGGACGGTTTGTCCTTATATGTAAGTTTACCTGGGACTCAGAGTCTAATGCTACGAGTAGCATGCGACTCTCTATAGCCTAGATTTGCGCTCTGCGTTGTCATAGGCTGTGGCCAGCGTTGGCGAAGTTTTAGTCGCAAATTTATCCATTTCCTTCCCTTGGCAGTACTTACTACTTCCCTGCGCCCTCCAAATAACCTTAAGTAGTCAATGAGCTGCGGATACGATGCGGCAGCGTGATTGGAGATGGTTTTTACTTTCAACTAGTCAATGTTTAAAAGATTGCTGCGATTGTGGCTTGTACGCCGGATACTCCGTAGGCAGGGCCCACGAGTCAACCATTTTACCACAACCAGAAAAACTTGGGAAATACTCGCCGTGAAGTGAAACAAACTATAAATTTGTTTAGCAATGCCTCAAAACCGCTATACTGTAAAAAGAAAGAAGAGCTAAGAGTTTAGACAGATCATTAAACCTAATTAAATACCATTAAAGATTGGGAAGTTTTTCATTTCACAGAAATGCCTTGACTAAAGAGGTATAAATACGCAGAGAAAGAAAATCGATGGACTTTTCTTATGCTCTTTTCGAGTCCAATTCTTGGGTCAAAGTCCAACTGTCTATCCATCATGAAATTCTCATCCCTCGTCACCATCGCCGTCGGCGCCCAAGTCGCAGCAGCTGTTGACTGTGTGGTATCCAACGCGAGGCCAGGTCCAAAAGCCTATTTTGACAGTGGCAAGGTGTTGTACAGTCCTGCTTACAAAGTACAATCCATCTCATCCAATACTTTCTCTCTATTCTATTCCCCCCCGTCTACTGGCACGTCATCTGGAACCCTAAGACTTCAAAACATTACTACGGGAAACCGCTTAGTTATCTGTCCCAAGTCTGGAAGCGCCAAGACGTGTTTCTGGCTCAATCCCGATAGCCAGTGCACTTCAAGGCTAAAGTACAGGAACGTGGACGGATTTGAGGTCTTCGAAGCTTAGGCAGCAGATCACGACTTGTATAGTTGGTCTAGACGCACCATCTGCCGCAGAAGGTAGCCCTTTCGATTTTCTGCCGTCTTGACTCGTGGCTTACGAAGTGAAGAGTTTTAGTTAAACACATGACATGTTCGTCTGAAATTGGATGAACGACAGGCGCAAATTGAGTTTTGTTGAACAGGAAATAAGGAAATATTAGCCCATTGGTAGATTCATTTGAATGAAGTGGATACCGAGCTGCCCCCAAAGTTTATAGAGCATTTGTAGAAAGAATGGAAGTATGATGTACATATAGGTTTCGCTTAGATAATCGCAGTAGCATGTGTCTTACCGATTATTGTTGTGCTTTCATTACTCACATATTATGTGTCAGTCTTCTTACTGAACAAGTCCAGCCACAAAGGCTGCCGCAGGCGGAACACCTTGCTCGTAGTTTTGATGGTTAGCAGCAATGATGATTCCAACACCGCAAACATTGTCACCGTCAATTGCAGATGATGTTCACCTTGACGGCAGGAATAATTACCAAGAGGCTGTCCATCAAACGCACCACCGGAAATCAACTCTGGAGGTGCCGGTTAGTCAAGATTTTCTGTAATATCACTCCACTAGCGTGTCTTCACCTGAGGCTATGTGGTTTGCCAAGTCTGGCTACCAAAGCGCTACTTCTGCGTAGCGATAATGTTTACTCATTTAATCCACTCATACATCAACTACGCAGCATAATCCATTGGCTAGAATATCTCTAGAAACTCTTTAAGAATATGTACGGTTTGGGATGAACTCTAGAACGCAAAAAGCATTCATAAAGTCGAGAAGGACGATAGTCGTCCAACTGCTGGCATGCAAGACAGAAGAGATTTAGTGGTTTAGTTCCAGTAGTGTTACAGGCTATATCCGAAGATAGAAATAGAGATGCGGGTCCGTAGCAGTAGATACATAGTAAGAATCGTATTCAAACGCAGTATCACATAGAGGATATAGCTCGCAGAGAATACAGGAAAGAATCTGATTTATATATTTGACCATGGATGAAACTTTCGCATTATGCAACCTTCAACTGAGGCGAAAATATAATGTGAACCACGACTTCGTCACCAATGCTTAGATCTACGCCAATTCCATTTGATGTTTATCTTCCACTATATTTTAATTTCGGACGCTAAACTCCTTATCGCACACTCGGTCTGCCCAGCTTCAGAGCACTGAAGCCTGTCGTGATTCATTTGCCACCGCACAAATGATGTCTGCCTCGAAAATTGTAAGAGACAATCACACCTTTTAGTACGTGATTGAGGTCTTACAAATGAGAAATCTTGTGTTCGAAAATCTGTCACCAATAGAAAACACATTCTGCTATTTCCATAAATGACCAGTTCATTTTGAAACCAAACAGACTGTGAAGGGTCAGACCCCGCCTACACGGTTGCAGTGGCAGCCGCACACCAGCCTCCGGTGCATATTAATAATAGAGGTGATACCCCGATGAGCTAAACGCCCAAAAGGATACGCAACAACAAGTCGTCCACTTGTTGCTTGGCTGCACTTAAGTGGGAATAATGGCACAGCTATCAACCGGGCATAGCCCGTAACACAGACAGAGTATTAAGGAAGAAGTGAACTTGATATGCTATTCTGTGTCATGAGGCCTGAACCCCAAGCAATGCGGCATGACACTCGTCGTCTGATGGCTCGTTTCCAAACAACCAACCAACTCCTCGCAGGGCATCTACGCGGCACTTCTTAGAGACTTCTAGTTGATGGTAAACGTCTGCAAACCCATGCGGAACGCCAGGGTACACGTCTAGCCTAGTTGAGACGCCATGATCACGTAAGGCTCTTTCGTATATTAATCCGTCATCCCGAAGAGGGTCCTGTCCGCAAATCTGAAGGTATACTGGGGGCATGCCTCGGTGTGGATTGGTGGCATTAAAGGGCGAAAAGTCCGGGGACAGTAAATCAGGTTTGTAAGCCTCCTTCACAAACTCCATTGCGTGTTCATTGATGATGAGTGCTTGAGCGTTCTGCTCCCTAGAAAACCAAGAATATTGATATCGCTCGGGAACAATCGGCTTTTCCAGCAACCACGGTATCTGCAGCCATACTCCAGACATCTGAGGTGACTTGTTTTGCGCTACCCACCGCTGAGCAGTAACAGCGGCTAGGTTTGCGCCAGCTGAGATGCTGCCAATGTAGAGGCCGGCGTGAGGATTTACACCCAGCTTCTGGGCCATCTCGGGCTCAACAAGCCAATTGATAGTATCCCATACATCGTGTGGTGCAGTAGGAAACTTGAATTCCGGGGCGAGTCGGTAAGATATAGCTACCACGGTTGCGCCGGTGAGGGACACCACGGCCCGGGAGTATGTGCTGATGTGCGTGTAATGACCAAGGCAAAAACCACCCCCGTGGATCAAAACAACGAGAGGGATGCTTCCTTCTGACTGTGGTTTATAGACCCGCACTTCATTCGGGTGGCCGTCCCTCATGGAAACGCTCAGGCTATATTCATGCTCTGTCGAAGCAGGAACCTGTACGGGGTTCGTTCGGAACAGATTGGCTATCTTAGAGAACGGAAGCGTTGCGAGCGGATCCGGAGGGGCATTTTTTAAATGCTTTTCGTAGTTAGTTTTTGGTTTCATATTCGAGATTGGATTGTACCTGTTCCAGTTCTTGACTGCAAGACGCTTAACAAAGGCACTGAAAGTAACTTTTGGATTTATGATGACTTACTGTGTCTCGCCAAGCTGCCTCACCACTTCAATTTTCGCATATTCGCCCATTGTCAATGTGTTTTTACCGGGGATAGTAGATACAAACCCAGAGTTAAAACAAGGTGTTGGCTTTATACAATCGACTGTCTTTACAGACACAGAATTGACTTTAAGCCGGACGTTGTATATGGATGGGAAGCCCCACAGGCTACTTCTAATTGGACTCTCGGGGCCTTTAACTGCCCGCGTCGTTTCACAGGCGGCAATCTCTATCGGATACACGAGGGACCAGGGTCTTCAATACGCCTCTTCGCAGCGGTTCCCCTCATCTATTTGTACGTTTGACTGGCATCATTCTTCGACCCCTGCGAAGAATTCTTCTCGAGGCTTAACGAGGCGACAACAAGCTTTAGGTACGATTTGAAGTCCGTGCGAGTCCGTTCAAAAAAGTAGCACATCCTTCGGCGGTGCTATCCTTTTCGTGCCTCCAGTTCAGCTGTAGCTGGCTAGTCAGCCTGGATCTGTGCCTCAACTAGAAGTGAAATTACACCTATTGCCCGGTAACATGTTGGTTCGGCCCGGACAGCTAACTGTTAAGGCGTTATATGATGACAGGTGGTGGTGGGGGGGGGGGGGGGGGGGAGGGCATAACCAGCCTTCTAACCATGTGAATTTAATAATGTCCAATCATACGTCCTCATACCAGAAACATCATTTATCAGGTTAAATAGCATGACAGTTTCATGGATTTGGGCAAGTACCCAGCTTGATCTGAAAAGGCATCTTGGGACGGAAAAAAGTAGACTTGGCAATTTCTTGCCAAGGGTTCACGGGGGAAAGAAAAGCCTGAGCAATCTGAAATGGTTTATGCCGGAAATAAAAAAAAAACGACTTAGGTGAAGGCGCTTCTGTGTCCCCAACAGGGCAGCTCAATCCACTTTATTGAACCGAACTATGACTACGGTTTTAATATCGTAATCGGTACGCTGTTGCTAAGACACCAAATATGTCATGTGGGGAAGATATGATTGGTACAGCAGGATTCCTACGGGGGCGTTAGTAACGTTCTAGTTGGGGAGGTCATTCATTACAGTACCTTAATGCTTCGCCAGTTAGTCGTGTAAGCGGTGGGCTCATCAGGCTGGGCGCCAAGTAGGGAACACATCTCCCCTCTCGACACTCCTTTCAACCCTTCATCTGGAGCATCTGGAGGGCACGTCTCGGCATGACCGGCATTAGACAATATTGCTCCCACTCCATTGCCACTTAATATTCTCAAGTCTTTATGGCACTGCCTTTGACTCTGCTAATTCCCACTTTTACTCTTCGACATTCCTCTGAAGCCGTAATTAGCCCGGCAATGCCGGTCTCTTGGTGCACCGAATAGACTTAATGAGATTGTTGTACTGGCCACACAGCTGGAGTTGGGCCAAAAGCCGTCTGATTATGTGTTTTAGAAGCGATCTTTGCAGCAATGTCTCTTCAAAACTAGATATGACCCATAAATTACGTACTGCAGGATTATTCCCCACCACATATGTCTTTGCCTACAAAATCATCCAGCACAGGCTCCCGGACTACCATTTTTGCTTATATTTTTGAGGAGATTGAGCCTTCGATTCATTTTCTATTTTTTTTCTTTTTTCTTGCCCACTTTTTCAAAGAAGACATGTTTTTACTGTCGCTATTTAACCAGGTACCGCTACATAATCACAATTTCTACCCCTTTCCGTTGAGCTACCTCGTCAATGTCAAACGTGTTTGGCTCTGCAAGCCATGCCTCGTCCAAAAGCCCGAATGCTACTTCGCGCAACTTGTATGCGGACCTCTCTTTGATGAGTAAACGTATCCGGTCTAGCGATTTTTTCCAGCCTGGATGGGACTTCAATATTTGGACCTCCAGGCTTGCCGTGATAAACGGATACACAAGTCCATTGCTAAGAAGAAGATTCTGGTACTTAACTAACCGACAGGCTCTGAAGACAGCATCAATCGCCGCCATTAATCGACAGAAGACAATATCAGTCTCGGGGACAGTGACAGCCAGTGACCTTTGGGAGTCGGGGGTAGATGGTTTTGCTTTCCCCCCTGCGCCCGGTATTCGTCTACGGACTTCTAGAATCCCACACAAGCGCCAACAATCCCAGAACTGGCACTGTATGAACTTGCCTATCTCACCGGGCCAGGTCCAAAAACGCCATTCGAGAGTTTCTCTACTACAGTGAGGAATATCAGCAAATATGTCCAGAAGAGACATTGGGACACCTGTCAAGGCATCTATTTCCCGAACTCTGCCCCCGGCCCAGCCATCTTGAGCCGCTCTGAGGTGCTTCCAGATGTGAATCGAAGGAGACTGTCTTCCCAATACAAAGGAGGGCATGTCTATGACACCTAAGAACTCAAGCACGCGCCGTGTCGGCAGATGATGTTCCGGGGAGGGACTGAGAGTAGGAATTGATGTTGGAATATTGCAAAGACTGGCGAGAAGCTGAATCTGTGTTGTGCAAGGGCTTGCCTGAAGGGACTAGTGTATCATATCTGTTAGTCTGCATTACAGGCTGTAAATGTGCAGCAAAAAAGAGACGAGAGCGGCAGACGAGATGCTTACTTACATGAATGGTACAAATCAATATGCCTGCACAGATGGTCCCAACCTGAATAGCATTATGCCGACTTTCAAGCTCAGTACGGAAAGTCTGCAGGGCGAGACCGATGGCCTCTAGTGATTGGGCCAACGGGTAGCCGTGGTTGTCTTCAAGAAATCGTTGAAGGGCCCCGCCAACGAGGACCAACGCCCGGCTTTCCATGGCTACTTCCTCGAAGAAGGGTTGCATCCATGACTGGACCTCGGTACTGTACAAACGGCATAGCCCTGAGGTCAAGACTAAATATGACTTAGCCAATTCCAGGTATTATCAAGCTAGGAGGGTCAAACATTAGTTCTTACATTTTCTATACTCCTGCCACTCTTGGTTCGATGTACCAGGAGGCGGTGGAGCCTCTGTTGTGTTATCGTTATCTGGTGATGGCGGTTCGATGTTGGCCAGCCCATTAGAGCGGTTTGTGTGTTTCTCCAAGGCTGCCTTGTCTGGGATGGTGGCACCGCTAAACTGGCCTCTCGAGGCAACACCGTTTGCCCATCTAACGGTGGCCACGTAGCCGTCGCATTTGATACCGCGGCGTCTGCAAAGCCCACATTCCGGACGTACTTCGTCACATTTTCGCTTGCGGCGCTTGCAGTTTGTGCAGCCACTAGTTGAACGAACCATTCTAGTTCGGCAAAGAAGAAGAAGAAAAAGGAAATAGAAACGCTCAGCGTGTGGTAGGGATTATTTCGTCATCACATTTGTGGTTGAGTTGGTTGGAGGGGAAAGGAATGACGGGTTTACTATACTAAATAGGTAGATAAAGCCTCCCACATCGAGACGAGCACGCACAAGCACGGCCTCATTCAACGGAAACGGACTTGTTCCAAGTCCGGCGCCTTCACCTTCCGCATTTGGATGTCTTCCCGCTCCTCATGGGTGACTTGAGCTAAAAGCTTTGGCCAGGAGGAAGAACGTGATTTTGTATTCCAACTTCCATTCCCTCTGGTTCCTCATCAGCACCTTGATCTTAGGTCTTTTTCGTCGGAATATATTGACTGGATACGGAACACAAGAAATTTAGAATCCGTCAGCTAAAGTATACCGACAAGACAGAAGTGTAGGCTTGAACTACTGAGGAACGAACTTCCAGCGGCTTCAACATGTAGGAGGATACCAGTCAAGTTTGGATGGCGAAACTGTAGACGGCTTATGAGAGAGATAAGTAGAATGAAAATAAGGTCATCAAAATCAAAGCACCTTTCCTCTATGATATGAAATAATCACCGAGAGGTAGCGTATCCTGCTTGATTAACTCTAAAGCAAACTCTATTTTGACCGACCAAGGAATTCCTTCGTATGCCAACGAGTCAGGCTCCCCATGTCGATGGTATGTTGCATTTCCCATTCAAGCAATTCCCCTTCCCCCGACTTAGTGCAGCTTTTGACCAAGTGATTCTCAATTTGTGACTTGTGACGAACTAGGCACATAGCAATCAGGCTAGAAAAGGTGTAAAAGAGTGACTTGATTTAGAAAGAGGGTATGTGCGTGAGGAAGCTCGTACTTATACGCCTACGGTGTGCGTTTCATGTTACTTACATAAACACACCTCACTCGGTGTGTTCGGTGAACGTTGACACTATCGTCACATGACTTCATTTAGCCAGTAACTCTTCAGACTCCAGCAGTTATTCCCTCATGTTACTCAGAAATAGTCGTAAGCTTGACAAAACGGAAGATATTTATCTGTTCGACCTCGCTCTCAGGGTTCCAGTGTATGATGCTTAGAGCGATTAACTTGTGTTCTAGCTTATGTTTAAAGTTTTACTTCTTGATAACTTACCTCAGCTGCATCCATGGCATGCACTCACTGAGGCGCAAGTAAACGGCATCCACTTGCCGGAGGCGTAGTTGAGAAAAATCACGAACGGCCGCCTCACATTACGTGCAGCAGTCAAGCCGATCAGCAGTTGTTAGTTCCCATAGAGTATTCATCTCATTCTGCATCCAAAAAGCCTCTTGTTCACCACATAACGCTGGCTCCGAGGCAAATAACAGTCAGTCAATCATGACCTTTTGAAGAGCTTATATTTGACGCCGGTATGGCCCCAAGGCTTTTGCTCAATATCCATGATCTCAGTCCTCCTGTGCATTGGCTAATGGAACAATCTCAGTGTTGCCAGGCCAAGAGAGTGACACTAATAGCTTGCAATGAGATGCGTTGATTCAAGCTTCAATATTGTTGCAGCGAAGCTTGAGAAAGTTTGAGTTACTTCCTTGATGTTGAATTGAAGGAACAAAACTTTTCAATCAGATCTTCACAGTGGCTTGCACATAGTAAAACACCAAAAACTAATCTGAAAGCCATCTATGCATGCACTTTAAGAACAATGAATCTTCAATTCCATGAAACTAATGAGCAATAATGATTGCATCCACCCTCTTCCGCTGTTATTTCTTGTTTTCTGAAAATGAGTCTATTCCTACTTTGATGAGATTTCAGATATACAAGGAATATGCACAGCACACAAGTAGTAAAACGAGAACAATGGAAGAGAAATTTTATACAGACAAGTAAGATTCATGGGCAAAAAAACAAATTCATTCAAAGGCAAAAGATAATGAAGATGCGGCCAGTGTGGATTGAACACACGACCTTCAGATTAAGTGATTGAAGTTAACTTCAGTCTGACGCTCTCCCAACTGAGCTATGTCCGCCACATGCTTCGTTGGAAATTTTGAGGATATTGTGGCTAGTGTACCACCATCCTGCCGAAACCCCACCGGTTGCGACATTCCCCAACAGCCTAACGCCCGCAAATCGCAATCAGAACAGACTTACACCCACATTTTGATGGTTGTATGGCTAGTTGTGCACTTTGAAATCTTCCTGTCCCTGTTATCCAAACGACTCTGTAAGTTCAGGCGGTTATCTTCGGCCGGCCCGTGAAGCCAAGTCGCTCTGTACCATAAACAGCTAGAGGAAAAAAACCCTGCCGCGCCCTTCAGGCGACATGACTACTACAGCCGAGGGCCGGAGGTCGGTGTTTGAGATGCGATAGTCCCAGTTAGGATGGGCAAGTGGAGCGCATCATGGATTATAGACCTTGACCCCTCAGAAACACGAACAGAGCTGAAAGCTGAACTGTGACTCAATTGGCAATATTAGAATAAGAGTCACAAGCAGGAGAAATATTGTATTTATATGCGGTTGAGTTTCACCAGACCAAAGTCAATCAGTCCCAAGTGCATCATCACTGAATACAACTCTGGTCGGTTGTAACCTAGAGCTTAAACACCCCTCATTGGCATTCAGAAACCTCCCACATACAATTCATGGTCCCTCACACCCTCAATTGCAACAACCAACAAAACATCATGGGTGACTTGATCGAAAATACCAGCACAACTCAGGCTGCCTCCACAACCTTTGGCAAGCCGTTTCTAAAAGAGTTCCTCATCGACCCGGCTTATCACAACCTCAACCAGGGTGAGATCTCTCTCTCACACACACACTCTCTCACTCACTCTCTCTCTCTCTCTCTCTCTCTCTCTCTCCAACGATGACAACTAACTCCTCCAGGATCATTCGGCACCTACCCCCGTCCCATCCAACATGCCCTCCGTTCATATCAGGACAAGGCCGAGGCCCGCCCGGACCAGTTCATCAGGTACACCTACCACGACCACCTCCGGGAGTCGCGTCAAGCCCTCGCGGACCTCCTCCACGCTCCCCTCTCAACCATAGTCCTCGTCCCCAACGCCACCACGGGCATCAACACCGTCCTCCGCAACCTCACCTGGAACTCGGACGGCCTCGACGAGGTCCTCTACTTCACCACCGTCTACGGAAGCTGCGGCAAGACAATCGACTACATCGTCGACACCCACCCGGGCCTCGTATCCACCCGCGCAATCACCCTGACGTACCCGCTCGAAGATGAGGAAATCGTCGCCCTCTTCCGCGAGTCCGTCGCCACATCCAACAAGGAAGGCAAACGCCCGCGCATCTGCCTCTTCGACACCGTCTCCAGTCTTCCCGGCGTGCGCTTCCCCTTCGAGGCCATGGTCGCCGCATGCCGCGAACTGGGCGTGACGAGTCTCGTCGACGGCGCCCAGGGCGTCGGCATGTTGCCCTTGGACCTCTCGGCCCTCGACCCGGACTACTTCGTGTCAAACTGCCACAAGTGGCTGCACGTCCCGCGCTCCTGCGCCGTCTTTTACGTCCCCGAACGGAACCAGCATCACATGGTGTCCACGGTGCCCACATCCCACGGTTACGTGCCGCGGTCCGGCGGCCCGCGGTTTAACCCGTTGCCCGTGTCGAAAGACTCGGCTTTTGTCATGAATTTCGGCTTCGTCGGCACTTTGGACAACAGTCCGTACCTCTGCGTCAAGGATGCGATTGAATGGCGGAAGAGCATCGGCGGCGAGGACAAGATTATCGAGTACATCTGGACGCTCGCCAAGGAGGGCGGCAAAAAGGCGGCTGACATCTTGGGGACGTTCATCATGGACAACAAGGCCGAGACGATGACAAAATGCGGAATGGTCAACGTGGCGCTGCCGATGGTCGCGAGTGAGGATGCCGAGACCCCGTCAACCGGACCCGACGGCACGATCACGGTGCCACAGAAGGAAGCGGTCCCCATCGGTCAGTGGATCCTAGAAACCCTCGTGCAGGAGTACCAGACCTTCGTTGCCGTCTTCTGCCATAATGGTCGCTGGTACACTAGGTTGAGCGCCCAGATTTACCTCGAGCAGGAGGATTTCGAGTGGATTGCACATACTATGAAGGAGATCTGTCAGCGGGTCGGGAAGCATGAGTACAAGGCCAAGGCAGAAGAACTAGCACGCGTTGCCAAGGAGGCCAAGTAGACTGGCTGTTATTTCAACAAAAGGGAGGGCCTGGTTCGTCTGGAAGAGCGCGAAACGGTCATCTTGGTAGAGCGGGACAATATCATGTAGACTTGCTGTTTGTTTTATCAGAATGCCATTCATTTACTATGCCGGCTAGATAAGCTCAGAACATCTAAGCTGAAAAAAATGAAGATTCTCCACGTTTGTGTTTCCCCATTTTAGAATAAAAAGAATTCGGCCACCGTCTCAGACGCTTATGACCACTGCGATTAACACGGCTTGAAGGCCGACTATTAAGCCACCCAGGGCAGACACAGAACTCCGCTCACTTCCGGACTTCATCGACGTCGTTGAGCCGGCGTTGTTATTGGTGTCCCTGGAGAAACCACAAGTGAATCTTTATGCCTTGAAAGAAATGAAGATTGGTTCGCGCGCTCGGTGTCAATGCTTACGCCGGTGCGCCAGGTGCGCCGCCAGCGGGTGCGGCACCCTGCTGACTGTTCACAATATGCTCTGCCATGCCAATGGACATGTTGCCGCCGTTGAAGGCAACGAATTGCGACTTGAACATGATGTCTCCGTAGATCTGGAGCCTGGAAGTAGTTGCCTGCAGGCCACCAAAGCAAGCTAAGACGGCAGGGGTTAGCGTTCTGATGAATGCGAGAGGTGAGGTGCGTGGGCTGCGGGAACTTACTCTGAGCATCGACTTGGGCAAAGTTAATATCGCTGCCCTTGACACGGGCCATGTAGACACCACCGATATCCATCATGAGATCGGGCAGCTGAGCGTTGCAAGGGAAAGTGACACCACCGACGGTCTGGTCGTTCTTGGCACCCTGAACTTGCTCGTAGTAAGCCTGAACCATGGGAGGGTTGGCCAAGATGAGGGTGGTGCCAGTATCGGCGATGGCCTGAGCACCAGGGGTGCCCTGCTGGACCTGACCGTTTCCAACGGCGAACTTCTCGGAACCGAACTGCCAGAAGCCACTGGTAGTGTTGACGGGGATCCACGCCATCTGTCCGGTGAACTTGGTGTTGTCGATGCGGCCGAACTCGTAGGCGCCGACGGACTTCTTGCGGAGGTCAGCAGTGAAAACAGGCTCAGCCAGACTGGGCATGACGTTGTCGAAAAAGGTCTTTTGGGCTTGGGGCTTAACGGTGTTGAGCTTGGAGAAGGCAAGACCGAGAAGGCCGTTGTTTGCGGTGTCCTGGACGAACTGCTGGGAGACTGCGGTGGCCATCTCGATAGCCTGCTTCTCTACAACGGCGCCGCCGATGTCGACACGGTCAGTGCCGACAACGCCCTGTGCGCCAGAACCATCACCGTAACGAATGCTGAAGGAGTTACCCTGAAGCATCGCCGCGGTCTGACTCTTGGTTGGGTCGTACAGCTGGTGGCCCTGCTGGGAGGCAGGGTCCAGCATGGACGTAAAGACCCAAAGGTCGGAAGAGCCACTGTCGAAGTCGACGTTGACCTCCTGGCCACCGATCTTGATGGGCGAAACGTATTCGACGTCGTTGCGGATCGGGGTAGCTGTCACCAAGCCGGTTCCGGGCTGGCCAGGGGCAGCGGTCTGGTTGCTCGCGCCGGCGGCGAGAGACTTGAAGCCCTCAGCCTTATCAGCAACCGGGGGCTGGGGGTTCTTGGCGGCCTGGGCCTCCATTGCGTCAAGCAGACCCTGGGGAATGGGCATGCTGAACTTCCGGTAGGCCTTGATCAGTTGCCTCGGTCCATCGTGACCGACGAAGTTCTCGTTTGGTACTCGGGGAACGACGAATGACCGCTTCTGAATGTTGCCGCGCTTCTCAACGGGGGAGGCGTCGGCCAGGGCTAAGAAGCCGAAGAAGAGGACCAGCGACCGCATAACAGATGGCTCCATGATGATTCTGTTGTCTATCGTCCGTCACCAGGACAACTTTTGTGTAAAAGAAAAGCGGAAAACGGGAGAGAAAAGAAGCCACACCAGGTGGCACGCGGTTGTCTAAAAGGAACGAGGGCTATCACCAGGAGCCCTCAAAGAAATTAAGAGATTCACGAATGAATGGAAGTGGTGACGAGAGCGAAGATGCGGAATGGCCAAGAAGAGAAGAGTGACCAGGACGGAAGACAGAAGAAAAAGAGAAGGGAAATAGGGCAAGTTTATTGTTCGAAGTAGGCAACCCAAGAGATGGTCAGCGACCGGCATGGATTGCGAGGATTATACATGTTGCAAAAAATGGGACGAAGAGGTCGTATGCTCACTGCTTGGAGGCTCAGGCGAGCCAAGTCTCAAGTTGTGATGCCCTGGTCACAGATTGTCCCGCTCAGCAAGGGCGTGCGCGTCCATGTCAGGTGGGGAGAGCCCTTGAGTGGACGGATATAGAGTAGGGCCGGTCGATTGTGGTGAGGGTCTCGTTGACGGGAGGCGAGGGACGAGGCGAAAAGTGTGTGTGCTTGGAATCCAGAGGTCGAGGGTCCTCTTGCCAGTCAGGATCCAAGACACCAGTTGCGGCAACGGCGTGGAGCTGGGAGCATGTTTAGAATTCTGTAAACCCGGCGAGGGAGTAGATCGGTCGCAAGCAGGGGAACACCTTACCCACAGTCGTCACCCAAGTTGTGATTCGGAACAGGGATACCGGTAGATCTGTGCCGAGAGACTAGCGCAGGGGCTGTGGGTTGGGAGGCACATGTGTGAAGGGGGGAAGCAAGAAGACAGGAGAACAGACATTCGCCTCTTGGCTTTGGCTCTGGTTCTGCTCGCTTTCTCTTAGTCGTATTTGGGGGTCGTTGAGAGTCTGACATCGCCAAGCAATTTTGACGCTTCGAATGTAAAGTCTGTGAGGTCGTAGGGGATCGGTGAGAGGTTATGGCTTGGGGTTCTCATTTAGCTCAGTTCGAATCAATGAAGCGTGGCCGCTTTGGCATTGTTTGCTTGGCGAAATGATCCGGGCCCTCAGTCACGGTGTAGAAATCAAAATAACGCCGCGGATTAGACGGTGCCGGGAGGGCAAAATCGACGGTAAAACAAAGCCAAAGGCGCCTGTCAACATCCTTCTCTCGGTGTCAACGCCGTTGTTAGAACCAAACTAAGCCTTGATTGCTTGAGTAGGCGATTATTAGCGTGTTACTGAAATACAAGCCTCGGGGGGCTAAGAAAATCAAGCAATCGGGATCTGCTAGCCGGGCCGTTGCATTCTTCTCTCTCTCTCTGCAGACCCCTTGCATATGGTCAGTCATTCGTGTTCTCCACGGAACGGCCTGATGAGCCGAAGCGAGACTCCGTTGATCTAGAAGCCTTGGTTCAAGTAAGCGTGGCTAAGCATTTAGACGACGTAGCAGGTAGAGGTGACCCACGTCCGTCTCCACAGGCCTTATTCCAATTAATTAGGCTGACGCCCTAAACTGCGGGATGCCAGATGCCGGCTCCTAGCTGCTCAAGTCGAGTTGGGGCGGATGCCTCTTCTTCAGATAAAACACTGACAAAGAAAATACTTCAAGAGGGCCAATATCCGATGAGAAACTGGCAAACTGAAAACCCCAGTATTGGTGCTATTCTTGGCGACACATGTCGAAGGACGATCCGCAGCTCGAGAATGGCTTGTTTCCATTTGCCCATGCAACTCAGGTCTGTCCACCCCCAGTCGGTTGGAAACGAAAGGCAAAGAGGCAGGTTTCTGTGACAGAAAGGAACGCCATTCGAGGCCCCCATGGTACGTCAGTTTCTGGTTGCAGTAGGGAAAGGGGGTCGAGCGCGGGAGAGCGGCGAGGGATGAAGGCTGGACGGAATATTCCCTTCCAGGGGGCTATCCCGAATGGATCTCGTCATTAGGAGCCCTCTACTACTCAGTACTCGTAGTTGTTTCCGCTTGGCGTTTCAGCGATCCCCATGATTGCTCTCCCGCCGCTAGGCAAGATTCATGGTGGCCACTCGAAGAAGGGGGGAGGGAGGGTAAGATCCATCTGCCAAGGGCGATCTATCCACGCCCCCCATACGCTTAGCATGCTAAGCTTTGGGTGTTGCGGAAGAGGAATACCGAACATAATTAGGTGCAAGAATCGGACGAAAAGGAAACGAGCACCACTGCTGAATGTGAAGCTAAAACTGCCATTGTTTGCGGGAACTCGGTCATTTCTCATGGACAGGTACGGGTCGTTTTCGCGTCTGGCAGACAGGTGGCAATGTTATCGAGCACTCGCCGAGCACCGTGACTTCTGTCAACCCGCGGTCGTCAACTAGTGTCTCCATCTTCTTGCGACCACCGTCTCTCGAAAAGAAAACACTAGGGCAAAGGGGTTTGTGGAGAAACGAGATGAAAGGATAGGTGACTCGGCAACTTACAGGCGCCTGCTGACGCATGCGCGGATACACGGCGCGTCCATTATTCGTTTGGAACGTCTGGAAGGGGGCTACATTCGTCGTTGTCGGGAACGGCACGACACTCCAAGGCCCAATCGATTGATTTTTGGTCGGAATTATCTGGGCTTCTTCAAATCGACTGGTGAAGGATGTTGTTGAAAGCGAGCTAGCGATGGTGGGGGAACACCTCGTCAGAACAGGCCCTGAAACGGTCCACCTAAAAATCTGAGACAGCGCTGTGCGGCGGCATCCTGGTCAGTTCGCCCATTTGAGCTGGCTTTTAGTTTCGAGCGGCATAATGGGCCCGAGTGGCACGCTCTGCTTTTTTGCTGATTAGTGTCTGCATTCCAGGAGAAGCACAGCAAGCTGACAAGATGAAGACCAATCATAGACATATTCAGAACATGACGACTCAGCAGCAACGAATATGCCCTTAAATTGCGTTGGCTAAGGCGTCAGAAACATGGCAGTGTTGTAGGGTGATTTACAAATTCTGTTTTCCTTGGCGAATGGGTTGGATCAAGTCACCACACCACTATATCGTTGTTGTTGTTTTTCATGTCGTGTCTGTGGCGGCGCTTGACGTTGATGCACTTCGCCTCGAAAGGTTTGATGCTACTACAAACACTTTGGCAATACGTTCGAGAAGGCGATAAGGACCACCTGATACGGTTCATTCTTCTCTGATCGGAACTGGGAGGATACGATATTGTATACCGTCTCTGTTCTTCGGTTAACAAAAACGGCGCATATGGGATGCGATTGACCTGTGGGCAAAATCATGCATCGCGCCTCGTTACGCCAAATGGCATTACGATGCTGCAGAGCAAGGCAGAAAACTAAGGTTTGGCCGTCATGTTGCGAGTAAATCGGAATCTACCGTAAGCAAAAAAGAAGATGAGATCAACCATATGTTAGTTGCCTCGTGAGTCAAGACAAGGCTCACCGGCCGCCATCATCTGAACAGCCCGCGTGCCTCGGGGTAGCTGAAGGTTAGGTTGTCATTGTCAGAGAAAGCAACTCTAAAAGCCACCGCCAAAGGCTGAATGCAGAGGTTGACCAAGGGGCAGCCGGTCTCATTGGGGACTTGAGTTCAAATGAAAATGGGTAATGATGTCGTTACTAGCGATGATGGTGTTGAAAGGTCGATGGTGTGGCTGCCAAAGAGGCTCTCGAGGACCGAATTTGTCGTCGCGATTTAACGTTGACAAGAGAGACTTATGCAGTTTCTGCATTAATCTTGGCGGCTTGGCAGGTAAGTAGCTCGATGTCGTTTGAGGTGCCCAAGAGTATTTGGGTGTCTCTGGAAGGTGTCGAGAAGACGATGTCTGGAGTCGGCCACAATCGGGTTTGTGGTGTTCGTTTTCGGGAGTCAGACTTGGCTTACATAACCCCAACGATGAGTACACCACATATAATTCAAGGTCAAGAGTTCAAGGCTACTAGCATGTGAATTGAGCTTGGCGATGAGGGTGTTGCCGCGACTCGTCAAATGAAGGAAGCGTCCAATGATGTCAACCAATTGTCGGAATCCGAATGCCGTATTTGCGGAACATCTTGTTTGCACTTGCAGCCATGCATAGTTGCTTTCAGAATGGAGTGAAAAGGGGCGGAAAAAGAAGAGAGAAAGGAGAGAAGAGAGGGCCGACAAGTAAGGTGGAAGGCCAGGTGGAAGAAATCAGGAAAGGTGAAATAAGGGTCTATAGAAGAAAGCCACCCACAATTGAAGGTGTATTCGGTAAGTGATGTGCAATGTGCTTGGTTGAACGACTACCTGTTCTGGAGCCCTCGGAACCCTTTGGGGGAGTTTCTGCCAAGCCGGCAGCTACAGGTAGTGTAGAAAGGCAAGCGCGACGGATGATCTGTTGGTTGACGATCCTAGCAGGAACAGTGATTGACGAGTCAACGACGTCTCGGGCTCCGGGTGCTGACACATCAGCAAGAGACTGGTGAAGGTCCTGAGGCATCAACCTAAGTGAGCCGAGTCTCCACTCGAAAAAACGTGATCGACGCCCAAATGACAAACATGACAGTCCCAAAAGGGAATGGAAGAGAGCTGCGGACCCCAAAACTCCACGTGATTGGGCCCCTGCCCCACGGCTGAAAATCGGTTCTCGCGGAAAGCGGGGATGGAACAGTCACCGGCCCAATGGGAAATCACGTCAGGATTCGGGGACCACTCAACACCCGAGCGAGAGTCTGGCCACATGAGTGGACAGCTCTGGACCGAATCTAGCGAGCCTAACCCAATTGGAGAGAGATAGACCCCAATGCCGGAAGCCGCTCCACTGGCCCAGCGTTACCTTAACCGAAGCCTGACGAACAGCATTACTGAAGGACTGCCTGCCCTGTACGGAGTGCCATAGTATTGACTTTTCCCGCGGTTCCCCCCCGCGAGTCGTTCCAATCACTACTAACTGCTGCCCCGCGTCTGGTTCAGCTGCCCCCTCCCAAGCCTCCAGCCTCGCTGATTTACCGCACTAAAACACCACTAACTGGGTGCCCTGCTAGGGAGCACTTAACTGCACTGAACTGTAGCGAAAACAGAGCCGCACCCGCAAAAAGGCTGTTAGTACCACCACTATTCCCGCCCATCATTTGTTTCCCTTCCCCACGCGCAACGCTCGCTTCCCGCGCAAACCTCGACGAAAGCCTCCGTCGGGTCATACGCCCACTCACGCCCACCCACACCCACACACACCCCATCCCTCCGTCCATCCACATACCTACAAGCTTGACCGTCTCGTCGTGTCGTCGGTGTCTTTGCCCACCGTCAAACATCACGGGCGCTTGTCCCCGTTGCTCCCGTTTGTTCTCCCGCCGTTCCCATCTCCGAACCCGGCACACATACATACACACTCGCGGCCATATCGCCATTTACGTCTAGGGTCCAAGACACCGATTCTATCCACATTATACACACCTCCAGCCACCGACACCAGCCATCGTGATCTGCTCTGTCGAACCCTCGAGGGTTGCTACCCTTGGTCTCCTTCCCGTCCCTTCCAGCCGACTCTTCTTCCTCCTCTCATCGACCCTTTCTCGACACCACGAGACCCTCTCAAATGTCGGACGATGAGTTTACCGGCGCCGATGGCCCACCCGGCAGCGCCGCCGGCGCCGATCGTGACAAGCGCGCACCGCGCTTCAGCTGGACGCCGGCCTACGAGGCCACCTTCTTCCGATCCCTCTGCGATTCGGTTCAGCTGGGCCTTCGAGAGAACCACTCTTTCAAGGCCGATGCCTGGGACCGCGCCGCCACTGCTTTGCGCGAAAAGCACGGCGCATATCCCACCAAGAGCCATCTCGTAAACAAGTCGGATAACGCGCGCAAAAAGTTTCGTCTTTGGCGTGGCCTGCGCGAGGATCCAGAGTTCCTCTATAATCCAAACACCCGCACCGTTACAGCCTCGGAAGAGGCCTGGAAAGCGCATATTGAGGTTCGTTGACCCGTCCACGCGCGTCGTCACATTTGCCCATCCCCTCCCACTCTCAGTCGTTCTGGTGCCCCCCTCTTTTTTTTTTTTTTACTTGTTTTTTTTTTCTTCTTCTTTCTCTAATCTTTCCCCGAGACCATCGTCGCTGACCTTTGCTATAGAAAGAACCGCTTTCACGCGCATTGCGAGGGCGGCCATTCGAGCATGAGCAGTACATGGAAATTCTGTACCCGGATGTCGTGGGATCTGGCGGTGCTCCGAAACGCATCATGAAGCCGAAGCGCAAAGGTCCCGATGTGATCCAGGGTTCCGAGGACCCGGATATGCCGGGCACCGCCGTCCTGGACCTCCAAGTCGACCCACCATATCGCCCGCCCTCCCAAGCCGGCGCGACCCAGCAACCCCAGCAGCAGCAGGCGCGTGGCTCAGTCAGCCAAACCCCCGTAGCACCCGTTCATCAGCCCATGATACCCCAGCAGCAGCAGGCGCAACAGCAACAGGCGCAGCAGGCGCAACAGCAGCAGCAGCAGCAGCAACAACAACAACAACAACCACAGCAAAGACCCACATCCACCGCCATCCCCCCCAGAACGCATATCGCTGGCACAAGCGCACTCACGCCGCCCGAGGAGACAGCAACAGGACGAAAGAGGTTCCCCCAACATGCCCCGACTTCCGACGCCGCCAAGGCACCAACCGCGCAAATGGGTCACTCGACAGCCCAGCCGACAGAGAAGCGCCGCCGGATATCTGGCTATGCAAATCCCGCTCAGGCGGCGGCGGCCGCCGCATCGTCTTCTTCGACCAACACGGACGCATCGACCGCTTCGATGGTCAACGCAGGCAGACAGCTGATGGAAGACGGGTTCCTCAAGATCGCCGACGCTATCCGCGGCCGCGGCCCGCAAAAGTGGCCCGAGCAGGCCATTGACATCTTCTTCCGCGACTTTTCCGACGAAGACCTGGACCTGCAGCTCAAGATCGCCGAGAAGGCTCTCACGGATGACAACAAGGCCATGATCTTTTGCAAGATGCGCCCAGAGCTGCGAAGCCATTGGGTGAAGCGGCTCAGAGAGCTGCACAACAACAGCCGCAACGCGTAGGAGGGGTACGACGTTGGTATGGCGATGCAGCAAAAGGCAGGGGACAGACATATTACGGTCGAGGCGCGTACACGATTTTCAAGTCTCGACTCGGGGGGGTTGTGTGTCTGCCCCCTTCCTTCCCCAAAGTGTAGGATTCGTGGCAAACGGCGTTTTTCGATGTTCAAGACGATTGAAACCCTAAATCGTAAGCGTTGGGTCAGCGTGGGAGTCGGCACAAGGGCTATTTTTGTTTCCAACGGCAGAGGGGTCTAAAGGCTTAGGCATGGGCTAAGCTGGCAAAGGCAGCTTTTTCTGGGGGGTGGTTTTGTGTTTGTGTGTGTGTGAGAGAGAGAGGTAGAGAGAGAGAGGGAGATGGAAGAGGGACAACTCTTTTCGAGGGAACTGAAAGAAGAAGGCTGGGATAAAGCGCAAAGTGGGCAAATGTGCGAGGGCGTTCTAGGTTTCCGGTCTGAACGGGGGAAAGGCCATGGTTCAAACGGGGATCGGAGGAGTTAGCAACCAAACGGCATAGCGATTGGGGAAATATGTTGGAGCTTTTTTCGTGACACCTACCTCCTTTTTTTCTTCTTCTTTTTTTTTTTTTTCTTTTCGCTTTTCGCTTTTTCCCTCCCTCCCCCTTTTCTTTCGTCGACCCCGTTTTCTGTACGATTCTACGATTCTACTACTACTATTACTTACTACTACCACCTACCACCACTGGATGAGAGGCAAGCGCGGGGGCGATATATCGTGGCCGTGGGAGGCATGTCTCCTTTAGTATATTCCAATACTTATTGTCGATACCAAAACGTTAAGGTCGAAGGCTTGTAATGCCTATCTGTTCGTGAGTGTGCTCGTTAAGACGGAGAGAAGGAAACCTGTGGGTGAGCCTAGAAGCAAGTCATTCAAGCATGTGTATTTATGGGACGGTGTAGCTTGAGTGGATGGAGGAGTATCATGTCCGTATTCGCCCTGAACGCCAAGTACATACATATAGTGGAGATCCTTTCCACGCTGTGTTCGTTAAGACGCAATTTCGCCCCGCGCCCGAATCCGCGCTGCAATCATGCCCATGAGAGAAAAAGTCTCTAAGCCACCCGCAAAATCCAAGTATTAATCATCTTCAGATTTGCTTGATTCATTTCTTGCCCTTGGTCTTGTAGAGGTAGCTGCGAGAAATGTCAGTCTCCAAGCTCAGTGGTATCAGCGATCAGTGACTGAGAACTGTGCAACTTACTTTCCAATAACACCTTCACCAAGACCAACAGCACCAAGGATGCTCACGCCGACAGCAACGTTCTGCCACGTCAGGCGGCCGCGGTCGAACAGACCCCAGGCCTTGTAGCCAAGGAACGCGCTGAGGCCAACCACGCCAACAAGGTTGGAGATGGCGAGGGCGCCGGCGCTGCCGTCACTGAGACTGGAGAATTGGCGCTTCAGCCAGCTGTCGGCCTTGCGGGCCTTGCTGGCGGCCTTCTTCTTGGCGAGATCGGCCTCGGCGCGTGCCTTCTCCTCGCGGTCGATGCGGTCGGCCTGAGTCTCTGTCTTGATGTCCTGCTCGAGGAAGTCGTTGGGGACGGTGTGGACACTCGGCATGTCGACATCGACAAGGGATGAGGTAGAAGCGGTGGAATCAACAGAGACCTCAGGAACAGGGGGCGCCGCAGCCTACGGAGGTTCAAGTCAGTTAATTTTTTTTTAATTCGCATACGTCATTGCGTCGGCACCTGCGATTGAAAAGAATTGAGGGGGAACATGTTTGGGGATAAGAAATGAGATCACGCGATCTATAAACATACCTCCTCAGGAGACTGCTTAGGGCCCTTGGATGCGATATCAGCGTAGGACACTATATGACTGTTAGCATCATACAAAGGCGGGAAAATGACAATCAAGTTAGGGAGAGACTCACTTGTGATGTGAGGTATTAGTTTGGTTTAGAAAGGGAGGTGAGAAGCTTGAAGAGAAGAATGTGTGTGTGTGTGGAAGAGAATACGTGAAGGTGTGCAGATCGACGAATGACGTGGGAAGGATGCGGGAGCTCTCCTATTTAAGAGGTGGCTGTCATGTGAAGGAACAAACCGGAAGGGGGAGGAAAAACCAGCAAACTAAAGAAAAAAAAAGGCACGAAAAGGATGGCGCACGCGGCGGGAAGGTGGTCACTAGCAGGTCATCAGGTGGTTTGACCACCTTCCCTTCCCCCCCCCTTCGAGCTTTCCTTGATCTTGGTTGGCGCGACGAAGCCTGGAGACCAATGACGTATGCGGCTCGGGAGCTTGGGACACCTGCGCTCCTAACCAATCACAACGTCATATATCCACAATATGTGGGGGCGTTCGGCCTAGGCCCGGGGAAGAAGCCGGGAAGGGCCAGGAACGGTGTCATGCAGCGGACAATCCTTGGACGGGGCCCTGTGCCAATGCTGGTTGTAATAGATGATGTTATTCATGCTCATCGACTTTGAGTGGGAGTCATACTGCTCCGTTGCTGGGCAATTTGAAGCTATTCCCACGCTAGAAGGCATACGCCAAGAAATACGCAAACAACAAAATCTCCACGCTCGTGTTTTTTGTAGAATAAAGGATAAAATACAAAAACAAGAAACAAAAAACCTCAGAGAAGTGTATGTCTATTGTTTTGGTTTGTTTTGGTACTGGTACACTTTGTACACTATTATTGTACATAGAATATGCCCGAATTTTCCCGTCATGCTTGTCATTAGCCGCCCTTCGCAGTGCGTCTGCGCCCCTTCTTTCTGCCGCCCACCCACATACACTGATTCTATAATGGTAGAGGTGTAGAGATATTTTCGTTTTCTTTTGGTGTTTAGTTCTCGTTCGCCGCGGTGGCATCCGTTGCCTTGTTGTTGGGCTTGGTGAGGTCGACAGTCTCGTTCGCAGAAGCCGCCTGCTTGGCCTCCTCCTTCTTCTTCTCGGCCTCGGGCTTCAACTCGATCTTCTTCACCTCCGTGTCGCTCTTGATCTCGGCTCTGGGAGCTTGGTCGGGGGAGTCGGCCGTGGTCTCCTTCTGGTCCTCCTTCTTGTCCTCGACGGCGTGGGTAGGGGGCGTCACAGAAGCATCGGCGTTGGCGTCGAGAATAGGCTGAGCGTCCTCGGGGGCCTCATCGTCGGCCAGCTCGGCACCGTAGATCTCGGGATACTTACGGAAGCACTCCTGCATTCCCCTGCTGCAAGTTAGCATGTTTCTCATCAATCACGCCACATCCGCTTAACGCACTGGAACTTCTCGATGCAGTCCATGCCCTTGGGCTCCTCCGTGGAGTAAACGAAGCAGCTGAAGGCAGCCTTGAACTCCTCGCCACAAGGGCCGTCCGCCATGCCGCCAAGACACGGGCAGTCCCAGTTGATCTCGCCAGTCTCGGGGTTGAAAGCGCCCTGCTGGTCAGCCTCCTCCTGGAGAGCTTGGGGGGAGCCAGGGGCCGGTGCGCCTTCGGCCTCGGTCGCTTGGGTCTTGTCGGCGGCCTCTGCAGAGTCGGCGGTGGTAGCAGCAGCGGGAGCGGCGGCGGCGGCGGCGGGCTTGGGCTTGGGCTCCTCAGCCTTGACGATGGCTCGCTTGCGCTTCTCTTCGACAATAGCATCGACGGTGGTCAGGTCAGATTCGGAGAACTGGGAAGGCGCGGGAATTGTCCGGGCTGTTATTCAATCAATTTAGCAACCTCTCTCGGTCATCTCCAAGTAATTCCCCTTCGATAGTACATACCAATTGGCTCCTCAGCAAAGACGGGACTGGTGTTGTACCAGTAGATTGCGCCAATAGCCAGACCCCATCTCAGTGCCGAGCCCTTCCATGACCGGGGCTTGTCGGCCGGTGTTGTCGAGGCGAATCGTCGAGGGGCTGCGCGAATTGCGGACTGACGAGCGGCGCTCAGGGCGCGAGGTGTCGAGCGAACGGCGCTGCGATACATTGTGTAGCTGAACCAGGAAAAGGAAATACAAAAGACGGATAAGAAGACAAAGGGGAAAGAAGGGGGGTCTAGTAATTAGATTCGCAGAGGGCGCGGAGTTCGAGAGTAGTGGACGGAACTGGGTTGGTAATCTACGATCAGGAAAGAAAAATGAAGCTTCGACTTCGGGGTTCTGCCGAGCTTTACCCGGCGCAACCTTCAACCGTGGCGCCATCTGGCTCCGGCCGATCGGACGGCCCAATTAAAGGAAGAAAGATTAAAAGAGAAAAAAAAAAAAAAATGAGAAAAAGCCGGGTCAGGTCGGGCGCGTTATCCGGTCGCCAATCCCGTTGCACCAATAAATGCAACTGGTTCCATTTCTGGCTGACTACAACTACGTAACATGGACAAGATACCCCGATAGACACTGGTGGTACAGCTGATGTGTTCATTCGCTTTTACTTTAGAAGGGTTCTGTATCGCATCTAAGTCGTCGTTTGGTTAAGTTTCCCCAGGAACAAGTTGGGCTTGATTTTTTTCTCTTGAGAGTGATTTATTTGTAAATAGATGCGCAGCCTGTCTTTCTATCTGACGTGACCACAAGAACAGTCTCGAGATGTCATCGGTGCCGAGTTACGAGTGGCGCCCTGTATCACTCCTCCGGGGCAGGCAGCCTCAGAGTGAAGGCCCTGCAGACTTTGCGCTCCTCGTCCTCAACCAGCCGGTGAAGCAGTCGCAAGTATTTGACTCGCTGTGGACTAATGGTATGATGCGGCATTTGGGATTTCGACCGTGATACGCTACTGACGCCTGGTGCAGCTCTTTTGCGAGTCGCAGCCGATGGCGGCGCAAATCGACTTCTTGAACTGAACAAGGCAGCGCAGTCCCAGACGCAGAATGCTCCTTTTGTTGGTTTCAACCCCGATCATGGCGACTGACTTGACTAATACCCCGCAGACCAACCTTGACGCCATCATTGGTGACTTGGATTCATTAAGCACCGCCTCCAGGGAGTTCTTCGCGAAGCAGGAGAAGCCCACCCAAATCATTCACCTCACTGACCAGGACTCAACCGATTTCTCCAAGGCAGTTTCCTGGATCCGGTCAAGAGATGGCCCAAATATCGATATAGTCGCTCTTGGCGGACTTGGGGGCCGTGTCGACCAGGGTCTTAGCCAGGTACATCATCTGTATCTTTTCCAGCCGGGGCCCGACTATTCTCTGGGCAAGATGTATCTTGTCTCCGGCCAGAGCTTGACATTCTTGCTTCTACCCGGCCGTCACCACGTCCGGGTCCGCGAGGGCGGAGAGGACGTATTTGCAAAGTACGTGGGTATCATCCCTGTCGGAGGGACCAGCTTCATTACCACCAAGGGTCTCGAATGGGATGTGGAGAACTGGGAGACCAAGTTTGGCGGCCACATCAGCACGAGCAACCACGTGCTGCCCGAGACGAAGGTGGTCGAAGTCGAGACGACAAACACTGTGCTTTTCACCATTGCTCTTGCAGGCATTGAATAAACCAAACTCAACTGTCGCTTGCTGTACATGGTGCGTCCCAAAATGCTCGAGAGAAATGCAAGGTGCATGTCGCAGCCGCCGATCCCTAAACGCCATAGCCTTGATATCCCCAATTTCATGATACTTTTGTTACCCTCCCGCAAACTCCAACTACTACCAAATCACCGCAAGAAGTGGATGACCAACCAGCAGAAGAGGAAGAAAATGATGACACCGGCCCAGAAAATCCACTTGTCCTCCTTTGCCCGGCGCTCAATCATGCGGATGGTGTCGCCCGAGATACCTAGCGTGTTGCCGACCGAGTAAAGTCGCTTCTGTGTGTTCTTGAGCATTTCGCGCTGTGTTCCTAGGTCACCCAGCACCGCCTGCCCTCGCGCAATGTACTCATCGAGGGCCGAGTTGGTGCTAGCGAAGAAATTCTGCTCCCGCAAGGCGTGCTGTTCTCTGGTGACATCGTTGCCACCCATACTCAGACCGCCACTGGCCTGGCTCGTGGATGCACCTCGGCTATGGAAGGACGACGACTTGTTGACGTTGGCGTAGGGGTTCTCAGGGGTTGAGGTGACATAGGCTCTGCGGCCGAGAAGATCGCCTCGGTTGTTGTTGTGGATGGCATCCTCGCGGGCCTTCTTGAGGGAGTCGACTTGCGATCGGAAATCGGCCAGATCATCGCGGAAACGCTTCACCCGCTCGAAGGCTTCTTCTTGTTTCTTGGGGACAAGTTCCTGACGGGCGAGGTTGTGGTATTCGTCGACAGTCTTGGAGAAGGAGGCAAGAGAAGCGGACACGTTGCCAATCTCGGCGGGAGTAAGAGCGGCGGGTTGGGCAGCGGATGTGGATAGCTTCTCGAGGTCGTTACGGATGGCCTTGCTTTGGCGCAGGGCCGAGTTGTATTGGACGTTCTGCGACTGGTTAGCCGGGCCCAACTTTTGTGAGATTGTTCGGGTTGCAACTGACCATGCTGTTTCAAGTTGTATAAGGTGGTCAAGTTAACAAGGTTCGATTTAGAAGAAAGCTTAGATATAACTTGAAGTTGTGAAGAGCAGAATCAAGATGCGCCTCACACAAATGCAGGGTCCCGAGGTCTAGAGCTTAGGACAAGCTGGAGCTCTCTTGCTTTCCTGGAGTTACAACATGTGGCTTCTCCCAAGAAAACACGTCACCGCCTTCCTGAATCGGTGAGTGGTCGATAAGCACCCCGATACAGTCCTTAAACTGCTTAATATCTGTGTACGTACCCCTTGCCCCCTGTGTGTAGCCAAGACCAGGGATTCCCCGTCCAAAGTTTGTCTCTTCTTCTATCCGTACATATAATTGAATTCACTTTTCGGATCGACACTCTTCGCTGCTGATGATAATGGATGTTTGTGGCCTGCTACGATTACAACGACTGCTGCTTTGATGTTTAAGCCGCACACCCAGACTAATCCTTAGCATAGTCTTGGAAGAATTTTGCCGATTACGGACCGCACGCAAGCTGCATTATGAGCCAAGGTCATCCTACATTTTACCAGTCTTTCGGGAGAGCTCCATCTTAGCCGATATCACTGATCTCAGCCAGGCGCAAAACAACTCGGAGCCGAATTCCTTGAGACCTTGACTGTGGAACCGAATTCGTCGCCAACTTGATACCGTCGTGGAGACCAAAGTCCCCATTATGGCTGGCAAATCCATAGCAGTCGCCGACTCGGCACCGACATGCAGTTTTTACGGCAATGATACTACTCCCCCGACCAACAAAACAGGCCAGGCGAGGCGATGATCGGTTCCCTTCTCGCCGTCGCTGTTAAGCGACAAGCTTAGGCCCCAACGACATAATCCTAATCTCCTGTTCCCGGACATGGTCGCTTCTATATCTAGATCTAGCCACACGCCAGGAATTCGCTGTCAACCACAGTCCCTCATGTACCTTTCCTAGTGCAATTTGAGACGTCAGAAACCAAATCACAATGACCAGGCCTCCGAGTATTGCGCCTTCAGAAAAGTCAGTACCTCCTCCACCTGGCTCTACCAAATCAGCCTCGGAGGACGTCGAATCTGCGGCACCATCAGAACCCGAACAGCCGCCTCAGTATTCCATATATACGACATGGGAGAAACGGTCCATCGTCCTGGGCTCTTGCTTGGCTGCATTTTTCTCGCCCTTCACGGCTCAGATCTATCTACCCGCCCTAACAGCCCTGGCCCAGGACTTCAATGTCTCTGACTCTGACATGAACTTGACCTTGACCACCTACATGATATTTCAGGCCATTGTGCCCATGTTCATAGGGTCATTAGCGGATAACAGCGGCAGACGGCCAGCTTATGTCATCTGCTTCGTCGTTTACATCGCTGCTAATATTGGTCTCGCATTATCGAAAAACTACGCGTCATTGCTAATAGTTCGGTGTTTGCAATCCGCTGGATCCAGCAGCACTGTCGCGCTCGCTTCAGCTGTTGTGGCTGACATCGTCACTTCTGCGGAGAGAGGTCAGTACATTGGGATCACGGTGGTTCCTATCGTTCTCGCGCCAGCTCTAGGACCAGTTCTCGGCGGTATTCTTACCCAGTTTCTCGGCTGGAGGTCCATCTTCTGGTTTCTCGCCATACTGTCCGGCGTGTTTTTCGTTGCCCTGTTGCTTTTCTTCCCAGAGACTTGCCGGAAGATCGTTGACGACGGTTCCATTCGGCCACCAAAACTGTACCGAACTGGTTATCAGTTACTCAAGGACTATTTCAAGAAGAGAAAGGGAGAACGTGCTCCGGTGGGAAGATCAACTACTGGAGGAACATCGATCACTTCTAGGCCGTCGCTCAAGTTTAAAATCAACCCTTTCGGCTCACTCGTCCTACTTTTTGAGAAGGAACTTGGCCTGCTTCTCGGCTTCAGCGCTGTTGTCTTTGCCGGGTTTTACGCTATAGCTGCCTCGATGCCGACTCAGTTCGAGAGGCTGTACGGCTTTGACAGTTTGAAAGTCGGTCTCATGTATTTACCACTGGCCGGAGGCTCTGTTGTGGCTGGTTTCGTCGTTGGACCACTAATCAACTGGAACTACCGTCGACACTGCAAGCGCCTAGGTATTCCGTATGACAAATCCCGCCAACAAGACCTGTCTGATTTTCCCATCGAAAAGGCTCGCCTCGAGATCGGCCTGCCTTTGCTGTATCTCAGCTCGATTTTGCTGCTAGTTTGGGGTTGGGTTCTTCACGCCGGCCCTCCTGTTGCCGTGCCCTGCGTGCTTCTCTTCCTATTTGGCGTGGGAATGATTGGATTCAATAATACGACCAACACTCTAATCGTCGATATTCATCCTGGGCGGGCCGGTACTGCGACAGCTGCGAATAACTTCACTAGATGCCTTCTTGGCGCCGCTGCGACAGCAGCCATTCTGCCAATGATCAATGGAATGGGTGTCGGATGGGCCTTTACTCTGCTAGCCCTGTTATACATTGTATGCAGCCCCTCGTTGTTGGCAGTCATGTATTGGGGCGTCAAGTGGCGCAAGGCGGCGAAAGAGAAGGAGCTGAAGAAAAAGAGTGCGGCTTGATATTGTCATACTACCGATGCATTAGCGGTTCGCATATCATGATACCCAGTTGTTTCTGCCAATAAACTTGGCCAATTCAAGACTATTTTGTCTTGTGCCATTTTCATATCTGCTCCACCCATTCCTGATTTCATCCTTCGCTTGTGATTGGATCTGCACCTGTTACTATGCTTCTGACCTCCTCACGCCCTGCCGTTGACAAGAGGATCGCAGGGTTAAAAACGGTGCGTGAAGACCAGCGCATCAGGCCTCATCTTCTAGTGACCTTCACCAATTCAACTTCCATTACTCCACCATTGAAGCCAAATTCAATTCAGCAAGATACAATGGTGAAGGAACAAGATTTCCAGCCAGGAGCTGCGAGCAAAACCCTCGCGGCTCAATGCTACTGCAAAGCTGTCCACTTCACCATCACCGTGCCGACCTCCTCTCTTCCGCTCAAAGTCCACCTCTGCCACTGCAGCATTTGCCGCTACACACACGGCACTCTCTGCATCTTCCATGCACCTCTCCCAAGCGGCGTAGGCCCGTCCTTCATCGCGCCATCCTCGCTCTCCACCCTGACCGCCTACCGACATGCCGCCGCCAAAAGCACGCGCTACTTTTGCAGCACCTGCGGCTGCCATATTGGCGACCAAGGGATCGATGACAGTGACTGGGTCATCTCAGCGTCCATTTTTGACGCCAATAAGGACGATGTACCGTCAATTTGGGATATTCACCAGCACGTCAACACGGACTCGGCCCCCGGAGGTGGGCTATACGACTGGCTGCCGAGCATCGCAGGCAAGCAGTTGAAGGTGTGGAACCCGACGAAGCCAGACTCTGGGGATGTCGTCGTACCACCAAAACAAGAATTCGACAAGGACGGCAAGGAGGTTCTCCGGGCCCAATGCCACTGCGGCGGGATATCATTCACCATCTCTCGTCCCTCGCCCGGCGTTGAGTCGTACAAAGACTGGATATCGCCCACCGAACCGACTAAATGGATGGCTGCTGCAGACAGCTGCGGAGACTGTCGGTTGCAGACAGGCGCTCACATCACCGGCTGGGCCTTTGTGCCTCAGTCATGCATCTCGCCTGAGATTCCGGAGGACCTCACGCTGGGCACGTCCAGAATGTATCAATCGACGGAGAAGGTATTCCGCTCCTTCTGCGGGACGTGCGGCGCATCATCGCTGGCCTTCTACAGCGGTCCCGAGCGGGCTCTGGTGAACGGCGACAGGCTTTTTAATCTCTCTGTCGGTCTGTTAAGAGCACCCGAGGGTGTTTTGGCGGAGAATTGGCTGACGTGGAGAACTGTTAAGGTGGGCTGGGCGGAGAACGGGAAGCAGTATGATTCTGCGTTGGTTGAGGCGCTGACTGAAGGCACAGAGAAATGGGGGAAGAAGCATGGTGATAAGGGGAAGATTTTGGAGTTTTATCCCTAGGTATTTGATATATGTGTTATTGGCGGCGAGGTTATCAAAAGTTGTTGTGAATTTAGCTGTTCATCTTCAAGTCTTTTTTTCGTCCTTGGCATTGAATGAGTGAGACTTTTTCTCAGTCTCATGGCAGTTGTTTCATTGGCCTATTCATCATCTCATCCAGCAACATGAGCAGATTGAAGATGTACCAAAGCTTCCCCAATGTCTACTACGTTGTCGTCTGTTGTTACGACTTCAACCGAATTAGGATCATCGGGCCGGTGAACCTCTCTGAATCACGATAAGCCGCCAGCGCAAGGTGCCACTGTTATAGAAATCCATCACCAGCAACTTCATTCCGGTTTGAAGGCGCTCACTACTATCTCGTCGCTTTTGAAGTTGGGGAAGATTGCAACTTAGTAGAACGGGCAGATTACAGAAGTCGCAGAAAACATGAAATGCAAAGCTTCGATGCGGATGTCGATTGCGCGAGAGCAAAAAGAGAACATGTCTTTTGGTGGAAAATGGTGGCGGAATCCCGCCAGATGACTAAGTAAGCCCAGCGGCACAGCACCAAGACAGCATCTATGGCGGCCCTCCGCCTCGCTTAGTGCAGTGTCACCCCTTGGAACACCTGCTGAGTGACCCCCCAGAAACATTTCCTGTCATTGGACTTGGGTATCACGAAACGGAATCCCAAATAACGTTTGAGCATTCAATAAGCTTTGGTGTCAAGGACCGCAGATCACTTGTTACTCAATGTCCAACTCTTTCTTTGAGCGGGCCAACCCGCCTCCACGGCGGAAAACCTGTATCGCTTGCACAAAGGCAAAGCGCCGCTGTGACCACGGTCATCCCGCATGCCTGCGGTGTTCGCGGCGGAATATCGACTGCGTCTATCCCAGCCAGTCAGCTTCCAGGTCGAAAACACTAGCTGCCCAGCGCCCTCGGAAGAATACTGAGACCCCTTTGCCGGAAGATGGGCCAGTGGTTCCAGCCGAGACCCCGACTGCTACTACCGACGAGACCGAGGAGTGGGTATGTGCAGACGCAGCTTTAGTGCCATGGTCACAGGATCCTGACCCTCTTCCACTGGAGATGGAAGACATGGATGAAATTGCATTGAATATGGACTTTGACAACTTGATCAACCCCGACGCCTTCTTTGGCGGAGCTTTGTCTGTCCCTGCCACCTTGACTCCAAGAGCCGATCATATGCTGGTGTCATCACAGTGTCCTCTTCCAGAGAACTCGTCCGAAGATGTGATAGCTAGTCGCGTCCAGTACGCCCTCGATGTAATGAAGGGAGCACCATCGTCGATGGTGTTGGAAAATCAGACGCCATGGTGCCACCCGTACCTATATCGAGCTCACATGCCACGGGACATGCAGGGTTGGTTTACCCTGGGTGATGTTTGTTATGCTTCGCTAACCTGTTCTCCAGATGCCCAAGCATGCTGCGCTCTCTACATAGCCAAGAACCCACACAACTCCTCCATCGTCCTACGAACGATTCAGGCTCGGGCTCACGAGCTGCTTGCTTCGCCTCTTCCCAAGGGTCGAACAGAAATCCTAGCACGCATCCACGCCATCATTCTCTATCAAATCATCCGCCTTTTCGATGGAGACATCACCACGAGAGCCTCTGCCCAACAAACACTCTCCGCCTTCGAACCCGCGGTGCTCGCCCTACTGCCCTTTGTCAAATGGAACCGTACCCAGCCCGAGACAGGCCCAGCAGAAGAACAGCAGCCATGCCCGACGAAAGATTTCTGGCAGGAATGGATCTTTCAGGAATCCGCCCGCCGCACCATCTTCTTCGTCAGCTTCTTTCTCGTCCTTTATCAGACGCTCGTGGGACAATTGATAGCCGGAGGTTGTCGGGAGAGGTACATCTTTTGTCAATCTTGGACAATGTCGGCTCATCTCTGGAACTCACAAAACGTGGTTGACTTTGCCATTGCATGGCGAGAGAAGCGTCACTTTACAGCCAACAAGCATTGTTTCACCGATGTCTTGCGCGAGGCTGCTGCGGATGATGTCGATGTATTTGCGAGGATGTTCATGGTTGGGGCCTTGGGCATTGACGAAACAAGGTTATGGTTTTACAATAAAGGCGGTTCTCTGTAAATAAGATGTCTTGATGGAGATAAGCATTATGTTGGATTTAGCCATGTTTTCTTGACTCATGTCACTTCTTGGCAGCATACACAATCACGCTCGAAGCAAGAAACGAATGCAGAGATGAGAATGTCCATAAAAGAGCTATGCCACTATTTGGCGTTCGTAAGCAAGTATCGTTCGTACCCTGTCGACCTGAAAAACCACTCCCCCCAACCCGTATTCCTATACGCCATCGATCACGAAAAGTGTCCCTCCCCAAGTTCCAAGCCCAAAGTCATCTAGTGGTATCTGTAACGTCCACCGTATACTCCAACATCAAACAGAAGAAAATAAGAAATCCCATTTGTAGTCCTCTGTCCTCTCACTGCGAAAAGAAAAGTGTTGCTGTTGTGCCAACCGATCAGAAATAGCGCTTGATGCGTTCGTACTTGTTCCACTGAGCCCGGCTGGGTACTCTCTTGAGTTCCTCGAGAGAGGTCTGTTCCTTGCCGTTGACGAGAGCGCGGACAAGCTTGAACTTCAAGTATTTACCACCGTTCTCGTTGATGTCCTCGAAGTACTTCTCGACGTGGTAAAGGCCGTCGTAGCGGATACCAACGGTTGGAGCCCAGACGGAGGTGGTCGTCTTGCTGTCGATTGCCTTTCGGAAAACACGAACAAGCGTTCCCTTCTTGCTGCTGGTGATGAGCGCGTTGGTGGCGTCGTTGACAGGAAGCAGGTTCTCCGGATCGTAGTTTGCAGCCGCGTTCGAGCCAGAGTACCAGATGACATCGCCCTCATCCTTGTCGAGACCTCGGTACGTGCCGGAGACGATGACGGAATACGCGCCGTTGTCCTTGGAGCCGTAGATGCCGCCTTGAGCGGAGCCATGGCCGCCGTTGAAGAGTGCAGACAGCTGGCAAGGGAACCATTTTCCGACGTCAATATCATTATGGCCAAACACGTCCGCACGGCGCTTCTTATCCTTGTAGTCGGGGTTCAGGCACATCGTGTTGTTTTTACCCGTAGTGGCGATTCCGTGCATGATTCCGTTTACGCCCCAGATAGGGTGGCCGGAAGGAGGCTTTCGGATGACTCCAGCAGACGGGCCTCCGCCGCTCGTGGTAGAAGTAGAACCGCGAGAGGAAGTAGCTCTGCTGTTCGCGATGGATAATCCGACAGGCGTAGGGATTTCGGGAGCGGCTTCCGCGGTGCTGGCCCAGTAGTGGAGAATCTGAGCTCGGTTCTTATCCTGGTCGGTGAACAGGCGTTGCTTTGCCACGAACTCGACGTCGAAGATGCGCACAAGGCCTTTGAGGAGAGATTCCTTGCCGTTGTAGAGGTCTTTGGGGAGACTGTTGCCGTAGAGGTCGCGGCACTCTTCAAGGTAGGCGAAGTACTTCTCCAGCATCTGTCTCCTCGCGGAGACGAAGGGGTCTCCCAGGGTCCTCTGCTGGAAGGAAGCCTGGGCTCCCAGCCAGCTGATTACCCGGGAGTTCGTCAGGCTGAAATAGGAGCCGGGACTGCCGCCTTCGGGGACTTTAGGGGCTGGGGCTGCCATTTGGTCTTTGTTTCTGTTGTCTATCGTCTCTTCGCTTGTTAATCTACTATTCGGTATTCAATTGAATACGAGAAACAGGACGAACAAGGGGAATAGGAATTGAAGAAAGGAACTCACATTTGTTGTTTTTGTCTGTGACTTTGGCGCCGGTTTTGGCGCTGATTTGAGGTTGTTGAGAAAAGGAGAAAAGGAAAAGAGAAAAAGAAGAAAGGAAGAATAAAAGGAGTGGGGGAGGGCTTGGGGCAGTGAAGCACACGATTAGTCGGCGAGACACACGATTAATCTGTGAGACTTGATTAGGGTTAAGAAGGCTCTAGTTGTGTCGACCCGGCGCGCCGGAGGCTGTGAAGTTGTGAATCGTCGGGCTCGGAACGGAGGTGTGGGTCCGGAGGCCGGAGAACTCGGCCTAGCATAAAGCCTCAAGGATAGTCTGACATTATCAAAGGAAGGCGCAAAGGACAGTTTAGCTACTGGAATTTACTGTATTATTCATGAAGTCTATTCTAGCCTAGCTTCCTGCGTGCCCTATGTAAGTAGTGACCGGTTTGTGCTTGGATATGGGTGATGGTCGAGTATTGCCTGAGATCTGAGTCTCAGCTTTGGTGAAGGCGATTAAGAATATTTGTTGTTTATTAGGGAAATTATCATTGAGAGGCTGAATGATGACTTTCTTATGGCAAGTGCGACTAACTGCGAGATGTTGCAAGTTATGTTTGACTAAGCTTTCACTCATGATTCCTCTAATACTATGTCCAGCAACATCCAGTCCACAAGGACTGCAATCTGTTTTCGCAGAAAGAGTTGAAAATCAAGGATAAAAGTTTTGACTCGGGAAAATTGCTGACACAGCACGCTTGCTTCCCTGTTATAGGATGCTTCGGCATTTCGGTTGCGCAGTCAACGCAGGGCATTATTTGGGGGCTGTTCACCATGTTAGTTACTTAGAGTTGAGCAGGAACATAACATCATCGTGGGACACTATGAGTCATGGTGTCATGACAAGGACGAATATCTAGTCAATTATACTTTTTGTCAACTTGTAAAAGCAAGTAGGCACTAGCAAAGTTTATCACCAGTAATTTCTGAGTGAACAAAGTCTGTTATCAAGTTTTTCTACATTTCATTTCAATGAGTTTTGACAAATTTTAGTTGAGCTGAGTTGATGATGCTGGCTAATGGTGTACGAGTGGCAGCTGAAAAGGGGTGAGAAGCCATTTACTTGATGACATGGTATTTCCTATTCTGTCAGAACAGAGTAGTGAGTGGTGGAACGCAGTCAACTATAGAAATTCAAAGGCCAAAAAACATTCAAAGAAACGATTGTAACTCAGTAGATGACCGGCTCGAACAACAGTTTGTGAGTTTTTTAAAAAAAAAAAAAGAAAAAAAAAAAAAAAGGAAAGCTTCAACATGCGCTTAGAATGTTGCCATACACCTAGACAATCTCCCGTCCGAAACACGATTGACTGCAGGCATCTGCTGTGATGACCGCATTTGTAATCGACTCATCAAGACTCATTATGTTGAAGTCAACCGTGCAGTTGACCTTACCTAGGCGCCTAGAAATTTGGCATAGGCGAGCCAGTCAGATGCTCAACTCATCTCCCCCGACCCGACCGACAATGCGGCAGACGGGAGCTTCACCCGCAATAACGTCACCTGACACACCCCATCATTGCTGTGCCGCACCAGCCCACGGGCTTAGCATATGCCACTCGGGCTGGGCCGCCAATGAAGCATGGCTTAAAAGTCTTGGAAAAAGAAGCCTGACCGCCGAGAACAGCCCACTCTTGGTTGTTCTTGGGTACCCTAGGGACAGCCGCCACGGAAGCTGGGCGCATGAAGCTTATGCTAACCGTCCAAACGATTATCAGGTGTCTGTATTTGGCGTATCGTATTCGATGAGTCTGGACAGTCGAGTAAAAAAGGCTGCAGCAGGCGCATTGCCGCGATGAGACGTTGAAGCTGCGCCTCTAAACGATAATTATAAAGGGATTGACAATTCCATCTTTGCAAGGTCGGTCGTGAATGATGCTGCGTAATTTGCTTGGCACGCAATTCACCATCCAGAATCAACCTAAAATTTCGTCCGGATACAAACCATCATGAGCAACGGAAAGGGATATAACCCGTCCGTCTTCAGCCAAGACACCATCACCGGCTCCGACGCGGCGTCAATCAGCCCGCTAATCCGCAACGCGGACGGCAGCACCACGGGGACGCCTCTCCGCGGTACGGACCCCCAGCCCGTGCCCTCGGACAACTTCCACTACGTGTCGACGCGGGTGGTCAAGGAGATCCCCAAGTCCGCCTTGAAGGCGCCGGATCCGAATTCCAAGTTTACAAAGTTCAAGAACATGCTCAAGCCGCCCGCCGTCAAGGCCTTCGAGGCGCTGCCCAGCGCCGAGGGCAAGACGTATCACATAGACGAGCAGGGCCGCATCATCGAGACGACGGTCAGGAGGGGAGGTAAGAATAACGGTGGGAGGACCCCGGAGTGTGATGGCAGCTTGCTGACTCTATAACTTTTTTTTTTTTTAGCAACGATGGGTAATATTTACGGGACAGGGGGAGGCAACGGCGGCGAGTGAGGGGAGTGTGATTTGTCGCGTGGCAGCTACGTCGGTAATGATTTTCACGAGGCATCAAAGTTTGAATAGGTATTTCAGTATATTTCAACTGTTTCAAAAATATTGAAAAAACTATATACAATTCCAAAATGCACGCTGTAAACCGTAATCTCGTCAATTCACACAATTACGCCAGCCAGAACCAGAACTTCTGCAGCCAGTTCTTGGGAATAGGCTCCTCGTCCAGCTCTGCCATATCCTCCATCTCCTTGACGCCCGTGATAACGTCGACGTCCTCAGGCTTCTTGGCGAAGGGCGTGCGGAACCAGATCTTGTGGCCGACGTAGAGCACCAGGAAGATGGGCAGGGTGATGTAGGCCGCAAGGAAGTCGGAGACGCTCCACTTGCCGGGGAAGAAGACTTGGAAGCCGTTGGTGAGGGTGAGGAGGACGAGAATGAGCAGGACGAACCAGGTGAAGTAGGGCTGGAGAGGGGTGCGGAAGGGCAAGCGGTGCATCATGTTGTGGAAGTTCATGGCCTTGCGGAAGCGCAGGTAGGTGATCATGACGACGATCCAGGCGATGAAGCCGCTGATGGTGCTAATGTTCATGAACCACGTGAAGACGGTCGAGGTGCCGCTGCTGACGGTGAGGAAGGACAGCAGACCGATGGACCAGGTGCCGAGGACGGCGGCGTAGGGGACACCGCGCTTGGTAGTTTTGGTGAAGAAGCGCGGGGCCTGCTTGTTGAGCGCAAGACTGTATAGGATACGGCTGCCGGAGTAGAGGAAGGCGTTGCCGGCGGACCAGGCGGAGGTCAGGATGGCGGCGTTGATGACGTGGTTGAGACCACCGATACCGGCGCGCTGGATGCCGATGACCCAGGGAGAGGCGGCGGCGTTGGAGTTGGGGCTCAGGAGTCGGGGATCGTTGGAGGGGGTGATGGCGCCGATCATGAGGGAACCGAGGCCGTAGAAGATGGCCAAACGCCAGACGAAGCGGCGGGCGGCCTTGGGGATGTTGCGGCGGGGGGCGATGGTCTCGCCGGCGGCGAGAGCGATCAATTCGGGAGAGGTGATGAAGGCGAAGCCGGCGCGGACGAAAGCGGTCCAGTAGGCCAGGAAGCGACCGGTATGACCTTCTACTAGGTATGGTGTGATGGCGCCCGGGTCGTACCAGTAGAGGAAACCAATGCGGCCCTCGTCGGGGGCGCCTCCGAGGATGATGACCAGGCTCACCAGGATGAGACCCAAGATGGTGATGAGCTTGATACTGGCGAACCAGAACTCGGCCTCACCAAAGATTTCGACGGCGAAAATGTTGAGGGCGAGGGTGACGAGCAAGATGATGGTGATCCAGACAGCAGGGTGGACGGGTGTCTGCCAGTAGTCGAGGAGGATGGCACCGGCCGAGGCCTCGGCACCGACAAGCATGGCGTAGGCGTACCAGTAGTTCCAACCGGCGGCGAAAGCCAAACTGGGCTCGACGAAGCGTTCGACAAAGTAGGGAATCGAGATACCCTTGAGTGGAAGGTAGGTGGCCATCTCGCCGAGTTCGTTCATGATATTCCACACGACCAACATCATTGAGAGGTATCCCATGAAGAGCGGCGCAGGGCCGACGGTGGAGAGAATGCTGCCAGAGCCGACGAAGAGACCGGTTCCGATGCTGGAGAAAGTTAGCTAGTTTTTTTTTTTTTTTTTTTTTTTTTTTTTTTTTCCCTTTTTCTTTTTTTCCCTTTCCCAAGTAATACGTCCACCAGACGAATGAGAGGGTCAATTGGACGAAAGAATTAGTGTATGAGAAAAAACACTTACGCGCCACCCAAAGCCAGGAACTGAATGTGTCTACTTTTGAGACCACGCTGAAGCTGGTCGTGCTCTTCGAGCAGATTGGGCTCGCCGCTCAAGGCGGCGAAGTTGACATCGCGGGGGTAAGACTCCCCTTGGTGCTTGGACTCGACATCGGCCAGAGGGCCGCCGCCGTTGTAGTCCTTCTCCATTGTTGAAGTAGTCGCGTAGCTTAGGCGAGGCTCGGCGATGGAGAGAAAGTAAGGAGAGAAGGAGAAGAAACCGGAGCTTGAAAAAGAAACAATGTGGGAGGAGGCAGGCCTTATGGGGACCAGGTCGATCAAGAAGATTTTCAGAAATTAGGTCGCAAAAGGTATCGGTGGGATTCCCCGGCGCAACCACGGAGCGATTCTAGAACGCGGAGAACAGACGCGAACGGATAGGCTAGTTAAGCTTGAAAGGTGGGAGGGAGGCAAAGAAGGCCGCAATATTATGGAGACGGGGACATGGCGAAGATCTTTGGGGAACTTGGTGTGGATTTCTGCAGGTCGCCGGGGCGTAAATTTGTATTATCCAGGACCATGCTACGTAGTATGAGTGCGCGTGTGTGTATCGGACCTGGAGACCCCAAACAACGGAAGGGTCACCCGTTGGATTGCAACCTCGAATGCTTCAGCAAGACAAAAACACCCTGTCGGGCCAGTTGGAGTTGCTCGGTGACGTAGAATGGAGACATTGAACCCTTTGTGTGAGGTACCAACTCTGCAAGTGGCTTCTCGGCACTGACTGGTGCAGCTGGGGGTGGAAGAGCTTGATGACGGGGAAGGGCTAAACCCAAGGAGGAAACCTGGTTGGCTCATCAGATGTTTCTGTATCGTAACGCTTTCTGTGAACCCATGGGGTAACACAGCTTGGATTGAAGGCTTATCTGCTTGGCGACCTGGTCAGAGTGGATGCCAAGTCTCCATGATACCCACTTCGGCCTCATACTCGGGAAAACCGTGCGATAAGAACGTGGTTTGAGGGGGCCAAGATGCTGGTGGATAGTGTGGACGTGGTGAAGATGCCTGTCGTAAGAGGTACGTACATTAGAAATGCCTATTAACTGTAAGTTATTACACGTGTATGGCTATCCAATGTAGTACCCGATATTTAGGGTTATGCACGGAAGGCATAGTAAAAAGTGAATTAAGAACAACAAAAAAGCATGCCAAAAAAACATGAACAAAATAAAAATTTAATCTTAGCACATGACATTTCCAAGACATTTTCCATCATTCAAAAAATGGCTTTTCCCCACAAAACGTGGCTTACCTAAGACAGCTCGTCCCTCTTACACGACTGCTTAGTACTATGGTGTGTACAGTGTAGTTTTGGCTGCCAGGGCAGCACTTCAGGCCAACCCCATATCACGTGGCCCGGAGCGGCCCAAGCGAAGGTGGGGCAAACGGAAACAACACCGATGGTACCCGTGCCGTGCTTGCCTCCTCCGCGGGGGTGGACAAAATCAAGAATTATCACGTAAAATTTAGACCACCTTCTCCAGAGTCTCCTCTGATTCTGATGCACACACACCGTGGCACATCTTTCCCCATGAAATCGCGCACTGCTCGGATCAACTGGCTAGCATTTTTTGCTTTCGGTCTGCATCTCGGTCCTGGGGAAGCTTTGAAGCTTTCTGATTGGATGGTTCCCCAACTTTCCACCGTCGTGTCCGGGCGTCCGATGTTTCAATCACCGACAACCTCGATTCCCCCATCTCACATCACACCGGCCGCTCGTTGTCTGCAGATGTCATATGCTTGTAATACGTTAATCCCGCCTGCTTCCGAAGAATCTATCTGTTTCTTCATTTTCTTGACTCCGTTCGCTGAGTCGTGTGATTGATAAGGATCGAATGATGAGCACGCAATTTCACCATCCACTTTTCTTCCTTTAATGCAGGGCAATTACACGGCTCACCGTTTGCCGCCTACCCCGTGTGTTCAGATAGGGCTCCTAGTTCTCCATTTGCAGCAATCTGATATCGCTTCTGCAAAGTTGCCGTTTCTTCCCAAGCCATGGGGTTCCTTAAAGCTTATCAAGCGCATCTGTATGCGACGGGGACCCCGAACAGGTATCTTTACTGCACATCTATCTTGATACCAAATCAAAATCCCCATGCTTTGGTAATCTTGGCACGGCCCGGTACAGAATAGGACAGCTCCCCGGCCCCCCCACACACTATTGTACATACTCACGAGACAGGGAGACGGAATGGCTGACCGATATCTGAAAGTTACGAAGCCAATTCAACGTCGGAGGTCCACCCCGATCCCGATTCCGACTTTTAATATCTGCCGGCTTCTTTAGCGTCGTTGCGGCTCAATAACTTCTGCGCGTCCCCGCGGAGAGATACGAAACCTTGACGTGGCTTGACTCAGCCCGTCTTGGGGGCTCGTTTACAGTCTAACGCCATGCGGACGAAACTAGCAACGGGACGAACACCGTCTAGACTCTGTAACAAACTCCACGTCCGCCCTTCGCGCCCTACACACGACAGACGCGATGGGCGGCCTCGTTCAACTGGCACAATCCAGTTTGATCCAGTTTCCTGCCAATCGCCCCTCGGATCCTTCGGCAAGAAACCTGTTATCTCGGTTGTCAATCACGCCCTGTTACGAATTTAGGCACCAACGACGACGGATCAGCCCAGCTGCCCAGGTAGATGATGGTAATGATCATGACAAATATGTCCGGTTTCCATTTTGATTACACTAGACTGTCGGAATCCCGACTTTCGCTAACCCGCTAATTCCGATGAAAATTCAATCTTATATCCCATCAACCTCATCACACAATAATGCTCGTACGAAAAAGGAGAAGTAGAAGAAAAAAAAAAAAAGGAGGAGCTCGACCATGGCACACACAGCGCCAATTCCTTCCCATTATGTCTCAGAGAGCGAACAAAGCCAAGGCAGCGGCTCCGACGGCCTGGACGAACGAAGCTCCGTAAGTCAGAGCTCCGTTGGCCGTGACGACCGGCGGACGGGACGTCGTTGGGCTCGGCGTAGATGTTGGGACAGGCGCTCTGGTGGTGGTGGTGGTGGTCGTCGTCTTATCGGGGACAACGAGTGATGTCGAGGTGGTCGCGGAGGGCTCTTCCGGCGTTTGTGTGGACGTCTCCTCAGGCGTCAGAGTGGGAGTCTCTGTGGGAACGTCGGGGGTCTCGGTAGTAGTAGGGACCGGCGTGGGCGGGAGCTCGACGGTGCTCTCGTCCGTCACAGTGCGCGTCAGGGTGATGGAGTTGGTGCTGGCACCGCCGGCGCCGGTGCAGACGCGGCCAATGGGGCAGCAGCCGTATTTGCCGTTGTTGCCGAGCTGGCAGACCGACGTCACGGGGCAACCGCCGCTGCCATCGGGGCAGCAGGTGGACAACAGCGGGATGCAGCCGTCGCCGCAGTCCTTCCTGCCAATCTCGCTGCAGGGGACGCGAGTAAACTGGCGCTTGACATGCGGGGTGAACTCGAGAGGGGAGACCTCCACGGGGGAAAGGTCGTACGCAAGGGTGGTGGCGGCGGCCGAGAGGCCGAGGAAGATGATTGACTTGAGCATGATGGGGAGATGGGTGAGTACGAGGAGAAACGAATGTGTTTGGAACGAGAGAGACAATACGGAGTCTGACTGTCGAGCTTGAGTCAACTGTTCTACGCCTCTTTTCTCATTGAGGAAAACCGCCTCTTTATGTACACGAAAGCACAGCAAAAGGTAAGGCTTGCACCGTTGGGCAGATTCCGATTCTACCTAGGTAGTTTCCGCCTCGAACGCAAAAAAAAAAAAAAAAAAGTAATCGAAACAAACTCAGCCCGCATATTGAGGGGAGATGAAGTGCCATCACCAAAAGAGCGGTGGCGTCCAATCCAAGGCACCACGACCGTCCCACACAGCAACGGTCGTTTCTGTTCCTGCAGCGAAAACTTGGACACGATGGCGTCCAAAACCTATGGCAAGCAACCATTCAGACCTCGGGCTGAACAGCAGGATGTGATGTGGCGTTCTCGGAGCCGGGGTCTGGGGTTGAGGTGGTTGCTTCTTCGGGGGCTCAGCCCCGTGGCCTGCAGGTAATCACGGAGTTGAATCACCCCGCGTTCCCACTTCTCGAGGCATCTCAGCCGCAGGGCTGATTCACGAAATTAAAAGTGCGATAGGCGGTAAGGCATTGTTCTCTCGATTCCTTCAATCAAAGTCTGTCCGTCTTATTGTCTGTTTGCCTTGAGATGATGTCTGCAACCGCCAGTTAGCGCGTGTCTATCATGCAATACTGCGGCAGGCTGCGGTTGTGGTGGTTTACAATCCTGGTAATGTCTCCTAGCTTGGGCTCTAGCAATTTTCCACTACCTTTGACGTAGGCAGATGAGTGTCATTACAACTCTTTTCTACAAGAAGCCTGATGCACGATGAATCACGCCGTTTACCGGGGTCTTCCTGGCATTCACAGAGGGAAAAAAGTCATAATTATCTTGACTTGGCATGGGAAAATGGTGGGCTCGACCACATTCACGCGCCGTTCAAAAAAAACACCGCACATCGTCCGCCGAAGCCACTTCTCATGTGACCTCCCTCGACCCCTTGCATCTTCTGCCTGATTTTACTCGTTGTTCCTGGGCCTGTCTCGCTATCAAAAAAATGGGTTAAAAAAGAGTCATCCTACTGTCGCACCACGTAGCGAAATCCATGACCCCCTCCGCTGCTATTCGAGCATTCAACCAACTGACCCGCTGAAGTTTTGACTAGCTCGCCTCGTTGCCTAACTAGTTGCATCGAGCTGAAAAACAACAATATAAATGAGTTCGTTTCAGACAGGCCCACCGAGTTGTTGAGCCAGCCGACCGAGTTTTCTTCGTTTTTTTGGCCTCGAACAGTGTCGCATTCAATAGCAATCGATTATCAACATTAATGCCCAACGATGACCTTGGCGGGGCCTTGGGATTAAAAGGCTGGGATTGAGCACCTTGGACGACCGCGGCATCGACGGCTCCAGCCATTGATTTCCGCTACCTTTGGAAGGCGTTCTAGTTCCTGACCTTTAGATCGGTTGTCAACGGGGAATTGAAGAGCGTTGCTGTGCAACTCTCACCAAGCTTTTCTCTGGAACCTGACGTGGGCTGTCACAACGAATAAGATTCCGGCGGGCAAGATGGCCAAAACTCTTGTGATGTGGGTTTCGTAGGTCGACTCGCAGGAAGTGTGAGAGCTTCAACAGATCGGTATAGGAGTTGCATTATAGCATTGCACTATGAACTTCACGGGCGCTTCACTGGCTATTGCCAACTTTCCAGCATCGCTAAATATTCATACTTTCTGGTATGATGGTGTTGGATTGAGGAACCTCTTGTCTTGCATAACCACCACGGATCGGCGACGACATGCTCTTACGAGTTTGAAACCCTCAAAGCGATGGCCTGGTGCGTCTATGTAGAAACTTAGAGTTGGCATTCGGGTGATATGCCTACGTTCCGATAATGTTGGGCTGCTTGAGGTTATTGAGCATATGTTGGCACGGGAGTCAGGCGAGACCAAAGCGCGAGTTTGATACGTGAGCGAGTTATCGTTGACTGGTTCTCAACCCTTCGAGATTGTGGAAAGGTAAGGCCAATATCTTGAAGGTCATCGGACTGTAAACTCTACTTTCTGTAGAGAATGGCGGGAAAGACATGCCGCCACTGTGGACACACGACCTTTCGTCAAGCAGATACAAATACACTGCCTTCCATCGCCCCTAGCGCTTCTAGCGAGGACGGCAATATTTGATTGGTACTGCCCTACCTGCCTACTAAGTCATTTTCAAGGGCTCTCCGCTTAAACATCGATTGATGCCATTCACGCACACTTGATGAAAGAAGGACTCTCGCGCAGCGGTCAATGGCTAGGAATTCCAACTATGCAGTATTCTTGACTGTACGTGAGGGTCAGCCCAGAGCTTCACCGCCGCTCGGCGATCAACATGGTCCACAGTGGTACATTGAGGGAGTAGCATATGCAGTATTCGCGGAAGATCTGCCATCCTGCAGATCGTCATTTGTAAAAAGCCCCCTCTGCACATCCAAGTTGGTCGTACAGTAAGCGGGCCGGCATCCTTGCCAGCACGTTGTTATCTTCCGATGGGGGCCATAGGCGGGTCCATCATCTACACTGCATGGTACTGCAAATCTGCTCTAGAACTTTTGACGATCTGAGCTCGCCATGTGTAAAAAGGGCTTGTTTTTGGGTCCATAAAAAAAGAAACTTTTTTTGTTTTTGAAGATCGCTGGAGCCAGTAGCGCTTCTGAATGTGATAGTATCATTTATACTTGGGAGCGACTTTTGGGCTGTATCTACCAATTCATGACAACCATACAGCAATATGCTACGGCTCACCGGACGTTAATGACTTTGCTTACCCCAGCCTGCGCTGCGGCTATGCTTTATTGAGGTTCCCTTCTTGTCCCGGTACTACATCAGAGTCTTGAAATTGACAGCAGTAAATTCTTCAATCTTCAATCAGTCCTTTGACAATTGGTAGTAACATGCCTCTGCGTCCTCGATAAGGTAGCCAGGATAATTACCAAAGCGGGATAAAGCAGCAACTTGATGAGAGTTGATTTACTAAAACTAGCAACAAAACTTTTTCAGTTATCCCCTCATATCCACTGATGAAATGTCTATATCAATCCGAACTGAGAACGTACTCTAGTGAGAAAGAAGATGGCTGGACAGTTGATGCGTACAATTCGGGCGCCCACGGCCTCGGGTGTGGGGTTCCGGCGAGTTCAGTTCGGCGCCGGAAATAGAAGCCGAAGGTCTCGGAGTTCGGCATGCATCTTGAATATCTGGCTTGGCCACTGATGACGTTTTCTCTTAATCCCCTCAACCACTTACCCCAATTCTATTGCCGAAAACAACCGTACCGATATCAGCAAAGCCCTGTGCGACAGCAAGTAAATACCACCAACATCAATTATTATCGACCAGCCACTTCGTACCATTCTCCCGGGTAAATCCGTTTCAAGTCACAATGTCAGCTAGAGCCGTCGTCAAGACACTGGATCACCTTGTCCTCACCTGTGCGAGCGTACCTAAGACAGTTCAATGGTACACCACATACCTGGGCATGAAGGCCGAAACGTTCACATCGCCTTTGGACCCTTCTGTGCAGCGAACGGCGCTCAAATTCGGCCCTCACAAGATCAACCTCCACCAACAGGGGAAAGAATTTGAACCGAAAGCAAAGACTGCGCTCCCAGGCACGGCTGACCTGTGCTTTCTTGTGCAAGACGGTACCAACCTAGAAGAATTAATTAAAGGGTTCCAAGGGGATGGCATCCAGGTTCTCGAGGGCGAGAAAGTGGTCGCGCGAACTGGCGCTCAAGGTCCTATTCAGAGCATATACGTTCGGGATCCTGATGGAAACTTGATTGAGTGAGACGACACCCTGAAACTTTTCTAACGATTTGAGGTTCCTTTTCACTAAGCAGCTGCTGATGCGCCGCAAATCTAGGCTTTCTCATTACAAGTCTTGAGCAGATTTAATCTGGACAGCTCTTGGTGTTGAGAAAGGGAATGCGAGCGAAGAGATGAGAGTTCAACAGCAAGTTTTCCCTGATGTTAGAAGAATTGTGTTTCTTTCCGTGCAAACTAGCCATTGAAATCACTGCCAAAAGTGTCGGGTACTTCTTTGGATTAGCTATGTATGGGATATTGCAGCTTTTATGTTGTGGTGATGCGAGCCTTAGAATTAGAATTGGACCACTTAGTCTTCGTACAACGGCAATTTCTAGTGTTGCTAAGCTTTATTTCCTTAGGAGCATTTCGAGCACTTGAAAAAATGGATGCAGTCGGTAAAATGGTTCTGATCGTAGTCGCTGCTGTAGGGTCATTCTTCGCCGTTGCACTTCTCGATCGACTTGGCGATCTACTTCCTTTCTACACATCTTAGTATACTTCTCTACAACCTATTCAATATCCCTATTTATTGGCAGAATCTCAATCGAAATGTCCAGGGTTTCTTCACAGCGAATATTAAGTTAGTGGAAGGTGTAGATCTCTCAACTTTAAGATCAACTCCAGTCATATCACAACTTACCTGGAAGCAAAACACATATGTTGGGCGGCATAATCCGTGAAAGACCAAGATGTGAGGTCATGAAAATTACTACGTATTACACCCATTACGATTTACATCTCTTCTAGGAACAGACATTTGACCCCAACCCGCCCGTCTTCTGGAACGCAACCTCGACGGGCTTGTCTCCTTTCAGTTTGATGTCAAAGCTCGTGTTCCAGCTATCCACTGCGAGCGTTCCGTTGGCCTTGTAAACAGACCACTGGCCCCTTTTAGCACCCGAGGGCTGGAAGTTGATTACCTCTGTTTCCAACTTAGGGACAATGACCCCTTGTCTGCCAATTTTGTGGACGAGGTCCAGCGTCAGGTCGTCTGCAGCGGCAGGCAACCGATCGTTTCGAACAAGGGCATTGATTGTAAGGCTCATCTTTCCATCAACCGCCGTCGCCAGGCAAGACTGGCTTTGCTGGTAAAGGAGTGAATCATCCATGGGGTATCCATTGCCTGCGTTGTCGTATGTGACCGTCTGGTTCGTCGACGGCTTCGTCACATGAATGTAGAACTTGCTGATGCCGGTTTCGGGGCTGACAGTAGTGTCAAACTCCCAGTAGTGGAAAGATTCTCTCCACAAACCACTGGCACTTCCGCCTTGGAACGTTGCCTTCTTGGTGGTGATAACCGTGGCACCATTGCCGTTGCGGTCAGCGTAGGTCAGCTGAATAGACAAGTCGTTCGGATCACGACCAGTCACGGCTGTGGTACGAATGCGAATGCGACCTCCGAAAGAGAGGTTGCCATCCTCTTTCAGGAACAGTCCGGAAATGTAGGGCTTGATGTCCGTAGCGACGATGGGTTCGCTAAGTTTGACGTTGGCAGGCACGGTGTCGATCATGCGGGTAAAGATGTCGGCGCACTTGGCTTGGAAAGTGTTGGGATCAGCCAGCCCCTGCATAGTCTTGTTGCCGTCGGCGGCAAAAATACGCTTGTCGGAATTCAGAGTATCATTTGTTCCTGCCACCAAGGGGTTCGTGGTAGTTCCGTCCAGGTACTCGGTCACGACAGCATTGTCGAATCTGGTGGTAGTAGTATCAAAGTGAGAGACGGTGTCATTGTTTGGATCCGCCTCAACTCCGACAATTTCGGGGAAGTCGGTGCTGTGCACACCGCCGAGGGTATGACCGCAAGCCACCATGGTGATCATGTCCTCGGTCGAGAAGCCAGCCTTGGTGAAGGCAGCTTGAGTTGCTTCCAGATCGGTTTGCGGCTCCGGAACACCTGCAGGGCCAGCTCCCTGAGAGTCAATGCGACCAGCACGATACGGGATCTGGATGCCGCCGCAGGCAAAGCTAGCAACAAGGACGCTCATTGCCAGCAAGTCGGAGGCGGAGGCACGGATGGAGTAGAAACTGCTGAAAAAGCCGAATGTGTTGTTGAAAGCACCGCCAATGTTCTCGGGACGGTCAAGCTCGAAGAAAATGGAGGCATCAAGACCGCCAGTTCCTGCAGCAGCATCGTGCGTCGCCATGTCATGGAAGGCAGCTCGAATCCATTCGGCCGAGTTCTGACGACCTTGGATATTGGTGCCGAAGCCACATGTAATCACTCCTGCGTGGTGTTAACGAATGTGTAACCTGACAACCAAGGAGCAACTGACCATCAATGAAGCCCCTGCGCAGGTATCCGGACTGCAGGGAAAGATGATCCTCAATCTCATCGTAAACCGAGGGCCAGACGTACTCTGTCCTGGCAAGAGTCGCCTGAAGGATCGCAGCAAGAACACTCTTCTTCATGATGGCGCAAGCTTTGGCCCAAAGTCGCAAAGTGTGACGGAGATGGGTGCGTGATCCGGCCTTTCGTTCGTCGCATCTTGCGCCGACAGCTGTTTACTTTATGGGATTTCCTTTCGATTTCGGCAATGCAACGTTGGGCGGAGCGACCCTTGAGCCCTGCAGATTTGGACGGAAACCTGCATGTCCAGAGACAAGCATCTCGTATTGCCGTTGAAACCATGCTATTAATATGACCTTAAACTGCCGAATAAGAGTGCCCATTTCCAGTCGGTTCATGCCATCGTGGATCGCGCCCAGATATGCTTCTTGCTAAGTGCTTGTTTAGCTCATTTCCCAAGACAAGGCCTCCCTAGCGTGACCCCAATGCAGCGTGGAGCAGCGGCCTCCTACCCAATAAGGCAGCTGGAATTACCCATCATGCATCGTCAAATACGGGCGATCGGCGCAACGGTGCAGTGGGCGGTCAATGGCGAAGAGCCTAGGGGGGGCAATATCTAGGGTTGACGTGTGCCAGTTGGTCTTTGCGATCGGATTCTATATACGATTGGGTGGGAAACAAGTGAATTCGGTATCTTTTTATCCGCCGAAGCCGAGTTCTTGTGACCATCTCAGCGGAGCAAGAAAACATATGACTTTGTGCTAACGCTGCAGTATTGCTTAGTTATTCCCTGGGTGGCAAGAGTTAAGATGTTATTGTTTTAACCGAAGATAACTTATTGCAACCCTACAGCTACAAAAGTCCACCAGGCTGGATGCCCAGAAGTATTCGTAAACAACTAAATGTAACATGCTTTTCAAAACCAATATGCATCAAGGGCTAATTAGTGGAGAGAGACTCTTGCGCCATTCAAAAGGGGAAACAGGAAGCGGAAAAAACAGCTTTCCGGAACTCTTGGCCGGCCGATAGATTCTTCCGTTCCAGAGTTGTGAAAGGATTATGCCGTCATCAAAGCCCGATCAATGAGAGGTACAGCTTAATTAAGAGCCTCACTTCATGTAATATAATAGGTTGTCTCACCAAACCAACCAAACTATTAAGAACTAGTCAACCATGGGCGACGCATCCATTCTCCATATGCCAACTGCCCTCATCTTCGGCGGCAATGGCAAAACCGCTCGCCAACTGACGAAGATCCTCGTGGACGCCGAAACCCCGCATACCGTTTTCAGCGTCATCCGAAACTCGGACCAGATCCCGGACCTCAAAGCAATTGGCGCAAAGCCCATTGTCCAAGACATTGCGACTGGGTCGGAAGCTGACTTTATCAAAATCATTGAGGGCACCAGGCCCGATGTAGTGGTTTGGGCGGCCGGCGGCAAGGACCAACAGTCCGCCGAGGCCGTCGACAGGGACGGCGCCATCCGCGCCATGGATGCCCTGGCCAAGGCCAACGTAAGAGCTAAGCGCTACATCGTCGTCAGCGCTCTCGACGTCCGCGATCACGACAACAAGCCCGTTCCGGACTGGTACACCGAAGCCGATAAGAAGCTCAGCGAGCGCATGTGGGGCATCATTGGCCCCATCTTGCGGGCGAAGCTTGCGGCCGACAAGGAGTTGAGGGTGGGGAATGCCGCCCGCCGACTCGACTACACCATTGTAAGACCTGGTGGCCTGGGCGAGGGTCCGAGTGAAGGAAAGATTCGTGCAGGTAAAGTGGGAACCATTGGAATCATTCCTCGGGTAGATGTTGCAAAGGTGATCTACGCTGCTATGCAGAACGATGAAACTCATGGGCTGGCGTTTGACATTTTGGGACCCGGTGAAGGTGACTTGGGTATCAAGGAGGCTGTTGCACGAGTGGCTAAGAATCATGAAGATACCTTTGAGGGCTACTATTAGGTTAGTACTACTGTGTGTCATGTGCAGAGCGGTGTTTTTGAAACCAAATTCTCGATGTCATGAAACATTCGGAAGCAACTTATTTCAAACTTATTTGTGACATTTTTCTTCGTTTGATACAATCTATTCCTTTTGCTATGAGATTCAGACCGGTGATAGAAACAGTGCCTCCAGAACGTTATTTGGGTTCAATGATAGCTCGCTCTATTTAAACTTCTGACTGCCGGCTTATTCATAACCTCGTTCACAGCGCTGGTGAGAAGCACCTCACTGGAACCTCTATCACGAAAAACATTCCAGGCATCCTCAGAGGTCTAGTCATTGGCACTATAATAGGTCAAAAGCTTTTGTTAAAGGTAAAATGTTAATAAAATGGGTTGTTGAGGAAGAACACGGTCTCAAACTGCAATGTGGTGTTAACTGAGGTGAACGAGTGAAGTAAAGATCAGCTCCTGCTTCAACATCATGATATTTCATTATCGAACTACAAAGGCCAATTTGACTAACGACACCATTCGCTACAAATTTCTCGCCACATCCGTCCAGTAATACCACACTCGCACGGCTGATTGCATATGTTTATCACATAACAATTCCTTAATTGTAGCTCACATGAACATGATCCCTGAAATCCAGTCAGCTCATGTCAGATTTAGTATAGCTCTAGAACATTACTCACCAGTGGTTCTGAGTGAAATCGCCACGATCTTCCATGGTCTTCCACTGTGTCCACGGCTTGACAGCATCTACTGAAGGCTGCCAAATCTTCTGGCCCCAGATGACGTACTTCAAGTTAAGAGTAGCGCGATTATTCATGACCCATTCTGCGATCTCCTTGCCGGAGAGCGTGGGTACCTACGGGTTGATTAGTCTTGAACCGCTACTAAACCGAGCCAAAAAAGGGTCAAGGTAAACACTTACACCACCAGCATCGGAGCACATCATGTCAGTCGCCTTTCCACAGCAGTGGTCTGAAGTGCCAGGGCATGCGCAGTCGCGCACGCATCCAATCTCTCGAACCCTTCCAGGGAACGCTGCAACAATCTTCTTGGCGCCATCGACAGCGACAGCCTTGCATGCTCCTACAGGTGGGATAGTTGGTGCACCATAACCGCCGAAGCCACCAGCGGTAGAGGAGCAACATTTGAACTGGGCAGGGCCGGGGCACTGGTTCGAAGCGCTCGTGCCGGCGCAGTCACTCGCCCAGCGGCAGTTGCCTCCGCTGCCGCAGCTTGACTTGCTACAGCATTTCACGTTGGCTGCGTCAGCCGGGCAAGCGCCGTTGATGGTGGTGCCGCCGCCGGATTCACAAGTGCTGGACAAGACACAGACGCCTAGGACGTGGTCAGAATATAAAATGGGTGAGATGGAGGGTCTGAAAACAAACCGGCTCTGCCATCTGTACTATAGCATGGCTCATTGGTGGCAGCAAAGACTGCCGTGACAGAAACAATGGTAGTGAAGAGTGAGAGTTGCATGATGAGATAGGATGGCTTAGGATTTTGGTTTTTGTAATGGTTCGAGAAGCTGGTACGACTTGCCAAGGGTAGCGACTTCTTGGAAAGACTCGAGGTGGGCATCAACATTTATACCCTGATACATACAATGTTTAGACTAGCGATTCTACTAAAGCAATAGCTTTCCCGACGGTTGTGAGGCAACCATGTTAGCTTCTAGTCGTAACCCCTTGATATTACATCACAAACTTATTTTAAAGTCTTGGCCCCTGTCATTGCAGCACAGCTAAGGCTGCTTTTTGAGGCATATTATTCTAGCAAAACGTGTAGCAGTTGACGTAAACCGTCCTTGCCCTACGTTTCTTCAGGGTTTACGATACCTAGTCACCGAATCTAGGACGATCAGCCCTAAGCATTTCCGTTGGCTGAACTAGGGATGTGCATTGTGTCAAGCCTAGTTCGTGAGCTTAGCCGAGCAGCTGAGACAATAGAATGGTTGCACTGCCCTACAAAGCATTCATTGACGTTGCAAGCCAGCAATAGAACGGCGATCGACCCTATCTAAGCGCTGCACAGTGCATGATACTCACAACCATCAAATTGTTGGTGATGTCAATATTCTGTACTAAGATGGGTAGTAGGGGCAGCCTGGTATCATCAATACTTATTCCTAGGGATATGAAATGGCTCAAAACATCATCCGCATCGCGTTCGGAAAATGAAGCCATTAAATTGAGAGTCGCTGCTACAAGGCACCGCTTCCAACCATTTGGCTATCAAACTGGAGATGAGTATCTACCGTAGAACTATAACAGGCCACTCGCACATCCAGAGCAATCTATGCATGAAAGGGTTCATCCTAGGTAAGGTAGTTGGAGTGTGCCGAATCTCAAGGAGAGATCTTGGTTGTGTGAACAAGACTTCGGTACCCCTTGCAGATCATGAAGATCCAAAGGCTTGAAGAATGGCGTCATCCGCCTCCTAGTCGCAGGAGCAAACTTGAAAATCCAAGACAAGAACCGCCATTTCGTGAGGGCGCCCTTTGTGCACCACACAGTAAAAAAAAGCTTGACCGGGGTCATTCGCCCTGGTAAGACGGCTGAACGTCCCCCCGTTGTGACGGTATCCGCCTGGAAAATCTTTCAGCTCAACGGCAGCAACTAGGATTGGTGACGTTACAGTCGGACAACAGGTAAGGCTCTAAAGCTACTTGCACCCTTGAAAGTAAGCCTCGCACGAAGATCCGGGGAGCTCAGCTTCTCCTCACCTGCCTGATTGATAGCCCCTGCAGCTGGAAAAACACGCAGTGGCAAACAGCAGGTGCTCTAGCCCTGGCCAATTTTCGTTAAGCATGCCAGGCCTGTACAATCTTATTGGTGTTCAGCTGAGAGTCTTATAGTGTGGGTGAAACCGGCATGGAACGCTCAGAATACTGATTTGGTGTGTGCAGAACTACCTACCTGGCTCAGTTAGTGGGCTGTAGAGGCTAGCAAAACCCATGGTAGGCGGCTGAATCCCTCTCAGGCTGCTCAGCGAAAACATGGAAATAGTAATACCACCTACTTTAGGTAATATAATCGTAATTATAATCTGGAATGATCAATTCAGCAGAATTATCTTTTATGGCTCTGTCAAGTGAAATTGTACCAAACTATCGATTCTTCCCATTCATCAGTTAGCATTCCGCAAAAAGCTGAGTTGAGCAGAGTATACTTACCTGTACCTTCCTGGGGTTCATAGACATACACTGATGAATAGGAAAGAAGAGTGTTCTGGTCTCCATCACGATACTGAACCTCAATGACATTTAGGTGCACCAACGGGCCATAGGCTAAAGCCAGTAGTGACGTTAATCCTCTTAAAATCGCCAAATGATTTCATACTTGTCAGTATGTATTGAATGAGCCATAATTTTGTACAGATATTTGAGCTGACTTAAGCTCTTGGTGACGGGTATAATTCAACAAGTCGAGCCTAGGACAGAAAGAATAAAGAGAAGGGAGTTGATGGTCAACTGGAATGGTTACCTAGTGGGGATGGTTGCTGTCCAGTTGGGGGCTTGATTTCACGAAAAGGATATGACCATGCACATAGCGACTATTGCGAAGGCTGCAATGAGGCTACAGCTATCAAGGACGGAGGTAATGCCTGGCTTTTACACAAAATGGCTGGATCACTCAATTTTAGTTCAAAAAGCAGTTAATTGAAGCACGCAATCTGAATCACTTCTTATCTTAAACTAGATCCCCGATTAAGGCCGAGGTGGCTTTTATTAGCCACAAGCAAAGCATTAGCCACGTCCGCATTTGAACTACTGCTCTCACGATCTGGGCCTTTGTTTCCTTGACTTCTGTCACTGCGATATCCGGCGGGGTTTACACGTGACATTATATCATGCACATCTCGACTTCCTACAACCATGTTGCTATTTGAAAGCCTTCAACTAAGTTGTTTATCAAAAGAGCCAGAGCATTATAGTGGTGAAATCGACACCTAGATCTGCAATCTAGACCACAATATGAGTAAAAGGGACATCTGTATCTGAACCCTCTATCTTCAGGTCATATTCGCTTTTTCCTCAGCTCTGGCAATCCACTACTTGCAATATCGTTACACTATCGTCTGGCCACAATGGCACACAGCAACATTGTTATCGACGTTGAGAAAGCCCCAATACCTAAGCCTGAGGAGCCTACAGTGAAGGTAGAATCAATTTCCGACCCTATATCTCGGTCTTCCATCAGCACCCTTCGGCCAGGCCTTAAGCAGACCTACAAGTTCAGCATCAATGAAATCGAGATTTTGGGCTATGGCGACCACGATGGTACACGCGAGAGCCTAGGGTGCATGTACGAGCGCATATGGAGCTTCAAGGCCCTTCTGCGCTGGGCACGGCATTTTATTCCAGTGGCTGCCCTGTTGGGTATTCCAGTTGCCCTATATGCGACTATTTATGCAGGTCGACGTGCCGACGGCGTGAGGCTTTTAGGCCTTTTCGTTTGGCTAGAAGCTGTTTGGGCAAGCCTTTGGGTTTCAAAAACGATTGCAATGCTTACTCCAACGATTTATGTCTTCGTCTGCGGCATTGTGAACTCTGGTACCCGAAAGTATCATCCTATCGTCCGGATGATTGAGACCCCCATATCACTTCTGTTTTGGACAATCATCGCCTATGCTACCGTTGTGCCCATCTGTACGGCATTCGACGCGATAGCGCCCCCAAAATGGTTGTTAATCTTGCAAAAGGTTGTACTAGCTTCCATAGCAGTAGCAGCCATGGTTCTTGTCGAGCGCTTTATCATCCAGCTTATCAACGTCACCTACTCAGCAAAGCAGTTCACAACCCGTATCGCAGAGTCAAAACGCCAAATCTCTATGCTAGATACGCTTTATATATCATCAACACGCATGTACCCTCCCTTTTGCGAACGCTTCGCCCAGGAGGATTACACTATTTTTACAGGAGAAATCGAGGAGAGGGAAAGCTCACCAAGCAAGCTCCTGGCTAAAATACGTTTAGCTGGCAGAGAGGTTGCGCATGCCTTCGGCCAGATGACAGCCGACATATCAGGCAGTAACTCGCTCTTCAACACGCAAGCCGCCCATACAATTGTTACGGAGGCGTTGGAAGCTAGTACCTCGTCTGAAGCCTTAGGATCCCGTATCTGGAAATCGCTTGTCCCTATTTACAGAGATGCGCTTACGCCGGACGACCTCAAGAGAGCATTCCCTGCCGATCAAGCATCTGACGTTGAGGAGCTCTTCGCCCTCCTTGACGTCGACCGGAATGGGGATGTTAGCTTGGATGAGATGGTCTCATTGGTCACCCGCATCAGCCAAGAGCGTATCGCTATCTGGAAAAGCACCCACGATATTAAATCGGCTGTACAGGTTCTCGACCGTTTCCTCCAATTCTTCGTCCTTATAGGCATTTGCCTTATTTATGCCGCCTTCTTCAGCAGCTCTTTCACAAAATACTTGACCACCATTGGCACGCAGCTTGCTGCTCTCGGCTTTGCTATTGGTGGCACCGTCCAGGAGTTTTTGGGTTCGTGTATCTTCCTATTCGTGAAGCACCCATTCGACATTGGCGATCGTGTCCGGATTGACAATCACGAAATGGTTGTAGAGAAGATTTCGCTTCTTTATTCCGTCTTCCGCAAGGTCGATTCTAACAAAACCACTCAAGTCCCAAACATTACTCTGAACAGTAACTGGATAGAAAATCTCTCTCGAAGTGGCGTACTACGCGAGCGTATTACTATACAGATCGCAGCCGATACTAGTTTCGATGATATTGAGCGGTTGAGGCGAAAGGTTCGCGATCAGGTTAAGGCACCTGAGAACTGTCGCGATTTCCGGGAAGACGTTGATATTGAGCTCCTGTCTATTGGCGACATGAGAAAGCTTGAGATTTATGTTGAGGTTGAGCATAAGGTATTTTTCAAGTCCGATCTGTTCACTGGTATATCGCTAACATGAATAACTAGTCAAACTGGAATATTGAACGCGTTCGTCGTCTGCGACGCAACAAGTTGATGGCCGCAGTCATTTCCTCAGTACGGGCCGCCGCTATCAATGGACCTGGTCTCGGTGGAGCGGCCCTGGGCGATGCATTCAGGCCAACGTACCAAGTTTTAGTGAGCGAGGAGACGGCGGCGGCGGCGAAAAAGAAGTTCCAAGATGGCAAGGATGAGGCCAAACGCACGGCGGCGGCTTCTTCTGCCATAAGAGATGGACAAGGGTCTTTCTTAGGGGTGGTGCACCGAAAATGAAGACAATCGGAGATCGATATTGCAGCTTGATATATACGCCAGACGCCTTTCTTGACATCCTTTCCAGACGAAGATGGAATCAAACTTATAAATTTGTAAGGGGTTGTTCACTTTTTGTCAAGTAAATCGGGTTAATGCATGGTTGTTTTGTTTTTGTCTGGGCCAATCCTGTGGAATCTTTTCAGCACGCCTTGTTTTAGCGGTAGTCATAAACAAAGTCCTTAATACTTTTGTCAGTAATATTTAATGCCAAAATCTGCATTTGCCATCGAATTGCCACGGTAGTCCTCTCCTATTCAGACTATGCAAGCGCGCTCGACCTGGAAATGTTCGTCAAATATTTTGTCTCCTTTTGTCTTGGCTAAATACCCTTTGTCCTTTTTCTATACCTGTCTAACTAACCATTTTGATACGCCCCTCCAAGACAGGCGCAATGACCCGAGTCCAGTCCACAGTAAATTCACCTTCCCGCAAAGGATCACACACCTCAGCCTTCACGCCCGCTGCCTTGGCCCATCTCGCGAAGAACTTGCGCATAATAAGCATCTCCATGTCGATTTGGGCAACACTGTCCTCCTCATCCTCGCTATCGGAATCATCTTCGGACTCGTCTCTGGGGGCCTTGTTGTTCAACGCGTGTCGCTTGACCATCCATTCAGCCCAGGACTTGGAATCGACTTCAGGCTTGGGGTCCGATGTCCCTGTCTCTGCGGGGGTCTCCCACATCTTGCGCGGCTCCACCGGAGTGTGGCACTTCTCAGCCACCTTGAACCAGTGTTCGCTGAGGTTCTTCCACTGACCGACTGTGCGCAGACTCATAAAATACTGACGCAGCATGGCCGAGATGAGAATGCCATTCTCCTCGCAGACGATTTCCTCAGCGGTTCCGCCTTCCGGCTCGACCAGGAGACTGGTGTATCCATCTGCTAAAGTTAGCAGTGATCATTGCGCTTGTACTAAGCGTTCAACATACCTTTTCCTCTGCCCATGTATCCTCGAGTGGCGAGGGTGTACTTCTTGTCCATCTGCATGGGCTCTTCCCCAACGCTCGCTTCGATGATACGAGACCCGGGTTCTTTTTTAGGGTCAAACGTATATTTGATGTTGGATACCTGAGGGAAGCGGCCTATTCTGTAAATATCTCCCTGCAAGACAGGTGGAACATCTCAACTTACCCTCCTGTGCTGGGTACTGGGAAACTCCGTTCTCCAAGGCGTCCCACAACTGTTGACCGGTAACCCTGATGAAGATGACGGGATCTTCGAAAGGGAAGCAATTTGTAATGTCTCTAACTCTAATTGCACCGGGCGGATAGATCTGGTCACCTCGGATGGTGCCCGCAGCCATAAGCGCGCAGTCGGCGTTGTGATAGTGCCTCATGACGTCGCAGACAAAGTTTCCCATGTTGCTCTCCTTCATCCTGACGGTGGTGAAGCGTGCATCCAGAGGAGCCGCCGTCCAGCCCACAGACTTTGCCAAGCTGTGCTTGAGCTTCGAGGTCAGATCCTCTGTAAGCTTCAGAGTCTCTTGATCCTCTGCGATGGAAGAGACCATATCACGCCGCAAGATGTCAAAGTCCCACTTGCCTGATCCATCTTGCTTCTTCCGAACCTCAATGTAGCTGAGTTGCTTGAAGTCGGAGCCGGAACGGAGCACGTGCGTGCCGTTGATGAAGCTGTGCTCATAGTAGTGATCATGGCCTCCAAGAATGATGTCAATCAAGCCGTCCGTCTTCTCGGCAAGCTTGTTGTCATTTGGCTCACGCTGATGGCTGAGACAAATGATTATATCGGCACCCTGAGCCCGAAGTTGGGGAACCAACTCCTTGGCAGTCTCGCTGGCGGACTTGTAAATGATGTTGGGAGGCAAGCTGTTGATCGTCTCCAGCCATTCCCTCTCACCAAGGCCAATAAGACCAATCTTGATGCCATTAGATGATGTGATCATATGAGTATGCTTGGCATTTCCCAAGGGGACGTTTTCACCCAATGCAGGGTCGAGAACGTTAGCGAGTAGCCAAGGAAAGTTACACTTGGCAGTGAGGTGCTCAAATTGTTTTACTCCAAAGTCAAAGTCGTGGTTCTGTGGTGCGTCAGATCAATTTCCAGAGTTGTTATTGAGACTGAGTCTTACACCAACGCAGGTGCAATCGACACCGATTTTGTTAAGGACGGGCACCATGTGCTCACCTGACATAATCCACGTCAGCATAATCATGATGACAGATGGGCAACACGTGAGGTGTTACCTTTTGTGACTGAGCTCTCCAGACTGGGGTTGAAGACATCACCCGAAAACAAAGTGATCAACTCAGGCTGGCCATTGAACCGTTCGTCACTCCGGTACTCATTGACGGCTGTGACGAAGCGGGCCACACCGCCCACGGGTTCAGCACTGGATGGTTCCAAGTGGTAGACATCGTTGAGATGGAGAATGCGTAAGTCGACGGGAGCATCGGAACCAGAGCTAAACGTAATGGAGGGCTCATCGGGAGCCGGGGCGTTCTTAGGCATGACGACAGGTAACCTAGGAATAAAAACTCAGTCGGATCGGGACAGGCGGTGATGATAAGGTACGAGCGAGAGTGGCATGTGCCCCTGAGTTTAGTTTAGCTGAGGTAAGGTTAGGTTAGGTTTGGTGCGCGAGCTGCCGCTGCGGGCGGGAGCGGGGGCGGGGCAGTGAACGACACGTCGTGGCCGGACACTGGACGACACTTGACGAGCTTCAGGGGACACAAAGCTGTGGTATCAGGGAGGCCAACCACGAAGCGACGATTACCAAAACCGAGTTATGCACGTGACGATAAGCTTTAAGCGAGAAAATTAGTGGGACAAAGCTATTCCTGGCTCGTCCCTATCTGATAACGATAAGACATCTATGTAAGCGAGCCTTCTGGATATGATGTTGATACTTCTCTGAGGATAATACACAATACGTTTAATAATTGCAAATACAGACGACCTCAGCTGAAGAGAATACAGCTGCCAAATTACACGAAACTTTAGATCCCATGTCATGTATAATTTCTTTTCAGTGTCGCACCTACATGAGTTGCAACAAGGTCTAAGTGTGTGTTGCTTAACCTGTTAGCCCGTCATGATTAGAAGCCAAAGCCGACTTCTTTTAATATTATACCTCTGAACACCTTGTGGAATATAACAACAAGCCGGATGGTATGGCCGCGTGTATCAGTCGACTTGTAGCGTCCTCACATACGGTACTCTCTATACCAAACTGCGAGACGCATGCCTCCAATAGTTTTAGGCGCGATGTTGTAAAGTTCTCACGTTCGAGAATGGGCTCAAAGTTTTGAGACATCAGGGTATCCTCATATTGAACCACCCAAAATAATGTCGAGCGTTATTATTCTATCATCAACCTTCTTCACGTCGAAGAAAGCGCAAACGGTCCAAAGGCATTTGATACCTAAGTCTCCAATCTCAACCATTATTGAACCATCTTTCCAGCTATTTTGGATGCTATTTTGGATGCTATGTCTTCATCTCAAAGTCAAGGATTGAAGTCCCATCTTCCTACCACCAAAGGAAAAAGTTTGAAAAACATGGTGAATCAGTCTTTTCAACGGCTTGACTATTTATCAGTGCCGTTGAGAGCGACAACGCGCTGGGTAGCAGTCTCAGTCTTGTGGAAGCGATATGGCTTGATCTTTCGCTCAAAGAGCTCATCAAGTTCAGCTGCAGATCGACTAAATCCCATGTTAGCTTGGGCTACATGTCAAGTTGGCAATCCTACAAAGAAATATGTGCCTACCGAGCAGTTTCCGGAATAAGAAACCAGCATCCAATGACAGAAGGTAATCCAACACCGGCGTAGAAGAACCCTGCCTTCAAACCCCAGTTCCACTCATTGGCGTTGATCATATGAGGCACCAACTGGTTCATGCCAATGTTGACCACACAATTGAATGCCGATGCAGCGCCGGAAGTGTAAGGCCTGAGTCGTTGAGACGAAATTTCGCCAATGAAGCCCCAGCCGGTGGCTCCCGTCATGGTAAGCCCAATGTCTATGGATTGTTTAGCACATCTAATGAATTGGTTATGGCGAAACTTGGGGGGTAACATACTCCAGATGACGGCCAGGAAGATAAAAGCAGAATTCACAGCCTTAGTCTGAGTTGCAAGGCCCAGGAATCCAACCACGAAACTTGTTCCCCACATCGCAGTTGTACCAGAGCAGCTGATAAGGCGTCTTCCAAAACTGTCTGCAAAATACACGACAGAAATAGCACCTACAAGCTTGATGCCGAGAATAATACACTTGATCTTGAACGGATCACCGACACCAGCCTGCTGGAAAAAGTAGGCGCCATAAGTTGAGAACAGTACCAGACCAGTGAACTGCTGCGATACGATGGTCCACAGAGCAACAATGGTGCGGAAGCCGTCAGTACCACGGAAAACTGAAGTCCATTTCTCACGACCTTGCGCAATGGCGACCTCTTTCTCATGCTCGGCCATCAAGACCAGGACCTCGATTTGTCGGTCCACATTGTAGTCCTCGACCCCCCGGTAAAGGCTGCGCAGTGCCTTTTTACCCTTTTCGAGCTTACCGGCTGATACAGCCCAGGCAGCAGACTCGGGGAGGACAAGAAAGATGATAAGCATCAGCCCAATATGACCCCACTGTGTGTAGATAGGCAGAAGCCAGTTGTGGCTATCGTAGCCAGAGATGACGTCCATAGCGAGGTAGGCGAAGAATGTGCCCACTGTCCACCAAAGGTTATAGGTCATCAGGACGATTCCTCGGATGCGTGTGGGGGCAATCTCGGATATATAAGCTGGGAGAGTGACCTGAAGACACCCTAGGCCCATGCCGGCCAACATCTTTGCGACTAGCCAATGTTCCCATCGTCGAGAAAGCGACTCGCCCAAGATACTGGCAGCTAAACATAGCCAGCAGACATATAGGGAGACTTTTCTCCCCATCGGGGCGGCCAGGAAAGGCAGTGTAGTTTGGGTGATGAATTGGCCAACGGGAAGAATGCTTCCCCATGCAGCAATGATATTGGAATCAAGAACTGGCTTGCCTTTGCTGTTGATCTTGGTGGCGAATGTTTCGACGAAGCCTGGATTTGCAAGGATACCTGCGTTCATACTAGAGAATAGTTAGTGACACCATTCAAGGAGCTCGACATGACAATTTGTAAGAGACTGACCCTATCTGGTAACCGTCTGCTCCGGCAGCGAAGGCAGCGACAAAGGCGAAGAAGGTACACCATTTGAACTTCATGAACGTCTCCCACGGAGTCAAGGTCTCGTATCCGGTTGTGGCCTGGCCTTTGGTCGCAGCATCCAAAACAGCGTCTTTTGACTGAATGGCATCATCATTGGCAGTTTCCGTACGGGCAATTTCGGGCCCTTTCTGCTCGCTGCTCAACCTGGACTGCTGCATGGCACAAGAGGCGGATTCGTCTTTATGGATCCAAGGCTGCGGGCAAGTTTTGAGTCACATAAACGATTGGTCTGATGTTTGGTGGAAAAGGAGTTGCCAATTGCATATTTCGAGCAAGCTGGGGATCTATATAGACAGCCCAACGGTAAGGTTACAGTCGAGTTGCCATCTGCTCCGCATTTCCCCCATGGGGTTGAACAGGGGCTAGAACCAAAGGAAGAGACTCCAGAAGTGGTCCGGTGTGTCCGGATTGACCCCCCGAACGCGGGGATGGCTGTGGCGCCCCAGCAAGTTGATTTCGCCTCGACCATACGGAAGAATGGGACCGGCAGGAATCCGTCCGATGCCCGCCACAATAGTGATTTTAGCTCGTATGATATTGTAGCTGATGTATCGGCTGGACCCTCGGGCACTTCGTAACTGATAGATTCGAGCTAAAGGATTCTTGAAACTTATCACGAGACCGGATGGGCCGCCAGGTATGGGTCCAAGATAGCCAGTCACACCCCGACAGGAAACTTGTCCACATCTAATCCATGTGAACAAGTGGTGTAGGAGCATACTTGTTTGGAATGTGGCATGGAAACGTTTTTCGCAATATTTACTCACTTTCTTCCTACATTGAATATTATCATTTTAAAAAAAGAAAAAAAAAAGAGACTAGGGATAGCGAAAAACACCGTGAGCTTTTCAAAAGGGTCTGATCAACCTTCGTCTAGACTACATGAAAGCACAAATATTTGTCGGTATATTGAAAGGTGGTAGAAGTGGCTTGGTGCGGAGGAACTAGCACTAAGACCCGAGAGAGCCACAACTAGACCGGCCGCCTATTCGGGGGGCATACCTGCACACGTCCATCACATTCGAGTCTAAAGGGGGAACGACTCTTTCTCCTCGTCTTTTTGTTTTGGTCGTGTCGCATCGGCAGCATAGCTGACGCGCCCATCACATAGCCATTTGCAATGAGGCAGAAAAACTGCCGCACAGCATACAACGGCTTCTCACGAGGAACTCTCACGAGGAACTCTCACGAGGAACTCTCACGAGGAACTCTCACGAGGAACTCTAACGGGAAATTCTCACCAGGAGCTGGCAAAAATATGTGGAATCTTGCATGGCTATAGATGAGAGACTGATCAGGCCTAGGCTACAGTAAAAAATGAAAGAAGAGAGACAGCGGCAGACACATTCATCACACACTTCTAGTTTTCAGCCAGGCAATAATCACACTCTTTTGGTTGGATGCATATTTTGTACGTCGATATACGTCGATATAAGGACTTCTTCTTTTAGTCCGGTACAATATAATGTGCCTGGTCGGCCCTGTATCTTAAAAACTGAAGCTGTAGGACGGGATGTGTGGCTTCAATGGCTGTCTGACGTAGACCTAGCAGCGTTCTTGCTGGGACTCTGAGGCCCGCTAAGATTAAGGATGGCTTAGTGATGTAAACTGTGTTAGCACCGTTGCATTATTTATATCACATACTCAGCTTCTAAGATGGTTCTGCACAAAAACCAGCCAGTAGTAAATTCAGTTCCAATCAGAATCTTGACTTCAGAAACTTTGGCTCAAATGTCGCGGTTCAACTTCCAAGTACACCTATATTAAAACTGACATCCCGAGCACTCTATTTTTCACTTGTTCCAGAAAGGAAAATCAAGTCTAAGGACTAAAAAGATCCAACTGCAAAAGCTTATTTCCAAATTCAATCAAATAATAGTCAGCATAAACTAACCCATGGTCCGCGCTTGCACTTCTGCTGGCTGCATTCCACGTTACTGTCGAATTTCGAAGTATGCTGTCAAACCTGTTCTGCAAAGGCTCGCAAGCAACCGCAGATATAGAGCCAGTTGAGTTGCATTCGAGCCGCAACTTCTCTTGTGACAAGGAAAAATTCAAGGTGTCTTGGATTATGGTGAATGCACTGTTCATGTAGCGATTTGCAGGCTCATGACGACCCAGCGACATCAGAATCTGCGCAAGCAGAAGCATGCCATAAGCAGCTGCAACGCCAGCTGATACATCCCGTAACGGGGCATTCGCGTCTTCTATGGGGGCATCAAAATCCCACAATGGCACGTATCTGCCAGCTTTGCGTCCATCTAGATGCGGCTGAGCAATCTCAACACAGGCTGGAGCTTGCTCCATTCTCAGCATGAAATACTCTGCTAGGCCGCATGCAGCGTCAAGGAAGATGGCATCTCCTGTCCAGGTATAAATCTGGGCATAGCCCAAGATCCCCCAGGCTTGGCCACGAGACCATGTGGAATCTGGACTATATCCTTGAGCTGTACGGATCTCCTTAATGTCTCCAGTTACGGGCGAGAAGTTGACAACATGATTTGTGCTGTAGAGCACTCCATCATAGTTGTCCCTCTTATAGCTGGGTTCTTCGCGGAGATGTGTTCTCAGCAAGGTTTTTGCATGTGACGTTGCTGCGTCAGCGAGATACCTGTATCCCGTGTGCTCAGCTGCGTAATACATCAGCTCCATGTTGCAGAGGGAATCAACAATAACGAGAAAATTGTCTGTTCTGTCTGTGATGTTGACCCCTCTTTGCCACGTTAGGAAGTCCCAAGAACGGATAGCGCCGACGCGTGAGTCGTAACGTGAGTATAGACTGGCAGCGGCTGTTTGAATAGATTGCAATGCCTCCTTGTCATGTAGGAGCTCCCAGCGGACTCTCATATGGGGCATCATCATGAACCCCAAGTCGTGGGTATCTGTAGGTTTCACAGGGGGTGAAACGGAATTCCGTTCGTCAATAACAAATAACAGTAAATTGGTTCTAATCGATGGTTCATGATAGTTGAAAGTGGTGTTGTTGACTAGAAGGTGGGGATATTCCCCCTTGGCCTGTCACGTGGGTCTGGGAGGCTTGGGCCTCTCAGCCTGGCGGGCGTGTGGCTGGAAGTGCTTGTTACGACCCGACAGTTAACAGACCACTGACGACGACCCCGCAGGGGCTCAGCGGTTATAGGGACGGCCGTCAGCCGTTACGTCGTAACAACCCCCACGGAACGGAAGAACTAGGATACAGGTCACGTGACGATAAGCAGGACCGACGGACGATAAGCGGTCCTGGGACAGGACCGACGGTGCCAAAAAAACATCAACAACAGCGAGAACGAAATTTTTGAAAATCGGAGCAAAAACGGCCCCAAATACGCGTGCTCGCGGCCACAGAGCCCCCTTCGATGCAATGCCATCCTCGGCCTTGATTCTACGTCCCAAAGGGGCCCAAGATGGCCGCAGAGCACGCCCCGACTACAATGAAAAACTTGAGAGCAAGCCGCAAAATACGACATATCAATAGACAACACTGTTACCACCACCACAGGCGAGCCACAAGCCGCTACACGAAGCACTAAGACTGCGCCCAAACAATCAACTTCAACACAACAGCCGCCGACAGGTTTTGGGTCACCTGTCACCCCCGACAAAGTTTGCAACGTCCCACAACGACGAAGATGAGTCCGACAGAACAGTATCACCTTCCGCACGGAGAAAGCACCAGGCATTAGGCATGCTACGATCGATGCCACACAATACTACAGACCATAGACAGACTGGTCCCCTGTCGCCCCTTTTGCGAAGAAGGATTGGTGTCCCTTCAACGCGCGACAATGTCTGCGGAATCTGTGCGGGAGCTCTCATACCTAGTAATCGAACATGTCGGAGTCAGTAGAGCATTGTGCTTCGTGGAAGACCCTTGGGCCAATGTGGTGGAGGGCAATAGTGGTCAACAGGCAAGAAACAAGAGGCCACATAGGAACCCGGCAGGAGGCAACAAAGAATTTACAGATGCAACTGAGAAAACGGCACATACAAGTCCGGGAGGATACGGACAAAACAAAGAGACAAAGCTGAGCGCTGGGGGGAGACTGTAGGTACAAAGAACCAGATACGGTGCTACCAGCACCAACTGAACCGAAGCAGGAGGACGCAAAACAAGCATTCTAGAGAGCAACACAAAAGCGAGAAAGCAGACAGGAGAGCAACACACTTCTTCAACAGAGGGCACAAACACACAGAATAGAGAACATAGTGGGGAGCTTGGGGATAGCTGGCCCTGATGCAACATCAGGGCGAAGTGGGGCGTCGCTGTTCATTGTCGACGCTTCGGCTACCTGCCAAACCCCGCTTTCCGGGCATAGCTGCTGGCATAAGAGCGGCTTCATAACCGAGTAGGAATAAATCAATCAATCAATTACGTACATATGTCCTGTCGTAGCCGCCCGACCCAGTGGGTCTGTTAAGTGCATCTGACGGGTCGTAACACCATTTGAGCCAACGAAAAAAGATACGTAACAACAAGCCGTTCACTTTTTGTTTATGTATATTTACCTTAAGTAAAGATATTATGTAGACACAGCTTACGCCACTTCAACCGCGGCATAGCCCGGGATGCAAGCGATCTTACAGTTAATTTGAATTATGATATTCAAGCAAGGCTGGGAAAATTGGTCACAAGGCAGTAGCCCAGGGAAAAGAAGAAGTGATCATAAGGGCTGCAATCTGGCAAAGAAGGAGACTTAGATTTGTGATGATGGTCTAGCTAGAAAGAGGGGGAAACTAGCTAGAAGTTTGCTTTTACGTCTACGCGTGGTGGCAAATATGGAGGGAAAGAACACATAGAGGGGCACCTACCCCACTCCAGTATAGACTCTGCTAAGTGACATAGACATGCCATGTGTCAAGGTTTTTTTTGGTACTAGTGCAGTGGATGACGGCTCTAACAAGGCGATTGGAGCTCGTTATGGTGATGTGCGTTTGGTTGGTTTTAACAGGCTAATTTTTCCTTTTCGTGTTCCTGTATTTTGATAGGCTTAGCTGGGCTTTTAATGTGGGAAGAAGATTAGAGGTTTAGCCTTTTTTCTTCTTGTCATGATTTTTTATCTCCAGGTTAGAAAAACCTTAGGAGCCAAGGTTTAGTCTAGCGTAAGATTTTCACATTAGGTATTTAGGCTGTAAGCTAAAAAAAAAAAATACATGATAGAATTTTAGTAGTGAGATGGCAGCGTGGACACTGTAGATAGTATCCTGCTCATGTATACACACTCGTTTTTAGATCAGCAGTGGAGAAATCACTTCCCCTCTTCGTTCTTTTCTTTTGTTAAGGACTGCGAATACCTGCACCTATCTAATGTCACTATTTTCATTGTTCCTGGGCTAATGGATGTGAATTGGCAATTTGCTCCTAGCATGCACCATTCTTGAGATGGGTGGTTCGTGTGGGTTGCGTTTGGTGTTGTTCGTGAGCAGCCGTGGGCTCAGCGCCTATTTCGGCAATATATGCATGCAACAGGGCTATTAAGTAGGTTTTACTATTAGAAAGAATTGGTTAATATGGATATGCCATGTCAAGGTTTTGTTACTAATGCAGACATGTGTCAAGGCTATACAAGGCTACAAAGTAAAGAGGCAATGCACGCGCGGCGCCTGTATACACACCAACCCATACAGCACAGAAGCCTAAAAAACTAATTTATGCAGAAAAGTAATACACCCATAGGTTCTATTCGTTAAAAGTCGTTAAATATTCCTAACTATCCCATCAGGCCCTAATGGGATACCGCTAAACGACTGTGTTAAAATTGCCCCGCTAGTTTTCTGATTTAGTACACTATGCTTTGTTCTCTGCTAGACAAGAAAAGGTTGCTACCAGATACTAGGATCATTTAAATTATAAAAGCTGCATGATTAAAGTAGGACGCGTGCCATTAATCAACATAGGCAAGAGTACGGGCTTCTTGACACAGACGAGTGTAAGAAGTATAAGAATGGACAATTATATCCTACCCTTCAATGCCCAAGGATACTAACTCATCTTTCAGTGAGAACCATTTCCGACGTATACTTCACTTATTTTACATTATTTTGTACAAACAACCATATATGACAGAATGCTTACTTTACAAGTACTACTTGTTGCACTTACGAGTAGCAATTTTGTCCTCCAAGTATTCGCTAATGACCCTGCGTTTTGTAATAATGTAGCTGTTTGTACACCTTGTAACTGTAACGCTAGTGGCAGATGTGTATGTTATTGATTCAATTGAAAGTTTCTTTTTTACTACTAATATTTGTCTCTAGACAGGATTTTGCCATCATGACAGCGGGAGTACCGGTCCTAAGCACTGCGATTTACAGGCCCAGGGTTGCCGTTGTCCCCCCGGTACCATGGCCGCAACAGGCGGCTCGTATTTTGAGCGACGAGGTGGATGTATGAGTGTAGGCGGAAGAGGGGGCGGAAGAGTAGGGACTATACCTCAAGGGGCATGTGCTCAAGTAAGTTACATAATGACTATACTTTACAAAGTCTTTATACTAACAAAGCTTTAGTATAATAGCTATTATTCGTGTGTCTATACAGCACCATACTATTGCCGATGGATCTCCAACACTTGCGTAGACATTCGCGGACGTCCACATCAAGCTACAGAAGAGGAAGACACCAAAAATGGTCCGACTGGAAAGGCTTAGGGTTACTATTAGCCGTCACTACAGGAGGTATTTGTCAGAGGCTAAGATTGTACAGACTAAAAAATGTCAACGATTAAAAAATGTCAACGATTTAAAAATGTCAACGATTTAAAAATGTCAACGATTAGTCACTTGAGGAATAGTTAAATAGTAGTTATAACCGTCATTGAAAGCTGCCTCTTTTCGTAAGATTCACTAGATCTTCCATCTTTTTACATTACTCCTGGGCCGACCGTGTTCTTTTCTAGTAGGTCCTGTAGTAGATACTTTTTGGTGCCGCTCAGTGCCCTGTCTGCCGTCTGATGTGTCCCTAACAGTATTCTAGCTGATTACTACGATCAGGCGTTACGACCTAAGGATGCTTGGTAACTAGCACAGCCTAAACGAAACCCAGCAGAAACCACCGTCAGCAAGACATGCATACATGATTGATTAATTGATTTGCTCCTACACGGTTATGAAAACCCGAAAAGCGGGGCTTGACAGACAGTCAAAGCGTTAATCATGGACCGCAAGGCCCCAATGCGCCCTGTTGTTGGATAGCTTCATCTATTTTTCTTGTCTGTATCCTCCGCAATTATTTGTATGACCTAAGCTCGCGCTTACAAGTCGCATGAAGGTGTCCATCTTCTGGGGAGGCCCGACAAAAGGAATCGATTGCGGCCCGTGCGACCCCTGGTACCAATCCATCCATCTATTCGGAACAAACGAACACTCCGTATTGGGACGAACGTTCAGCCAACATCAACCAACCACAGCATCTGATCCGATCCGGGACTGACAGCACACCTTACCATACTGCATCGCCACACCAAGCGTCTTGGCTGGCGTGATCTTTCTGCTTGTCATGTCTTCGTTTCACAAAACAAATTACTGATTCATGCCAAGGCTTTTCTTTCTCATTCAAGGGCGACCTGCTGCTAGCGGTAAAGTCATTCCTCCTGTTTCCATTCGATTGTTGGTCCATAATTCCAGAATCCCTTCCAGCTTGCCTACGCTAATATTTCTAGCTCCATACTCGTGGTCTTGGCTCATGCCAAGTTCATTGCACTCGATCCGAAGCACACATTTCAAACCCATGCCGATGCAGCTGCAGCTGGCTGATGCTGCTTCTGCCTCTGCTGCGTCCCTCCCATCGGAAAGGGCTTCTTGGACGCCAGCATCCGTCCCACGACAATCATCCGCATGACACACTCTGCGCTCTCTCGAGTTAGCTTCTCCGCCTCTAGAATAGCCTCGTCCAGCGTGGTTGGTCGTTGCAAAATGCAAGTGTACGCATCGATTCCGACGTCGTAGTTGACCCGTGCTCCTGGTCCGATGGTCCCAGCAAGGGCAATCACGGGCAAACCATGCTTCTTCGCTCTCATGGCAATCTCTGCCGGTATCTTCCCCCGAGGCGTCTGATCATCAATGCCTCCCTCGGCTGTGAGCACCAGGTCACAGTCCGTGAATAGTCCGTCAACATCCACATACTCCGCCACCACCTCATATCTTGGCCGGAGCTTGGCACCGACCAACCGCAAACCGGTGCCCAACCCCCCAGATGCTCCACTGCCGGGCGAAAGACCTATTTTATTGTCGCAGAGGAGCTGACCGGCGACAAGGGCGAGCACCTCCATGGCTGCTGAAAGCCGCTCAGTCTGCGAAGGACTCGACCCCTTCTGAGCGCCAAAAACCCTGGCAACACCTTCGGGGCCACAAAGCACATTGTCCCAGTTTACCGCAACCTCGATGTTCATGTCTTTGACGCGATTGTCGATCCCGCTGAGGTCAATGTTGGCCAGGCGCAGAAGCGACTCGCCCCCTGCTGCAATAGGGAGAGTATGTCCGTCTTGGTCTATAAGCCGAGCGCCAAGAGCCTGCAGCATTCCAGCGCCGCCATCGCAAGTGCCAGAATCACCACATCCAACAACGATTCTCTTCGCCCCAGCTCCAACAGCAGCCTTCAGAAGCTCACCAACGCCAAACGTGGTAGTAAGGCCAGGGTTGCGAAGGTGAGCGGGAACGAGACTTAAGCCTGCAGCGGCGGCCATTTCGACGACGCCAGTCTTCGGCTTACTGGGGTCCTCGGTTCCCAGTATGCCGAAAAATGATGCAACCGGGGTGCCAACGGGCCCGGTGACGGTGACGGAGTGGAGGGTGCCACCAGTCGCGGATACAAGCGCGCTAGTAAACCCCTCACCTCCATCAACAAGGGGGGCCTTGCGGACAGAAGCGTCCGGCATCACAGATAAGATGCCGGCTTCAATGCAGTCAGCGGCGACATCAGGCTGAAGACTTCCTTTGAACCCAGAAGGGCAGACGAGAATCTTCATTCCCTGAGTGGCTGGAAGAGAACCCATCTTTGGTTTTCTGAGCTGGGTCTTATGGTAAGATGATGTTTATGAAATTTTGCGTTTGCGATTGAGTATCAAAAATAGTTAAAACGAACGTTAATGACTTAAGTATAGAGCGAGTGTGAACAGTATGGTATGATAGCGATGGTGAGTGATGGTGAGCAGTGTGGATGAGGGCCTTCTCAATTCAGACTGAGCTGCCGTGAACAGTTCACTTTATACCGCTCGAGATGAGAGCTACACAATACCAGCGAACTCAACATGTCGGCCTTTTTCGTTTGCGGCTCGACATTACGTCTATGGCGGTGAGACTTCGTGGAGATGGATGAGACTCAAGATGCCGAGTCAGCTGTTGAGGAGTGGCTATGGGATGCTTGCTTGTCCTCTATCTCACCAACCGGAATCTGCTCGTGTGATGCCTCTCTCTCTGTCACAACTTGGGGACTATGGTGCCCTAGAACCCTGCACGTGTCCATGGCCTTATTGGGCTGTCTAGCCTTCTGCATTTTGAACTGCTGTATGGCTTCATCGCGAGTATCGAGGCCACGCAAGTCTTTCTCAGCATAGCCCGTCTAGCTAGTCTAGCTTATAGGCCAGATACTGATGGCAAATCTGCCTCATTGGTAATGTGAGCATCACGAACTGGGCTCAGCAGCAAGTGAGCACACGAGCAGGATTGCCCAGATCTCGTATCTCAACCGGGTGAAACAATCACCAAGGTGCCATCAAAGATATATCCTCCAATCATACGGCCGTACCTGAGCTATAATAAGAATTCCAGCCCTTTTCCAGGGCTTTTTTTTCAGGTTAAAGTGTGTGTCCTCCCCTGATCACAGGCGTGGGAGAATGCTGTTACAACACGCATCATCAGCCACAGTTGACGTAGCGACCCAAGACCCCCCCGCCGATCGACTTGCCAAGAAAGCTTCGGCTTCTTCCAACCCCAATTAACAAGAAACCCTTCACTTACACAAGGCTAGCATCATTTTTACGTCCTCTTGGCAGAGTCATTTTCCTGAATCTAGGGATATGTGCCATTGAGTTGGGCAAAGATGACTACCTGGGTCCGGGTCGAGGTGATTGCTTCCAGCCATCGGGGGCTCCCCCCCCAGCCTGACCGGACACATCATCCGAGGCGTTTCTATATTGAGCGCGTGAGGCTGTGCTATACAGCCTGAGAAGTGTCGAAAAGCGGAAGTGCTTAAAAATAATTCTTTTTTTGGTATTTTAAGAACCGCTGGAAATGTCTTGCTTTTGCAGTTGGACTATTGTCGAAAGAGTGTTGTAATCGACAGCTCTCGTTCATCATTTCTCTATCCACTCGTTCCGTCGTTCGTTTTGAAAATAAAGAAAAGAAAAATGTCTAAACCCCATGCGTATTACTTCATTCCTCGCAAGCCGGTATCAGATCAAGAGGAGAATCTCAACCTCCGCCAAGCCCTGACTCGTTCTGGGTCTTGGTCATGGCGCGGATGGAGCCCGGGGCTCCCTTCGTTCTCAGAGTATGAGCAGACGGCGCACAATTTCCCTTGGCTCCAGCATTCTAATACTTCTCGCTCCCGCGGGAACCTGGACGTGGGACAGCCGGATGTTAATCTGGAGAATCCAGATCATACAGACCACTGTCTTTTACTTCCCCAGCGCGATTTGCAAACCGGCTCCGTCATGATACCTCCTCCAGAGAAACCCCTGCCTGAGCAAGGGAGCCAATCTGACGATCCCGAAGACCCAGAAATGGCAAGCTCTGCCTTACCCGCTTTGAGACTAAACACTAACTGAACGGCGGCAGGTAACATGGTCTGGGCCCTCGGACCCAACGAACCCGAAGAACTGGCCAAAGCACAAGAAGTGGACCGCGACCATCCTGGTCTCATGCTTTACTTTCATATCCCCCGTATCTTCAACAATGTTAGCTCCAGCTCTGGATACGCTTGCCCATGAGTTCAACGTTAGGTCCGACATTGAGACCTACCTCTTGATGTCCATCTTCCTTCTCGCTTATGCAGTGGGACCTTTTGTTTTGGCCCCCTTGTCTGAGATGTATGGTCGAGTTGTTGTGCTACAGTCGGCCAACATGTTTTATCTCATCTTCAACACTGTCTGCGGGTTTTCGGCGTCTAAGGAGCAAATGCTTGCGTTTCGGTTCCTGAGTGGTTTGGGAGGAAGTGCTCCTCAAGCTGTAAGTCTTCGTCATGAACCTTCCAAGCTCGAAGTACCTGGAGCTGACATGCGTGCTAGCTTGGCGGTGGTGTGTTGAGCGATTGTTGGAGAGCTGAAGAAAGGGGGACAGCAACTGCGATATATAGTATCGCCCCCTTTCTAGGTCCCGCCGTCGGACCGATAGGTCAGTTGCCGATAATATGCACCGCTTACACAACTCTTGGCTAAGGAATCCCAGCTGCTGGCTATCTCACACAGTATTTGTCATGGCGTTGGATATTCTGGACGGTGTCAATCGCAGACGCTCTCGTCCAAGTTCTCGCGTTTCTCTTTCTTTCCGAGACATATGCGCCCACGATCCTGGCTGTAAAGGCCAGAAAGCTTCGCAAGGCGACTGGCAACAGCAACCTTCACACCGAGTACGACAGACCCGACAGAACTTTTGGTCAGACGCTGCGAAAGAACTTGGTAAGACCTTTCAGGCTGCTATTCACGCAGCCTGCGCTACAAATCACGGCACTCTACAGAGCCTACTTGTATGGTCTGATGTACCTCGTGTAAGTGTCTCTTGGTTTTGCAAAAGACAAGAAGACAGCTACTTACCATATCCAAGTCTCGCTTCTTTCCCGTTTGTCTGGAGCAAACAATATGGCCAAGAACCAGGGCCGGCAAGTTTGAATTACATTTCCCTAGGGGTAGGATTTGTCATTGGACTTCAGATATCAGGGCCTCTCATCGATAAGGTAATGGCCACGTTAAACTACTACGACGCGAAACCAGACTGACAGTTCAAAGGTGTACCGTACACTGAAGGCACGCAACAACGACACGGGTGCTCCCGAGTTCAGGATTCCTCTAATGTTCCCCACGGCCATCGTCACGCCCATCGGTCTTCTGCTCTACGGCATAACAGCACACTTCAAGATCCACTGGATCGTCCCCAACATCGGCGCTGGCATCTTGGCCGCGGGCCTCATCCTGTCTTTCCAATGCATGCAGACGTACGTCATCGACTCTTACGAGCGGTATGCAGCCAGCGCGGCTGGCGCAGCAGCGTTCGTGCGGACGATGGCCGGCTTCAGCTTCCCGCTTTTCGCACCGCGGCTGTACGACGCGTTGGGGATCGCGTGGGGAAACGTCCTTCTGGCTGGTATTGTCCTTGTCATGGGCGTGGCTGTACCGGCTGTGATGTGGAGATGGGGTGCTTGGTTGAGGAGCAAGAGCCAGTACTGTGCTGGCTAAGTCTACGAGTACGCGGACTCAGTTTGATTTTCATGATACCAGAAATTGAGACAAAGGGATTTTTTTCTTTATGAATATGGTGCTAATGATATACCAGATAGTAAGTGAAAAAGTGGGCAGGGTATCAAGATGGATGTAGCCTTTAAGTAACAAAAATAGTTTACTAGTAAAGTGTTGTGCGAGCGAGAGGAGGTACGCGTTACTACGATGAAGTCGACGGTCTTTATATAGCCAGGATGACTTGAATCAGAAGATAATTCAAACTCATAAAAGGGTACGTTTAATGGTATCATGCGTCTTTATTAGGGTATTAGTCCAGTAATTACAACTCGTATGCTCACATGTGTGAGAAGCCAATGAAAATTCGCATCTCGGGATATCAAGCTGAAGCACAAACATCTCAACCTAAACCGTCCTACTACTCATCCCCAAAAAACTCCACTAGATTGATGCCCTGGCAATGTTCTTGCCGGCGACCAGACCAGGACCCTTCTCGGTGAAGAAGGTCTTGGCCTTGGCCGCACTGACGATGAAGCCGGGCAGCTTCATCGTGTTGAACTGACCGGTGCCCTTCTTCTTGCCGATAGTGACAAAGACCTGGGGCTTGGTCGTCAGCTTGAGGTCCTTGACCTTGGCCTCTTGGCCGGTGAGGACCGCGTCGAGGTTGTCGGCGAGGTGGAGTGCCTGGCCCTCGGCGCGCATGAGCTGCTTGGCCTCGAGGTTACCGGCATCGCCAGCGCACCAGACGTTCTTGAGTCCCTCGACGCGGAGGTCGTGCTTGAGCTTCAGGTTACCCCGCTCGTCGAGCAGGTGCTCTGGGATAAAGGAGGTGTTGGGACGGACACCGAAGAGGGGCAGGTACAGGTCAGCGGTCAGGGTCTCGCCGTTGGAGAGCTTGATGGACTTGAGGGAGCCGGAGGTGTCGGCCTCAGTGACACGGGCGTTGGTGACGAGCTTCACCTTGAGCGACTGCAGGCTGGAAGCGGCGACCTTGCCGAGCTTGGGGAGCAGGCCAGGGAGGGGCGCATCGCCTTCGACGACGAGGGTGATTTGCTTGGTGGAGCCGTACGCGTAGCCAAGCTCGCCGGCAGTCTCGACACCTGTGGTACCGGCACCGGAAATGATGATGGAGTTGGCAGCCTTGACCTCGGATTGCAGGCTGTGCAGGGCGGCCAAGGTCTCCTCATGGGTGCCGATGGTCTTGAAGGGAAGGCCGCTAGCAAGGGAGGACCCGGTAGCAATGACGAGCTCGGCGTACTCAATGGACTTAAGGCCTTCGTTGGTCTCTACCTGGACAGTGTTGGCAGTGGTGTCAATACCGGTGGCCTTGCCAAGGACGAACTCAAAAGCGTCCTGGGGATACTTGTCGAATCCGGGCTTGATCTGGTTGAAGAGGGTGTCATCAGAGAACTCGCCGGGAATCAGGCCCCGCACGGCGGCGCAGTTCCAGTACAGGTGGGTCGAGGGAGACACGAGGATGACCTTAAGCTCCTTGACCTTGGGCTGGGTGTATTTGAGGAGCTTGTGGGCGATTCCGAGGCCGGCGTATCCAGCGCCCAAGATAACAACCTGTTTAACCATTGTGACGTTTTGAGAGCGAATACTTCTTTTGTGGGGAAAGCTGGGATTGGTAGGTAGTAATAATGCTGCTTTCTTTCAAGGGAGAGTAAAGAAAAAAGTCGTCGGTATGCCGGGGTATTTAATCGGGGTCAGTTGTGGAGAGCAACGGGAATGCCGTTGGGGGAGTGCGAAAGGGAGGTGATGAGGGAGGAAGATAACGCCCAATGAGGTAGTAAAGGACAAAGTAATCGCGGAAGAAGAATGGACGCAGCAGATTTTAGGGGAGAGGGAACGAGGGACTTGGGGTCAATGAATGTTTATATCGACACAAAGGCAAAGGATTCGGCGGAATCTGTTGGTCTTAGGCTGGCAGACCAAAGTCCCGATACCCTTGGCCATTCAAACACCCCAGGAGCCATTGAGCAAACCTCGAAAGGTGAAATTTTCCTTCTCTGGGACCTAATTGGAAAAATCAATCCAATGTTTCAGACGAATGAACGCTCGGATTATTCAGCTAAAGCGGTGACAAGCGAAATTGAGTTTGGTACCATCTATTTTGCTTTTGCAGGAGGTGATCAGACCACGGGTAAGATTCGCAAGTAGGATTCCATGTTACGCGTTGAAAAAAAAGCATCAATGATGGAATTGTAGGCGCGTACAAACACGGCATGGTAAGGATCTGGTGCGGCAGGGCCCCCTACTGGTCGAGTCAAGGCAAACGGCGGGCGCCACGACACTAGCCAGTCTTGAGGGCGCGCGCGCGGTATTGATTGAAAATCCAAAGATGATATCGGTAATCGACGAGTGTAACATCGAACCCCCCCGCTAAGCTTTTTGAAGGTTAAAATGTGGTAAAGTCATTGAGACGAGGGAGAGAGACTGTCTACAACCCATGCCTTGTGGCTTGTCCGCCGTTCTACCGCCCCCCCCCCCCCCCATCTACAGGCGACTTTTCGGCACCCAAATCCTATTTGATGCTGGAGCTGCTACTATTTTGCACCTCTCGAAACAACTTAGGCTCATGTCGGTGGTGCATTAGGGGATGACGATCATAAACGGGGCGCGGCCTGGTATCTTTCTCCGAAGAGAGCCTTAGTCAAGGGGGTGGTTTGGGCGGCGCATTGGTAATATTCGCGCGCGGTTGTAACTTCAAGGGGGGGGGATAGATGTACTTACGTATCAAATATTTGTTATACGCCTGTGAGCAAGCCATTTCCCTTGTAACTAGGTCATGTCGGTCTCTAGGAAGCCCGTTCGTCGTGTAAAAGGCAACTCATCGTAATCGGTACATAGTTGGATGGGGCAATTCGGTCCCGAGCACCGCGCCCGGCAGACCCGAGTGGGGCTTTAATTTGGGCGGTATGCACAGTACGGCGCTAGCAATCGCACAGTCGCAGTATAGTTTTCCTCCTTTTTCGGCGATTCTCAAGTCCACACCTTCTCATTCACTGACTCATCATTTAGACTTATTGTCGACGAAATCGAGAAAAATTCTGATGAAAATATATAATGATCATCTCGATAGGTATGATTAACCATGGGAAAAATGGAATTCAAGGTTCTGAATTCTTCAGCTCTTGGTATAAGCACTTAGCCAATTCAATATCCCATGCGAAACACAGACACTGTGCTCATCATGTATCATCTCATTCTCAAGACTCACACCTTTCCATTCTTAAGATGAGCCAAAGCTTGACTCGGAGCTCTGGCCAGCAGGCGCCATATGCTTAAGACACCCTACTACTTTCTAATTTGAACACCACACAGTCTTAATACCCTTGCTCTTGTTTTTCGGCATTGAAACGACAAGGTCGAAAACCATACTCTCCATCAATGGCCATGACCTCCAAAGTCATTCATTTGTACGGCAACGCGCGAAGTGTCACAGTTGCAATCCTAGCTTAGAGTTATAGTTTACCAATCTATCATTCAGACGTCAGCATGAGCTCCGACATTGTTACGTCTACTAATGCGGGTCGTGCATAAGTGGGATTACGGAGTATACCCAAATACCATCGGTTACTCGGACGTATCGTAGTGTAAACATGTGCCGCTCCGGCCTACTACGTCCTCTTACCAATGTCGCTATGCCGCTTTCTGGAGGATTCATGAAGAGCCTCCCCACATTTATGCTTTGCGCCGACATGCCGAACACGTAACCCCGCGGGAGGCCGTGAGATATCTCTACTGGCGCTCACGACCTCGGAGGCGCCCACGTGCGCAAGTACCTCACGCTCCCGACAGTCTTGATGAAAGCCCAGACATCAGTTGCTCCGTCTCCATGAACACCGGGGCTAATGTAAGCCTGCCCTTTGAGCGCCCCTAGCTCGGGATCCCTTGCCATTAGGTCCGACTGTCCGGAGCCCTGTTGCTCATTTGTCCACGAGGCGCCGTATTACAAAGCAATGGTCAGCCCACTTGCTGAAGGGTGATGAATTGTCTTGACCTAATTGCGTATTGGGAGTATAAGACGGTTTTCTAGTCCCCTTTTTCGGCAAAGTATCTTATTTGATCATCGAAATACTTATTCCGGAATAGCACCCATGAGTCAGTTTTGATAGCGAACAACACAGGTTCAATTAAGCTGAATCGGGAGATAGAGTCTATCCAATTGTTCAATACTGAACGTGAAGCCGCTGATTTCTGAGGCGACGTCTTCTAGATGACCTCCGGCCATGGTCAAATGAACTTAGACTCGTTTTCGTGTCGATATAATGTCACTAAAACCTCCCAGTTTTATTGACTGACTGTATGTCAAGTCGATAGCGGGCATGGTTACAGTATCGACTATCTTGACAACATACTAGCTGCAGTGAAATAACATTGTAGACTCCATTGTAGAGAGTGCAAGCATATCATTAGCTTTGCGTAAATCAGTCTCCCAGACAGCATTCACAAACCAAGAGTTATGCCTTGCGCTTCTGTAGTGGATCCAAGTAATTGGGCTTCCGTGAACAATGAGTTCCATACAGTCGGCTAGCCGCATCACATATCGCAATGTGGCGCTAACTCGAACGGTAAATCAGTTTACTGAAGAACATTACTGTAGTGAATTTCATACTGAGGCAGCGCCTTAGTAAGCTTCCCAAATCACGTTGAGGAGTAGACACCATGTCACTCACAATGAGCCATGGCAGGTATTACCTGGTCTCTCTAGCCTGCAGATTTTAATGCCCAAGAGTTGTATTCTTTCCATTTTTACTGGTTTAAATAACGTCATAGTAAAAGGTCCCGGTCAAACGCTGTTGTTCTAGGGACTAGGATTAAGTATCGTGACGGAATAATCTAGCCAGCACCCAAGGCATGAGTTGAACGTCGAGGAATAAATAACCTGACATGGCTAAGTCACAACATACACGGCATGCTGAACAGCATCTTCTTTAATCGCCTTATTTTGACTGTAATAAAACGGAGCTGCACCGACCGGCTCTGGTCCGCTTTCCATACGAATGACTGCACAAATTCATGTGTCTAACTTTCACCTTGTCGAAATACTATGCGAGGCTAGTACATCACTCATCCCTAGCCCTCTGGCACGTATGGCAAGATCTTCTACACTTGCACGTGGGAAAGAGTAGGCGAGAAATGTGTCATATAACTCATCATGTCATCAGCTGGAATGTGTTTTGAGGGTCAAATCCACCGCCGGATTGTTGGGAGGTTTTGTCATTGGCCACATTTGGTGAAGTTTAACACCTGGAATGCGGTAAGAAAACAGAAAGGAATGCCTTGGTTCAACATATCTGGCACTGAATGGTCCTTTGACGCATCAATTCGAGGACATTACACTGCTGCTCCTCTGCAGTCACACCTACCGGTCTCAGGCCAGTGTTGAAAGCTTTCTGAGGCATGCAGAATTTTCCACAAATTCAACAAAGCACAAACAGGGGCGCCGGCGCACCAGACTATGATATAAAAATTATCGATGACCAGTCATGTTACTATTATCTAATCTCATGTATTGATAGACCATATGTTTTAGCTTATCTGAATATTATAGTAGCTTTCTATTTACATGCACCAATCATTTAACCCGCGCCAGTGCTGCAGAAGAGATAGCGGCGTGGATTTCATTCTCGGCGCCATCTTCCAAAGGCAAAAGAGGCGATCTTACGGTGGCGTGCTCGAGAATTCCTCGAGCAACAAGCGCGTGCTTCAACGCCACTGTGCCCTCCATGTGCGATCCACGGTGGTAGACAGCCTTAGTGACTGGCAAAAGGCGGTCATGAATCTCTCTCGCCTTGGGGTAGTCTTTTGCCTTGCCGGCCTTGATCAGCTCGATGAGCTCCTCCGGTGCAATGTTACCGTAGCCGACGAGCATGCCGTCCACGTCAAAGGCCGTGTGGAGGAGGTATTCATCGTGGCAAGTAAGTACCTGCAAATCAGGTCTCTCCCGGCGGATGACGGGGATCTCAGTGTCCCAGCGCCTCATGTTACGGACGCCGTTCTTCATCGCAAACACACCCGGCTGCGCTGAGATATCGAGAAGTGTCTGCAGGTTGTATGTGGCCTTGGTGACGTCCGGGTACTGGAAGAGAATAAGCGGCAGCCCGCTGACCTCGTATACGACCTTGTACCGGTCCTGTGGGGCGCCGGGCTGGTAGCCGAAACGGAGCCAGCCGTGGGAAGGATACAGGAGACCGGCCGTGGCACCGGCCTCACGAGCGCGCTTAGCCTCGAGGGCGGCAACTTCGGTGCCCTCGCCAGTGATGCCGGCGATAATAGGGATGCGGTTGTTGACAGACTTTACAAAGGCCTTGATGATGGCAATCTGCTCTTCTTGCGTCAGGAAAGTACCCTCACCGGCATGGCCGAGAACGACGAGACCCTTGACACCAGGAATGCTACCGAGCCAGGAGCCGAGACGTTGGATGGCGTCGTAGTCTACTTTGCCATCCTTGGTGAACGGAGTGACAGGAGCGGGCGTGAGACCACGGAGGTCGAGGCTAACTGCGTTGGAGCCCATTTTCGATGTATGTGAATGTATTGAAGGGATGAAAGAAGTTTGCTGGTCTTCAGAGTGTTATGATTGATGGGCTTGTTTGTTGTTCAAAAAAGGCCTTACTTTTCGTCTCATCGTGATGGCTTTATAATCCTCGGAACGTCCTAGGACGATCCTCGCGGCGACGACCTCGCGTTTGATGAAGAGCCGAAGTCGCGCCTAGTGATGAAGAAGCGCCTTTGTCAGTTTCACATGAGAGGATACCAGTGGGAGATCTTGACCAACTTCCATTGCTCGTTGCCCGTTTCCCCGCGTATCCGGGTCTCCGGGACAGAGTGTCTGTTTTCCGGGGGAGAGTCCGGGCCACAAAATCCGGGCAGCTCCGGACTCGTGACTCGCGACCTGGGAGTGCCACCACCCTGACCCCCTCAGGGCCACTAGACTGTTATAAACTGGACCTTGAGGAGAAATAAGATTGTTACTCGCCTTGAGGGCAAATAGTGGCCCCATCTCATGCAACGCTTGTGTCATAGCCTCTGCACCCCAGAACTTTGGTGAGGGGAGCTACATACTATCGAATCGTACTACGACATACCTAGGAGATCATTAGTAGAGTGTACTCGACCTGCATATGCTTAGTGATATTCGTAACCCTCGAATCTTTCGATTTCAATACTCTAAGCGTTTCCGAGCTAAGAACGTGGACGTAGTCCGGAATTCCGCACCCAGTCGAATCAGTGGTTTGGAGCTAAAGAAGCTAAGGCGAATTTGTCTTTTCCGGAGCCTTTGAGGCCCTGGCGCGGCCAAGGGCAACTACCCCAGATTTCTGGAGGTGTGCCCCCGCAACTCCAGACTCAGCTGTAGCAACCTGCGCACCAATCCCCTTTCCCCAGAAACCCTCCTCGGATGAGGTGGCACTCGGTGTGATATACCATTCTCAGCTATAAAAGAATACCAATGTCAACTCCTTTTACCGAAGTGTTCCATCAGACTTTATCTCCGCTCTGGTTGGACTGTTTGTTTCTTCAAAGTCCTCGAGTACCTGCATCTGTTCAACCCAGTGCTTTCCTCTGAAACCCTTCCTCAACATGGCTACAACTCGACTATCATCTGATCGCTCCGATATAGAGCAGGTTGCCCAAGAAAAGAACTCGGTCTCACACGATGAGTTCAAGCGAAATAGCGGCATGAATCCTGAAGATGCTGAGTTCCTTGCCAATTTCCCGGACGATAAAAAGAAGAAGGCAGTTAGGAAGGTTGATGTGCGTATACTAAAAACTACCTTGTGGTTTTAGAACTCAATGTCATTTCCCCGTGTGTTCTTTGATACTGACGATGTCTTCTTTAGTTTCGACTTGTCCCTATGCTCGTTCTGCTATACCTGATGGCCTACCTTGACAAGACCAATATCGGCAACGCAAAGATCGAGGGCCTGCTAGACAGCCTCAACATGACGGGCGTCGAATACAACATTGCTTTGTCTGTCTTCTTCATCCCCTTTGTCTTGGCTGAAGTGCCAAGCAACATGGTCCTACACATGTTCAAAAGACCTTCTCTTTACATTGGAGGAATTGTTACATGTTGGGGCATTGTCATGACTTGCAATGGCGTTGTCCAAAGCTATGGTGGTCTGATTGCTGTCAGGATCTTTCTTGGGCTTTTCGAGTACGTATTGACTTGTCAACAACAAATGATGTAACCCTGACAACTTCATACAGAGCCGGCTTTCTCCCTGGCGCCATCCTCATTATTTCCAAATGGTATCTCCCCAACGAGACACAAACTCGAATCGCCATTCTATACACATCTGCCGCATCGGGTGGTGCCTTCTCTGGTCTCCTTGCATTCGCCATTGCCAAGATGCACGGTGTCGGCGGATATGAAGGTTGGAGATGGGTGAGTCTTTACCATAACCCACAACTCTCATACGTGATCTAACAAATCAAGATTTTTATAATTGAAGGTTTGGCAACAGTCATCATCGGCATCATGTGTTTCTTCTTCCTAGTTGACTCTCCGTCATTGTCGAAGTGGCTTGAGCCTGAGGAGATTCGCTTTCTTGAATTGCGTCAACAAGCGAGGCGAGTCGTGCGACCTGACGAGTTCCGAGACTCTCATTTTGATAAGCATGCATTTCTGTCAGTCTTGACTGATTGGAAGATATACCTCTTGATCTTCGCCAACTGGTCAAACGCCGTGCCCAACTATGCAATGAAGTTTACCATGCCTCAAATCATCAAGAATATGGGTTACACTTCCGCCACTGCTCAGCTCCTGACAATCCCCCCATATGCCGTCGGCGCAGTGTCCGCGTATCTCTTCTCCGTCTTTGCCGATCGTTATTCTTGGCGTATGCCTTTCATCGTTGGGCCGCAATTGCTATTGGTTGTTGCCTTTAGCATTCTCTTCACCAAGAGCGATGACATCAAGAACAACATCGCGCTCAATTACTTTGCGGTTTGCTTGGCTTGTTTTGGGTTAGTCAAAGGGAAAGTAAAGAAGACAAGTGACAGAGGCTAACGAGAATTCTATAGCATGTACCCAATTCTCCCCGGAGTCAACGCCTGGAACGTAGCAAATACACCGAGTCCCACAAAGCGAGCTATCAGTATCGGCTTCCTCGTCTGCGTTGGCAATATTGGTGGGCTTATTGGCAGCTATATTTACTTGGACAAGGAGGCGCCGAGGTATCCAACTGGCTTTGGTACTTCGTTCGGGTTTGCCTCTGCTGGAATCATCGCTGCCATTAGTCTGGAAATCTTGTTGCATAGGCGTAATAAGAAGAAGGAACTACTGAGCGAGGATGAAGTTAGACAGAGGTATTCGGATGAGGAGCTTGACCGCATGGGGGAGAAGAGTCCTCTATTCAAGTATGCTCTATAGGCCCGCAGGTTGACCCGTAAAACCCACAAGAGAATTTAATTTTCCAGATATTCACGTTTGTTAAGTTCTGTTTTGCCTTACAATATTTACAGTTAAGACTTCCTAACCTAGCAAATATGTCTTTTTTGTACCGTAGGCAAGGCATTTATACACAAGTTTCACTTAGGAAGTTGCAGGCTACAAAGGGTCAACTCTACCTTTGCAGATACCGGGGTATACAACTTTGGTGACGTTTTCTCGGAAGTTTATTGTCGAAAAACAGAATAATCCAAAGCTTCCTTGCATAAACGGTCTGACTCTCAAACGGGAACGACTTCTCAAGTCAACTCGAAGCGGAGCCTGTCAGCATCCACCTCAGTGGAGCAACAATTCAATCATCATGGCCGGTTGGCCCAATGGCAAGGCGTCTGACTACGATTCATCGTGACATCAGGAGATTCTGGGTTCGACCCCCAGGCTGGTCAATGATATATCTTTTTTGGCTCTTTCGCTTTATTTCTGATCAAAATTTTGATGTGCTGCAATCCTGAATGGTTGCGTCTTTTGCTGAGTTGTGAGTCGTTATACCGTAACAGAATAACGTGCAAAGGCTGTAGTTTTATTCGCTCAATGACTTGAATAGCCCACCAAATGACTCAAATTGCGTAAAGCCATCAACCTTGGGTCCGATCAATGGCTCCATTCCCTTATCGCCCTTCTTCAATGCTTCGCGATAAGCTGGACGATCGGCAACATCCTTCAAATACCTGAGGATGTTCTTGTGTTGCGATAGGTCCAGCACGGGGTAGAATCCACGCATGGTAGTAAGACTGAAGACCGTCATAATATCGGCAGCGCTGAGGTTCTCTCCAGCCAGCCACTTGTGATTCGCCAGCCGATCGTCCACCAGCTTCAGAATGCTATGAATCTTTTCGTGCACGGACTTCCAAATGGCGGTACCATGAGCACCGGCGAACAAGAGGGTCATGCCTCGAGTAATGGCAGGCTGCAGGGTACCGTTGGCAAAGTGTAGCCATTCGAGGTATGCGGCGAACTCCTGGTCCTCGGGGGATCGGCGCAGTCTAGGAGCTCCAGAGCCGATCTTGGGCTGTGCATGGACGCTTAGGATGTATTCAACGGTGGCACCTGATTCCGATATCTCGACTGGCGGTGAGACGGTGGTGTCGCGGAAGTACGGTGCGGTGCCGGCAGGGTTCTAGCTCGGTCAGTCGATACCAGGCCCGATGGGGACTCTTTTGAAGGGACCCACGATGTCCTTGAGACCTTTGGGCCCCAGCCCAGTCTTGGGGTCTCTCTCAAAAACAGTCAACTTGTAAGGGATTTGCAGTTCCTGAGGAGAATCAGCATTGCTTGAGGTAAGACAGAGTATAAACTTGTCTTTGGCCTACCTCCAACAACCACAAAAGTCTCTCGGATTGAGACAGATGCAAGTGAAACACTTCGAGAGACATATTTGCTATGTGTGTGGTGACTTATAATTAAATTGTGTCGCGAGTCGTGAGCTGCAGTAACAGGTCGAACTACGAAGGTTGTGAGGGTGATCCATCTGGTATATATCATCTTACAAGCACGGGGACCCTTGAGACAAGACTGTGCCAAGTGTCGCCATGTTGACGTCAGAGCTCAGGGAAAACAGAGTCCCCGACGGCAAAAATTCACGAATTGAGATGAAGCAGACGGAGCTCTAGCGGGTCGAAGAGTCGAAAGTTGGAGATTCGGTGCAACTCTGTGAGCCGCCGTCCGTGCCTGGTGTGTTTTGAGCGGGTGGACAGGGACCGGGCTCGGATGGTCCGGAGTAGAGTGACTAGTCGTAGCAAATAGAAAAACACTGGAATAGTAAGCAGATCCTAAGGGAGGACTCCTTTGACAACCCTCTTTGTTGGGAAGTTTGAAGTAGGAGCTATTTCAAAATCGGTACAAGTTCGCATATTAGATATAAGATCACCAAATGAACAAAGATCAGGGTGGCACACTGCTGCTACTCTACCCAAATGACTGGGTTCATGGTCAGCATGAAGAGATGGATTTCCCAAAGCGGGTTAGCCGCAGGTAAGCCGAGAAGCCTGGTGGCTCTATTCATCCAGGGGGTCGTATGCACGCAAAAAGCATAAACTCCCGATAATCTAGCCACTCGAACAGAGCAACGACGTACTACGAATACACAAAGCAATAGAAAATTGATCCTTTCCGGGAAGTTTCGTTAGTCAGATGCTGGGTTGTGGGTTGGAGTCAGCAGAGCGGACTTAAGAGGGATGAACCGGTCTCTTGGAAAAGTGATGCTCCGATGTTATTTCCGCGACGGTGTTTCAACACGATTAAGGCACAATTTTAATGGAATAAGTTGGGATGTCGATCTGCGGGGTGTCCGTTGCAATAACGGCCCGTTGGATAAAGGGCTGTTTACAGTTTGCAGTGATGCACGGCAGGGACCACAATTTGAAATTGGAGAATTTTCATTGCATTTATGAGGGGTGTTTGAAGCCGGAGGAGGCTGCAGATAGCAAATCCGGCACTTCCATGATACTCGATCTTGAGTGAATGATTTGACCGCGTATTTAGCTATGGCCTCTCGCGTAAAGACATGACAACAACTACCATCGAGAATACCGAGACACTTTATCTGCGTTCCTTGGGCTCAACAGTACATGTAGGGCATATTCTAGATTCCAAGACGAAGATGAACTTCTACGATTCTACAAGCAGAGGGGGACGGCTTCAACACGTGGCTAGACTGGTCGTCGATACCGGAGTTAAATCCCATTGGAGCAGTTCGATTTTTAAGACTTTTTGTACCAGGATTCAAGACATGTGATGAGGGGGAGATGCAGGAATGTAACTTTGGTGCTCGGGCTTGTGAAGGGCAGAAGGTTCAAAGACCATGCCACGCAGCGTTCTCAGAACCTCTTTTGCCCCGCATCCAGCCCCGGGAGTCTTCTTTTTGCCGATTCTCCTAACTTTGCAAACTGTTGGACGCTGCATATTCTGGTTGGCAGCTGAAGGACAAGGGGTGTTGGAGGGTACCTTATGTATGGAGTGGGTGGCTGGCTGGCAGGGGTGGGACAATTTTGGTGTGTAAAACTAGCTTAAACTAGCTTCTTCCCCCCCCCTCAAAGACCCCAAAGCTCTCCTAGCTTTTTGCTTTTCCGAACCCTTTTGACTGCTCCAAAAGCCTTTCCTAAAGTGACGACTTGTGTCGTGAACACACGTTCACATTCTAACCCTCCGTCTCCGTACCGGCTGTAGGCCTTGGCAACCATGATCTACAGCTAATAGTTTCAAGCCGCTTGGATACAACTGGCAGGGAAACTCTTGGTCAATCGAGGCGTCGGCACGGGAGAGACAGGCCTGACACAATCTTTCCGGAGAAACGGACTTAACTCTGTGGAGAATATACGGATGCCAGCAATCGCATCGGAGGGTCGGATTTCCATGACCGTCCAGAGTATTATGGCAGACACACCCATGCCAGCTACCGAGTCACCCGATGATCATGTCTCCGAAGCTGTATCTGTCAACGCCGTGCCAACCCCTTCATCTCACATATCACAGTACTCGCCCTTGAGTGCAACGTCCGTAGAGCCGCCTCGGAGAAAACGCCCTTTACCCGAAGGCCGCCCTGATGACAGTCCGCAGCAATCCCAACATGCGGAGGGGTCTCGGAAAAAACGCACTCTACCCGAAGGCCGTCCCAGTTCAGGTCCGTCTCCAGCCGAAATCTCGGACTCTTCCCGGAGGACGCGCGCTCTACCTGAAAGACCTTCTGAGCGCTTCATCCGAGACGACTCTGACCCGGGCCCATCGCAATCACAGGCTCAACTGTCTGCCGCCGCCAGTGCCACTGCCAACCGACGAAGGAGTCATAAAGTCAGTCGTGCATGCGACTTTTGCAAGGCCAAGAAGCTAAAATGCTCCGGCACCATCCCCTGCGACGTATGCACCAAGAAGCGCCTTGCCTGCATCTATGATGCCAGCTATCGCCGTGGGAGACCGCCAACGCCTCCCCCAGCTCCATCAGTTGGTGTAGAAGCCACAACCCCTGCGACTGGAGTGGTACCAGCTGTATCTCCCTCAGAGACAAGGAGGTAAGTTGTCGTTTGCCCATTAGCTATCCGAATATGAATACAAACAGTACTCTAGTTACAGAAGACGGCTTTCGACGGAACCTGCTCCTTCAGCCATATCATCTGGGAGTGCAGCACGGCCGATGACCCGAGATTCTTCGCCCCAAGCAAGCGCCGAAGAAAGCGTCCAGCTAGCATCACGAGCGTCGCCAGAGGTCGACGTTGCTGAGATTGAAGGCCAGTACTTTGACACGACATCGAGCTTGACCTTTCTCCATCGAGCATGGAAACGCTTGTCGTCACAGAGATCCAACAGCGGCATTGTTCCCCATGTAGCCAGTGGCGGCGAGCAGCACCAGAGCATGACAAGAGCCGGCGACAAACCCTTCGCATCGTCAGCCCTTGAGGCACACCCTCTCCCGAACCGTACCGTCGGCCTGAGCATGTTGCAATTCTACTTTGATGTCTGCGTCGTGACCTATCGCTGTCTACACCAGGGATCCGTGACCGACTGGTTCAACGCCTTGCTGACAAACGCACTGGAGAACATGCCTTTGCATCATGGAATAGGCCACGCCAAAGCCTCCATAGTCTTGACCATTCTCGCAATCGTAACTCTGCGGCAGATTAAGGTTAAAGATGTTGGTTCCGGTCTGGACGATGATGCAGGCATGCAACGCAGCGACTCCTACTTTTGCCGAGCCACTAGCTTCACCGATATGGAGACGGGCCTCCCAAAGCTCGAATCTGCTCAGGCTCGTCTTCTACAGGTCCTCTATCTTCTTCAGACATCGCGTATGAACCAAGCTTGGTATGTGTTTGGCAGTATCCTTCCCATCGTGTCAGCGCTGGGCTTGCATAGGAAGTCAAGCCGCAAGAGGACAAGCAGTAGCAAGAGTTCTCCGTCCGATTACATTATCTCGCAGTGCAGAAAGAGAACGTTCTGGGTCGTCTACACGATCGACAAGTACCTTGCCGTCGTCTTCGGTCGCCCACGGATGTATCACGACGACGATATTGACCAAGACTTACCCGACTGCGTTAATGATGAAGACATGACACCTCAGGGGAGATCAAGCGACGAACCCGAAATGGACTGCCACCTCGAGTCGCTCGTTTTTCACGCCAAACTCGCACAGCTAATCGACGGCATATCTCGCGAAGTGTACTCAATCAAACCGATAACAAAGCATGAACGCCTCCTGGCTGCCCATCGATACGGTCGAGCTCTCCATGACTGGCGCGAGTCACTTCCTCACCACCTGGGCACTGTCCGACCAATGTCGTTGATTCCGTCCTTCAGGCGACAAAATACTGCTCTTAAGCTGGCGTACTGCCACGCCATCATGCACGCCAATCGTCCGTTCCTCCTAGGCATAACCACTTCAAAAGGCGATGGTCAACCGACCGCTCTAGAAGACAGCGTGGACGAGTGCATCAACGCCGCGAAAACTGCCTTAGAAACAGTCGACGGCATGGCCAGCGATGGAACCCTGTTTCACGCATTCTGGTGGACACCATACGTTACCTTTTGCGCGCTAGCCGTCATCTACGTATGGAAGATCCAGCGGGGAGAGGATGACAGAGACAAGGGCCTCTTTGAGCTCGCCGATCGATGCCAAAACCATTTGGCAAAGGCTACTACATCCGATAGCCCTAGCCGACGATATAGCGTCATCCTGGAAGAGTTACGGGAAGACGCCATGGGAAAGCAAAATAAGAAACGGCCACTAGATCAAACGATCTCATCCGAAACTACTGGCAATGTGCAAGGTGGAAATATAATTCATGCGGATGAGTCTTCGGGAAGTGGTCTGGTACCGCCGGCCGATATGGGCGAAGTCTTCCAGACACACGGTTTCGAGGGAATGACAAACTTGTTGGCTGGCTGGGAGACCACAGATTGGCTTGATCTAGACTCATCGGTAAATCGCCATTTTCAAGCATTCTAGTTCATAAGCTGATAAGTCGGCAGGCTTTTGCTATGTTTTCCCACCCCGAGGGTTCCCCTGTGTCCTGGATGATGCCCCCTCTATGAGCGGCGACTTCACTTGGCTCACAGCTCTATTATTTCCACCCTAGTAGAATATACTTTGGGGTAGTAGCCGTGGAGTGCTACGAGCTACAGATTCTGCCAAACATCACGGCAATTAGTAAGGATGAAAGCGGTCGAAGGGATGTGTAATATGGACATAAGCACGGCTTTGAAGCCCTCGGAATGTTCGCACCGCCATAGATTGCGGAGACTTAATGCTTATACCTGATCTACTGTCCTTATCCATATTGCCGTGACCTCATTCAAGAGTTGGGATTGGGGGAATTATCAACTAAGCCTCCTCCGTTTGGAATCGCTTTCGCTCCCCCACATCCACATTGCCGACCAGGGGGGCCCTTGTTGAGCAATACTACAAGCAGTCAAGGGTGGGAGCATCTTCCGTGCACGGTGTCGCCGGCAAATTGAATAGCCAATTTATCCAGTACGATCGGTAATGTGCAACCAGCTACCCTGCCGCGGGTGCAAGGCCACCCTGGGAAGCATCTCGCAAATATCCAATGCGGCCACACAGAACAGCGGCTCTCGGCAACTAAAGTTGAGACTGGCCAGGTTCAGTCAAGAGGCTACCACCGCATGTGCCGAAGAAACTTCCCTAATGGGATTCCAGATGAACTTCTGTCCCCCCGGCTCTTTCAGCCCCCTCTTCAGACGAACATGACCAGACCACTCGGCTAAAGACACATCGCGGCGGAGTATTTGCAGTTTTACGTCGGCCCCTTTTAAAAGACGACCCTGGATGTGGGGTAACGAAATGATCGGGTTTTACACAAACAACTGGCAACCCCTAACATCGCCCTAGAGCGGTGGAAGGGAAGCCCACCAAAAAGGCATGATGCGCCACCGGGGATTCATCCTTAAAGCTTCGTTTCTGCGCTCTGTCAAGATTGTACATATTTAAAGGCTTCAATAAGTCAGCCTTGAAAAGTGGGATCAACCAGCAGTCTATCAAGAAGCAACAACTTCATCATAGCAGCCATGAAGTTCAGCAGCATTCTCTCCGTCTTCGGCATGGCCACCGCCGCCAGCGCTGCCTCTTTGCAGCAAGTCAGCAACTTCGGCTCAAACCCCAGTGGCGTCAAGATGTACATTTACGTGCCGGACAAGCTGGCAGCGAACCCTCCCATTGTTGTGGCGATTCATTACTGTACCGGTACTGCCCAGGCCTACTACAATAACAGCCCGTACAAGGGCCTTGCGGACCAGAAGGGCTTCATCGTCATCTACCCCGAGTCGCCCTACTCCGGCACATGCTGGGACGTCTCGTCCAAGGCGACCCTTACCCATGACGGCGGCGCTAACAGCAACTCCATCGCAAACATGGTTAAGTATACTCTTGACAAGTACAAGGGCGATAAGTCCAAGGTCTTTGTCACTGGGTCTTCGTCGGGTGCCATGATGACGGTTTGTAGATTTACTCCCGCTGGTTCAATGTCGCCACTAACAGACTATAGAACGTTCTGGCCGCCACATACCCCGACGTCTTTGCTGCTGGCATCGTCTACAATGGCGTCCCCGCCGGCTGCTTCTTCACCAACTCGGTCAACGGCTGGAACAGCACCTGTTCAAACGGCCAGTCCACCGCCACGCCCCAGCGCTGGGCGAAATGGGTCACCGACGCCTACCCCGGCTACACCGGATCCCGCCCTCGCATGCAGATTTACCACGGCAGCACCGACACCACCCTTAACGCTAAGAACTACCAGGAAACTATTAAGCAGTGGTCTGGCGTGTTTGGCTACAACCCGGATAAGCCCGTCACCTCGTCGCAGAACACGCCCCAAGCCAACTACCGGACCGATGTCTTTGGTGACCACCTGACTGGCGTCTGGGCTGTCGGCGTTGGACACACTGTTCCTATCCGGGGCAATGACGATATGAAGTTCTTCGGGCTGTAATATGATGTCAACTAGTAAAGAGGCCAGATATTCATTGGACATATTTAGTTTACGTATATACATTTTTGCAACCAAACAACCGCGCGGAATGAAACTCGCTATCCAAGCCACTTGTTGATGATGAGGGCAAAACAAAGCGGTCCATCTATAGTATTTTGCCATACATCAGTTATCTTGATATCTGTCTTCAGCCCACATGGTCATTTCCCTTTCAGCTATGCTGCAACTGCGTAGTGGACCACTAGAGGAGTTGAGTTTGGCTAGTGCGCTGCATTTTCCGGCCGGGATTGAGACTTGGGACCGGGCCGGTCTAAAGCGGCTATGAGATGAAAGCCGGATACAGTACCGGATTCTATCAAACATGGTCAGAGCTGATTGCGCTTGCAGCAGTAACATTTGCGAACAGTAAACTAAATGAAAAGACCAAACTGCTATCTACATACAACCCTTTAAGAAGTTAACTGTTGAGACATCATACATCCACGGACTCGAGCAGCTCTCTGAAACTGGACACAATCTCCTCAGCCAAATCCTCCTGGACAATTCCCTCTTGCCATGAGAAGCAGAAACCAGGCCGCTTGTCTCTTCCCGTCACGACACTAACCTTGACTGCCCCAGAGCATGCGCTTGCACTTTGACTGAAAAGCACACGCTCTAATTCGATCGGGCCATCACTTTGAGCTTCACTGACTACTCCGACATTGCTCAACTCCCAAGCAGCCGCCCGCTTCTTGCCAACTTTCACAGAAAGCCAGCCTGATATATCTTCCGAAACATGCTGTAGATAGCCAACGGGCATATCTGCCCCTTTCCTATTTCCAACCTCGTCGATGGTCTCCTTTGTCCTTCTTGCATCAGACCAAACTGATTCGCATTTTCGAGAGTATTTTTCACTGAAAGAGCCAACGTAACAACCCAAGGAGCGATCGTCAATGGGAGGCGGCAAGAGATGACGCAGAGACACGGCGCAGTCCCCTTGCAATGTATCATATTGCTCTGGAAGGACTTTGAAGAAAGTAGCCGCAAGAAGAGCCATGATACCGGCAGTGAGAGAAGCCCCCTCACGCTTACATCGCCTCCTGAAAGTATCACCAACTTTTTCTGAAACCCAAAACAGTCGAATGCGGGTCTGTACTGGTACACGCTGTGGCGCACCGCTCCATATATTCGCCGGTAGGTCATTCTGAGCCACAGTTTCCTTGAAAGCTTCCGAAATTGGCAGATGGTAGACAGACTCCAAAGATGGGAGAAGCTCGCTCTGTTGAGAGGCTTTCGGGAGCGTTTGATTCAAAGCTTGCTGAAGATCTTCGTGAAATACGAGGGCACTCTTGGTGTCCATCAATGAGTGATGGAAGCAGAGGCATACTAGAAAGCTTTGGGAGATGGCCCTGTTGTCCCAGACCTCAAGCCTCCAGAAAGGACTCAGGTTTTCGTCATGTTTAAAAGGCTTGTTGTGTTGTGTTTCAAGAAGAGCTTCCAGTTCTAATTCAAATTCTGAACTCGCAATGGGCGTGGTAGTTTCTCTCAATGTAACGAGTCTCCCGAAATCAATGGATGGCAGCAAAACAAAACGCGGAGACTCGGTGTGGATGTCCACCGGCGTAGCGCTCAAAATTGGATGCTGACCGAGCAAGAAGTCCACGGCCTTGCACAGCTTCTGTCGGAGGTTGCCACTGTTGTCATATTTATAAACGGCGGTTACGCACACGTTGTTGTATATTCCAAGATGGCTACGAGCGGTGGAATATCGCTCCAGTAGACCTTGTCGAGTTCAGTTGGATCTTTTCTTTAGTTGAATGTTTTGATTTCTGACTTACCGAGAGGTCGCAGTTCTTTGTTGTATTCGTGGGACATACCGGCTATGATTTTGGGCTTTGCAAAGTTGATGACATTTCTTCTTCTGCTCAATTATTTCCCTTAAATCAAACAAGTTCGCAGTTGCCTTGTAGAATTACTAATCTCACCCGACAATCTAGCGGGCCGGTTCGGTTACCCGGTGCCAAAGGCTCGGCGCCGGAGGCCTGATGCCGAAAACTCCTGATTCCCTGCTTGGAACTACAGGACCGGTATGAAGGCGACGGATTCCGGTATCTTAAACGCATTTCACTGAGCACCACCTCATCTGACGTCAGAGATTCGTCAGAGAGCGCATCGTTTGCTTCACAACTGACATCTTGTCGATTTGTACGCAATTTCTATCTCGTTTCTTAACAATTCCACAGACAACACTCAAGTTGAAAAGGTTTTGTGCCTGATAAAGTTCAAACGAATGATTATGAATCGATCAGAACTCAGCTGCTGGAAATGCCGAAAGGGTTATAACAGCGTGTCTTTTGCCCGCTGCGCTAAGGTTTGTTAGCCCCCTGTAACGAGTTGACATCTAGCTAAGGTAGCTATGCACTGTCATTCGGGCAGCATGTTAGTGCTTCCTGTGATTGAACGACAGAACAGCACTGAATGCAGCGACTCAGACCTGCAGGCATAAACTTTGATTTTTCTGCGGAATGATTGTCTTTTTTTGTGACTTGAAGGTCTCTTGTTGTTTCATCAATTTCAACTCCCTCCATGTTTCATTATTTGCAGCAAACGATATCATCGGTTAATCCAATCCAAGTGAACCTGAGTGGTTAACTGATTGTCAGAACATCATATATCAAGCTTTTTCCGCATTGCCCTGACTTCTTTTGCATCATTTAAAGCGTGAACCGGCCGGTATGATGACTCATCCGGCATAAAAGCTGGGGTGCGTTTGGAGCCTGTTGGTTCTGCACCTTTGATGCTGGGTCTGATCCTTACCGTCGTACCACAAGTTTGGGCACATACATCTTCCCCGCACCAGTGAACAACTGTTCCTGTTTCTGTCCTCCACCACTGCCTGCAAATCATGCCTTGAGCAATGTTAGCTGAAATACTTCAAAGACCGTTATGCACCAAAGAATTTCTCGTTTTCGAATTCAACAAACTTGGAATCAACAAGGGCGACACTATCCTACTTCATGCATCGCTCAGTCGCGTAGGTTGGGTCAACGGCGGCGCCGAGACGGTCATCTCTGCTCTACTCGACGTTCTGGGCGAAGATGGCACGCTGGTAGTCCCCACGCACACAGGAGATAACTCAGATCCCGCGGAATGGACATCTCCATACGCACCTACAACATGGTGGCAAACAATTCGGGATACGATGCCGGCCTATGATCCGCGCATCAGCCAAACACGCGGGATGGGCGTGATTCCGGAGATGTTGAGAACTTGGCCTGGTGTTATTAGAAGCGAACACCCCCAGACTTCATTTGCCGCCATTGGGCCCAAGGCGGAAAAGATTACCGCTGGGCACGCGCTCGATTGCCGACTGGGAGAGGAGAGTCCTCTCGCACGATTGGAAGAAGTCTCAGCGCGCGTCCTGTTGCTGGGGACTGGATATGACACTTGCACGTCGTTTCATCTCGCAGAATACCGCAGCTCTGCAAAGTTCGAGAGCAACTCATTTGCCGCCATGGTGGAAGGTTCTCGCCGTTGGGTGACTGTACGTGATGTTGTTTTGAGCGATGATGATTTTGAGACGATCGGAAGTCATTTTGAGACTTGCAAAGTTGTCACTAAAGGATTGGTCGGGTCGGCCAATTGCAGGTTATTCTCAATGCCTGAAGCTGTGGCGTTTGCAACTGAATGGATGCAAGTTCATCGAGGGAGGAAAGAAGAATGCATATATGGAAAATAGAGGCTCCTCGTTGCTAGAGCCTCATGTGCCTGGTTGTTTGTTCTTAAGAGTCATGAATGTAAATATGGACGGTACACCGGTATTCTCAAATATGATGCGCAAATATGGTGATGTAGTGTAAGTTAACTGTGGACGTTTCCACACAATCTTAACTTATCATTATGCAAGACAACCAAGAAACCAACGTTCTGTATAATTTTTGAGATAATTAACTTCGAATATCTCAAACAGCGGAATAATGTCAAGTCCTAAAAGTCTAAAAACATTAAGTACAACCGAAACGCCTGAATGTATAGCCTCCTTCGACTGTTGCAATGCTGTTAAGTTAACAAATGCACGTTGATGCCCCCAACTAGGTCATCTTCTTGAGTTGTTTGTATCCTGAGCAGTTCATCCGATTGCTGCTCCGCCCGCAGCCTGGTCCGCCATCATCGCATTGCGTCCTATCGTCGTGAACGCCTGGTTAATCTGGCCCATCATACCTGCCAAGTATACATTGAGCACTTTCGTTTGCGCCTCGATGCTTGCCGTTAAAGTTGGGTCGTGACCATGGCCGGTTTTCCTGAATTCCTCCAGTTTCTTGATCCAAAGCCTTGCCAGTCCTGCCGGAGGTCCTAACCCTTCCGGCCCTGCGTAGTCGCCGCGTTGTTGGACCAGAGCTTGAAACCAGTCCCAGTCCTGAGACTTTTCGGCAACTATCGCATTTGCGAGAAGCCGCACGAAGTGCTGGCAATTATTCTTCAGTAGGCTGTAGGGACCGAAGCTTTCCTCTACTGCCCAGCACGCTTCGTCCACTTCATCCTTTGTCTTTTTCGTCCAGCCAATGTGAATAATGTAGAGATGCTTGGCCTGCGGTCTGCGACGAGAGTTGATCGCTTCATGACGCTCTGCCATCATCGAGTCATGTTCGATATCCTCGCGGATCAGCCCCTGGTAATACCGACCAAAGCCTGAGGAATTTTTCACGTCGGGAATCGGCTGGTCATGGCCGTTTCCCGCGCGACTCAAAATGGCGTTTAATGCGTTTCCGGCTTCCAGGTCAATATTCTCAGTATTCCGTCTCTGAACTAATTCGTACTTGTGTCGATGTATTAAGAGTCGCCAATGCTTTAGGGTTCCTTGGCTTGCGTACAGAGACAGCCAAATGGGCTCACCACGCGATATGTCTTGCTCCCTCCGTAGCCGCTCGGTTGCTTTTTCTTTTAAATGCTCATCCCATCTGCCATGGATGGTTGATATGATCTCTTCTGCCTTGGTATTCTTGTTGACATCAAACTTGGTTGGGTCAATCTTGGAAATCGCGGCTTTGGCCTTGTGCGATCGACGAAAGTTCCATATCGAACAACAAAGGGTTAACCATCCCGTCACGATTCCCACAATGAGTGCGATGTTTCGTATTTCTTGGGAGGTAGCCATGATATCTTGGAAAGCATTTGCTATTGAATGTAAGCTGCTTTGAACTGTGAGAAAATAGAGTTTGTACGGGGGTAAACCAACCTGGCTAAGCTTGCGTGTTATATTGAAGCTTGGAATAAAACGTGAAAAGGAAAACAATGATCTTCTTGCGAAATGAACAGGTATGTATATACAGCCTAGCATCTCTACAAGAAACAAATGTATGTCAGAATATTGACATAGGCATTGATCGTCCCATCTAAAGTAGCTGAAAATGTATTTCTGTACGTTTACTCCGTTAGGCAGGCAATGTATTCTTAGTTGACATGGTATGGCTACAGCCTATGGAAGCCCAGTATTGCTGCAGGCTGCGCCCTTGCTTATGGCCAAGAACCACAGTGGTGCACTTGATTGCTTGAATACATGTTACAGCTGATGTGCCTCACCATTTGCCACATTTTAAAGGGAATGGCTCAGCCATTCATGGATTAATATGTACGTACATATAGTCGTAGCACAAGTGTTAGAATGTCCGCCAACCCAATGACGTGACCTTGCATCCTCTCTGTTTCTTTATATCTTTCTCTCATACAGAACGAATAACGGCGCGCTCGTTTCTTACAATAACTGCTATTCTCAGTAGCCTCCCAGTTGCATATTTCCATAACCTATGAACACAATGCTTCAAAATCGCGAGAAGGGGCCGAAGGCACCTATCCCATTGACTACTGTCTGGCATTCCGTTACTTGCTGGGGTACTCCAAGCTAACCGCTATTCTACAGTTACCTCCATTCTCCGTCCATATTTTGGGACAAAACGCAGAAAACAAACCTCTACCCATTGCCGAAGATTTGTCTGCACTTCTACCAGCAGCATATCGAGACTCAGACGACAACTTAGGCGACCCATATTCTTCCGATACAGTGATTTGCAGCTGCGTCGATCAAGAGCTGGATTTGAATCGGTTAGCTGAGATCCATGATTGGCTTTGGATGGCTGGTCGACCCATCCCGCCGCGGCCGTTGCATTACCAGTCCCTACGCGGTCGAGCCATCCAGATCACGGAACGAATGGACATGCACTTAGTGTGGGGGAACGGTAAAATCTTCATCAAGCCAATACCGAGATTTCTTCTCGATATGCGGTTTTGGGAGCTATACCTGTGCTGCAAGCCGTATGAAGATGGCCAGCACAGCGATGAGCAAGACTACGCCCGTCAATCACGGTATCAGCGGGCCTACGGCTTTCTCTTCTCGTACACTGCATTAATCAGTCACGAAAGTGATTTCCAGTTAGCACGAGACAAATATCTACTTCCGCCAGACGTTGAGTGGTCGGCGTGGAGAGCCCTCGTCAGGGAACTGCTGTGCTTGGAAAACATCTTTTCGCATATTGACCCTCGCTTCTATTACGGCGAGCTCCGCCTTGGCCGCTTGAACAAGATTCATTATCTATACAAAACACCTTTCCGATCCTATGAGCCCTTTTGGAACCAATACGCGACATTCTTCCAAGATAATTTTGCGTGGCTAGCTAGTTTGACAGTTTATCTTGCTGTCGTTTTGACCGCCATGCAGGTCGGGCTTGCGACAGACGCACTAAAAGACGATGCGGCATTTCATACAGCATCGTATGGCTTCACTGTCTTGTCCATTTTGGGACCACTTGTTTTTGCGGTCGGTATGGTGTTGATATTCTGCTACGTGTTTGCTGCCAACTGGATTGAAACAAGAAGATTCCACAGGCGAAGAATGGAGGTGATAAAGGACAATATCGGAAAGCGTCTTCCAAGAAAAGCTGTCCCTGTATGAAAAGGGCTGCGGCATCGATTTTCATTGCGGCATCTGAAGGGGTGGGAAGCGGACCTGAGTTTTCCGCTTTGGCGTTCAACTTCAGACTATTCTCGAGTTCAGGAACTTGATTGGTATGGGATGATTGGCAGGAAAATACATTAAGTGGAATAAACAAAACCTTTTAAGTTGTCGATTACTGTAAGGACTGGACAGAGGTGTATTATGCGATACAGGTATTGCTTAATCAGTTGTCACTGCCCTCCCACCAGGCCAATGCTCAGACAAAAGTGGCATATCGAGACACCATTCAAACAGGAATGTTAGTTGGAAAATAGCAGATAAAAAAAACTTCTATCTTTTGTCAGTGGCTGGGTTGGATTTTATGAACATTTCGCATCTGTGGCTGAGTCGTAGCTCTGTGTTAGGCAGCCATTTTCCGTCTCCCAACCACTCGTACTTTTGACTTAAATACTGGAGGTCGCATACTCACTGCTCACTCTTAAGATCCTTCGATATTACGAGCTTCATTCCTTACATTTATATGTCGTCAAGTATTTGTGATTGCAACGTACATCACTCCACCGTCGTCAAACACCAAGATGACACGGTTTATCCATCTTCCTGTCGAGCTTGTCGAACGGGTGATTTCCACTCTCGCCACAACCATACCACAAGACAGCCAGGTTTCCAAACCGCTGTTTGAGGTTGCGGTAGATGGCCGACGTGCGATGGCTACACTTTCGCGATGTAGTCGGTTGCTTCACAAGCTGGTTCAGCCTTTCTTATATAAACATGTCTGCATCGGAAAGTCACAGGCCGTGCCGCAAGTTGTGGCTCTTCTCAGATACTGGGACTCTCACCCTGAAATTGCGGCTTACGTACAGTCGATCTTTGTTCATTGGATAGAATTGGCATGTCATATGGAAGGAAAATTGTATGTTTTTTCACAAGACGATGCCTTTTTCCTCAGAAACCTCGCCCAAAAGTTCGGGGTCACACTGACACACGGCTGGCCCAATAACATCTATCTCAAGGGTAGACGCTTTTCCAGCGGGCTTGGTGGGCTTCTTTTACTCCAAGCGAGATCCGCCCGCTTGATTGACATTGCCATCGTTGGTAACGATACCGACCTAGGGACGTTTATTCCTAGCATGCCAAAGAATCCTTCTGACAGTTTGTTGTTTAAATCTCTCACACACTTACGAATCGACGTTCGCACGACATCTCCCATCGAATACTTGTCTCCTCTAATCAAGCTTATGCCCAATATCAATACCTTTGAGTGCAACCGCTGCATTTCGTGGGAGGAAGAGACTTTTGATTGGAGCGGAGTATCTCGCCTTGCTTTGCGCTTTGTAAGGCTGAAGCTGGATACCATACCCCGTGTAATCATGTCTTGTCGGACTCTTGTGGATTTCGCCTTCGTGGCTCACACGCCAGCTAGCCCTCAGCCTATTATCGAGGCTCTTGCGCAGCATATCGAATCTCTTAGAGCTTTGGAAATCGACTTTGGGGGGCTCTATCTCATGGATGGAAGCAGCGGCAACCATCCAGCCAACCTCGATTTGGTCTCTCCGGTATCACTTCGAGACTTTTACCGCTTGGAAGTACTCAAACTCTGGTGCTGGGACTTACGAACGGGGTCGTATCAAATATTTCGAACCATGCCCGACTCTTTACGAGAACTACATGTGTATGGCGACATCCGAAACTACGAAGAAGAATTTAAGCTGCTGGTGACCCAGGTTCGAACCGGAAAACTGCCCAATCTCAAAGTCGTGCAAGTCGATTCTTGCAGAGAGGTCGCGGGCCAACTGTTCATTCAAACAATACGAACCATGTTGGCGGAAGTTGGTGTTTTATGCTTGGACAAGAAAGCTTCCTGGACATGGTCATGGAACAAATTTTGTCCAATCGAACTTCCCCCTCAAGCGATATATCAAGAGGAAAACAGACATATTTAGGGAATTGACCGCAGTGAAATACAGCTTTATTTATTTTCAGTATTTCGACGTCTCGAGTTCCAGCGAGAACTATCAAATATATCAGATATTGCATTATCTAAGTGTTGTCAGTTCCACTGCGACTGACTTACATGCTCATATACAATCTTTTGTCGATTCACCGAAACGGCCGAGATTTCAGACACGGTCGGAAGCTCATGGTTCACAAAAGTTTCAAGGATAAGAGAATTGAAAAGATAATTTTCAAACTGATTTGGATTTCGCAATGCAGTAAACCCATTCCAGACGATGCTAGAATCAAGTCTATGTGCATTTTTGTCTAAATTAAGTATCTATTGTATATGTGTATATGCACTCAAACATTACATTAAAGGAGTGACCTGTGTATGCATCGTCATATCGTCTATCGTGGTAAATGATTGTCGTGAAGTAATTAAAAAGATCTCGAATGGGCCTATTGTCCAGTCTAATAGGTGTAGACCTGCTCAGGGCCGAGGTTGCCGAACTGGCCGGAGCCGAAGGGGTTGGAGGGGGCCTTGGTGACCTCCTGGCCGTTGACGTTGGAGACGCCGAACCAGGCGAGCTCCTTGCCATCAACGACGGTGATGACGGCAAAAGCGGGAGCGGGCTCGGCGACGTATCCCCAGGAGACCTTGAACTTGGAGCCGGAGGTGCAAGGCTGGTCGGACCAGCTCTCAGTAGCGGCGTTGGCTCCGGGCATGCGGATGACTGTGCAGGCCTCAGTCTGACCATCGGCCTCGATCTTGAAGTTGTAGTCGCAGCCGGAGTTGTCCTCGCCGCAGTAGCGAGTCAGGTCCTTGATGGTCCACTTCTTGCCCTCTACCGGCTTGGGGTCGTAGTAACCGGAGGCGTTGTTGTCGCCGGAACCATCGGTGGGAGCAGGAGTGGGAGCGGCGGTAGCGGTAGCGGAGAGAGTGGGATAGGTGAAGTAGGAAGAGGGGCAAGAACCCGGATGGGCCGGGTTGCAACCACCGGGAATGCCGGGGATGGGAGTGAAGGTTGGCTGGGCGGTTGCGGTGACGGTGGGATAGGTGAAATAGGACGATGGGCAAGATCCGGGGTGGGCGGGGTTGCAGCCGCCGGGGATCCCGGTAGGTGTGGGCTTGGGCAGGTTGGCAGTAGCGGTGGCACAGTACTCGCGGTTACGAGCGTTGTCCTCGCCCAAGCAAGCGGTCAGGGTGCATGAGCAGGCGACCTCTGGGGTTCCGGCGGCGATGCAGGCCTTCCAGGCATCCTGGCAGTCGTCTTGACGGCGAAGCAGGGCTGGGGCGGCCGTGACGGCCGAAGCCATAGCCAAGGCGACGGTGAGCTTGTTGAACATTGTTGATTATGAAAATGTGGGTTTTTATAAGATGAGTTCGGATGAAGTTGGGATGGATGAGTTGAAACTAGGGCTTTGAGGCTGAAGCTTTGAGATGAGGATGCAGAAACAAAACCTGGAGTGAGTCTGTGTGCACGTAGATGTTTATACACACATTCACAGAGACATTCAATGAAGACTTTCCAAAAGTCTGGGGAACCTTAACCTAGCTGAAAGACCTCACCATCTCGTGTTCGCCTCGTTGTTTTTACCAAATCTGTGGAGTCGGACAGTTGGGAAACTCCTAGCATCTCGTATTCAACGTTTGGCTCAGCCATTTTCCTTCGGCACAAGAGCCGAAAGAGTTGACAGGTCAATGGGCCCACGGCTCCCATGATCTCATGGGCTTTCTGACGTGTGGGGAGGCCCATAATCGTGGCCGGGGGCTAACATAGTGCTGGGTTACCATCAACTTTTTTTTTCTTTCCAGTCCAGGATGGCGGCTCACCAGAAGGGGAGAGAGGCAACTCTGAAGACGGCTCACCTGACGTCAGAAACACGCTGGAAATAGACCTAACTTGCCAACTCGGGATTCTTGGGTGGAAGCGTACCAATCGGTCTGGGATGGACCCTTTAAGCCTTAAGCCAAGGTTGGGTTAGTCTAATGCTTTCAACTGGACGATCCGTTCGGCCCCGCCGTCCGGCCAACCTCTCGACTCCACGCTTGCGAGCCGAGGCTATTCAACCAGCCCTTTGTTTTTTAGTTTTTTAGTTTTTTTTTTTTTCTTTTGAATGCTAGTCGTCGAGTCAGACCAACGGTTTGCGCTAGTAATGGCCAAGAATAGCAAACGTTAAGAGCCGCCGAAGGACAAACAAACTTTGGCCTTTTACCACTTAGGTTTACATAGTAGACTTGGACGTGGTTATCCTTACTTCCAAAGTGCAGATCAACAACACGACAATGTCGATCAAATAGCTAAGCAAATAATGCCGCTTCGAGCGCTTGGCAACGAAGCCGACACCCGACTTTTCAAAGTCTCCTTGCGTTCAAAATTTAATGTCTTACTTAGCCGCGGAAATAGGAATCGACATTGTGGCCTACACGTGAAGATGATGTGTCTTTGTTCCGGCGCAGCCATGCTGGACAACAGGAAGACAGGCCCTGGGTATTGAGAGCGATCCCGTGGAGACTTCTGTAAACCTTGTATTTTTAGCTACTTGGGGGCTACTTTCTAGAAACTTCGCCTTGGTGCCGCATGTCTTTCAATTGCAGTGCAAGCAGGGAAAACTCGAAGTTCGATACTAATAGCAAGCAACTTTTGGGTTCCGTGAATCTTGTTAGAGAGGGATTAAAGTCCCGTTAAATTACAAGCATTGACAAATATATGATGAACGAAGACTGAGATGGGATCTACCTGCTGCTAGACCTGGATGTGTGATGCGTTGATCATGACATCTGGTGCTACACGGCATGGGGAAGAAAACGTTCGACAATAAAGTTGTTATGAACAAGCTTTGTAGTAGGAATCTGTTGATGTATAGTAATGAAGGCCAAATTCCGGGAGCCCAACGGCTCCAGCATACCTGTTGGGCAAAGAGTGCTGTGTGGAGTTACCGCATGGGCTCCATCACCTGACGGGTATTTGCCCTTCGATTATTACCCCACTGTTACATTGAATGCAAGTGTCCGTATCCAGAAATGGACATGTCCCCAGAAAGTCCATGGTCCGAACCCTCTCTCTTCATGGGTGATTCGGGCTTCTCCGTCCTCCACCGGCGGCCGTCGGCACATCAGTTTCTCAGCATCTCCAGCCCCGGCCGATTCTATTTGTGAACGGATTACGAGTTGCCCACTTATTGTTCGATTTGCGAGTTAGCTCACCTTTGACAGTATTACAACTGCTCACTTGTCACAACACATGTTCAAATTCCTACCGCTTACCGCTAAAGAATGCCGCCATCTCGCGAGAAAGAGCAAGCTCATCTTTTAACACGGAGAATATACCCAAAAAGCTGCAAAGGCCTGGGTTGTTGAAACCCGATGTTTTCAATGCCGTGGCCAAAGACCAAAGCAAACATAAGAAACTAAGACGCAGAGGCCAGAAAAGAATTGTAAAGTGGTCTACAACTGGCAAGAATCCATTGACAGTAAGTCTTCCTGCTTATTTTGGCCGCGCTGCCCAGGCCAGCAAATTAGTTACAATCGCTGGCTCCAGTCACACAATTTCTCAACATCTCACGCTGCCTCGCTCTGGATATGCAAACAAATATATTCTTCATCAGCAGTTTCTTAAACGTCACCTATATACAGCCAAACTGGCTTGGTCCACCAAAGTTTATACATGAACACATCAACCTCTCAGCCTGGACAACCTCCTCTGCTATATCCACGCCAGCCGCAGATGACTACTGCAAAGCCTGGACGACGGCGTTGTAAGCCGGCTTGGGGTTGAAGTTGGCGTCGAACAGCAACGGGTTGTTCTGCGCCCTCCAGCTGTCGGGGTCGCGAACACCCCAGACGGTGACACCGACGCACTGCGGGACCTGCAGACAGGCACGGGTGACGGCGGTGTAGTCGTTGGCGCTGGCGCCGACGATGTCGAGCTCGGTGATGGCGACCTCCTTGACACCGCTGCCGGCGAGGACCTGGAGGGCGCCGAGAGCGTTGCCGCCCTGGTTGGCCTGGAGATGGGCCTGGGAGCCTGTGGAATTGTCAGCCATCACTACCTTACTGCTTCGAGCCGACGGAAAAAAAAAGAGAAAAAAAGGGAAACCGGATAGTACATACCGATACCGTCGATGGGGATGCCCTTGCCGATCCACTCCTTGACCTTGCGGGCCATGGCCTGCGTCTTGGCGTAGTTGGCCTGGTCCAGGTTGTAATCGTTGATGTACAACTTGGCGGCGGGGTCGGCGGCCCTCGCGGCACGGAAGGCGATGCCGACGAAGTCCTCGCCGAGGACCTGGGAGAAGACGGACGAACGCAGGGAACCGTCCTCGTTGAAGATCTCGTTGACGACGTCCTATGTAAATTGTCAGCTGGCAAATTCACCCTGCCGTTGCAGCGTCACGCAAGTGAGAGCACACTTACCCAGTGGTAAATCTTGCCCTTGTATCGGCCCATGACGGCCTTGACGTGGTCCTCAATGACCTTGGTCAGACCGGCGCGGTCACGGACGTTGTTCACCCAGCCGGCGAGCTGAGAGTGCCAGACCAGGGTGTGGCCGCGCACGAGCTTGCCGTTCTGCTGGGCAAAGTTGACGAGGTAGTCCGCGTTGCCCCAGTTGTACTGGCCGCGCTGGGGCTGGATCTGGTCCCATTTCATCGAGTTCTCGGGCGTCACCTGGCCAAAGTTGGCCTTGATGATGTCGGCGCTCTTGCCGGTCGTCAGGCGGTTCTGGTCCGAACAGGTACCGTAGTAGGCCTTGCCCTTGGCCTTGATGAGCTTGTCAATGCTCTGCGCGGCCTGTCTCTCCTCCAGCTCCAGAGGAGCGGCAATGACGGAGAGGGGTGCCAAAAGGCAGACGAGAGGAGTAAGACACTTCATGGTCACCGGTTGAGATAGTAGACAAGCTGAAAATGAGAGTGAGGAACGAGTTGCTTGTTGAGCACATCAATGGGACTCAGTTTTCTGGGACGATGCCTTTATAACATCATGATTTGCTTCTCGTCACATGTTTATTGAATAGCTAGCGACTCAGCTTCCAACCCGTCGCTACTCTCTACATCCTAGTGTATCGAGATGACAGGATCAAGCCATATTTGCCATTCCGGGTAATTGACAACATCTCCACAAAGGGATGGACGTCTAGCCAAGCACGCACGGCGTCAAGGGTTGGGACTCGAACTGTTGGTGGAAACCAAAACCCGGTCGTAACGGGCCGTGATGACACAGAAGGTGAGATCGAATTTATTCAGGGGCGCGGTGAATAAATTACCATCAGACGACGAACGTGGTTAGAACCTTTGGCCACGGCGGGGAAGGTGCATCTGGAACGAACGGCTGAATGCGCCCTTTTCCTGGGGTGCGTCGAGAGTTGATATTAGCCACGAGGGAAATGGAAACTAAGCATATTATATCCCGCGATCCAAGACAATCGGCTGGTCATGAGAGGGTCTAGTGGCCTCTCGAATAGATTGCCTGCGCCCCAAGGGCGGCTGATAATGAGGCGATTGGGTAGCACCCGAGAGTTGCGAGAGCCGAGTTTTGCGAGCCTCCGAAAACCCGATGGCTATCCCCACCAAATGCAACCTTAATGAATCTTGATAAATGCCGGTTGACACCCTGGTTAATTGGCCGAGTATTGAACGGCTTAGTTGAGGATAGGTCATCCATGCACAAGAGACCATCCAAGCGCTCCAATGGGCAAACTACACGCCAATGTTGAACCATTGTAGTTCACCATGAACAACACAGAGGCGACCAGCTAGATGTTTGCGAGATTGGCGTAATGGCCAGAAAAGGTATGCTCCTCTCGACCGATTGTGTCACTCAGGCGCTCCTTAGAGAAGCTGTAGTTCCGTGGTAGACTCATCTTCGCTGTCGTTGCTTCTCTTGCGGATGTAGTAGATTAGAGAGTGGCCCAAGAAGGCCAAACCCCTGTTTGAAGCTGATGTAATTTCGATGTTCTGATCCGTAAACATTTCAACCGGCAGCACTGGCGATGAGATCCGCTACCAAGTTCTTCACGGGCGCGAAGACGCCGTCATCGCTGGGGGGTGTAAACACCTTGATCCGCCCCTCTGAGAGCACGAAGCCGCCACACGCAATCTTTGTGACCCTCACTCCAGGATGAAAGAGGTCCAGGGCGAGGTGTTCGTCCAGGTAGGCACCAACTGCATTGAGAAACGGCTGCTGCTGTTTCGTGCCTCGGTCTTCTCTCCAAGCCCAACCCTCATCGGATTTGCCACCTGCAAGCTTCTTCCTCTTCCTCGCATCGTCTTCGTAGCCTTGTGTAGGCGCCTTTCGTTTGCCGGTGCGGCCGTTGGCAAGAACCCTGCCTTCTTTGGTGAACCGGCGAAGCTCATCGGCCGGAAAAATGATGTCGATGGACTTGATCCCAAGCCTTTCTGGTGCCTGTTCGTCCTCGCCGTCCCCTGCTTCGGTAGGAGGAACATAAAAGCCCAAAGTCAAGACCATATCCTTGGCAAGAGGACCCTTTGAGGGGAGTCCTGCGTCTTGAATCCACTTCTCCCACGCCGCGGTAAGACTCTTGGTGCCCAGGCGCATGGGATTGATCCGGCAGTCAAAGGTGCTCGACAGAAAGTCGACAATGATCGATTTCAGCGGCGTAGGCATCCTAAGGAGCAACAGTGGGAGATGGAGGAAGTGTGTGTCCTCGGCCGAGCTCTCGTCAGCGAGCAGTCCCGGTATGTCGAGCTCGTTGGCAGACTGCAGTCCATCTGACGCAGGCTGTGCCTTTTCGGTCAACAGCGGCATCAGCACGGCTGTGCATAGCGCATTCTCGTATCTCATCTCAAAGACCAGGGCTCTCTTTTTGCTCTGACCTGTCCTCTCAAGACCACTTTCATCAAGGTCTCGACTCAAGTCTGCCTCCGTATCTTCGGCACCAAGCAACGCGTCAACGTCAACCCAGCGGATACCCACCTTTTCCAAGGGACCTGCACGGCCTAGCGAACTGTCGCTGCCTTCGAGACCAACTTGAACTCCTCTGACCACATCTCCTACCAGAGTGTCCCGCAGACGCTGTGATAATGTTTGTAATCGGGCGTAGGTGAGGTCATTGGCGCCGATGTATAGGGGCGATGCGCGGTGTGTAGAGAAGGTAGTGTTGAAGAAGGGCGGCGGGGGCTCGAGGTCTTCGGCGGATGGGGAAACTCGCTCCCGCTCGGATTCAGGTTCTGGGTCTCCATTTGGCTTGCGACGACGAGGAGGCATCTTGATTGCGTGTCGAGGTTTGCGATTGACAAGGGTGGTGGTGGTCGAGTGGCTCAAGGTGCTGTTGGTTATGGCGCGAAGAACTGGATGTAGATATTTGACGCGTCAAACGACAAGAAACAAAAGGTTTCGCAACTTTTTTCTGACCTTTTCAAGTCAAAGAGGAAATAAGGCGCGTCATATGCTTGTTAAAAATGCATTATTTGTTGTTCGTTGCGGCTTTCCGAGTGATTCTCGATACGAGACACAGTTGTCGCGGGGTGGTGAAGGAGGAAAGTGTAGCTGTTGGAGACTGGGCGTTGCCAGGTGGTGCTAGCTGGCTGACCAGTGGCAGCTCTAGTGTTAAGGTAACACGGCAGTACACTAACAAAACCATCTATCGTTCCTATAAGTAAATACATGCGAGTTGTTATAACTGGCATAATAAACTGAAGAATTCAGAACTCATCATGATTATGAAAATCCTTTTTATCGTATTGTCACTTTCTAAGATGGCCGTCAATACTCTTCTGCCTTACAGTACCAGTCAAATACGAAAGTCTACTGACGGGAATCTGCTGGGTCTTTGCGACGCTGTAAGTTGCTTATCTCCCTGATCGTCCTATCGACCCTCTTCTAAGTACAAGTACATAGCAGCTCGAGGTCCTGGTCGCTATGGATCTCTTCCTTGAAGCTGATCTCGGTTCCTTTGTTCACATACTTGAACCCCGGAACGGCAAGTGGGTCCTTCGGAGCCGATCCCGGAGGGTCTCAAATGCCGCGGAGAAGCCTTTTTTTTACCAGATACCGAGCTATTGTCATAGATGTCACTAGAAGCGCATGGTGTTGGGAGGAGCGTCGGACACCAAAGGCAAAGAATCCCAAGCTCTTATGTTCAAGATTTGCCTCAACTTATCGACAATCGCTAGGCACAATATCCCCCGGGTTCCTCAGACCCTGTCCGTCTACCTCCATCATGCCAGGCATACCATACTGCGCCGAGCGTTTTTTTTATTTACGTGAAAATTCCCCATGCCGTGAGATACCGCCAATGAAGCATTCTATATGACCCAGATGTAAATGACTCCGAAATCGCTCAAACACCCGCATCCATTTGTATGTACACACGCGTAGATGCTGTCTAGCACCCCACGCTGAAGCCGAACGAACCATCGAATACGTCTGCCGTGTTGAAGCCAGGGTTTTTCCTCATGGCCATAAGCTCGTCGATTGATGGCACTGTATTGGGGGCGTAGAACTTGAGCAGGTTCTCCATATCTTCGTCTGTTAAGTCGCACATCTCCTCCCAGTCGTACGAGTTGCTGACCTTGGTCATCCTGTATCGAATTTTCGTTAGCCTTGCCATAAAAATGATTCATATTCTGCATGCCACTCACCAGCCCATGCGCTTGGGACTCTCCTCTGGGTTCGGAGCAATCTTGCGCAACTTTCCTCTCAGGGTTCCAATAGCCTCAATGGCATTTCCAGCATTCTTGGGCAGCTGCTTGGCGATATACCGTCGTATAATGGCAGCTAACCTGGGCCCCTTGCCGTTGGTGCTAACCATGATCTGAAGCGGGCCATCTCGGTGGACGCTACCAAAGTAGAAGTCGCACTCGGGAGGCACATCGGCAATGTTGGCGGGTATTCTCCTCTCCTTGCACAGTTTCCAGATTGTTGTAGAGGCAGCAGGGTCGTCAATGGCCACAAGAACCATATCTGCGCCATCGAGGTCGGAGGGTTCGAAGAGGCGGTCGACATGGGTGACTTGACCCTGCGCAACACGGTGCGCTACCTCGGGGTTGAAGCCCGATGCCGGGCAAACGACGGTAACGCTGGCATCGGCATTGAGACAGTTGAGAATTCGACCAGAAGCGACCTGTCAAGAAAACACCCAAGTTAGCATACAAAAGACTGGTAAATGGAGCGTTGAATGTGTATAAAGCATTTGCAGCGCAGCCACCTACCTCGCCACCGCCAACGACCAAGACCTTCTTGCCCTTGATCTGCCAGGCTAGAATAAGACTTCCACCGCCTTGGACTTCTGGAAACTTTCTGGACGCCGCCTTGCTGGCCATGGTGTGGTGGTGGAACGCGGAACTTTTCAAAGTTTCCGTCGGCTGGTTGCTGGATTTCTTAAATGACGAAATGACAATTTTGAGGTAGCTTTTTAGTGTAGAAGATGCTGTTGCTGGTGCTGCTACCGCCTCCGCCTCCCGCATCTTCCAAACAAAGACCGGAGCGATAAGCAACGACCGATAAGGCTTTTTCCCCACCGATCAGGTACCTACATAGTAGGCGCATTGGCCAGTGTGCGTCAGAGGGGCGGTGATAAAGAGGTACCTCAATCACACCGCCTTTTGGCAGGGCTTCTTTGTATCCATTTATCTCCATACCGTCGGAACGTAGCTAACCCCACCTTTTCCCCTGGTCTGTGGGGCGAGTCTACCTACTACGTAGTGGTATTCGTCTCTCCGCTAGTGTTTCTTTTTAGTGCATGTTCTTTAGCGTCCCAGCCTGCAATACCGCCGGATGCATCGCTGGCAGCAATGCTCCCCCCTAGCAGCAACAGGGGGGAGGGGGGCCTTCGGGGCCTGCTATCCGCTTGTTGCCGCCCTACCACCCACCGCCTTGTAAATGCAGCGTAGCACACACTGTTGGGCCCCCAAATCCGGGCAGGGAAAGTGCCTGATGGGCCTGCACGGAACCTGGAACTGGAACCAACTGGACTTGGGCTGTGACCTGGTGAAGGACGAACCACTACTCATTCCGTGTGTCTGTCATCTGCAACTACACCTCCAGTGCTGCGAGGACCCCCCTCCTCTTCAGCCTCCTTCCCATCCCTCACCGTTTCTTTTCTTCTTATTCATCTCTCCACAGTTGTCGCTGCGTGCTTCTCCTTTGTGGATGGACTCGTAACTTACATCTCATCCACCATGTCCGGCCGCAAGCTGGGAGGCGGCCGCATCTTAGGCAGCGGCAAAGGCCTCGCCCCTCCCACGCCTCCCGCAGTCCAGGGCCACCGACGAACACCAAGTCCCTTTGCTCCCTCCGAGAGTACCCTGTCACTCAATTCATCTTCGGCTTCGCCTCCTGTGTCGAGTCCTCTGCCCGATTACCCTCAGGATCTGACGTCAAACATCAGTGTTGGGGGTCCCTCGCGGTCCGCCACCTCTGGTTCGAAGCTGGTCTGCCCAATATGCGAAGAGGAAATGGTTAGTTGCAACCAGATTGCTACATGCCAGCTTCTGCTAACCCATTTCTCCATCTAGTTGACGCTGCTTCAACTGAACAGGTGATGACTACCGCTCGCGTTTTCGACACTGAACTCTAGCCTCTGACCCTATCCAGACATATCGACGACAACCATCAAGAACTGCCCGAGGTCGAACAGGATGAAGTCAGGACATGGTTCGATAAGCAGGTGCTTAAAGCCAAGAAATTCCAACCTCTTTCGATAATCAACCAAAAGCTTCGAGGGCTCGATGTCTTTGAATCGAACGAGTCCATGCCAATTGCCCCGCCAACAACGGCGAAGCTCATTGAAGGCCCGATCGATCCGGATGAGCTGATCACGCGGTCGCATTGGCAGCGCCAAACGAGCAACGACCGATGCACCGACCCAACATGCGCGAAAGGACTGGGAGCGGTAAACGGGAGCATCAACTGCAGAAATTGCGGCAGATTGTTCTGCGAGGAACACACCATGTACCAAATGAGGTTATCTAGGTCCGCCCAGCATGATCCTGTGCGGGGGTACTGGGTCAGAGTGTGCGAGACGTGCTACAAATCACGCGACGGCTACAACGACCACAACGGCGTGCTAGTCGACCACACATCAACTTTTGCAGAAATGCGACGGAAGAGGGTGGAGAGGCAGAACTTGGAGGTGGCCCGACTGGAGAAGCGTTTAACGAAGCTTACGCAACTGCTTGCGAATGCGCCCGAGGACGTCACGGCCAATGGTGGGAACCTGCTTTCGCCGGTAGCGAGCTTGACTGGCCAAAAAAACCAGAGAAAGTTATTGGAGCAATCGGTTGTCACCTGGGAGGACGATGCTTCTGTCACACAATGCCCATTCTGCCAGCAAGAGTTCGGATCGTGGACGTTTAGGCGGCACCACTGTCGGATATGCGGGCGGGTGGTTTGCGCCGACCCATTGACGGGTTGCTCGAGCGAGGTGGGCTTGAGCGTAGCTAATCGTGAGTCTCATACCTCGGAATCATCAAGAGGAGATCCACGCCTAACAGTGACAGCCATGAATCCTACGACGGAGAAGCCGCCTACGGCAGCACGACCCGGTCAGATGAGTGTCGATATTCGCATGTGTCGCGATTGTAACCACACGATATTCTCAAAACGAGACTTCGCCGCCACTATCTTGCATAAACCGCCCGACCAGCGCGCCTACGAAACGCTTCGGCAGTTCGAGCGTGGCATTCGCCAGCTTATGCCTATTTTCCAACGAACCTTGCTGGCTCTTCAACCGGAGGGCGAGGATGGTTCGGATACCTCCAAGCCACCTCCTACTCATGCGCAGATTCAAGAAGCATCGAAAATTCGAAAACGTCTCACCGACGCCTTTACGAAGTACGATACGGCGGCACGTCGCTTGCGGGATATGAAGACGACGTCCAAAACGCAACTGCGCCTACAACAGGCCGTCTACGCGGCCGCCTCGACCTTCCTGCATACCCATATGCTGACGCTCAAATCTGTTCCGCAGATCTTGCGGTCTCGATCGTCGCACTCATCACGGCTACTTGCTCTGCAGTCGGGTAGCGCCAACGGCTCCTCGTCGTCTTTGCACCTATCGCCCCTCCGCAACGGAGAACTCGCCGAGTCCGAGACGGCAAGCCAAGCGAGCGAGGCCAGCACCGCCGTATCGCAGCTCGAAACGGAAGAAAAGGAGGCGCGGGAGCGTCTGGTAGTGCTCGAGGAGCAACGGTTCATGGTACAGCAGATGGTGGATTCCGCGCGCGGAGCGAGACGGTTCGAGGAGGTCAGCGCACTTACACGCAACGTCGAGGAGCTCGACAAGGAAATCGAACAGGCCAAGAGACTTGTGGGTGGCGTTGAAGAGCGGTGGGAGGGGCTGTACGCGTCCGGTCTGACGCGATAAAAAGTACGGCCCCCGTAATGTGCCGTCATGGGTGAAAAACGGCAACCTTGAAGGATGTATTCGAAGCAGCATTGCAAGGCGTTTAGGAGGGGTTTTTACCTTTTTTATTTCTTCTTTTACTTCTTTTTCTCCCTCAGCAACGGGCGGCTGTTGGGGATGGTCAGGCAGGAGAGCATGGCGTAGGCATGCATACCACACACACACATGCACACTTTAAAAAACCGGTTGGAAGAAAGACCCAGCAAAGTTTTGCAGTTACAAGAAAAGATTCCACAGAAAAATGTTGTTTAATTTCAGAGGCAATCATGAGATGTCCCCTTTTTTTTTAACCGGCGCATCCATCCCTCCCAGAAAATGCTAATAATAATAAGAAACTAAAAAAGGACCAACCCAACAACGCCATGTTTTCAGAAAAATTGTGAAAACAACAGGTTTGTGCCTCCGTCGCCTCTTTGTGGGTGATATATAAAAAAACATCAATACATGACCCTCTCTCTCTCTCTCTCTCTCTCTCTCTCTCTCCATGGTCTGTCGTGAATAAGAAAAAAAATAAAACCAGGGCTCTCTCTCCGATACTAGGGGGGTATGACAACAACACAATAATAAACAACAATAACAGCCCGTTGACCAAGAAGTTCCTTCATCTACCCGCCGCCACAGGTATTTTCACACTTTAATGCACCACGCCCTCGACGCCGCCTAGGAAACGCCTTACGCGCTCGACCTCCAACTCGCCCTTCTCGCTCTCAACAGCTCGAAGCAGGCCGTCCACGACGGCATCGACCTGGTCCTCAGGCACACCGGTGCTGATGGCCACCACCCGCCTGTACTTGATTTCAACGTCTTTACTCCGTCCCTTGAGGGCGGCTGCCATCTTGCGGGTGACATCCCGTCTCGCTGAGACGGCGTTCAGTCTCGCCTTTAGAACTGCTGCCGAGGGCAGCAAACCGGCTTCTTCGCCGTTGCCGGCCGTCTCTAGCGCCGCGCCGAGCTCCGTCTCCCATGACGAGGACAGCGAATCGGTACGGCCGGCGCGGTTTTGTTCCTGCATTAGACGGATCTGCTCCTCCTCGCGAGCGTGGCTGAGGTTCGACACCTTCTGGCGGGCGAGTTGCTGTTTCCTCAATGTCGCCTGCATCGCCTCAAGATTTCTCCTTGCCTCACCTAGTTGTGCTGAGGTGGTACGGAGTGTCGAGTGCAGTGACTCGATAACGGCTTGTTTTGTCTTGACTTCGCTCTGGAAAGTGGAGCTTGCCTCGTTCAGTAAATGTGTAATGGCTAGTCTTTGTCAGTAACGTTTCCAAAGGGTAGAGAGAGATGGACTACTCACATGATACAATGTCATCGCTGCTCTCTTTTGTGCGCTGGCTGCTCACGACTCCGTTCTTCTCAACGTCGCCATTCACCTCAGTGACACCATTAGCAACACTCGTGCCTTCATCTGTGGCATCACCGCCAATACCAAAGTCTACAGGCCGCAAGCCAGCTCGGTTGGCAATATTAGGGTCTGCTCCAACCTCCAGCAGCTGCGAGATGATGCTTCGGTTGCCTATCCTTGCCGCAATGTTGAGTGCTGTGTCACCGGCGTGGTCTTGGGCGTTGACGATTTCCGTCATGAAACGCGCAATGCCCATCTTGGGCTGCGACTGTTGTTGCGACTGGGAACTGCTTGGTGCGCTGGTTCCGTTTCCGTTGGCGGCGTTCTGGCCGTTAGGAACACTGCCTTGCCTGACCACCCATTCCAACAGGCTCTCCAAGTAATACCGACTGGCCGCGTTCCTACCCTTAACGGCGCTGGTCATTGCAATATGATGGAGAACGGTGCGTCCCTTGCTGTCGCGGACTTCGATGGTGCCTCCCAGTACATCTAGAAGATCTGGGAAAGAACCGAGGTCCATGGAGTTTGTAACTACACATGCCCTTACGAGAGCAGTCTCCCCAGAAGCATTGACACGGAAAGGGTTAGCGCCTGCGGCGATCAGCGCGCGCAACAGAGACATGCGCGATAGGGTGGCAGCCCAATGCAGCGCGGTGTGGCTTTGCTGGTCGATAGGCATGTCCAGTTCAATTGGGGCCAAAGTTCGTAGCATTTCGTGCTTGGACTGATCAGATGCGGCCGAGTCCATAAAGAGGCTCATCAGCATGCTTCGCTTAGCCTCGGCATCCGGCGACATCTCGAACGGCAGAGGACTGAGAGGGCTGTGGCCGTCGTGGACAGTTGCATTCGCTTGGGAGTAGATGAAGGACTCATTGGGTTCTGTGGGGGACCCGGGAAAGTTGTTCTGGTACATTTCCATCGAGTTGCTGTAGCCGCCGAAGCTTTCGGCCGGAGTCATGGTGACCCGCTGGCGCTTGCGAGGCGGTTCTGGGCCATCGATGAACTGCTGGCTTGTTTGTTGGGTCGAGTAGGCAGAGTCAACCTGCTGGCTATAATCCGAGGCATAGCTCTGCTGTGAGTTACCGGGGAAATCGTCGCTGTTCTGCATGGAGCTCTGGCGGCTGAAGCTGGGCGCCTTGGTAGGTCCGTTGCGACCCCTCGGGCCGGGCGAGTCGAACCGTGCCTTGCTGATGGCTGCTACGGCATGCGATGCAGTGCTCGAGATGTTCTTGAAGAAGGTGCCGTTCAAGCCGGCGAGGCCGTTAGCCCTGGCCTCATTGCCAGCGTTGTAGAGGCGCTTCCTCTGAGCGGCCATGGCCTGTTCCTTGGTGGGTGTGTTGAAATCTCCGCGGCCGGCAATGCCACCGTCTTGGCCCATATCGTATGTCAGAAGCGGGCGTAGCACCTCCTCGACTCCGTACTGGCGGCAGACCTCGACACCTCGCTCGAATTTGATCCATGTGCCCTGGTATTTTCCGTAGCCTCCCTGAACCTTTTCGTGCTCGCCGGTCTGGATTTCTTTTTCGAGGATCTTGGTGCGCTTTCCCTTGTCTACGCCGGCTACCTTGAGAATCTGGGTCGCATTGAGCCAACTGTCTTGCCGCCTGCGCATGACGGCAATACCGTTTACTTCCATCTCGTAGACATCGACGCCCGAGTAAACGGCCTAAGTTTGGATATGTCAATTTCCGGAGACTGCAGAGGCTACAACTAGTACCAACTTACGCTGTAAATTTGAGGGGCATCATTGGCGAGTCTTGAGTCGTTATAGCCACGGAAGCCGGCCTGAGATTGCTGGCTCATTGTGAAAGATTGCTGGGATGAGGGTTGGGACTGTGATGCTGACGGCATCATGGCGGTTGGAGAGGGGTTCCCCGATTGACGGTACGGTTGCGCGGCAGAAAAGGAGGAGCCGCGGCGGGAATGGAGGGAGCGGGAAACGGCTTGATCAGTCGTGACGATGGTCGAAGACATGTGCCGGTACTAGGGCATTGGAGGCGAATGTCTAACGGCGGGCAATGCGATCAAGAGGGGGAAGGTCTGCGGAAGATGGACAGTTGCAGCAGGTGACGTTAGCTGGTCAATCGACAGCAGTGGACTTCCGAGGTTTTAGATGGTGGTGACTTTGGGTGTGATGGGAGTTTGACGAGCGTTGGAAATGCGTGCAGCCGCCTTGTCTCGGTAGGTTTGAATGGATCTTCGCCTAAGTTGAAGTTGCGCTGGGCTATGTTGTCTTTGCGCGGCGGTTCGGTGCTTTGACTGCTTTGTGCGGTGGTCGTGAAGCCAGCAGCAAGGAGGGATTGAGTGTGGTTGGAAGGATTGGGATAGCCGAAGTCTGGGGGTTGCGGCAAAAGGGACTATGGCGTATGTGTAGGCGCTTCGGAGGTGGTCAAAGGTTGGCCAAAAGCAAAAAAAGAAAATGGCCTAGACCACTCAAAAAGGGGATAGAGAGTACGAGGGAGTAGAGGTAATAGAGGTAGGTAGCAGCAAAAACTGGAGGATTGAAGTCCCAGAGATCTGGGCATGAGAAGAGTGGATATTCAGAAGTCCGTCTCTTTCGTCGCTAGTTCTGTCGCCCAGTGGTCGCCGGGGCCGAAAATGAGCAAAAAGGTCCGCCCCGAAATGGAATTTCAATTAAAGGTGAAGGAGGGAAAGAAAGTGGAAAGTGCGGTGGACGTGTCTATTTCGCGAGGGCGTGTCTTGCCGTCCCCGACCGTGTCGCGTCCAATTTACGAGGGAGGAGCGTGGGTCTTGGCCTTCCATTCCGACTAACCTGGTACACTGGGAGAAAGGAAAGGGAAGGGGCGGGGGGAGCAAAGGGTCATCATTCGTGCTCTCCCATTTGCTAAGCGAGGGCGCACAGATCACTGCTCACGCTCGATGGAGCGACTTTAAGTGGGGCCGTGAGAAGTACGTATCTTCACCCCTCACCTCGCCCTCACCGCATTGGCACGCACACGTTGAGCAGGAGCAACGGTAAATGGCAAAGGGAGGAGGAGCGTGGGTGACGCGTGTCGACGTGCCGACCTTATCAGGCCTCTTATCGCGTACCGGGTCTCTTAAACCTTGACCAAGTGGGATGACGATGTTGAGAATTGGATGCCCATAGCCTATTATTATGTTATGTTTGTGTTTACTTTTTGCTTTGTTATTTTATTCTAGCTTTTCTGACATTGACTATGTTTTTACAAAATTATCAGTACATCTCTTGATTGCTTCAATAACACAGCTTCTTCTTCCTTGTAGTGAGGCCTTTTGTAGTATGGTGACTTGAGTGCTTCCAATTGATGTCAGGTTGAAGCCTCCAATTAAATTTGGAAAATACGTCATTAGTCACAGCTCTCTTTCTTTCTTTCTTCCTCTCTTTCTTGTAACTCCTTTTTTTTTTTTTTAAGTCTTGCCCCGGAAGGTAGAACCAACCCATCTTTCCTCAACCAGACTTCACCAGGGCAACTGCTCTTGACCGCGACTTCCATCCCACTAACCGCCCCACTATCGCCAGAGCTTGGGCCAACTCGGCTCACCTCTTACCCGATTGAAGCTCCCCAGTCTTAACTTCCTCCTGCAGCTCATCTCCAAATTTCTGCACCGTACCTACATACATACATATCGACCACCCCAGCTGCATGCATCCTGCTCGACATCAACTCATGCGTCTCTGCCCGATTGCGAGACAGCTGCCAGGGACAACAATGCCATTGATACCTTGTTCCTGATTGTCTTAGCATCTTCCCCCGCCACCATGCCCACTCTTCGAATTCCTCTCCGGAAGCCTGTCCGGCCACAGCAGATTTACCGCCATCTCGAAGCCGTAACGTCTTCTTCTACCACACGAATTCCTCTTCCGAAACCAATACAACCCTTACATGTCTATCGCCATCTTCTCCGTGCAGCTACATACTTTCCCAATGTCTGTCGACCCTATCTTCAAGGCCGAATCAAATTCACCTTCCGTCGAGAGCGGACACGAGCCACAAAATCAGAAGCAAAGCTAGCCAAATCTAAGCACAAAGGTGCCCTTGAGCAGGAGCATTTTCTTCGCACAAAGGCCCTTGCAGATGCTAAGAGGAACTTGGTCGTTCTCAATGCCGCATTGGCGGGGGATATCATACGCTTCCGCCGCGTGTTATGGCTATGCTTTGGGAAACTGGGCAAGAGACGCCGCGAGCTCATGGCGCTTTTTGTTAAAAAGCAACCCGATTCTCCGCTCGATTCCCGCCAGCTCGAGGAAAAAATGGCCGCCATGGAGAGGGAAAGGCAAAAGAAGGAGGTCTTGCGCCAAACCCTTCCCACAAAGCGCGTGTTTGACAGGACCGATCCTACTCCGTGGGTGAACCAAAAGCTCAGTCCTATCGAAGACAACTGGGATATTGCCAAGTTGCGCGAATTCTTCAGTTCGCAAAAGCAGCATCAGGACCGCTCAGCTACGCCTGCCGCTTGGCCGCGGAAGTCCCTACCCAATCTCAATCCCCAAGCCTGGGTCCCCAAGACAGATGCATGGGGGCGACCAACAGCAGCACGGAGAGTAACGAAGAAGGTCCGGTTGTGGTGGAAATCGATGGCAGACAAAATGATGCCGCCTTTGGACAAGGAGGAGTGGAATCTTCTGCAGTCTGTTGCAATTGGTGAAGCGCCTCATTCTACCTGGGAAATGCCACCACGTAGGCCTGTTGCCATACCCGCCGAGAATACTGCCCATGAGAAATTCCCTTGGGCCGCCTACGCTACTATTCCTATCCGCGACGTCGAGAGACCTCGGTCTCGGAATTACACCCGCCTCACAGGCAAAACGGACGATGGCCCGTACTCGCAGACCGCGACTAGACTGCGTGAGGGTTCTCCATATAGCAACCGACAACTCCGACGGGAATTCAGCAGGGTGTGGGAAGCATCCTCATATGAACAGCTCGATAGCACCAACAAGAGCAAGCCGCGAAAGAAATATGTTTGGGGCAGCACAATGGCTGTTCTGCCAGCCGCATCTGGGACCCAACGACAGATCTTTGAGGGGGTTGACTCCAAAGGTCAACCAAGTCGTAAAGAGTAATTCTTGCTCTTGTTCTCGTTTCTTTTCTTTTCCTTTATTTTCCTTTTTGTCATGTGTCGTCGTTATTATACCCTAGCTCACGCCGTCTCCATTCAATCCAACAAACTTGCCAGCTTTGGCAGGGCGTCGCCATCAACGCGCATGCCAACCCAGTCGTCCATGGCCTTGGCGCCAATGGACTCGTAAAACTTGATGCTCGGCTCATTCCACTTCAACACCACCCACTCGAGGCGGCCGCCGTCCATGGCGACAACCTCCTTGGCTAGTTCGACCAGAAGACGTTTGCCGTAGCCCTTCTTGCGCTCCGTGGAGCGTACGTAGAGGTCCTCGAGGTAGACACCGGGCTTGGCGCGCCATGTGCTGTAGTTGTAAAAGTACAGGGCCATGCCGACGCCCTCTCCTTGCTCATTGAATAGCAGAAGACATCTCGCAGGCCTACTGGGCGACGTGGGCTCTGTCGCCGGCTTGCCGGGGGTGTAGGTAGTCTGATCAGAGGGTGCAAAAGCGATGGTGTTTCCGAGAGATTCTTCGGTAGCCAAAACGCTGTCCAGCTCTCTCTCGTATTCTGCAAGTTCCTTGATGAGACTAAGGATGATGGGGACGTCTAGAGTGATGTGTCAGTTTCAATGCCTCGAATCCATACCTAGTGAGAGATGTAATTGAATATGTATGCGCTCACCTTCACGACGCGCGTGGCGGATAACCGGGCTAGAGGAGGCCATTTTGAGGTGTTGTAGGCAATGTTCGATGAAGCCTAATTACTTGCGACAGAGCCTCAATGACAAGAATCCAAAAGTATTTATAAGACCGTAAGTAATTCTGGAAGGGCGCGCGCCATGTCGAAAGTGGAGAAGTTGTCTGCAGGTTCCCCTCAACAGTTTCGGCAGATTATGGTGATTTCTTCACCGCCTTGGAGACATACGTTTCGTGAGTCATTCTGAAGGGAGTCGGTCATGAAATGCCATCTGTGAGAGTTTCATCAGGGACAGCATCATGAAAGAACATTACAGAAGGTAGCCAAGAGGTGAGATGTTTGTAAGCATGGTGAACAGGGACAGGGGATGGGAATCTCAGATCGAAATCTCATCCTGGGGGTTGACAGGGACAGCAGCCCATGTCTATTAACTTTATAGTTTAGCTGCTACTACCTCTACAGCTGTTTTAGACGCAGCTGTGTCCCACTGCATTCTTCATCAGCTTGACTTGGCAGATACTCATCCCCGGCATGATACTACCCGGCCTTATCGGCGGATGTAGTGTTGCTAAGAGTCCGGTGGGGGTCTTCATCTACGCCGACACCGGGCTGGAGTTACAGGGCCTTTGCCTAAAGAATACTGATGAATAATATGAGAAAAGAGAGAGGCCTTGGCCGCATACGCCCCGGAAGAGCTACAACAGGGCACATAAACCACTGAACCAACCATCTAAACAAGGCCCCCACACCCACTACACTCGCATCGGTACCATCGGTACTATCGGCTTACTCCCGACCTTCCTGTTGCGCAATCTGACCCTGCGATGCGCTCAGCGGTCAACCCCACGTACCTAACTCCGCCCCGTTCCCCGTTCGGGCACGTTTTGATTATGCCGTGGCGTTGCGAATGGAGGGGCTTGAGGAGCCCGGCTTGGATTTGTGATCTGACCAGATGAAACCAGCATCCTGTCCGGGCTCAAACTCTCTCAACCACGTTTGTTTGTCAAACACTTTTCACGGGCCAACGTTGCCGTAAGATCCCCATATCTTATTAACTCTTTTGTTTCCTCATTATTCTTGGGGATTGCCAAGAATATCTCATCACCCGCCACGCAAATGATCATGCTTCTCCCACCTCCCAATCCGACCCTCGAGGGCCACAAACTCTTGATTCTCTCGCAGTTCAAGCCCGATGATGAGTACCTCAACAAGCTGCACACCGAGTTCCCGGGCCTCAAGATCATCTTCCACGAGCTCGGATTCCCCGAGAAGAAGCCCCGCCCGGACTTTGATGAGAAAGAATGGAAAGATGTCACCGTCCTGCTGACCGGGAGCGCGCTGCCGGACCCGGAGATCGCGCCCAAGTTGCAGTACGTCCAGCTGCAGAGCGCCGGCGCGAACCACATCTTGAAGCACCCGCTGTTCACGGACACCGATGTGGCCTTTGCGACGGCTAACGGCGTTCACGGGTATGTTCATCAGCTTGAACGCAATTGATCCGTTCTGCAGCTCACATGATGACAGACCTCAGATTTCTGAATGGATCATCACCACTTTCCTATCATTCCAGCATCAAAGTAAGTACCACCCAACATCTGTTGTTGTTGTTCACAATGAGAAGCTCATATATTCCACAGTCCCTAAGTATATCGACAACTTCCGCCAAGGCAAGTGGCTACGCGGAGACGATTGGGTGGAAGACGCCGTCGGTCGCACAATGTAAGCTCTTCACCATCAGATGCTTGTGAAAAAACCCCCCAACTGAACTTGTAATTCAGAGGAATCCTGGGCTACGGCAGCATCGGCCGGCAAACCGCCCGCGTGGCCACCGCCCTCGGCTTCAAGGTCCACGCCTACACGCTCCACCCGCGCCCGACGCCCGAGTCCAAGCGCGACAACGGCTACACGCCCCCCGGGCTCGGCGACCCGGAGGGCAAGTTCCCGTCAAAGTGGTTTTCGGGCGCCTCCAAAGCCGACCTCCACGCCTTCCTCGGCTCCGGCCTCGACCTGCTGGTCGTCGCGACCCCGCTGACGGACAAGACGAGCCACCTGCTCGCCGCCGAGGAGTTCGAGATCCTGTCGGCGAAGAAGACCTTCGTGTCCAACATCGCCCGCGGGCCCGTCGTCAACACGGAGGATCTCATCGAGGCCCTCGACAAGGAGCTCATCCGCGGCGCGGCCCTGGATGTGACGGACCCGGAGCCGCTTCCCGAGGGACACCCGCTGTGGAAGGCGAAGAACCTGTTGATCACGCCGCACATCAGCGGCATGTCGACGAGTTACGCGGAGCGGATTTTGGCGATTTTGGATTACAACCTGAAGAGGTTGAGCGAGGGCAAGAGGCTTGTGAATGTGGTGAACAAGAGGGAGGGTTACTAGGCCGTGGGTAGGCGAGACCGGAGGCGATGATGGTGTACATGCGTTCATGAGATGGGTAGCCTTCGAGATGGGACTCCTCAAGACGGTAGAGTCCGGTACCAGCCCGGCTTTGACTAGGGTGGAGAGCATTTGTCTCCAAGTGGCGTGTCGCATGTACTGGTCGTGGAATATAATGTAGTTCATGTCTATTTGTTGGTTATTATCAACCGTGAGTATATTCTGAGTATGGCAAGCCTCAATTGGTCTTTTATGCTGGTTACATCATAGTGTGTGCCAGTTGGAATAATGGGTGCCGCGTAACTGTATATTTTCCCCGATATCATATCCCAAAAGCATCCATCAGACGACGTCAACACGTGAAACTGGCGTCTTTTGTTCTGGCACCCCGTAACCGACAGACGAAGAATGCTCCTCGACAGAGTCTGTGGTACCGTCACCCGCGGCAGACAAGTCCTGGGACTTGGGCTGGCGTTTCTCCCTGAGGGCTTGTTAGCTAGTGTCATTTTGGCTCAAGAAAGTGATCGTACCCTTGTGTTCCCAACAACACCCGAACAATCTGCGTCGTAATAACCAAACACACAACCATGACGGCAGAGTAAACATAACCCTTTGGAAACCTTGGGGCCTCCACGGTCGGATACACAAACAGCGGAATCCACGCGTTCGTCGACGTAGCAATAGCCGTCATCAGAATGAGGGTCAGAGCCCGCTCCTCAATGTTGTTCCGCAGAATGACGTTCGCCCAGCCGTACAACACCGACGACACCGCCACAGCGGAATACGACGTGCTGAACGCGAACCACTTCGCCGCTTCAGGCACGTTCCAGACGGCCAGGATCACGAGTCCCGTAAAGTTGACGGCCGAGGCAAGCGTGATGGCCGCCGGTCTACCGATCCATAAGTCGGCGCTAAAATTAATGAACAGCACGAAGAATATGCCCAGACCCGGGCTGAGAGCGTTCAGGTTGTTCATCTCCGCCGTGCTATATCTCCCTAGACTCTTGATCCACAGCAGGAACGCGGCGCTGTTGGAACTGGTGTTGAAGAAGAAGACGTCCCACAGCACCAGCAGGTAGAACCGCCAGTTCGTGAAGACGCGTCTGAGCAGGTTGAGCGAGAATGGTGTGCTCTTGACCGAGCTGCCGGCCTTCTCGAGACGCGAGCGCGCGATTTCCAGGTCCGACTTCTTCATCACCAGCCTGTTTGGCTTCGCTGGCGTCCCGGGCCAGATGAAGTAGCCGATGAACGCGAGCGGCAGGGTGATGATGGCGTTGATGATGAAGAGCCAGCGCCAGCCGGGCAGGCCATGGACGCCATCGAGGTACGTCGTCGCCGCGGCTTGGAGGAGGGACGCCGTGAGGGTGCCGAGGGTGAGACCGATGTAGAATGTGCCCCCGCGACGGCCAATCTCATCACTTCTGTACCATGACCCGAGGACGAAGTGGACCCCCGGGAAGTAAGATGCCTGGCTTTCGAGTCAGTTTTAAGGCTTAAAGCGAGTGCGGACGTAGACTTACCTCAAACAGGGAGACCATGAAACGGTAGGCCATGATTTCGGCATAACTCTGCGCGCGATATTGCAAAAGGGTGAACAGGCCCCATCCGAGATCTAGAGTTGGCACGAGAATGTGCATCGGGACGCGGGGGAAGAGGTAGATGAATGGTAGAAGGCCAACCACGTTGCCTACCACGAATATGGTCTGGAACTGGACCAACTCGTTCCCGTGGAAGCCCAGCTCATCTGCCATGCCCGAAACGTACGCATTGTCTGGAGGCGTTAGTGGGAGTCGCAGGAAGATTTGGCTGCCGCTTACTGATGTTCGTCTGGTCCATGTACTTGACCCAGTAGAGCACGAACGCATACGGGACTATGAGAATGTCCAGTTTGAGGATCAACTTGCGCTCTTCGGGGGTATCACTAGGTGAGAACCAGTGATACCACCGGCGGGCTACTTCAGTAGACATGGTTGCGGATCAACTGGTGCTCTCGTCGACGGCGTAGATGTATTGTTACAACGTGCCCGATTCACAACGTGCTCCTACATTGGTATTTCTGAATCGAGACATAATGAACTAAGATAAATGTTCTTCGATAAGAAGCGATGAAATAGAACAAAAGTCGCCACCGGTGTAAAAAAGCACATCACCAGCAGGCTAAGGCGAGACCCCGTACGAAAGCCTCCGACAGAGGTCTTCCGCGCCGACCTGAATACCGGTATTAGCGACCTCGCGGGCTTATTGCCGACGCCTTATCTTGCATTGAAATCTGAAGTCCGTGGTTGGTCGATTGATGCTGCATCGCTTGTCACTTCGGCGTGTCAATGGAGACTTGTGATGGTGTCATTTCTCGCGTCATTGCGCCAGCGCCGCAGTATTCGGTAGTCGGCCGCTGCGCGACATGTCGCTTCTGCATCTACAATTTCAAGTCCGCAGCCCTACGATTTGTACATGAATTAAGAAGGATTACGTTTATTGAAGTTGTATAGTTGGTTGTTATCTTGCTGCTTATTTAAAACAGAACTTGGTGATTTCAGTAGACTATTTAAGTTGATTGGTTAATATTCTCATAAAGAGCAAGCATTGTACTTCTTCAGAAGAATTGGGGAAGTCAATACGAGAGCCTCTAACATCGGAAGTAGGACATGGTCGCCCACAGCTAGCTCCAAAGCTTCTCTTGTTAAAGATTCCAAGTGTATCTAAAGTTCAATGGGTCAGGCTTTATCAAGGTACTCGCTGTGATTAGAGAGCTGCCCGCCAGGCGATCACATGGCCCCGTTTTCTAACCATTGCAACAATGTCGATGAGAAGTGGCCCTCGTGTTAGGGAACGCGCTCAGCCATACTGTAAAAGACTGACTATAAACTACGAATGCTAGTCAAATTGCCTACGTTCTGACGCGTCATATAAGATACGGGAAAAGGTCGTTTTCCGTGGTTATTAACCCGACAACGCCGGGCAGGGCCGAACAATGTTTTAAATCACGCCCTTGACAGCTCATCGCGGGCCACACGTGGACGAGGTGGTTAACATGTGCGACGATAGACTCCGTTTCTGTGTCTGTGGAAGCCAATTCCGCTATTCCTGGCTAGATTTCGTTACTCTTACAAATATAATTGCTTGTTGTCTCTAGATAATACCCGGCCAATATTAGTTACCGGACAAACCCGCGGCCATCACTTCACTCCTAAAGGATGGTTTCTTTGTTAATACACATACTTCTAGGCAACTAACTTGATATCCATGTTTTAGTTCTCTAAGAGCACCTTTTGATGAGGTGGCCATCTGTCACGTTTATATAAACATTTCCCGAGGATAGAACAACTCGGCAACCTTGGGCGTCAGGCTGGTATACGCCACATAGTCTTCACACTACCGCGTGCTGGCCCTGAGGCCACTAGCACCGAGACGTAACTTCATCTCGGACCTATCCTTGACGTTGTAGCTATGATGAGATACGCTAGGTAAAAATGCTGATCACTCTTGCATGGAGTCATCAGTCCGGTCTGGTTGCTCCTTATTCTTGCGCGATCGACCAAGCAGTTGAGTATTTGCAACATGAGTACGCCTTTATTAACATTTACAATCATGAGCCGTGACCCTGCAACTTATGACAACATTGACGAGGGGCTGTACACTTGTATGTCACTTTACACCAAGACGTGAGGTTAACATCAAATTTTGTTTCCCACTAAGAAGCTAAATCGTTTGCCAGGAGCAAGTATAGTCTTGCTTATCTCTAGGCTCAAAACAAGTTTTCTATGTCTATGTCGTCACGGCTCAGGAATCCCCATACTATCCCATACCGCCAACTCTGCCAGACGACAGTCAGGCCCGAAGCCAGCCCAATATGGCCCTTCCCTCACTGTAATACCATCGTATAATTCCTGCTTCTCGTAAAAGTTGAAGAAGGTAGTAGGTTCTAGGTCCGCCATCATGCATTGCACTTCCAGGTCCTGTTCACTTGCCACAAGGGGTATGTTCTGTGCCGCCGCTCGCTTCTCCAAGTCCTCAAGATAGAACGGATTAGGCGAAAGGCGCGCAGCAAGGCAGAGGTGTTCGCTCGGTGTTGGCTGGATCCATTTGTATAAACTGACGTAGTCGCAGTATATAGCTGCGGCGGCTACCTGGGCTTTCATCTCTGGCACCTTTTCGGCTAAGGTGTAAAGAATGTCTTGGCCGGGCCGGAGCGGCCACCAAATGAGGTACGGTTGGGGTGTGTCAGCAGGCCAGCCATCGAGGAAATCCCGGGGATCGTTGATCATGATGCGCCGTGCTGAGATGGCCTCCTTGATTGCGAGAAGAGGAGCGTGTGGCATATCGGTCTTCTTAATAGCCTGGGCTCTTGGCGTATCTTGTGTAATTTCTTCAGCCCACCAGCGTGCAAACATTGTATGGTGGTATATACCACGGACAACACAATATGTTTCGTTCTTATTCATTATGTGTGTAGGTCGCTTTAACCTCGTATAGCGGTCGATATTGCCTTCAAAAGCAGCCATGCAGATAAGAAGCTCTTTTCTAACCGTTGGAAGGTCTTGTGGTAGCGGCTGATGTAGGAGTTTGGCCTCCTCATCATTCAGCATCCCGCCCAACTCACCTGGTACATACTCTTCACCAATATGCATATCCTCTTCAATACCGGGATGTGTTTCGATAAAGGTCTGAGGTGTATATGGCCGGTAAAAGAGCGCCAAACGTACCTCGGTATCTCCGTTTGAAAAGGCTGGAGGCAATTGCACATCCAGTTGAATGGTACGTATGTCATCATCCATAACGGGATAGCGACAGGGAGAACTCATGATAGCTTCATAGATCAGGCGGCCACCATCAGTCCCACTTTCTCTTGCCTCCTCAGCTATTGTAACATCTGGTAGTAGATCCAACTCCTGATAGAGGTCAGAGTAACCAGCAGCCGCGCAAGCCCGTCCTACTTGATAACGCATCTGCGGATAACGCTGAACAAGCTCGCGGTATGTTTCTTTAGTAGCAATTTGAGGGTGCCAAATACAATATGGTTGCTGCTCCTGCAAAATTGTCTCAGGGATCCTATTGCTCATGATGAGGCGTGCATTTCGAGCTCTCGCCACCTGTGAGTCTTTGGTACTAAGTTTGACGATTTCATCACTAGTAGCGAAGGCGTAGTGGAGGCGGATACCACGGATGAGTGAGGCACGGACGACGACGGTGTCAAGGTCTCGTGGAATCTTTTGGCCGCGGATAGCGGCAATGCAATCAGCCACATTCGTACTTGTAGACTTGGTCAACATGGCTCAAGTTGGGTCCAGGAAGAAGATGAGAGTATGCTTAAGAAATTATTACAATGAGTAGATTGGGATTACCTGGTTTGATTTGAACAGATTAAAGACTTCAAGATGACCAGAGAGTGTGTAGGAGTCTCCTTCAACATCTATTCAATACCTCAAGATTTGGCCTCATCCTTGATGCTATACCTAATCCGGAACAGGTGGATCCGTTGACAGGAAGGCAAAGCTGAAGTGGGCTCCTGGAGCGCATTATTATCTGTAGTTTTACTACGTTTGTCTACAAGGGTCAAGAAGTAGTTGGAATCCTGGACCCCTGACTTCCGGTTAAATGTGAGCCTTAGCAGCCGACAGGTCGGGCAAAAGAACCCCGGTAAACGGATGGACGTACTTAAATGTTGCATAAAGAAGAATGGCCTGCCCATAATGTTTTCGATCATTATGTCGCCATATTGGATGTAATTCCTCCACAGAAAACTTGTTGGATGGGGTAAATTGTGATATTCTTAAGTGTACTATCCGGACTCGTTGTTAATACCTCATAGAGATTTCGTAAATACTAGCCGGGAACGGTATTGAACTCTCACTCGCTTACTTGAATAACATACTCAAGAATATGCAAGAAAGTTGATTGTGAAGAGAGTCCACACAGGGGATTGTTATTATCTAGCTTTTTCATGCTTAAACTGTGGGGGAGACATAGAAGATTCTGTCAGAGGCACTCAATGATATAAGTCATTATGGTAAGGTATTCACCGATATCACAGTTGTTTCCGTACCTCCGAGATTTGTTGCAGTGAGTTTTGCATATCGTCCCCATGCTCAAAATAGTTGCTGCTGAAGACACATGTAGAAAATTTCCAGTCCAAATATCCTCTAAAGTTCTACTGTTTTTGAAACTCGCGGCCAGTACTGAAATGCTTTGAGCCGAGTGATAGGGACAGTATATGAAATTTTAGATATTGTTCTTCAATTCATCCTTGGTGCATATTTTCGGAGGCTCTAGAAAAGACGCTTAGCACTGGCTGCAGATGGTAGCAATGTAGTTAAATGTAAGCAAATCCTTTTATTGTATTACTTTAGCGGTCTCGAATCTTGATATTTGTTTAATGTTATGACACAGTTAGATATATACTATAATTATCGCGCGTGAAAGTAAGAGGTACTGAACTAATAATATGTAAATTAGCTGCTCCTAAGATGTTTAGAGTTCCTTCTCGTGGCCTGCATAGTTGGTAGTTTATAGTTAGCCATACTTGTATACCCAGTTGGACATAAAGCAGTCATAAGAAGAAGGCCTTAAATAAATTACAAGTTCTAAATATTACTATATCCCAAATTGAATATTTTCTACGGTTATTTGCGGTTTATAGCAAGGTCTCTATTACGGACAAGAACAATACCGAGGTCGGCTTACGATAAAAAGGTTCGCTAACGTTAAGTTGCCAAGTCAGCCATGGCTTCAGCTGTTCTCCACTTCAGCGTTCTCGCAACATGTGAGTGCTAAGTACGTAATAGATGGTCCTTTAGCAACTTAAAAATACCTCAGCCTTTCTCTTGGCTTTTTCACAAGAGGGAAGTGTCATTATAGTGCCTGATGGAGGTAAGCTTACTACTGTGGTTACCCGTTAAGATTACAGACCGTAATTAAGCCTTTACGGTCTTGTAATGACCGAAATGTCATGGTAGGCTCTAGCAACAGGCCGAACTCTATGTATAAGAGGTTATTACCCCCATCTGGATCGCATAATACAATCTTCATATTGTTTCGTTCCATATCCTCGTTAACCACTTGCCAAGGCCATTGGTAAGCGTGTGGCAATGGAAGTTGTTCAGCTTCAAGCCACCATTTCTGGGCATCGAACCATCACTTTCTAGGCATCAAATGATAGGATAGAGATGACACTGAAACATATTCTTCGTGGACGCAAGCGTCAAAAAAGGTTTCTTGGGTGGGACTTTGGAAGGCTGGTTGAATCTCGCCTTACTTCCATTTGAGTTGATTGTGCGGGTCTGGGACCTCGTTGAAGATTTTTAAAAGTCCTTGAGATTCCTCTACTGTACTCCCTATGCTTTGTTAAACTCCGCCTACCAATATATACTGATACGATACAGAAGAATATGTCTCAAGAGATCTACACTGGTGTCTGGACTGACTGGAGCCTTGGCTCGGTCCAGGGTGTAACTATCACCCTGTCCGCCCGAGACGGCGGTCTTTTACTCGCATTCATCGCCATTTTTGTCACTTTCGTCACTACTCGCGCGTGGCGGATCATCGCCTTTGCCGCTCATCAGAGCATGGCATCCGGGGGCAAACATGACGGCCTTTACTACCAACGACAGTTTATCTTGCGAAATATCACCTCTCCCATCGCCGCGGCCTGGCTCTTCATGCAGCAGTCGTGGTACTGGCGTCCCTTCGCAAACAAGGGGCTTGCCAGGACTGTCCCTTGGGCTCTTTGCGCGCTCGCCTACGCCGGTCTCTTTGCGGCCGCAGCAGTATTCTCAGCAGAAATTTCGACAGGGGCATCCAAGTTCCGGCTCTTGAAAGCTACCAACTGCGGCATCTTCACCCCGGCCGACAGAGACGCGTTCCAGGGCAAAGAACTATTCGATAACCAAGTCTCTTCGATGTATAGTCGTCAATGTTACTCCGACAACTCGTCGGCAGCATGTAGTAGCTTACCCGTGTCGTCTATTCGCTGGACAAACGAGTCTGTCGACTGTCCATTTGCGGATCGAATCTGCCTTGGCCACAGAGGGTTCAGAATGGAAAGTGAGAGGATCAACTCGCACAATCATCTCGGCATCAACGCACCGGAGCAGAACCGCATCTTCTATTCAAGAGAAACGGTCTGCTCGCCCCTCGTCACGCAGCCCGGATTCATTCAATACGTCAATGGAAGCGAGGCTAAAGAACTTGGATGGCCCGATAATATTTTGATCAAGTATCTGTACGGGTCCAGAGGCGACCGGAACTATACCTACATTTACAATACGTACGGCCAAAACATGCAAACGGGATACTCAACGTGGACCTACTACACACTAGCTGGAAGGAATGACTCCACCTGGAAACCTGCAGAGGCATTAGAAGTGGAACACAGAGACCTCACCCTAATGTTAATTGCGCCCAACTCTATCATCCATATGGAGCCTAACGACGACCCTGTTTTCGCGGCAAACAACCCCATGAACATTGGCGGAGTAATCGCCTACCTTCCAGACCGCTTCGTCAGCCCCATTGCCTGCGCGGACGGGCATCAGATTTGCAATCCTATGAACGACCAGTGTACGCCATTTCTGGGCAGCTCTGAGCTTTTGGAGGCTGCCAGGGGCGGTCGCTTGGGGCTGAACCCAACGCAGGTTGCGACGGTTACACGGCTCGGGCCAGCCGTTTCCCTGTCGACCTTTTATAATCTCATATGGACCCGAACCCAGAGCTTCCTGCGAGCCCAGGAGCTCGTAGGCGGGCTGACGCAGCTGCCACTACCCTCGAACCAGTGGGAGATCGAGATGGAGTCCCTCATGGCGGATGCCCTTGCCGGCCTACAGCACCAGACGCTCGAGTACGTTACGGGGCCTGCGGCGCCATCCCGGGGCACGACGCTCCAGTTGTGGGACACGTTACCCGAGTCTGCGTCGGTAGCTGCCGAAGACATCAGAGTTCCGCTAAGAGAGCTGTGCGGGTCACAGAGGATTAGGGAAACGCAGGGAACACTTAACTTCTCGGTTGTCGGGCTAGGTGTCTTGTTCGGCGTAGGTTCAGCCATGATTATCGCCTCTCTCCTGTTGGAGCCTCTGACACGGTTTGTCCAAATGAGAACTGGCTGGGGAACGTTAAAAGCAAAGAGGTGGGAGCGCGATGATAGTCTGCAGGTTATGCGTTTGCTATTTGAGTTGAGAGATGCTGGGCTGTGGAAGGGAAATACGGAATCGTTTCCTACGACGGAGACAAAGGACAATTTTGAATTTGACGAGGATTATTTAGGATAAATAATGTTCACGAATAACTAAAAGACGGCCCTTCGTATGAATAAATTTAGTAACTAATAAGAGCTCTGCTCTATTTTCCTCCGCCTTATTTCTATCCTTTTATCTTCATGTAATGCGGACTTTTCATAATCTGATCTGCTAGCTTACCAAGTGAGGTGGAATCTGGTTTAATACGTAGGACGACTTATCTCATAAGCAGTGCCTATACTTGCCCTAAATTTCTGGACATTTGTCAGGGTCAAACTTGATTCGTCTTTTAATAATACCTTCCGTTATAGTTTTATCTGGGGAAGCGCTGAAGTATGTTAATTGACTGACTTAACTGCCGGGACTAATATGCTGGGATTGTCAGGTTAGGTGGTTCTTCGGCTCAGCTGTAACTTTCAATCTCACACAGTCATAACTGGTCCGTGACCATTCGAGAGGCCGGAACGGAGATGATAATCAACACGAGGTCTGCGGGGGAATCCCAGATTGAATAATCGACTGCGCCGGATCATGTTATCCATAAAATCTTCTTCCAAGCTGCCCAAACGAACGAGGGTGGTGCTCTCGAACCGATAAACTAGCTTCGTTGGTGGAAATGCCCATGTCGTGTTGGACCTTCGAAGCAGCAGAATAGTTATTGCTACTTACATGGTCAAAGTTCTACAGAAGGGAAGCTATCCAATATAGGAAAGTCCCTGACTCGCGCCACATGATGAATAGTGTTTTTTGTGGACTCATTGCGAGCTCCCGTCTTACTCCAATTACCCAAGTCACCCCTGTCCCAACTCGTCGTTCACCCAGAAAAGCCTGGACAACCTTATGCATAGCTATAATGACAAGAAGATCTGCATTTAAGTGGTCACAGAGGTCGATCTTTGAGTTTATCAGCAGCCAAAACACATGGCAATGTTGCTCGTGCAGAAGATCAAGTGGGCAGCAGATCAGTTCACTATGCACAAATCAGTGCAAGGAATATTTTATTTGGCGCATGGCCTAAAAAGTATTTACAAATACAATATATATGGTGAAGGTACTATACGTAAACACGAGTCGTGTAAAGTATAAGATATTACCCCGCGATGGTCTTGGGCAGCCGCGGTATTTTGCCGGATGTCAAATCAAGCCGCCGGGACAGCTTAGACGCACTGGGAGTACCAGTCGTTGACGAACTCACACTTGCCCGAAGCACAAGTAGTAGCGCCAGAATAACCCTTTCCACCGCACTGGCCGTACAGAGCAACGGACTGGGCAGCAGCAGGCTTACTGGCAGCCTTGTCAACAACAGCCGCAGAGTTGCCGCTAGAGCTGGAGGACTTGGCCGGGGTGGAGGAGCTGCTAGAGGAAGAGCTGCCGGAGGAAGATGGGGTGGAGGAGCTGCTGGTGGAAGATGGGGTGGAGGAGCTGCTGGTGGAAGCGCTGAGCTTGCCGGCACCCGCGTTGTTGGGAACGCTAGTCTTGATCTTGCTGGCAGCCACAGCGCTGGCGATAGTGAGACCCTTGAAGTCGCCGAAGAAGCTGGTGTCGGTGTACTTGAACGGGGAGGTGGTCTGGTCGAGAACGTTGACCTCACAAGCACGGCCGAGAGCGCTCTTGCACTGAGCGTTGGTGGTGGCATCGGGGGAAGAGAACAGCTTGCCCTTGTAGTCGGAAACCATCTGCTTGGCCTTGATGAAGACGTTACCCTCAAAGATACCACGGGCCGCAGCCTCGCCACCCTCGAGCATGTGTCCGTCAATGTCGTTCCACACGTTGTTGACGGCGTGGAGAAGGGTGCCGCCGCTCAGGGCAGGGCCACGTCCAGCAGTCTTGTAGATGTAGTTGTTCTTCATGGTAATCTGGTCGTCCTTGCCAACCATTTCGAAGGTCCAGTAGTGGTATCCGTTGCAGCCGGTGGAGTAAGGGGATTCGCCGTTGATGAAGTTGTTGGAGAGAGTGATGCGCTTGCTAGGGTTGAAGCCAAAGACGTAGTGCTGGCGGCCAGGACGGGCAGTCTTCTTGAATGTCAGCATCAACATGGTATTCCCGTTGTTCGACTTTTCTTACCGTGACGTGGTCAACCCAGACGAGGTCGGCGCCATCAAAGCCGATGGCATCGCCACCCCAGACGTACTTAGGGTTCAGGTCGCTGACCTGGATGTTCTGGATAATGACGTTCTTGCCTCTCATTCTCAAGCCCTTGCCTTTGATGGCACCCTTGCTGCCGACACCGAGAATGGTCTTGTCGTTGCCAACATCGATGGGCTTGGTAGGAGCCTTGTACCAGCTCTCAGTCGATCCGGCCTTGCCACTGCAGTCGTCCTGGATGATCTTCTGGCAAGCAGCACCGTTGCCCCAGCTGGCACAGACATTACCGGTAACGTTACCCTCAGAGGTGGTGTAGTCATACTCCTTGTTGAGGAGAATGACGCGGGGCTGGTTGTCGGTAAGGTATTTGGTGAGCTCCGTGATGTCCTTGGGCGTAACAGGGGTAGCATTGCCTCCTCCAGTAACAGCGGAAGCAAAACCCTCAGCCTTACCAGAAACAGTCTGGGCTGCGGCCAGGTTGGCGAAGCCTGCCAAGACCGCCAAGATAGTTGATGTCGATTTCATCGTGAAATAGTGGTGACTGAACCGACGCAATCAAAGATTTACTGTAACGTGGGGACAAGTCCGGATAAGAAAACAAATGGCGATAGTTGAGTTCCGGAACCCAGCGGAGAGTGAAAGACGGTAGAACAAAAAAAAGATGGACGAAATAATGAGGTGAAAGTGAATGAAAGAGTGTGTAGGAAAGTTGCCGATTGAAAGAGAGATAGAGAGAGAGAGGTTTGGTAGTACCAAGATTCAAAGGTATTGAATCGAGGGAACCGGATCTTTCATACTCGTCAATCTCCCAAGCCCGATCCTCCGATACCCGTTACGGGCAGTGGGGGAGTCGTAGTCTATCTGGAACAAACTACAGCTGTCACTTAATTAAACATGAGGCTCAATTGTGAGCCATACGAAAATTCTGTGACCCCTAATTGGCAAACGCCCCCTAGAAAACAGTGGACCAATCGTCACTCCATACCCTAAGGCGGCTAATCCCCGCCATAACGGGCAACGTTATCGCCAGGATCCCGGCAAACACTGCCATATTTGGGTCCAAGGAGTAAGCCGCTCAGGAGTAAAAGATCATCGTCAGTGGCACGCGTCTCCTATTCCGGAAAACTCTTCGTGACGGCATTTCCTGTTTGACTGGCTTGCATTCATAAGTTGCATCAGGTACTCAAAAAGGTCTTCCAGAATTCCCCTGATTGTGTGATGGAAACACTAATGCTCTTCATGATCTGTGCTAGACTCAATCTAGCAGGCTACTTTGCCTAGTGGATGGAGAATCCTAAAGTATAAAAATCCCTTGTGGTCGGGATAAACGGCGGAAAAGCCGCCTGAGCGACCTTCGAACGGCGGAATCTGACTTTGCAAGGGCCCTTGTTCAATGTTTACTGCGCCTTAGATCTCACAGCATGTTAGAGTGGTCCTTTCATCACAGCGATGGGAGTGCGATAAATTTCTCGTATTCGACTGCTGCAATTGAAAGTAAACTGGGTACCTAACTGAAAAGAATAGTGTTTTAGCGATCATTGTATTGATGTGACCAGATGTCATCAAACCATAATACATAGAAGTTGCGAGGTGGATACATTATCTCAAAGAATGCGGGCACAGAGAACAGCGCCTAGTATTGTGTTTGGGCTAGGGTAGAGGCTTTTGGGGTAGGCAGATAAAGCGTATCCCAAGCAATTCTGCTCTGGAGACTATTGTCTCTGCAGCAGGTACTGGGTACCTAATTCTTTGATTGTTGACGTCTCGTCGGGCACCTGGATCTAGACATAAACCCCCTTTTAGTCAGATAGACCCATAATTCATTTAAATAAGTGGGTAATTGGTCAGGTTATCCCCCCCCCCCAATGGTCGCCTTGACCACACCCTCCCACCTTGTTCAGTGACAAAACGCAAGGAGACAAGAGGGACTAACTAAGTACGTCAATTTCTTTCATTTCTCAAGGGCCCCAGGTCTGTTTGGTGTATTCGGGTCAGTGGGCTTTTGTTCCACTACCTACTGCTGGGGCTAGCTCTTATTGCAGCATAGCTAGCTTAGGGTACATTATTTTATGCCGAAAGACACTAATCACTTTACTGGGCATTTCCACACCCATACAAATGCTGCCCATTGCGGCTATTATCTCTTATAGTGGTTAGAGAGTGGAAAAGTACATGGCAGGCAATATATCCAGTGTCAGGTGTGCTAAATGTGTCGCAGCTGAGTGACGTGGGGGGTTTCTTTCAGATTGGGGCCAAGGTTTGTCCGACCCATGCCATAAGCGTTGTATCCCCATCTGACAGGAATTTCTATGGCATTTTATTCAACTCTATATTTCTATTAGAAAGAAATACACGGAGAGTATCCGAATCAACATGGAGGGTGGTAACTCCCGACTATAAGGAGCTTTTGAAAGGGCAAGGCTTGGCAAAAAGAATTGACGCCGTTTCTAGGTGAAGCTTAGCGCAAATTCTTCGAGAAGCCCATGAATACCTGTTCCGAGCACATTGAGCTCCTTTTGTAAATCGCCTTGTCAGTTGCCCGTGTTATACCCGCCTACATTATCTTAACGTTTTAAACTGTCAAAAAGGGTGGTAGGCCAGGGGCGCTGGAAGCGATGCACACGCAGAGCGCCTAGGATGCCAGGAAGGCGCTAGGAGGAATGTTTGGCCGAGGACCGCGCTAGGTGCGCTTAGTCACAGGGAACACGCCGGAAGAAGGCGCGTAAGGGATACGGACAGGTCTTAGGAAAAGAAGAAGCACAATACACATCACGATTGACCCCTGAATGTGCGCCTACGAATATTCGAACATAAACATACGAGATTAATATGTAAGGTCAGATATGGGGTTAATTCAGCGTGAATGACCTAACATTTTCATTATTATTTTCATTATAGCAATGTAAACAACCTTAAGACTTAATTGATGCACACAAAACTATGACCTGCTGCGATCAGCTCCTTCCAAATTGTAAATGCTGTATCCGATTCCGTTCCAATTAAGTCACCGCCATATAATCGCTCGACTTGAGTGGTTTAAGTAAGCACGGAACGCAGTGTTCTTCAGCATTTCCATTCATATATAGCATGAAATATTGATCGTGACTAATGTGCATGAGTGAATTTACATGTTAGAAGATTCTGCCTAAAAGCTGGACACGCATATTAGCTACCTCCTCTGCCCTTTGACTGAGAGATGACCTTTCAGAAGGCCCGGTGCATTTAATCTCAGTCGAAAACTTGATCAATCAGCTTTCTAATCTATGATAAATAATTAATGCTTGGTGACTTGCTCTCGTGGTTTCAAATCCTTATAGTATTCTTTGGCATATCTTCCCTAGTCAGTTGATTCGACGATAGCTGTTGATTCGATTATATGTCCTTACGAACAAAAGGTATCCCGACTTATAATAACCAGTCAGTCAAGAGATGGAGTCTGCGCGTAAATATCCCGGTTCATTCCGATATTGCCCAAGTATGATTATGAATGTATCCAGACATTTTCTCACTAACTTCGTAATCCGGGTAGGTTTATATAAGGCTGTGCTTCAGAAACCTGATAGCTTCCACTTATACCGCTCGAATTGCCCACGTAAACGGCGAGCTGTGATTCAGAGAACGACTAGCTGTAGAAATGATCGAGGAAAGCCATATACAGACACAATACATTCGAAGACTGCTTACTTCACGTTTATTAATTCAGAGTTCTCAACAAACATGCGGCGGTATTTACTTAGATATCCAACTGTTTAGTCTGTAGTGGCAACAAACACAGTTCAAAGGCTATAACGTCGCACACCCACTTCTCGCACACCCCCACATTTCGCACACCCATAAATCGCTCATGTAGAATTTTACCCTCTTCAACATTCTTTAATATCTTCACCACTTTTACAGCGATTATTATAATTCTTTGAATAGTTACTCTTATACGCTTAATGGGCCAGTATACGGAAACAGAAGTCAATCAAGCTCTCAATGCAGTTGCAAGTGGGCAGAGTGTCCGAAAGGCAGCTCATGATGCTGGAATTCCACCATCAACCCTCCAGTCTCGATTAAAGGGTTCACAGGCAAGAAATGTAGCTTTCTCTAGCTTCCAGAAGCTATCTCCAGCACAGGAAAGTCACTTAGCTGAATGGGTGCGTATCCAGGCGGCGTTAGGGCTGCCGCCAACACATCAACAACTCAAGGAATTTGCCCAGCGAATCCTAGACATCAGAGGCACTACCCAGCCACTTGGGAGAAACTGGATTCAGTTCTTTATTAAGAGAAATCCATCAATCAAGGTTCATAGAGCTAGAGCCATCGATTCTAAGCGTGTCAATGGGGCCTCAACTAATGTAATCAGGCAATGGTTTCAACAACTCGCCCTTCCAGAGATCAAGGCGATCAAACCACATCATCGCTATAACATGGATGAAACTGGTATCCTAGAAGGCAGAGGATCAAATGGCTTAGTACTGGGATCATCAGAAAGCTCATCAATGCGAAAAAAACAGCCTGGGTCTCGGGCTTGGACAACTATGCTTGAGTGTGTCTCTGCAACTGGTCAGGCGCTTCCTCCACTTGTTATTTATCGAGGGAAATCGGTTCAACAACAATGGTTTCCTCTTGATATCCATAAACGTGATATTTACAGTAGTTGGAAGTTCACAGCAACTGAGAATGGCTGGACTTCAGACTCTACAGCTGTGGAATGGCTTGAGAACATCTTTATCCCTCTGACTAAGCCTGATCATCCCTCTGAGCAGAGACTATTGATCCTAGACGGTCATGGCAGTCATGAAACAACAGAATTTATGTATCTCTGTTATAAACACAAGATATATCTCCTTTTCCTACCGCCACATACATCCCACGTTCTCCAACCTCTAGACCAAGCAGTCTTTGGGCCTCTCAAGGCGACCTATCGAAAAGAGCTTGGATACCTCATTCAACACAACGATTCTACAGTTGTAGGCAAACGGAACTTTCTTACCTGCTATGGAAAAGCACGCCAGATGGCATTTTCAAGCAAGAATATCAGAAGCGGCTGGAAAGCAACAGGACTATGGCCCATTTCGATAGCTCGACCGCTCATGAGCCCTCTACTGCTTGAGAATGCTTCCAAGCCCTCAAAGCCAGGCTATTCTACGCCTATGAGGGCCTCTGATGGTGGAAAAGACGAAAACTGGGCATCTGCTACATCCATAGTAGCCTGGTCAACGCCCAAGAAGACAGTTGATCTATATGATCAACTTAGCTTATTCAGCAAGTTGGATAAAGATCAGCAAACGCAGCGACTGTTGTTTCGGAAGGTTCAAAAGGGATTTGATGAAAAGGACTATCAATTGGCTACAGCAGAGAAGAAGATTGCAATGTTGGAAGCAGAAGTTGAGGCTGGAATGGTACGGAAGCGGCGTAAGGTCCAAATGAGCCCAAATTCGAAGTTTGCCAACATTGAGGCAATTCACAAAGCCCAAATTGAGGCTGGCGAAATTGAGGATAGCTCAGATGAATCTAGCGAGCCTGAATTACCTATTAAAACTGGCGATAGTATCACAGTTGCAGGAGACGAATCAGACTTATAGTTATGAAGTTGATGAATACCTCATGATGACCCAATTTATGGGTGTGCGAAATGTGGGGGTGTGCGAGAAGTGGGTGTGCGACGTTAATCAACAACACATAAAGAACCACTGCTGTGGCTATTACCTTTGGAGCTATCCAAAACCGTTAGTAGATACTCCAATCTCCGTTTAGCTTCAAGTCAGGCGTATTGATTCCCTGTTTCTCCTTTTCCAGTTCTTCTTGCATAGACCAAGGCTGCCAATTGAATCCCTTGGGCAGATTCGTATGCTCGAACGAGGCACCCTCCGTCAAGTGTGCACGAGCCTCAGCAAACCTTTCCGTCGCATATGCTTCTGCATTGTGCGTCCAGATCCATTTTCCGAGACCCATGGGTCCGCCCTTGGGAGCATGCTTCATGACCTCTTCCATGCCGCCCGCGCGATGCATTTCGCGCCTATTAGCGAAGCCAAGGCGTTGAAGAATTGATGCCCGACGGAGTCTGTTTTAGTTTCATTAGCACAAGATCAAAAAAACCGAAATGGCAACTCAAAAAGGGGCACGGATTTGCACATACCGAAGAAGCTCATGGACCTTAGTTCCAATGTGAGCGTCCGTCTTGCCAGCCAGTCGAAGGCACTCGGCTAGTGATTGGGCATCTTCCAGCGCGGTAGTTGCACCAGAGGTTGAAGACGGGATGAAGGCATGAGCACTGTCGCCTAGCTGGACGATGCGACCACCAGGGGACGTCCACTTCGTCTGCGGATCTCTCCAACACAGCTGCCACTTGACAATGCTGTTCTCAGGGATGTTGCGAATTGCTTTGATGATCAACGGGTCCCAGGTCTCGGTATCTGGGAGTTTGTTGATAAACTCCTCACCAGTGATGGTCTCAGACCAAGATTCTTGGGCAGTGCCGTCATCCTATGCTGGATTAGGAGACTACTACTTGATGCTTTCAACAAATGGAACTCACAGGTAGAGTAACGCCAATAACAATGGAGTCGTTAGCGGTACTGAGGACGCAGTGAAAATGATCCCTGTAAGCACCGGTATGTCAGCATGTAGAATATATACTTGGCAGAAGCCCTCAAACATTCTATCCTGAGAGCAACAGGCAACTTACCCTGAATGGGCACGCAAGTCGGGGCGCTTGAGGCCCCCGAGTTCTCGGTACAAATCCGCATTCTTTTCAGGATCCAGGCGATAGAAAATGCGGCAGATGACGAATCCCTGTGGGAACAGCCCGGATTACCTCTCCCATGACAGCCTCGTGAGACTTCGTGCCGAGTCCATCCGCAGCAACAACGATATCAGCGTTGAAGCGGCGACCGTCACTTGCGACAACTGTGGCTGAACGTTCGTTGTTGTTCTCGATGTAGTCGACAATGTTGACATTGAAAGTCACAGAGATTCCCAATCTCTGGCATTGCCGATAGAGCATTTCAGTCAGACCTGGTCGACTTACCATGGACCTGACTCTCAGGGGCCAGGCAGCGTGGTGTGGGACATCTGATCTGTTATACTCAAACTCCTGCGGAGGCACGATCAGTGTTCCATCAAGTCTTCTAAAGGAACAGTAGTTATCCCATGAGTTATCATAGTACTCCTTCAGCATTGTCGGGTAGTCCTTTAGAGTGGTCCATGCTGATGGGCCAATGAAAAGTACATCGCCTGGGTAGTGTGAGAGTTGATCAGTTGATCAGGAGGTGCAGTCGCCTGAACATACCAATTGTTGAGTTCTTATCGGATTTTTCAAGAACACTGACATTGTGTCCCTTCCTCCAACATTCAAGAGCTGTCAAATAACCAGCAGGTCCACCACCAACAACCAAAACATTCAGGCCTGTAACAGGCCATCGTAGAACGCCATCTGTAGGTTTCACAGGGGGTGAAACGGAATTCCGTTCGTCAATAACAAATAACAGTAAATTGGTTCTAATCGATGGTTCATGATAGTTGAAAGTGGTGTTGTTGACTAGAAGGTGGGGATATTCCCCCTTGGCCTGTCACGTGGGTCTGGGAGGCTTGGGCCTCTCAGCCTGGCGGGCGTATGGCTGGAAGTGCCACACGACTCCGTATTCCAACTATCGCAACACTAGAAACTCTCTTTTTATAGTATTAAAGCGGTTAGAATACGTTATCCCTATACAGTTCCGTCTCCTCGTCAATTCGGCCTCCTATCCCTACTTTCTCCCGTAGTTACGGTCTTATTACCTATCCCTCTATACGTATCGTTATCGTATTACTATTAACGAATCTCTCGAAGGCTCGATTTAGTTTACTCTTCGTAAAGGCATTAGCAGGGTTGTCTTCGCCGTTAATCTAACGAATTTCTTATAGTTCTCGTCTTTCGTACGATTATCTTAACGCTATAATATCGATTATAAGTCGCTTTTCTTTAGTAGTACCTAGCTTTACGAGATACTTATATAGTAAATAAGAATCGGTATAGATAACTATCTAAATCGTTAGTAGGTTAAGGTAGTTAGTAATTATCGCTAAGGTTATAGCGAGGGCGTAAGCTATATCGACGCTAGCGACTATCCCGTAGATCTCTAATGCTAATACGCTATAAGTAACTGTTCGAATATTCGTAGGCGCACATTCAGGGGTCAATCGTGATGTGTATTATGCTTCTTCTTTTCCTAAGACCTGTCCGTATCCCTTACGCGCCTTCTTCCGGCGTGTTCCCTGTGACTAAGCGCACCTAGCGCGGTCCTCGGCCAAACATTCCTCCTAGCGCCTTCCTGGCATCCTAGGCGCTCTGCGTGTGCATCGCTTCCAGCGCCCCTGGCCTACCACCCTTTTTGACACACCCCTTTAGCCTTCGCGGCTCGAGACCTCGGTCCTAGGGCGCTCCTGCGCGCTTCATACGCAGCAGCGGAGGCTACCCTTAGGGGTGGCAGGCCAACCGACTTCTTCCTTATTCCTCTCCTCCTTCAAAGATCCCTCCGCTCCATGCGGTCTCTGCGAGAGGGTCCCTCTCTTCGCGTAGTGGTTCCGTCTCCTTCTTCACCAAGTTGAGCTGTTTTATAAAGTCTTCAAACGGTTGCCTTGCGAGGCTCTTCGTGAGTCCGTCCGCAACAAGGTCTTTCGTTGGTGTGTAGACGACGTTGATGGTGCCGTTCTCAACCTCCTGTCTCAACCAGTGGTTGTGTATATCAACGTGACGAAGCCTCGTCTTTAGAGTCACGAGTTCCTCAGTTACTATTCGAATCGTCTGGAGGTTGTCGCACTGGATCGTTATTCCGCCGCTTGGAATCGTCGTATTAAGAGCACTCAACAGACGGCTAACGAATATAGCTTCGCGTGCTGCTTGTGAGAGGGCGAGAAGCTCTGCTTCTGTCGTTGATGTTGTGACTGTGTCTTGTTTGTTCGCTCTCCATCCGATCAATCCTCCAGCAAGCCGTAGTGCGTACGCCTGAGAGCTCTTTCGATCTAGCGAGTTATCTGCGAAGCTGGCGTCTGATGCGACTTCGAAACTCTTGTTGTTGCCATCGTACTCGAGACTAAGGAAGCAGGTGTCCAAGATGTACTGCAATACTCGATCTGCAGCGCGATGATGCTTCTGAGAGGGATTCTGGTTAAACCTCGCCAGACGGCTTGCAGCAAAGGCGATATCGGGGCGCGTCATCACCGCCAAGTATAGGATCGATCCAATCTTTCGTTGGTATGCCGTTATTTCGCTCTTTGAGGCGTGCTCCTCGGCGGGCAGTAGCTCCTCGTTCGTCATAGGTGTCGTAAATCGAGTGTTCTTCCTCTGTGATCCTTTATGTGTGCCTTGACCAATCAACCGTGCGATCTTCTGTGCGTATGCTGCCTGAGATAGCCAGATTTTCTTCTTGGCTCGGTCGCGCGTGACCTCGATTCCTAGAAACCAGTGAAGAGGGTCTCCGCCTTCCAGGTGGTACTTCTCTTTGAGCCCGTTAATGAGGCGCTCAGCAGCGTTTCTACACTCAGGGGGAAACGCGAGAACACAGTCGTCGACATAGAAGAAGAAGAGCACGCGTCCCTTCCGCCAGCAGCAATTCTCGCCTGCGACGCGTTCCATCCCCATTGCTTTCAGACCGTTCTCTAGATGCCGTTGCCACAGTAGAGGGGACCTGCGAAGGCCGTATAAAGCCTTCTTCAGCCGCAGGACCTTCCCCTGCTGCTCATGGCCCGGTGGAAACTCCATATATACTGTCTCGTCGATCGGAGCGTAGACAAAGGCATTAACTGCGTCGTACTGCAGTAAGGTAAGATCTTGCTGGGCCGCGGTAGCAATAAGGGTTCGGAACGATTGTCCAGCGAGGGTCGCAGCGTATATATCCTTGAAAGCGTTTTTAGCCTATTAATCTCCTCGAACAACGATCCTTGCCTTAAGTTTCTAAAGTACTCCCTTCTCGTCCGTTTTATAGACGTATACCCACCGGCAACCCAGAATCTAGTGCCCGGCGGCTTCTCTACGGTCCACGACGACGTATATATCCATCTCATCGTGGCTCGCGAGGTGCTTCTCTTCCGCTTCTCGGAATCCCCTCTCGTAGGGGTGGCCGTATAGATCGGCATGTTTCTGAGGCACTGGGGGTAGTACGCCTGCTTGGCTTTTTCGCTAGGGCAGAGGACGGTCCTCTCCCGGAACGCTAGAGGCTACGGTCTCAACCGCGGGCCCCCCGTCACCTGACACGGGCCTACCGTTGTGGGAGCTTAGCCCAGAGGGAAGGTCTTCCTTTACCCTCGAATCAACGTAGTTTCTTCCCTGACGGAGGTCGAAGGCACGCTCACACCCAGGGTTTCTAAGACTCCTCCTGGGCCCAGGGGCAGGGTTCATACCATTACCACGTCCGGCTACGGTAAGACCTTCGAGTCTGTTATTCCAACATACTACCGCTTCCAGGCTGGTATCGGCGTTCTTCGCCTTTTGCTTCATCTTCACTCGTTTTCTACCTGTTCTGGTGCCGCCGAGGAAAGCGGCTTGCCAGGAGGTACGCGGAGTAGTAATTGGAAACTCTTCGTGGATCGATTCGCGTGCATGAACCGCCTCAGGAGCGATCGAAGCACGTCTCTTCCTCCACCCCTTCACTCCGAGTGCCTCCTCAAGGCCTGCGAAGAACGAGGTGGGTGGCGTCCGCGGTGGTGTATTGAGTTCGAATCGTGACTCCACGTACTTAGGCGACGGCGGTGCGGTGTATTCTTGTGCCTCTTCGTCTTCAATGTACTGGACTTCATCGACTTCTTCGTCTGCGGTGTGTGCGTACTCTGGAGATGTTATCCCTGTGGGCGAGACCTCTAGTCGCGCGAGAAGAGCGTTAAGCTCGTTCACGTCGAGGTCTTTGAGGTCATCCCGCAGCTCGTTGATATCTCCATTAAAGAACTCGGTTTCCCTAAACACAACGTCTCGCGTTGTGATAACGCGGGCAGTAAGCGGATTCCACACGCGGTAGGAGTTGCTAGTACTGTACCCAATGAGGTAGCCTATCCATCCTCTCGGTTGAAGCTTTCTCGACTTATTCCTGCCCAGCTGTGCGTCTGTTGTGAGCGCATACACTTTGCAGCCGTACGCTCGAAGGTGGGCTTGATGAGGCTTCCCGAGATCTGGGCCGCGAAACTGATTATGGAACCGTTCGAAGGGCGTTTTCCAGCCGCGCGCCGCTGACGGCGTCCTGTTGTATAAATACGTCGCGGCGGCAACGATTTCGGGCCACAGCATCTCAGGGAACTTGCCTGCCTCGCGAAGGGTCCTAGCCTTCTCCTTGATAACTGCTGCGATTCGCTCGGCGCCTCCGTTCTGGGCCTGCGTATTGGGCGCAGAGGGTTCGAGGACCACCCCTTGAGATTGAAGGTGAGTGGCGACTTGCTGATGAATCGTTGCAACCTCGCGGTCACATTCGAAGACTTTGACCTGTATATTATATTGCGTCTTCATCATGGCCATGAAGAGATCGAATACCTCGAGGAGCGTCTCTGTTGTACGGTCCTTAAGGTAGTAGTCCCACGAGTATCCTGTTAGTCGGTCAGAGAGTATTACCGTAGACATATAGCCTCCGTATCCTTGAGGGCTAATCGAGTGAAAGTCGAACGCCACTCTTGATCCTGGTTTTGCCCACGCTATAGACTCGCGTGGGGCACGTCGAACAATTCGTCTTGTCTTCCCTTTTCCACACGCTGAGCAGTCAGGCAGCTTGTTGCGTAGGTCACCCATGATCTTCACGCCTCGAGAGGCGTTGACGAGGTGCTCCAGCACCCCCTCGCCCGGGTGACCCAGTCTCTGGTGCCATCTGAACGGTCTTCCTGCGAGTCTTTTGCGCGGTGTAAACGATGTGTGGCGCTGCTTCGCCTGCGTAACGAATCCTGCTTTGGTATTGTCCTCGATAACCTGTTGTCCATGGAGATCGTGAAGGTAGCAGACGAGTGTCCCATCCGCTCTTCGTACGCAATTCTGGCCTGGGCGGTTATCCCACCACATCCCTCGTTGCCGTAGAAGGCGGTAGGAGACTAGATTCGTTGCGAATTCTTCGCAGTAAGCGACGTTGTATAAGCGGAGTCTTACCTTCTTCCCCCGCTCAGCGTCAGCCGTTATATCCACGTTTCCATACCCTAGGATTGGGACTTGTGAGGCTCCTGCCCATAGGTAATCCCCTGGTTCAGCTGCTCTGAAACCTGAGAATCGAGCCCGGTTGTTGAACACGTGTAGCGATGATCCTGAGTCGTATATCGCAGAGTTGTGTAAGGGGTACTCAGTCCGGATCATGAACGCAGAACGGTCACTCGTATACTGCTTCCTCCACGATGCGTTGGCTGACCCCATACACCGACCATACAGTCAGGTCTGCTTCGCTTCCTTCTCGCGTTGTTCACGGATCTTCTTCACGCGG